AGTCTAGTCCTAAACTGGGAGATTCACTAAATTTGGCCGAGTTTAGCGGAGTAGTGCCCAGTCCAACAGAATACTTGATGAGTGTGATGCATTTCTAGAGCGTATGTGTGCATATGGCCGCGTCCTGGACGTGCTGAAGGTTCTCTCCGATCGCAGGTTGTCGCAAGACCTTGTCAATGAGCGCAAATAGTCGATGACAGGTATGACTGTACTTTGTTCCATGGTACCTAGTTATGCCTTCCTCTGCCGACCGCTTACAGCTGGCTACATGCTTTTCCGAGGTACGTGGCGTGCTCGTGGATGTGTTCGGGCCTGTCATTCACCTGTGGCCCTAGGCGCCATCCCGACCGGTTGGACACGTTTTTACGAGTTAATTGGCGGAAAGGCCTTCTACGATATCGGCGAATCGGGCGGATTGCAAAATATGAGGCTTTAAATTATAGGTTCCTAACCACGGGCTCACGACATCTGACTTGGAGCCCGCACGGACATAGTTCCACGGATCAATTTGGATGCTGGCCTTGTGGCACACGGTATATGTCTAGTTAAGGACAGCGACTCACACAGGTCAGATGACGCTATTTCCGAGCCTAGAGAACATTACGGCACCATGACTGCCCCGTTCAAAGCTTTATTCATTCGTGATACGATATAGAGCCATTCACCAACCATATCCTAAACGCCGGGAGAAGTAGAATGTAGCGAGCGTACGATTAAGAATTCGCCAGTTTGTTGAACTATCCACGCATATCTACATCGAATTAGTCGGAGACGAACCAAAACCATGGGGATGCATAAGGCATTCACACCTTGAGATATCTATCCGCTATATTATCAGCTCATTATAAATATTTCAGGCTTCCTTAAGATAGCTTGTTGTAGATTTTTGCATACCATGGGTGAGGTCAGAAAACTGTATGAGGGTTGACTGTGACGCGAACAATGAAAATCAAAAAATCGGCTGCAGAATCTCGAACCCGGTCTCGACCGGTCAGGGGTTACGAACTATCTCACTTGAGTACCTCATTTTGCCCGGCAAAATGAGCCAGCCTCTGAGCGGGTTTTCCTTTGCCTATGCTAAACTTTTGCTTGCAACAAGAGTCTATCGCACAACTCTTATTAATAAGAAGTGAGAAGACCCTAGATAAGGAGCATCTCAATTTTTTGTTATGAACCCCTCATTCAAAAACCTGTCTGCTCCGCGGCCCACGACGTTCTAATTTTCCGATCAAAACCCTGAATGGGACATTCTAGGAGGCAAGAAACACATGAAACTATGGAAGCAATCAATGTGAGCCGAGGTGGAGAACCTTCTCTAGGGCAGATATCTCCGTCCCGATATCCCAACTTTAATCATATCCTATCGGGACACGCTCCGGATCCTTATACCCTTGAGTCTTTCGTCGACTACTTGTCTCAGAACCATTGAATTGAGTTACTGGCCTTTCTTTCGGAATCAAAGACCTACATTGACGCCCACCGTGCTTCAGCTCCTGATATTTGCCTCACGAGAATGACATCAGATTCGCGGCGCCTGGGAAAGCAATGGAAGACTCTGATGAGCACCTCTATACTGTGCCGGGAGCCCCTGACGAGCTCAATATTCCAGCATATATTCACACGAGGCTACTTGATAACACCGACGTAATGATATCGCCGCCTCGTCCCACCGCATACGAACCTGCTATGCGTTATGCTTATGAGCTACTGACGGAGAGCGTACTACTACCATTCATTCAGGGTATACGCTCTACCAGGAATCATAACAATCATGACAGTCAAAAGAATGAAATACATCGGAACCACCAGAATAATCAACCTGATCGAAAAAATTCACTGTCTCCATCACCGGCAGCTCATAGCAACGGTCGAAGAAATATAGATGCTGTTTCTGGAGCTTTGTCGAATCAGAATTTACGGTAGATACATATTATCGGTCTATGACAAAACTTTGACAGGGTTCATAACGATCGCATAGACAGTCAAGCAGCCCCAATATGGTCTCAATTCCTATTGTTGATGAGGAGCAGAGCGTTCTAGACGTGCAATCTGCAGAGGGAATCAGGGACTTTCCAAAGAGATGGCGGATACCTTCTATACGACTAAGAGTAGGCTTCTTAAGTCGACTAGCATCCGGGTTTAGCCGAAATCCCTCGAACGGTCAAGTCAAATGCATTAATACATCTAGAATAAATAGAATTATTTCCGAATGGTCTCCCTGACCATGATCCCGGTGTAACTTCATTTGGACCCTTGATCACGTGAAATATAGATATCGATGCATATTGCAATGGCAGCCTAGCCGACTCCCGCTATTACTCCAGGCAGAAGGCAGCTACTTAGTACCTTCGAAATCTATGGGGTATTTCAACCTAACCTATGGCATTCGTTCTTTTCTTCAATTAATCAACCTTCGGCATTCAAGATTGATTCCGCTTGAGCCTACCCACTATCTCATTTGTCTCTAGCGATTACTAACCTATATTCTCAAGTTTCTCCAACAAATAACGGTAACTCGTTTGTTACCCTTTATGCAACTAAATAGCGCGATAGTGGTCTCAAGCCGCTTATTAACTGGAGATTAGCGTAATTAGAATTAGGGCCTGAGAAACAAGAGAGGAGGTTTGATAGCAGACGCTTGCAGCTCATCTAGTTGCCCTTTCTCTGCTGGCTTCCCTATAGGCTGATATTCTAAGTACCCGCGTTTTTAAGACGAGTTTGCCAACAGGAGATATTGAATCGAGTTTGATGATCATGGCAAAAATACGAGAAATTCCTAGGTCACGAGTTAGAGATCTATAGACTATAGTTAATTCTTCCGTCAAAAGCGGTTAGGGCCCTATCAGATCAAGTATACATACGATTATGATGTTTAACGTAAGACATAGATGCAACTTGTACTTATTGGTGATAAAGGTAGGAGTGAGCTAACTCTAAGACTAGTATTCGTAAGGAATTGCTTGGGTTAGTGATCCCTATAAGGGGTGAGCTGCCGCCCCGAAATAGTGGAGGCAACGGCGTACCAAAGGGAGATAGGGCTAGTTTTGTTGCGACATTCACTGCCTAACCCGGAAAGCCAAGTGAAATATTAGTCTTGTTGCATAATCTACAATGCATGAGTATATATAGCGCTAGTTCTATCAGCTCTAGGAACGTATTAGGCGGCCCGGAGAGTTTTGTTGCTCCTGGTATCTTAGGTATAGCTCCTAGAGGTAACTGTAGGTTCTTTGGGAATCGATTGTATTGCATTTGCACTCGACTTCTTTAGTGGTACTAAAATTCGCGGCTTCGCGTATACACGGTGTGAGAAGTTAGTCTATTTGCTTTCAAAGCTGTGTAATTCAGCGAATAGGATATAGGGCCCGCTTAATCCGTAGAATTTCATTGATAATATTTCGCTGGATAACGCGTTGACTGGTATATATAGCCCTTGAACGTAATAAAATTTGAAACGTTAGGGATAGTAATAGTATATGATAATAGTTGATGTGATAGTGAAAGAAAAGCCTACAAAAAGAACAGCTATACAAATCAATCAATATACTAGCAATTACTAGGCGGTAATAACAAATCAAAGTGTTTCGTGGAGATTCATTTTATGGACTGCACGTAATAATTCAATCCATTATTTGTTCTGGAAAGGTGAACGGGTGAATAAACACAAGTAGTGAAAATTCGATTAAATTTAATCAGTGAAATCGAATGAGTTAAATCCCTAAAGTATTTATCAGAAGGGTTATTACGCCTGTGACATTTCCACTAGCAATAGTGGAAAAGCGTGAATAAATCATTTAGATCAATTGATTAGAGCTCAAACCCTCCTAAAGATAGCAGCTTTCTAGTTGAACACCGTCTGTTTACTAAGCATGGTTGGCTTTAAACTTACATGTTAGAGCAGCAGGATAGAACTGAATAGGGGGCAGGTTGAGTTATCCCTAGGCGGTGTAACTAAGTATTCGAGTGATAATGAGGAGCAGCTAGGTCACTGCAAGTAATCAGGTTGATCAGGCGCGTACTCAATCCTACTCAATGAGCAAAAGTGGCGAGAGGATAAGCACAAGAACGGAAGGAGACAGCGAAGATCTGCTAGACAAAATCCGGTATATATACATTTCTTGCCTGGGAAGAATCATTAGCGCAGAACTAGGTATAACATAGCATTATAGAGGTAGATTCATTGCTTCTGTCGGTTGAAGACTCGCTGCCCTGCAGCATCGAGATCCATGTGCCCTTTGTCTCTAAACTACGGAGGGCAGTTCGGTCTGTCATCAGGACTCTCTAGGGTATTCCTTAGCTATTTTCTTGTGGCACACAGCTAGCCATCAGATTTGGGTGCAAATCGGATAATATTATAAATAACATTTATTACACATTCCAGTCTTGTCCAAATAGCCATTTTCTCCTCACTTGGATTTCGGCCAGCCGTCGATATCACCGTACTATCTCGATCGGTAGATTTCATCGCTAATATCGATCTTCTTGCGCTGCCCGTTAACGACTAAACTGGTATAGAAGCCTCGGAACGTTTGCTAGAGCGACTGCACATAAATGAAACTCCCATCAGGAGCAAGGTTGAAGCTTTTCAGGTCCGACTCGGGCAACTCCTCCTATTCGCCCTCCCGATTATATCTATAACGATCATCTGTGGTGACCTCAAACCCTTTCAGGTACTTTTCTATCACGTCTTCAAATTCAGCGACAAACTAGCCTTTCTCAATATCAAATTCAAACAAGCCCCGATCATTGGATATGAGGAATTTACGCTGGTTAGGAACGGGGACCAGGTCGTGAGGTCCAGCCTACCACGAATACCCCGGGCCCTATTCCGTGTTAATGTTATATGCATTATTTATCCTGAAGATATAAGCGTCGTCTTTGCGAAGTTGACTCGTTGACGCATCGAACGGATAGCCCTGGATAACGCTATGTGCAGGAACGGGATCGGACCCATCAGCTGCAACGTCCGTTCCACAGGCCTATAGCATTTGGGCCTGCTCGTCCTAGATCATGGTATGGATTGCCCGGAGACCAGTGATATTCTGCAGCACCGGCGGCTCATCGACCAGCGGGTTGGCTGTGCTAGCATTATACACAAGAATGCCATCCCAGGGACGCTGCCCGGTGGTCGCGACGGCTAGCAGATCCCCGGGTAATGGTTCTACGCTATGTGCATTCCACAGAAATTCGTTATCTCTGCAGACCGCAAAGGTGATTTGCTTGTCTATCGTTGGATCATCCGGAGTATGATTGATGACTAGTGCGAGATCGCTATAGATAGCTGCAACCGCGGTGCCCCCACGCAGCTATTTGAGCTCGGTTGCGTCGTTGGCAGAGGCATACAAGCAGCGTTGTAGGGCTGGGGGAAGCTTCTGATGCACATCGTCACGTTCAAACTTCCATTTCACGGTGCCTTCTCGATCATGGATCTTAATCAAAGGAGGCACGCCATAGAGACCGGTGATAATATCCTGCCAAGGCCGGTTCTCGGTACGTAAGCGAGCTTGAGGCTGAATGGGCGGAATATAATACTCGGCCAGCGGCTTAAACAGAAGTGGAATCCAACCCAGATAGCCCCCTAACATGATCAGGGCAATTATCTGGGGACAGGAGGGATAGAAAAGATGACGAACAGTCTGGACTATCGTCTGGTGATAAAAAAAGAAAGACAAGGCTGTTTCGGTGGCTCCCGACCTCCAGTCTCCACGACACCCTGACCTCTGACCACTCCGACACTTGACACTCGGTCCCCCTCGTTCCCTCTTATTCTCCATACGAGTGGAGACGTAAGGCGGACAAATAACCTGGAACGGGAACGAGCGGAGCGCCTGGAAGTTGTCAAGAACTCGTTGACAGCCAATTGGCAATCCGCCAGGTCTCAAGTCCACTCTCCAGCGCTCCATTATTGCACCCTGAATCAGCAGATAGTGGGTTTCCATAAGATTGAAACCTGTAGTCCCTTAAGAACTTTGAGAATCATCTCTTCAGGCATGCCTTGGAAGGTCAATCTATCTAGGCCAAAAGGAGCTCTGGAAAGATCTTTTAAAAGAGAGGAAAATCAAGAATCTTTTTCCACTAGTCTATCTCTCCGAATTTTTGATTCGAACGTTTGAATTGTAACTGGATACCAGCGCCACGCTCAGTCAGACGGACCCCTCTCCAAAGTGAATCAAATGGATCCTTCGGTCTCGGCGATCTCAAATCACGCCTTTAGCCTTGCAAGTTGCTAGCCATTTCATCATGCCAAGAAGCCAAGATGGGGCCCAATTCGTTATCAGGACTTATTAAACGGTTAAACGAGACGGACGCTCGGATTTAATAGACAAAAACGATACCCTGGGCACGCGACACATTACCCTCCCCTTTCTGCACTTATCGAACTGGTTCACCCGTTTCTTCTTTTGATTTTTATCCGTTCTTTACCATGCGGCGGTCTCCTGGAGAAGTAGACCTGCTATAGATATTAATGAAAAATGGTGAAAGTGGTCGGCACCGTCTTCTCTACCCTGACCCACCGCATCTATCAGGTTTATCAATCGCCCGGTCGGACCCTTGAAGCCTTTTGGGATTTCTCTCGTTGCTATTTTTACGCCCTTGCATTCTGGTCGCTGTTCTGTGCTAAAGTCCTACACCTTTACGCCCATCTTCACTCTCTTCCTGCTAGCAAGTTATTCGCATGAGGCGTCACCTTTTATTTTCAAGATGTTGTCATTTTACTCCTCCTGCGCGTCTTTGTTCAGAAAAGCCACTCCCGGTCCCGATGCCGCGTGGCGCTCGACGTGCTAGTGGTGGTCCCGTTTAGGTACGTGGCCATGTGCTCAATTGCCTTTTTCATCCACCACATATGAACCTTATTGATGGTTTCTACCGCTTCCTGCGCGGCTAACTTGCATATACACCGGATTTTGTCCGGCAACTCTTGGCGTTCCCCTTCCGCTCTCGTGCTCACCCCCTCGCCGCTTTTGCTCACTGAGTAGAATTGAGCACGCCCCTGAGCGACCTGAGCTGCTCAGTTATCATTACGTAATCAGGGTGACCTGCTCACTGAGCCCGATCCGAGCATCCTGATTTGCTCACTGAGCCTGACCCGAGCAATCCCAGATTTGCTTACTAATCTCCTCCCGAGAGGCGATCTGAGTAAGCAGGCTCAATAAAACGCAACAAGCTAGCCCGACCCCTTGTATAGTTTTTCCCTTTCAGGCAAAGAGCGGACATCGTAAATTTGCTACTTCCTTGGCGATCCTTGCTATTGTAAACAGGATGTATTTAGTGAAAATCGTTCAATTGGCTGATTACAATTATTGTAGATCCAATGCTCCTAGGAGCATTCTCCGTGCCCGATACTTGGCCACATTTGGGGGAACTCTGGAGGCAATTTTGGATTTTCTAGACGAACTTCGTATTTTCTTTGATTTTGATTGAATACTTTCAGATCTCTCTATAAAAATTCAGATACCCTTCTATGATCACCTACTACTAAGATGAAGACCTTTCGGGGTTTTGATGCTATACTATTCTCGCCAGATTAGGTAGCAATAAACGGAAGACCTGCTATTCGCATAACCAAACACTTGCTCCTGGGAGCGTCACAATGTTACATCTTCATGATAGCTGAACCAAAATAATCTATCTGTTAGGGCGAGATATTATCATAGGCTCCTAAGAGCTTAAGTCTGACCAATGCTGCCTCGTCTTAATGAATATAGATCTTGTCAACTGATGTGGGATCTTCCCGCAGATGACTAAGCCGCCACCATCTTTTCCCCGGAAGAAACACCTTCATGTCTACCACATTGATTCATCATATTGATCCTCAACGATCTCGCATTGAACTGCCTATATTGGCCGGAGACTACTCAACACTCCTAGATTACCTCGGATGTTCTTGATTTCTTCATGTGATATTTACTATGTACCTAGTGTTATAAATTCTGCCTGTTTTCCTAGTTAAATAGAACAAGTTTGACATCCTTTTTATCTCAGGAAGAATTACCGGGCATAGTAGACCATCCGAATCAACCTTCCACTGCTTGATTCTTCTGTCTGATCAGCCGATTGTGATCTATCCTGATTCGTCTCTCTTCCATCATCGTGGCACTAAGATTAGTGTGCACGAACGATTTCTTCTACGGTTTTATGCACCAGACGCAATTCCAACAACAGGTAATAGAGGTTTGTCTTTCAACGAGCAGGGAGGCTATAGCACTAGCAGTTACTGCTACTAGAAGGATAATATCCGACCTTATCCTAGTAATAAATATTATATCTAATTAGATTAATAGTGTATACCTCTTCTTGAATTATTTTGCTCCTACGAGAAGAGCCTCACTAAATAATTTCCAGGTAGCTATTCTAACTAGACCCAGAATTATAATAGACTCTCAATTTTTGAGATAAATATAGGTCTATAAAACTTGTACGTAGGTCAAACTGTCTGATGCTACTTAAAGCGATGCTTATAACCTCATAAAATCCTTCCGCTTTAGGAATAAGTTAGTAGAGGTCACCTAGTTTATAGACAATACTATCTTAAGCATACGCTAGCAGTATCTAGTATCGCTAGTCGCGATAGAACCGGGACACTTGTACGGGAGCCTTACTAAGAGGTGACCACCCTGTTCGTCTAAAACCTACGCGTTTATCACACCCAGATTCGTCCATATACACTAGGTGATACGAATGAAAGTCCGATATATTATATAAATAAATCTCCCTTAAATCAGGGTTTTATTCCCTTCCTCTCTGCCGAGACACCTTTTTAGACCAACCGTAGGCTATAAGAGCCCTTCGGATGCTTGAGGTGGTTACCTAGGTATAGCTGCCTTGCTTTTGCATTTTTCTTGTGGTTGTGGTTGGGAGTAAATATGCTCGCTGGTTAGGACTTGACTATCTACGATGCGAGAGACTTTATGAAATTGAATCGTGTGAAGTTTAATAATCCCGCACTCTGGCTTTCTCCATGAAATTTGAAAACACTGTTCTGTTTCTACGATGACCGTCCCGAAGACTATGGGAGACATATCCGAAGTTTCCAGATTCGATCAGGCATTAAGATCTCACGTAGCTGAGATCAGCCATATTCATCGATAATCAGCCAATAATTGCTATGCCGTGCAAAGAGGGGTTCTCATCAGTGTAAGATGGTATTTACTGCTTCCCTCGGGGCCATATTGCCTTACATTGCGCTGTGCGCTTTGGCTTCTAGCCTGGTAAGTATGAAGGAAATGGAAATGTAGCAAACTTCTACTCGAATATCTGAGTCTTATGGTCACCAAAGCTTCACCCTGAAGAGTTTAAGTAGAGAGGGTCTCAAGGGATTTTGCGGCTTTCTCACCGAGCTCGCTGCCCTGGCAGGCCGTGCGTCTGTCTTGTGCTTCTTATCTGGCTCTGCACTAGCTGCCTCCTCAATCTTTCCCCGCGTTTACCCCGGATTACGGATAGCAACCCGATATATTTGGAACGTTGATTATGCATCCTGATCGGAGGGGCTCTAGCTTGCCCCGAGTATAAATGATCAATGATTGCTGGTTTCTCGCAAACGGCTCCACGTCGTTGACCAAGTCTACCGCGTCACTCGTTCTACTTACCATGTCCAACATGGACAGCATCGGCCAGGTAAAACCTGATACCGAACAAGCAGAGATAGTGAAACTAGGGCCGTTGCATCAACTCCCTCTTCCAGAGGAGCTGGAATCCTTGGAGAGTCATGAGCGAGAGAATCTTGAGAAAGAGTTGGTACGCAGGTTGGATAACTGTTTACTTCCAGCTGTAGTTATTCTTTTCTTGATGAATATCCTTGACCGGTTGGTATATCAAAGGTTCATAATATTGCTACATTATGCTCACATTTCTACCTAGAAACAATATTGCAAATGCAAAGATTGCCGGCCTACCTAAGACCTTGGGAATAACAAATACCCAGTATAACACGTGTTTGATGATCTTTTATGTTGGCTGTTAGTCTCCAAATCGAGTGAGTAAATACCATGCTTACCCTTCTAGATATCGTCACTCAGCTTCCGTCCAATCTGGTCATCACCAAAGTCAAACCTTCAATCTATATTGGTGTCGTCACGGCGGCATGGGGTGTTGTCTCCATGTGTCAGGCCTTCACACACAATTTTGCCGGGCTTTTCATCTGTCGTTTCATACTTGGTCTGGTAGAAGGGCCATTTTTGCCCGGAGTATTCTTCCTGATGTCTTGTTGGTACAAGAGATCCGAATTACCGCCCCGCATCGCACTGCTGTATGGTGCGAACATGCTGGCTAGTGCATTCGGCGGGTTGATTGCGGCAGGCATTGTCGCGCGAATGGAGGGGAAGATGGGCAGACCAGCTTGGGTGAGTTTGCCTTGAGAATGGTTGGAGGCTTGCTATTGACTATTCATACTCCTAGGAATGGCTTTTTATCATCGAGGGATCAATGACCGTTGTGATTGCACTTCTTGTGATCCCTTTTATTCCAGACTACCCCCTCTCTACCAAACGCTGGTGGATAACACATGAGCATCAAGTACTTGCGGTAAGTCAGACAATATCCATCCATCTACGGGAGACTCGCTAAAATATTAGCGACATTATAGGATTGGCGCTTGCGCAATGAGAATGCAGGACTTATTGACAATGACCCTGATTCGATTCTTTGGGGTGTCAGACAAGCAGTCATGGACCCCAAGCTATACATGTTCATTTTATTGCAAATGGCTCTGATCACAGCCCAATCCTTCAATAACTTCTTTCCCTCTATCGTTGGCACCCTGGGGTATAACGAGACGATTACGCTGCTGCTTACGGCACCACCTTACGCCTTCGCCTTTATATGCTCTCTGGCCCTCTCATTCCATGCCGCCAAAAAGCAAGAAAGAGGTTTCCATATTGCCGTTCCACTCCTGTTTGCACTGATAGGAAATATACTGGTACGCGTCACAAGAGCTGCAAGGTTGTTACTTCTTGAAGAAATGTATACTGACTTCCCATTCCAGGCGATGTTCGTACCAAGTACAGGTGGAAGATACGTCAGCATGTTTCTGATGACATCTGGATCGTATTCACCATACAACCTTTGCGTATCGTGGTTGAGCTCATCGCTGCCTCGCCCGAAAGCTAAGCGTGCTAGTGCATTAGCCATTGTCAACCTCATGGGAGCTGGCGTTGCTCACTTCTACACTTCGTACATGTTTCCGGATTCTCAGAAGCCTAGATATTATGCCGGTGGTGGAGTGATGAGCGGCGCTTGTTTGGTATGCGCTGTGACAGCGCTGGGTATCAAATGGCACCTGAAGCGGCAGAATACGGAGATTGAAAGAGCTGAATTGGAGGAAGGCGCATTGATAGGGTCTGCAATTGCAGGATCGAAGACAGGACAGAGATCTGACGCTGTTGTGTCATTCCGCTATGTTCACTAGGATACGATGGGGATATTCTGGTAGTATTGACCTTGAACAAAGATGCCAGGATGGGAACCATGGAGGGAGGGAGCTCTATTCAATCTGCATTTTTTTTTTCATATTACCCGAATACAAACCATTGTCAAGGATGTGTTAGCAAAACTGAAATGGTCCATACCAATAATAAATGGCTGGAAGGTAAGTGGAGGCCAAATAGCTTTAGACCCTTGCATTCTGTTCACGAAAGGCAGCTCTATCAGTTCCAACAGCGGATCTGGTCGGTCATGGAGCTCAAGCATTACACGCCAGAGGAGACAGCCGACCTAGGCTACGTCTCAGTCGTCAATGCTACAGGTAGGGGCGCAGAGGTACTCGCAAGGGCATGATGTTCCGAGAATGGGAAGAATGCCACCATCCGTCGGCCTGGGGGGCCTTGCTTTGCCTGTGCCGTTCAGGCTCCCAATGCACTCTACATCGCGGTGCTAATCTGGGTAGGCTAATCATTGGTGAAGTGGCACAGGAAAGAATTAGGCGGGCACTAGGAAGAGACATGGAGGACACTCTTTTAAGTGCGTGGTTCTGAAAAGCCCTCTCTCTCCGTGAGCTGCATAGGGTGCCTACTACTGTAATTAAAGGAAGAAAGAAGAGTGATGTTGACGATGGTCCTTTGGAGGACGCATGTTATCACTGGTTCATGTTCATAGTAAGAAGACAAAACACACACACGAAATCCCAAACATTGTGATCGCAATCTTTTTGATCGACGCAGTGGAGGCTTTGTGACGGAGGCTTTAGGTCTTCCCGGTCGCCCCGCCCCTTTTTCCACTTCTTCTCCTCAGAATGCCCTTCTGCGGGGTCGCGGTTTCGAGATGAGCGCGTCGCATGCTCTGATATAGGTGAATTTGCCGTCTTCGCAGCTCCCTCGTCAAGCGCCTAGTTGGAAGTTCTGTCAAGCATGGATCGATATTTGTCATCTCGGAGCCAACAGAGAACACAATGGGCCAATGGAGTCCCTCCTCATTGGGAGCGGGGATTGAACCACTGAATCCACCTCCGCAGCGGGTTGTGCCTTCCAAGCAACACTATTGGCCCTCGTATCCGTGCCTTTCTGCCCACCCAAACCGATACCCGCTTTGGGTGCGCCACCCATTCTTCGGAGCCACAGGTTCTTCGTAGATTTTGATGCCAAATCGTAGATTTCATCAACAAACTAGCTAATTATCAATAAAAAATAGCTCTCCTGCCTCTCTACCCTCTCTCTCGGCCTGAATTGCCCGATGAATACTCTCCTCCGATCTCTGTGTGGGCGCGTGGCCATAAAGCTTCTTGAACTGCTTAGCTAGCTACCGCTCCTCCTTCGCTTTTTCTTCTTCCTTCCTGGTTACAATTGACCGATTCGCATCGCGTGTGCGCAATATACCAGTCTGGCTAAGCGGTTTAACCTGCCGCTTAGTGTATTTGCGACGTACTGGCGTTTGTGCGGCTCTAATTCGCCGAATTGTATCGCGCGTCATCTCAAGCTCCTCGGTTATCTCCCGCTGGTGCGCCATTATCTTCGTGAGATTTCGCTGCATCTTCTCCGAGAGATCATCAAGATATTTGGTAATCTTCGTATGGTTCTTTTCTAGTGCTTCAATAGATTTTGGAGGGCTATTTTCAATACTAGAAGATGCGAGATTTGGTGGTGGTGATGGTGATGGTGTATGCGATCCCCATGAGCGAAGCTCCGGGGCGTAGAGATCAGGAACTACTAGCTGATTAGCAAGATTTTCAACAATCTTACTACCATCAACCGGCCAAATACCACGATCTTTGAAATATTCTCGAATAATTCGCTGGGTTAAGGTTTTCTTGCGAATTGGCCCGATAATCGCGAGGAAATCCGATTTCCCATACGGTTGGCCGCCCCAGAACGATAGATCGTGTCGGATTTGTACAGTATGCATAAATCCTGGTATATGCACGAATCGTTCGTGCACGGTCGGAGGTCAAAGGGTCGTACGATCTAGTGATCTACGATTGTGGAAGAGAGACTATCCACGATAGAGCGATGAATGGCAGTTTAGACAGAAAGGTTGAACAGTGGCAGTTCAACACAGTATAGTCAGGTAGGCCTAGAAACTCTAGTCATGAATATGAAAGATGTCAAACTTGTTCTATTTTACTAGGAAATCAGGCAGTATTTATAACATAAGGTACACGATAAAAGATCACAAGAGAAGTCGAAGAATACCTGAAATAATGGAAGGAAAATATGAGAGTGTTGGGGATTCTCGTTGCTTTTTTATCTGTTGTTGATGTTGATGTGCAAGCTTATGCATACGCGCCACATTGATAATCCGAGGGCTTATGCACACACACATGTTGATATGTTGACACTACCTTATTACTGCTTTAATCATTCTCGGTAACGGTATATCCGGGGAATTTTGTTAGAATCTGTCGGCATATGTGGCCTGTGGGCCCAGATTGCCATTTTGAATTCTGCCTGCTTACTAAGCAATCTTCCTGATCCTACCGCGGGGAAAACCATCTTGTTTACCCCTCTTTGATCTATCAATTTGATCCTCAACGATCTCGTCAATATTGCCTATCTAGGCTGGAGAATGCTCAACACTCCAAGATGACCTCTTGATTTCTCCATGTGATATTCGCTTTGTACCTCATGTTATAAATACTGCCTTATTTACTATCTAAATTGAACAAGTTTGACAAGAATCAATTAAGTTTGACATCTTTTTTATCTCAGGAAGAATTACCGGGCGTAGTAGACCATCCGAATCAACCTTCCACTGCTTGATTCTTCTGTCTGATCAGCCGATTGTGATCTATCCTGATTCGCCTCTCTTCCATAATCGTGGCCCTAAGATTAGTGCGCACGAACGATTTCTACTGCGGTTTTATGCACCAGACGCAATTCTAACAGAATCTACCGTAATCGGATTATTACCGTATATAATTATCTGTCAACTTATGTGGGATCTTCCCGCAGATGACTAAGCCGCCACAATCTTTTCCCCGGAAGAAACACCTTCATGTCCACCACATTGATTTATATTGATCCTCAACGATCTCGCATTGAACTGCCTATATTGGCCGGAGACTACTCAACACTCCAAGATAACCTCGGATATTCTTGATTTCTTCATGTGATATTTACCATGTACCTCGTGTTATAAATTCTGCCTGTTTTCCTAGCTAAATGGAACAAGTTTGACATCTCTTTTGATTCATGAGTAGATTTCTTTGGCATACCTGATCATACTCCCTTTTGATCTAATTAGACGACTCCTATTTCTCTCATGATAGTCTTTCTTCGCCTGCTTCGGACACACATACTCTTTTGTGTGCAATCGGATTTTATGACCACTGTCTAAATCCAACAATTATTCCGAATAATGTTTCTAAGACTCTGCAGTCGCCTACTCCGTATAGTTCTTGTAATATTAAAGAGAGCCTAATATAAGATATTTCTAAATCTAGTATATAGAAAAGGCCACAGTAGACAAATAATTAACTAACTAAACGTGTAGAGTTTCATTTAGCCTAGTCTTATATAATATATCCGTATTCGACCTGTTATAGTATATAGCAAATTCGGCTAGACGACTATTTATCTTGATCTTCTTTACCTGCTCGGTTGCCGTCGGTCAGTTGAAAAGGGGCTGCCTGTAGTTTAGCCTTTCATATTTAGAAAGTTTAGGTATAAGTTAACCTAGAGCTAGGAGGCCGATCGTAGCTCTAGAGGAACCCCTATAGAAAACTACCAAGTACGATACAGGGAGGCCGTAGATTTAGCGCACGTTACCCTAGTATATGTCTAAGTAACTTATATACCCACTAGCTATCTAGCGATTGTAGCTAACGTGTAACTATATTTATTAAATCGGCATTTGAAATTTTAGAACTTCTCGGTCGATAATTACAACTTAAATAGGATATCTTTATCCTTCGCTGTATCTATCAAAATTGAGATAATACCTGCCCGCTGTTGCTATTTCTTCGGACCGCAAGTATCTTGTCCTAGAGAAGGGAGAATTTTTATCTCTCTCTACGTAGTTAATTTTAACCGACTCTAGTAAGTAGTTCTTATGCTACAGTACAGGCGTATCAGCTCACATAGAGATAGATAGCTGATAAAGAGTCCGTCAACTGTCAACTAGGGTTAATTAGGTAGTTAATCTTTCACATTTGTGTGTGCCTACATATACCCCTAGCCTACCCAGTGATTGAACTACAAAAATGCGAATAACCTTGTTAAATAAGCGGCTAATGCGAACTAAATGAAGAATGATGGACTGAAATTGTCATTTACACAGCCTGTCAATTTGAACAGTCATCGTTGCTCCATGCGGATCATGCGTGAAGCCAATCCAGGTTATTAACCCTGGTGAATAAACCAAAATAGTCCACTAGAGATGTCTTGACTGCCTACACAAAATGCTCCTTGTCATATAAAGAACTAGGCAAATATACCGAAGCATCCGGTTTGCCTTAGACCAATGGATCAGGGAGCGGACGTCAACACGCAGCCTTGTCGGGAGGTCATGAGGAGGTTACCAGGCTGCCCTTAGACCAGGTAGTGGATCCCAACGCGACAGGCGACTACGGCAACGCTCTGTATGCTGCCTTGGAGAGAGGCCATCAAGACGTTGCCAAGCTGCATGAAATCCTGAGTGCTCATCGTCCTTGAAGACAGTTCGCGCCATTGGCTCTAAGGCTCATCCTACAAAAATTGTTTAAGACTTACCAGTCCTCAACCCATCTCAAGGTCCCAGGGTCCTCTGGGGACTGATACAGTTCGAAGAAGCGACACTCGGGCTCCGCAATTACGGTGTCGTAGACTGGCTTGAGATACTCAAAGAACTTGGGCAAATTGGCTGGGTCAATGTAGACTGTGACATGGAGACTGAATCCCGACTCAGATGCCATGGTGATTCAGGGTTACGAAAAGAATAGATTTGGAAGGTAAGTGAGCAAAGGTAGGCTGAGCTGCAAATGATGTTGACGAGGATGGAGGTCAAACATATATTGGCCAGGAAGCATAAGCCTCACGTAAGACGGCACTCGATTATAGTTATATGATTCTAATTTAAAGTGTACTAGTCTCCTAATCTAGCGCCGATAAACAAGTGTTTTCGCCTGCCTTATCCGTATGGACACGCAAGGCTGGGGCCAAGGCTGTGGGATTTCAAATCAAGGACTGGAACCTCGTCCTGCAAAAGAACTGAGTGATTAGATCGCTTGGACAGATAACGGACGATACGCCTCCTCCAATAGGGCAGCCTCTTCCCCTGTCAGTTGTATTTCCAGAGACTCGGTTGACGCCTCAATTCTCTGGATACTGTTCAATCCAACGATTGGACAGCACCCTTTTTGTAACAACCAGGCCATCGCAACCGAACTCATTGCACATCCTTTCTGGCAAGCCAATTCTTCTAAACGACTCACAATTATTTCATTCTGATTACTAACAAACCATCGTTTTGTCTTTTGGTCTTGATCTCCACGTGGTGACTTCTCCTGCCAAGGACGCGCCAATAGCCCCCGGGCCAACGGACTCCAAGGAATCAAACCAATTCCCTCTGCTTGACAAAACGGATTCATCTCCCTCTCTTCTTCACGATATAGTAGGTTATATAGACCTTGCATACTGACAAACGGCGTCCAGCCGTTCATCTTCGCGATATACTGCAATCGCGCAAACTCCCAACAGTGCATACTCGATCCTCCTAAATAGCGAACTTTGCCCATTTGTACCAGATCATGCAACGCTCGTATAATCTCTTCGGGTGGAGTTTCAGTGTCTAATCGATGCAGTTGCAAGACATCAATGTAGTCCGTGTTAAGTCTCCGCAAAGACCCTTCAACCGCGTCGAAGATGTGCTTCCGACTCAGACCCATCTGATTAACAAGTGGCCCTTCGTTGACAGCCGGATTTGGTCTTGCGTCTGGATCGTCTTCCAGCACTGGGTAGTAGACTTTTGTCATGATCACCACGCGGCTGCGTGGGATGCCATATCTTGTGAGCATTTTGCCCAGGATCCTCTCGGATTCTCCGTTGGAGTATGTGTTTGCGGTATCGAAGGTGTTGATTCCGATGTCATAGGCCTTTTTGAGTAGAGGAAGTGATTGCTCTTCGTCAAGTACCCATGGAGACCCTTCCCATTTGGGGTTGCCGTAAGTCATGCATCCGAGAATGATGCGGGAAACCTTGAGGCCGCTGTTTCCCAGGCGTTGGTATTGCATTTTGGGAGATATACGGGAATTTTGAGCATTCCGGCTGGCAGAGACAGTGGAAGGTTCCGAGGTCATGTTAGATTGATTTGTTGTTGAAGCAGGAATGATTGTTGTCTTTAAAACAGCTGGCTTTTACTTGTTCGGCCGCTTGTCGCCGAGGGACTCGGAGAACTCTCCGTCTCTGGTGCGAGGATCAGATTTAGGATATTCCTGTCCGAATCGGTCCGCTCTTACTATTAAAAAGTTTCTATACGCTAACAGAACATAATAAAGTGGCTGCATTATACATTCAAATTCAGTGCTAAGCTAAGTGACACCATTCGACATCATTCCCGGAAAAGTAAACTCTCCAAAGTCAGCCAGTAAGATGTCATCTCCCAGATTACCGAATGACTCTCCGGTAAAAGAAAAGGACCCGGGTGGTGGATGCATTGACTCTTGCACATTATGCGCTGGGTAGTCCATCGGGACTACTGCCACTGCTAAGGAGGTGATTATATCCTCGCCACTCCGTTGTAGCGAAGCTATACATTCATGCAACTTGCGAGTCAAACCTGGCGTCATGCGACAGATCGGATGCTGCTGGATACTTGGAGTCTCTTGAAATAACCCCAAAACCTTTCCAATCAATTCAAAATTTTGACTCGGGTCAATCGAGAGCGGAGCATGGTAGTTCTTGGTGACTTCTAGCAAAAAATAGCCCGCAAATGCGATCATGATATGAAAGTAATGAGGCATTCCGACCAAACTACGTCGAAGCTGTTCTTGGTGTAGTATCATTTCGAAAATAGCAACAGCGGCATCGTGTGCCATGTTTGCCGCAGTCAAGAAATGAGGCGGTATGTCATCGCCGTTCAACCCTTTGAAGACTTGGTGCCCAAGGTAAAGCTTCCCAAAGTGGTAGTGTAATTGTAGGCCACACTTGGGGAAATCACCAATACTTGGATCTGGCTTGAATATTGAAAAGAATTTGGCGAACCATCGATCAAGTTGGCGGGAGTAATGAGTGATTTGGTTTGATAATGATTGTGGTAAGCGAGCTTCTTTGTCAGAGCCCAGCAATTCACGAACCTGGCTCATGATGACCAAGAGGGCAACTTGTGATATGAGTCGTATATCAGAGTCCGTTGTGTCGTCCCGAGCCAAAAATGTTTCCCAGCTGATAGCAATCTCTTTATCATTGCGCAAAAGCGGATCTCGATTGTGGAGAATGGAGAGGTGCTGATCTGAGATGAAGATCAAATACCAGAGCCTGACACGGTCTTTCATTGCCCCGACCTCGATCGGTGTTGATAGTGTGGGAGCACCCCCGGGCAGTAACCTTGGGTCCATGGGAGTGGTAAGATGATAGAAACTGCGATGCAAGCGCATATCAGCTGCGCGGCGGATGGCATCACTGGACAGTATCCTAGATGCATCCGAAAGCCAGAAGGAGCTGATACATAAGGCTCGGACATACTCCAGGTCATGCTTCTCAAATAGAGATCGAGAAACAAGGCGCCTCAATTCACGATTGCACGCTTCATACAGCGATTGACCATTTGGATCCTGTAATGCAGCTACAGTGCACACTGCAGCGAACATTACAGCCGATGTACTTCGAAATTGCGCAAGGCTTTGATAACCACAGCATATCCCATATAGATAGGGATCTAGATGCGTCAAGTATCGTTCGACAAGCTCTTGTGCCACCGCTGAGGTGATAACACCTTTATTAATGAGATCCTGAGGTACTACATGCTGTCTTGGACGGGTTGTGCTGGGAGGTGTGTTGTCTGACAATCCAGGACTACCCAATTTGGCAATATCTAGGAAAGTGTCGATTGGAGCTTGAACAGCAGAGGGTGTGTCGGGTGGCGATATTTCACAGCCATCTAGGTCTTCCTGATCCCGCTCCAACACCTCTTGATGATCAGTGTTTCCATCGCCTTGGGAGGGTTCCCCAGTAGTCAGGAGTGGCTTTGGCCTCGGTAGGCTGAGATGTTGACAGATATTATCAAGAACTTCATGTAGGCCTTGAACGTCGTTCTGTAGAAGCTCCGTGTTTCTTTGTACGTCAATAATCCGCTCCTAAATTGACTCTAAACTGCTTGAGTAGAACTCACTTTACCTCCTCCACAAGAGACTGCAAACTCTTATTCAATACACACGACAACCCTCGCCGACGACATCGTGTACAAGGTGGACCATCAGTCATATCACATTTGATCTTTATAGGTGAGAATAAATCCAATCAGAGGGGACAAAATCCCATTACACACCTTCTGTTTCCTACATGCTCCACACGCAGTGATCTTTCGGGTAATCCCCGGCAGAACATCCAACACGCTTTGGTCCTTGGAATCATCATGATCAGCTCCTCGAGAGCTCGACTCCGGTAAAGTTCCCGATGCCTCGTCGGTCCAGGTCCGCTTTCGTTTGCTCATGACTAGAATGATGAGGAGTTTGAAAACGGTCACCAGGACGAGAGCTCACCGGTGAGTACCCCGAGGGAGTTTATCTACTTGCGGGAGGGGGAAAATCACAAACCAGGCCTGACGAAATGCGACTCTCCTATTTGTTGAGACTGGGTTTGCTTTGAGCATGGCATCCACTTGCGCAGAAGAGGAATGGATCAGCCCATTCCCCGGAAGCTTCTCCACATCATCCACGAGGCCTATTATCTCACTACATATTCCCCCGCATCGGTGGAAAAGACTCCGGGGCGGAAATCTCGGTGACTCTCCGAAGTGGCTTGAAAAGCGCCCGTTCAATTTTCAGCTAGCAGAGTATAAGGTAGAGGGGTAATAGGCGACCGCGTTGGGAGATGATCTAACAAAGAATTCAAGAAGACATTTCTAAAAGAATTAAACCATGACATCAAACATTGCGGCCAAATCCAAGCCTATCCCGCCGGGGATATATTGTCCCGTCATCTCACTATACAAACCGACCCCACGTCAAGAAATCGACTACGATGCATCATACAAATTCTTCTCGCATTTAATCCGCAGCGGTATTGATGGGCTTGTGTTGGCCGGTACCACGGCAGAGGCTGTTCTCCTCTCAGCCGAGGAACGAAAGGAACTTGTCGAGGTCGCGCGAAAAGCTGCATTTGACTCTGGTCGCCCGGATTTCCCTGTTGTTGCGGGGATCAGTGGACAATCAACAGTGGAGTCAATTCGACTGGCCGAGGATGCCCTGAGCGTAGGGGCAGATTTTGGACTGCTACTCCCACCTAGCTACTGGGCCAAGGCTGTTACGAAGGAAGCCATTCTCGGCTTCTATCATGATGTTGCTGATGCAACTGTTCTCCCAATCGTTATTTATAGCGTAAGTACACCTTGGTTTACAAGAGAATTGAGGCTAACATGACGAAGTTTCCGGCGATGTGCAACGGAATAGACCTGAACTCTGATACCCTGTCCGAACTCGCGCAGCATCCCAACATCGTCGGCGTTAAGCTCACCTGTGGCAATGCAGGCAAGGTCACCAGGCTTACACAAGAATATACGCATGGACAGTTTGGAGTTTTTGCCGGTTCTTCAGACTGGTTGCTCCCTTGTCTTGCCGGCAGCGGAGGCGGATGTGTGACTGGTATTGCAAATGTCTTCCCTAAATGCGTGGCCAGACTATATGCGCTCTGGAAAGAGGACAAAATAAAAGAAGCGAAAGAGCTGCAAGGACTTGTCGCCCAAGCAGAAAAGGCATGCAAAGAAGGGATTGCCCCTACGAAATATGCGACCGGCCACTTTGCTGGCCCAAGTGCTGGCGTGACTGAGCCAAAAGCTTTTTGGCCCCGGAAGCCATATCTCCCTTGTGACCCTCAGAAAGCAGTCTGGGTGGAGAATGTTATGCAGCACTTGGTCAAGCTGGAGCAGAGCCTCCCCGATGTTATTTAGAGAAGTATGTCCGATATTATGGATAGAAACCATACTAGAGCTCTAGACTACGATGCGGAAATTGGCTAGATCCACTTACTGTGTCGTAATGGTGTTTATCTGGCTTCCCAATCGACTTCTGTAAAGCGTTATGTTAAAAATATATTCTTAGATTCTAATTGAACTCTATGAGTGGAAAAAGCTCTGCTTAATATTAGCGCTCTAAAACGCGGTGCCTTTGTGTTCTTGATGCATAGCTCTCTGGTGAATATTAAGTGTTACCATTCCCAGGAACCTCCTTGAAAAAGTAGGATATCGTGTAATGTATGGAATACATGTTGGTCTAATTGAAAAAGTCTTCTCCGAGGCGAACGTACTTGATCCGCTGCCTCCAGAAGGTAAACGCGATGTGAATCGACCCGTCGCTCTGAATGGTGATACTGGGGTATGAAAGCTCCCGATTCAGCTTCTGTTCGCTGTTATTTGTCAAACAATAACCATCTCCTTCTTCCAAGGTCTTCCACTTCCAAGAAGAGCCATCATCATCGCTCCAAGCAACACAAAGTGGTGCCCTTGGTGCACCCCAAAAAGCCTCCTTTCCATGCTTGCTCTCCTGATTGGTTCTTGTATCGCTATCGTCACTGATGTCATCGTAAAGACCATCCCGCCGACCGACGGCGTCTTTCTTCGAACAATGGTTATAGACGAGAACGACTCTTCCGAAAGGTAGAACATCGAAGCAAATTCCCGCGTTAGGGTTTGGTAAAATCGTTGCCTTGGGCTCACTCCAGTCAAGGCCATCGGAGGATGTTGACATGTACACGTTATCGGCCCAACGACTTCTGTAGAGAGCCAGATAGGTGCCATTGCTGAGCTCTCGAATGTTCATGTGGACGCACCCATAGCTATTGGGTACTTCTCTCTCTGACCAAGTGCGTCCTTCATCCTTGGATACACGAACGCACGATATGTCATCGCTTCCTAGCCATCGCTCACCTGGCTCTGCACGACATTTGAAGATTGGAACAACCCATGTTCCATCTCTGAGGACCTGAATAGGCTGCCTGATGAATGTACCTCGTTCTTCAAAGAGTACTGTAGGATCCGACCAACTTTTCCCACCGTCAATGGAAGCCACTTGCTTCACAATCGCAGAATCCTGGTTTCCCGCATCTTGCGATGTGTATAGGAGCCGGATTTCTCCCGTAGAGGGAACTCGGAAGAGGACGGGATTTTGTTCGCTTCGAGTGTGATCATGAGACATTTTCACCGCATCTTCCCAGTTATTTGAATGGGCTGGAAGACGAGACATGTAAATGCAAATATCGGGTCTGCCCTCAATGCTGCCTCCGAACCAAGCGCAGAGGAGATCGCCATTGGGAAGGAGAAGAAGATTCGACGCATGGCACTGCGTTGTGTGAGCCGGAATAAATGCCTCGGTGAAATTGTATATCTCGCGCCTTCGAAATTGGAGGCTGGCTCGAAACTCGGGGGCCGCAGTGATTGTCGTGGTGGCCATGGTGACAATCAGTGATGTAGGTAGCTTTTGAGGTAATTGAGGACTCGCAGACTTCATGACCTCATTTTAAGATTAGTTTATCATATCACTAAGCTCGTAACTTGCTAGTCAGTACTGGCATGGTCTTCAAAGATGTCGGGTTGGTGTCCGGCAGTCACCTAGTCATGCCAGACGCCGGAGAGAAATCCGACCCTAGACCAGCCCGCGTTGCCCTCCTTCTCCACCTCCCCACTTCCCCATGGGGCTTGCAGATAAATGCTTAGGCATGGGGACTGTAGAATTTGGCATGGGCTATCAAGGCATGATCACTCGACAAAACTCAGTTGTCTTTCTGGCAAGATTTATATTCTGGCTGCAACCTCTTGAACTTCCAAGTGCCTCTTGGATTGGCTTACATCTTCAGTGTCCTGAGAACCAGATATTTCCCAAGCGTGCTTGCAACTTAACTCAGAAAAGAGCTCTATAACATGGCTGGGGGAACAAGCATCTGGGTTAGCAGTGAAGCAAAGACAGATCCAAAGGCAATCTTCAACCTCCGCCTCCTCTACCTCTTGGTTGCCGTCTCCTGGGCCGGCTCCTTTTATGGATTTGATACAGGGAACATCGGCGGGATTCTCACTCTGCCATCTTTTAAGAATGCATTTGGAATGAGTGGAGTGACTCAGTCTGAGTTGGATAATAGAAAGGTAGGTTAGGAGATTCTTTCCCATAACATTGTCATTGAAAATATTGACTCAAACAATCTAGGGAACAATTGCAAGTATGCTCGCAGCAGGTGGATCTACCGGCTCCTTGCTTGCAGCACCAACATCTGACCACTTTGGTCGAAAATGGTCGGTCTTTGGCTGGGGTCTGGTGTTCTTAGTTGGAGCGCTGATGCAGATGATCGCCAACCATGAGGTCCTCCTCGGCGGGCGCTTCATCGCGGGTATGGGTGTTGGTGCATCATCGATGCTTACCCCTCAGTTCCTAGCGGAAAATTCCCCAAAGTCCGTCAGAGGATCCATGACCGCCACCTATAATCTAATGATTGTCACATCTCTGATGCTGGCATTCTGGGTGAATTATGGTGTCTCAAAGTGGTCTTTCCCTGGCGTGGAGCACGACAATGCCCAGTGGCGCTCCGCAATGGGCATTCAGTTGATTCCCGGTGCCCTCTTGTGCTTAATGATTCCATTTGTGCCAGAGACTCCACGTTGGTTGATCAACCACGGCAAAACCGAGAAGGGACTTGAAAATATTTGCAGATTGCGGAAGCTTCCCGCAGATCACATCTATGTGCAAACTGAATATCGTGAGATTGAGGCACAGGTAATTCACGAGCAGGAATGCTTTGCTGGGCATAGCTACTGGGTTGTCATGAAAGATATTTTCACGTCAAGAAATAACTTCCAGCGCTTCTTCCTGTCTGTGATGCTGTTCCTGTTTCACAAGTTTACCGGAACAGACTCGCTGAATGTGAGTTCCAAATCCCACTTCCGGTAATTCACCATCCGGAATTATCACTAACACTATATACAGTACTATGCACCAGAAATCTTTGTCTTAATCGGAGTAAAGGGCAGTTCCTCTAGCTTGCTCACTACGGGTATCTATGGTGTTGTAAAGACAGTTACCACAATCATCTATGTGGGTTACCTGGTTGACCGAGTTGGACGTCGTATTCCACTCCTTATCGGAGCTACATTGCAAGCAACTGCAATGCTTTATCTGGCACTCTATCTACGGTTTGCCGGAACGAATACGGAAACAGTAGGAGGAACTCCTGCAGGAGGGATTGTTGGTATCATTTGGATTTATATTTATGCCTTCGGCTGGTCATTTGGCCATTCTGTCGCTTGCTACGTGGTCGCTGCAGAGATTTTCCCAACGAGAATTGTAAGGGCAATCCTCCGTAAACCAGAGATCTACGCTAACCCTATCAGCGATCCTTCTGTATGGCGATCTGCTTTTTCATTAATTGGATAGTGGACTACGGTATTACTCGAGCAACGCCGAACATGATCACCGAGATGGGTTGGGGTGTGTTCCTGCTTTATGCCATGCTGACCTATTTGGGCGTTATTTTCATCTTCTTCTGTTTGCCTGAGATGAAAGGTCGGTCAATTGAGAGTATGGATAATTTGTTTGAGCGACCGCTATGGACGATGTGGCGACATGCTTACCCTACCGAGGAAGAGAAAACCCGGTCTGATGTGCGAGAAGAAATCATGGCGGGAAAATTGAATGATCAGGAGGACGATGGAAAGAGAGACCGCGTGGAGCATGTTGAGTCGGTGTGATTAGATATGGCATCAGAAACGCTCTCTAGTGCCATTCTCAAGGTTCAATCCATAATTTTTCCGCTGCTCAAACATTTGTACAATGATATTAAGTTTCGGAGAGGAGTAACGGAGCGAGTCCGATGCATAATGAGGGGCAAAGGTCTCAGGACTTCTTACGGCTTTCTCTCCGACGAAGAAATTCAATAAAACAGATTCGTCCAATTGAGTAGCGGGGTCAATATCGGCTAAGAGCTCCATGGTATGACTTTAAAGAACTCGAATTCTTGAATTGGGGCCTAAAGAATAACTTTTTGAGGTACATGCACAATGGCCACGAATATTCAAACTAAGAGCTTTGTCCTAAACACTGGGGCAAAAATCCCCGCAATCGGCTTTGGGACCTGGAAGGCTGGGCCCGGCGAGGCAGCAGCAGCAGTTCAGGCTGCGTTTGAAGCAGGCTACAGGCACTTTGTACGATGGCCCCCAAGAAATTCGGCACTAGTTGAATATACTGACTTTCCGATTCTTCGTTAGGATTGCGCTCCTCTATGTCGGTCCCACCAAGAAAAGTTGACATTGGCGATAGGCTAATGAAGATTATCAGATGGAAATGAAGCAGAAATAGGTCAGATATTCAAGACGACCGATGTACCACGCAGCGATTATTTTGTAACTACCAAGCTGTATGCGCAAATACCCCGTTGCCCTATTCAAGGCTAACATATTGATTTCGAGAATAGCTGGTCCTCCGATCACCACCGCATTCAGTCTGCGCTCCAGAAATCTCTCAACGATCTGGGCCTCGAGTATGTGGATCTCTATCTTATGCACTGGCCGGTCACATTACCTACCTCAACCCCCGAAGCATACGGAAGAGAGGATCGCACCGTCCACGACCCGGACTGGGACTTTACTGATACGTGGAGTGAGATGGAGAAGCTGCCTGGGACAGGAAAAGTAAAGGCCATTGGAGTAGCCAATTTCTCAACAGTAAATTTGAGAAAATTACTGGAGAGTTGCAAAGTTGTCCCTGCTGTGAACCAGACAGAAATTCAGCCATTGCTTCCTCAGAAGAAGCTTAATGCGCTGTGTATACAACACGGGATTCATCAAACCGCATTTGGTCCTCTGGGCGGCAGTGGAAGTACACTTCACGAGAATCCAGTTATCACTTCCATCGCCGAGAAGAGAAGATGCAGTTCTGGTAATGTGTTGCTTAGCTGGGGCGTGAGGAAAGGTTGGAGCCTGATCCCGAAGAGCACGAACCCAGCGAGAGTTGCCTCCAATCTACAGAAATGCTTCGATATGGCTGACGAAGAGACCGCGCAAATTGACAATTTGGTCACAACACTTGGAGGAAAGCGATTCAATCGTCCAAACTGGGGGACAACTATCTTCCATGACGATGAAGAGGCGAACGTGCAATAGTTCTTATGCCCCGCATGGCAAGACCCGCCCACACTTGCATCTGCATTCAAGTCTTTATTGACTGTCCGAAGCTAGGTTGGACCTCACTTTTGTGGAGCTTGATTGTAAGCTGAGTAAAGCTAGGAAGCAGGTTGCCGTCCTTCTCGAGATGTATGTCTCTTCACAGTGGCCGATAGAATATATTAGGGGACGAGGACTTCATTTCGAGTATACGATAGATCAGACATTTATTCAAGCTCAACATTGTTTTCCTGCAGCTCAGATAGAAAAGCCTTACCTAGCTCGATAAGTTGATCAGTTCTGAAAGTAGTAGCATGAATTGCATCAATCCAGATCCTCTATTGATCAATTCGTGACCTACTTTGGAATGTTGCACGACTGTGAGCGGGTAAGTTACCAGATGCAGCTCGGCCCGCTGGTGATTATAAAAGAAGCCATTCTACGCTGACAAATTGTCAACTAATGTCAAGGAACATTGGCTTTTTGATCCAAATTCCCGAGGCATATAAGTGAAATAAACACCAGGCTTTAGACTTGTATGCTTTCGCATATGCGCCTTCCTCTAGATGTCGCACAACATTCTTATCACCGGCGCTTCCGGGTATTTGGGTGGAACCATTCTTGCCAGTTAGGAAAGAGCCGAGCTTTCTCTCTATCAAACGCTCTACGCTCTCGTTCGCACCAAAGAGCAAGGTTAATAATATAGTTATACTAGTCTTAATGGTTAATAAGTGGCTTACTTTCGACCTCTTTGGCAAGGTTTCGTCGTAAGTAATGTATTATCGGATGCTTACTGTACCCGGCTGCGTTAAATATTTAGTGCTGGTAGGCAGAGAAATCTTTGCTCGTGAGAGGAATATCCTAAAGCCCGCTAGCTATTATATTCATAAAGATTAGCTTTTTTATAAACCTTTCTTTCTATCGCAGTAGAATTTCTCTATTAGATAGATTATATTTTGCTAAATCCTCTATAGTCTCAATTCCAAAGAGAGCACTACTTCCTAATGTAAGGCCAAGGAGAAGGTCACTAGAGGCAAATTGTGGCCGCTTACTATCCCTGATTCCGATCCTAAACCTAGGTAAAGTTAGTGTCAACATATCAACATGTGTATGTGCATAAGCCCTCGGATTAACAATGTGGAGTGCATGCATAAGCCTGCAGATCAATTATTGATGTTGATCATCAATATCAACATCAGATAAAAAAGCAACGAGAATCCCTAACACTCTCGTATTTTCCTTCTATTATTTCGGGTATCCTTCGACTTCTCTTGTGATCTTTTATCGTGTACCTTATGTTATAAATACTGCCTAATTTCCTAGAAAAATAGAACAAGTCTGACATTTTTCATATTCCCGAGTAGAGACTCGAGGCCCACCTGACCATATTGCGTTGACCTGCCACTGTTCAACCTTTATGTCTAATACTGCCGACCCCCTTCTATCGTGTCTTAGTCACTCTTCCACAATCGTAGATCTATGATTAGATCGTACGACCCTTTGACCCCGACCGTGTACGAACGATTCGTGCATACCTAAGGATTTATGACGACTATCTAAATCCGACAGTTAGTATATGTGATACGAAGTAAAGATTCGGAGTTTATATACTATATAATCGGTATCTCGGTTGTTCTTAAGCTACTACTGATTTACTTTCCATCTAATTTCCTAGGGAGCTATCGATGATAGGAAAAGAACTAATTCAATATACTAAGATTAGGAATTAGAATGCGATATTCTTTTGATATTTTTGTGAACTACTTCGTATCGAAGACCTCTTTCGTGCTTATTCTTATCGGAAGGCATAAATGATCTAACCCGTGCTCCTGTAAAGAGATACAGTTGAAGTGTAAATAGTATAAGAGCTTTAAGCCTTCTAGGCATAAACCTCTTATAATCAACCCGCTATATCGAGGAGATAATATTCAAAAAATCCTCCCTTGTGAAGTTGTATTTCTGTTTTTTCTTATTTACTACTTTTCCGTCTTTAGTTAACGTATTTTTTTATCTACTATATCCCAAAGAGAATGTTAGTATTACTGCAAATAGTGAGACAATAGCAAGGACTCACGCTGTATATTTCTTTCCTATCTATTTTAGTAACATCTGTACCGGTAGTCTCTTTAAACCTACCGAAGAGTCGCTCCGCGTACGCCTTTGCTGTTCTTACTATTAGCTTCCTACTTTTTGCAGAGTCGGCTATAGGTAGAATTTGTATACTAGCGAATAAACCCTTTTACTATTTTATAGCTTAGAGGTAAGCAACCTGGTATAGTTTTATAGTCTTCAAATCCGTTTTCAGGGTCACCTGTGAAGCTAAGAAATCAGCTTTGCTATTAATAAATCTTTTCTGTTCTGAATTTTTAAACCTACTCAAGCCATAGATTTAAAGTTTGTTAGTGTAATTTTTTGGTCCTTGGAAATTTTCTGTCTTTGTTTCGAATAGCGTCTTCCTTCTTGTAGGCTCTAGGGATATAGCCGTTCCTCTGCCGTAAGAGACGACGCCTTTCTTTAGCCTTCTTATCACGCTTAGAGAAAAAAGCTTTTCGACCCATAATCGTATATTGATCGTGAGCTCAAAGGGGAAGAGGCTGACTCAGAGGAGTAGTTGATTGTGATACAAGTAATGAAATGTATGTTGCTTTTAATAGGGCTGTAGAGGGGACAAAGTCTCCTTTAATATTTTGGGTCACAGGACGCATAACAGTGTAAAGGCCTCTTTAAACTGCATAATCTTGAACAGGACGGGCTACCTCACTTCTGTCGTTTGGGCCAGTTTTGATTAGATGGAGGCCTCTAGAATGGAAGGGCGCTAGGTATCACAGAATAGATGACCCTGTGGGGCATGTCCTTCTTGGGTATAGTCTGACTTGGGCTGTAAGAAAAGAATTACCGCTCGCTGAGTGGAGTTAGTTAATGAGTCCTGGTGAGTAAGCAGTGGCTGAGTGATCACTGAGCCATCACCTCACTGATCCACCACCAAACGATTACTGAGCACGGCTGATTGGTCACTGAGCGATCACATGACTGCACTGATCAGATCACTGAGCGTGAGCGCGTGCTGACATTTACTCACTGACCCTGAGCCTGATCGCCCTCATTAAAGCGGCGGCAGCCCAGACAGGAAATCTCCACCCGGCGGACAAAATCCGGTGTATATAGGTGCATATAGTCTAATTGTCTCTGTCATGGCCGCTGCCAATTTCTCTGTATACGTTTTCACTGGGGCGGAAATCCACTGGCGCCAAGCCAAATCCTTTACGAACGATACGGCTGCCATACGAACTCTCCTCACAGGACTGACCGGATTTTTGATTGGAGAGGGACTGCTGTCGATGGTTGCAGTTATATCTGCACGGCCTGTACATAAGCTCACCGGTCGTATTTTACATGTCCTGGTATGGCCATTTCAGTGGTTGTTCCCTCGTGTGCGACCGTACGTCGTGCGACCGTTGGAACGACTACGAAACCGATCCCAACCATCCACCCTCCCCGACCCGGAAATATACGAGCGCATCGCATTGCAGGATGATTATTTCAATGATTCAAGCGATGATGACGAGTCGGATTTCTTAATTGATGCCGCTGCTGGCAGTGGCTCCCAGAAACAGACCCGAATTACGGAGAGAGCTCTACCTCGAGCACTCATGCTGCTCGCGTTTTGTCTATTCGTGGTACTTCGGCTATGCCGGCCCTCGGACCCCATGTACTGGTTCCTTTCGGGTACATTGCCTATGGCATCCTTGTTCGAAGGTGGCCATGGCGATTCGCCTATTGAAATCGGGGGAATACCTCGTCAATATGACTACCTGGCTATGGCGTCGTCTTTGCAACCGCCGCAATCATTCGGATGGATGCCGAATGATCCTGTCCAAGGCTTTGAGGATTGGGACAGGTCAGACCCATATGCCCTTCATTATAATGCTGATATGGCTCCGCTTCATATTTCTAATCTTGACCACCCCGTTCTTGAGCCCATCCGAAAGGCGTTAGCTGAAGGCAGTGTCAAAATCAAACACGTGGTTTTGATCAAGCTCGAGAGTGCGAGGGCGGATATCTTCCCTCTACGGAAGGATTCGTTTATGTTCGAACGCATTGCGGATTCTTGGAAGGATAGGGTCATTCCCGACGATGTCTTGCAGCGGATCGCAAACTTGACCCCAACTGCCGAGTATCTCACAGGCACCCGGACAGGGTTCAACTCTAGTGATAACGAAGATACCGGAAGCAAGTCCTACGGTGGTCTCACAGCAAAGAGCGCCTATACGACCGCCACCTACACGCTTAAAAGCTTGACGGGCACCCTCTGTGGCGTGACACCGTTAGTGGCCGATTTCAATCGCGAGTGGGAACATCACATTTACCAACCCTGCTTGCCTCACGTATTCGAAATGCTCACTCAGCAGCCCGGTATCAGCAACGAGACCGAAGACTTTACCAAGTGGCCATGGCATTCGATGTGGATGCAATCTGTCACTGAAGGATATAATAATCAGGACAAATTGACTCCGATGCTGGGATTCAAGGACAAGAAGACCAAGGAGATCATCGAGGGCCCCGATGCCAAGTATCCACCGAAAGGTGAGGAAGTGAACTATTATGGCTATGCCGATACCGAGCTGGAGGACTATATACGCGATGCTATTGACGATGCGGAGCGCGATCACGAACGTCTCTTCTTAACGCATTTGACGGGAACTACGCACCATCCCTGGGGACTGCCAGGAGATGTATATGACCAGATTCTTGGCTCCTTGACGGGGCAGAATGAGGATCTAAATCGGTATCTGAACACCGTCACTTTTGTGGATAACTGGCTTGCGACCATCTTGGGAATCCTCCAGGAGAAAGGTGTGGCTAACGAGACCCTTGTGGTGATGGCTGGGGATCAGTAAGTGAATACAGAGACGCTTTTGGATGTTAAACCGAAACGGGACCTTTTTACTGATGGTTCCTCCAGTGGCCTGTCTCTTCCAAATGACGGCGGCATCACTCCCTACGACAACCCGCACGTCGGCAACTTTCACGTTCCCATCGTCTTCGCCCACCCACATCTACCACCAGTCGAGATTACTACTCCAGTAATCAGCAACCAGATTGTCCCCAGCATCATCGATCTACTACTCGAGTCCTCATCCCTCAGCGAGGCCACCGCACCAGTCGCCCGCGACATCCGCTCCCTTTACGAAGGCCAATCCCTCATCCGAACATTAATCCAAGAGAAAGACGGCCGACAAGACTGGCAGTTCACCGTGATGAATACCGGTGGCTCTTGGCTTAGCGTCCGCTCCGCCGCCAAGCCACAATTCCGTCTGGTCATCCCGCTGGTGACGGACGTCGAGTGGAGGTTCTCGGACTTGGACAAAGACCCCAATGAGGATCAGCCAATCTCTCGATTTAGCTTGTTGGACTTGGCTGAGACGATTGGGAAGAAATATGACCCAGAGGTTCTCAGTTGGCTTTGGGATGCGGCTTACGTTGCTAATTGGTGGGTCGCTGAGAATTGGCATCGCTACTGATATGAGCCTGGCACGTAGCGGAAGCAAAAGATTTGCTTGCAGACTGCATCACCAAGGGGACGGTGTTGCATCGAGCCCAGAGAGCACTAGGTGAAGGCTTCCCACGCCGTCCAGCATCGCCATCTTTCCACCGGCTCCCTCCAAAGGATTTAGTCCTCGACATCGTCATCGTTGAACCGCGGATCCACTCATGGAGCATCATGCCCTTCGAACAAGAACAGACGGGATGTGCCGGCACGAGAGACAACCTGTCATTCAGGGAACTGGTAAAGTCTTGAGCTGTGCAAGACCTTAGCCAACACAACCAGCACGGGTATCTGAACAGGCCTGAGAAGGTTCAGACAAGGTCTACACTGCACCCACATCTGTCACAATATTGAGACCTTGGCTTTCCCCGTCAGCATTTCAGCCACCTTTGGCTCTTTTCATCACTCCGCGACATAACGGTTGCTCAGGAGTTGGAAACCCTTCACGTCGACTTCTGTGCTGATTAGTAGAAAAGGAACATCGCATTTGATATCCTTTTAGGATAGGGACATAGTTATTGTACATAATCTAAGAATTACATGTATGACAGTGATAGAAACCTCTAAATTCCTTCCGAAAATCACGATGGTAACTTGACTGAGTTCATATCAATACGATCCAAAGAAAACATCTCCCGTGGTCCACTCGAAGGGCAGTAAGTGTACTAGCCCGGAAAACGTGAAAACATTGATCAAGTTAGAAAGGCCGTGCTCTCTAATAGTCAGCAACGGCACCGAGTTGATCAATCCACTGGTTGGAGGTGACAACATCGGTCTTGCGGTTGAAGACCTTATCCATCAAGACGTTGTGAACCTCTTCGTCACGGTCCATGCAGAGGTCACGCAGGAGGGTGATCTTGTAGTCGAGGTCGGAGGCTTGGCGGACGGTAGACAGGACGGCGCCGCTGGTAGCAATACCAGTGATGACGAGATGATCAGTATTAGAGCATCGAAGGATCATCTCAAGATCGGTGCCGAAAAAAGCAGAGACCCGGCGTTTGGTGATGACAACCTCGTCCTGATCGGGGGTCACGGCGGGGGCGATCTCAACGCTGGAGGTGCCTTCCAGGAACATGCCGGCGGCGGCGACACTGGCAACGGAGCGGTTGTAAGGATGAGACTCGGGGTAGCCGGGACGGAAGGCGGTGATAACGTGGATGACGTTGATGTTGTTCTGGCGGGCTGCATCAACGGTCTCGCTCAGGCGTTGCAGGTAGGCTTCGGTCTCGCCCAGCATGTCGAGCACACCTCGCTGGATGTCGAGGATGAGCAGGGTGGTGGTGCCCATGGCGGCTACGAGCGAAGATGTAGAGTGCAGTATTGATGAATGACTTGAGAGGGTTAAGAAATGGGGGGTTCTGACGAGTGGGATATTGGATGGGAAGGTTGTCAAGAGGAAAGAAAGGAAGAAAGTAATTGGAGATGATGATAGTGACGGCCGGTTCCGCGTTTCTGCTTGATGCGGTCATGCCGGTACCGGGATTCTACCTGACAATCGCTTTGTCGTCATTATTTACAAGACAAACAAACAAACCGTGCTAGGAAGAATTGAATCTAGTCTAAACAACTCGGATCATACAATCTCCCCGAGAAATCAATCTTGTCGAACATCTTCGAGGCACGCCCTCCAGATATCTACAAGCTACTCGACATGAAACTACACGAGTGTCCTGACTGCCCAGGAATACCCATCGATCGAACACGGGGTAAAGCAGATCTCCCATTGTGATACAAACTTTGTACTAGTTTCCACTGCACCGTACATTAGCACACTAATTCATCCCCAGAAGGAAAATTGACACGGCTTCCGAGAGCAAGCAAGCTCTGAGTAGGCCTCCGGTAAACCCGAGAGCCGAAAACAATCACTGTCTCGTAATACTTGTAGCTCCAGCCTGCCACTACAATCTTGGATTTGCCCAAGGGTTATGTTTCTTCCAGTGCTTGGTCGTTTGTTTGGCAGGCGAGTCTTCCGGACAAGAACTGCGGCTGGGTGGCTTAGAGCTAGTCTTCGATTTTTGCAAATGCTCTTCTTTCAGTCGTTTCAGAGACTCCTCTCGGTCCCTCAGTCTCTGTTCCTCTTTGAGTCGCCTCTGTTGTTCAGCCATTCTTTCTTGGTCCAACTTTCTCTCTTCCTGTAAGAAGCGTGCTTTTTCTTCTTCTTCTTTTCGCTGTCGCTCCACCTCCTTGCGCGCTTTCCTCCGCTTCTCCTTCTCTCGTGGTTTCTCGTTTCTCTTTTGACGTTGAGAATAATCTCGCTCGCGTACCTTGACCGACGATGGGTGGACAAGGGATACTTTATTAAGCTATCTGAGACTAGGAGAGGAAGGAAAGTGATCTGAGAGCTTCAGATCGAATCGGGAAGAAGTGGAATAGGGGATGAAAAAAAGAAGATTGGGAGCGGGGCAAGAGAGGGAAAGGTGAAGGACGGAGAGTAAGGGAGAGAGGATATTACCAACCAGTGGGGGAACCGCCCAAGTTGGAAGATAAGGCGCGAGAGAAAAGATGAGGGTGAAGTCTTGTCTGGACCGCCTGGATGATAAACAATAGAATTCCTGGGTAGATCCGAGAAAGAACTGACAACACTTGTCTATAGACGCTCGTACAGCCACAATAGAGGTCTCTCTCCGGCAGTGGTCTGAGCATGCTGGAGGCTTGATAAGTTATCCATTCAATATTGATATTTTCCAGAGCCTTGAACTAATTGGTGTTCTCTATTCCAATCATAAGCTGTTCTTATTTTATGCAGTGTCTTATCTCCACGACCCAGAGGTCTTCAACCCAATGAAAAGGCAAGTGATACACGAGGAAGAAGAGAAATGAGATTCTAGATTCTGAAACGAAAGGAGGATGAGAACATCATCGGTATAAACTTTAAAAAAGAATGTTCTGGAATAAACCGATTAAAAGTCTTTTGGACAACAATGCTCTCGATCAAAGGAACTTGTGGTTCGTCGTTTGGCGAGGTACTCGCTCTGTGCCAGGGTGTCTGCGTCGCCTGTCGCGCCTCTCCTTTCTGACTTTGGTCTTTTTGGATGTCTGAGGCGTCAAAGGGCGTGAGGAAGTTGACTGACCCTTAGGCTTAGCTGAAGATGATTTTGCGAGCGCTTGTAGGGCATTGACGATTCCAGGTGCAAATCCCGACAGAATAGGAGCCAAAGCGAGAAGCTTCTGCTCGTATGTTCTCCTTTGCGATTCTGGCGTTTGTGGATCTGAAAGTGCACGAATTTGCATCCGATAAGCCCTCTCAAGGCCTGCTCCGGTCCAGATACTGTCGGTATGATCTGTCATCTCATCAGAATCCGCAGAGTGGTTGTATCGACACCTGGAATCCTCGAGGTTTGCCCGCAAAGGGGCGCGACAATTGAAAATCTGAACTGAAGGAGCAGCCAGCTGGGTGTGATATTGATGTCGATCGGGTGGCTGGAGCAATGCACCAGACATTCCGTAGAACGACGACACTGGGGAAGGCCTTGAGCGAGATGGTGGAGTTCCTCGCAAGACGGGCGCAACCCCTTCGCTTGCTGAGGCTTCTTCATCTGAATCCTCATCATTCGAAGGTACGGTCGATGTAGCGTTATCAAAGCTCTCGTCGTCGGAGATTTCGATGGTGTTGGGGAGTCTTGAGCAACGGTGCGCTCGTGATGGCGATAACGGGGAAGGGCTTGATACGGCATTCCCACAATCTCTTGGAAGACCAGATGGAGGTTGGTTGCGAGACTTCAATGGTTGCTGTCTTTCAGGGGTCTCGTTACAACTCTCTGACGTAGTTGCAGAATCTCTTGTTGACCCGCGGGCGTGCCGAGTGTCTTCCGGTTGTCGAGATGATCGTGGTGGAGACATCAGTTGATCTTGAACAACATGCTGCCGAGTTGCCGATCTCGTTCTTGCTTTGGCTGGGGTCACAGGTGCAGGCGTTGCAGGAATCCCTTTGACATACTTTCGGAGCGCTACCTCATCTCTAGAGTAGAGATGGCTCTTGGTCCACGCTTTTCCCAATTGGACTTTCAACAGGGTTCGATCCAGCTGCCTGAGAATGAAATCGGTTACATCTCGCGGGTCCACGATGAAGGGAATTTTCTCTTCTCGATATTTCGTGGCAGCCTCTTCGACATATACCTTGTGCATCTTGGAGAAAACTCCACACTCCAACGGGTTGAAGAAGATGGAACCTTTATGCGGGATACACGCCAAGTAGATGCCTTTATTCCAACAGCTCATGAAGATCTTTGGAGTTATTCCGTACCGGATTCCATCAACCAGCAGAAGACGCGCGGGGGAGTCAAGACCTTTCATTCTGGCAGTCTTGGTCTCTTCTTCAAAGACACAGTCAATCCAGTCCATGAAGAATTCCGCGTTGGCCCACGGCTTGGCTGCAAACGAGGTGGACACATTTTTGTACCACATTCGTTGTTGATTGACCACGCTCGTCTTTGAGATCAAATAAGGTGATAGGAAGCGATTATCATGACTTGCACAAACAATAGCAGATGTCATTCTCCGATAGTCCGCATCGTCACGAGTCGAGGCCTCGATGCACAATCCCTGATGCTCTGAGGAAATTGCAGTCACAAATCCGGTATCACCAAACGCATAGAGATTCTTGGATGGAACATCCAATACCCACTGCAGGTCTCTCAGGAATGCTGGGAACCTTGCAAGCCTTTCTTCTTTGGCTTCCCGCCCCTCGTTCTTAAGTTTCGCGCTGTTGTAGGCCTTCCGCGCAGCATGAACGCGGTGCTTCACATTGCGATTCCGTCTGAACAAGTTCTCATAAAAATCATCGCTTACGCCAACATCCTTGTTGGGATGATTGGCAATATGCATGAAATAGCGCGCAAACGCGCTCACTTGCTTCTGGTTTTCCAGAGGAAATCCATGATCCAACCACCGATCGATCCACTCCGCAACTTTAGTCTCGTCTTCGTCGCTCAGAATCCGGTTTATCCTTGCACGTGTCGTGGAGCTGGCCTCATCAGGACTTGAAGACTGGACTGTGGGGTTAACATCCCTGCGGGGGTGACTCTTGCTGCCAGAAACACTTTTATCTTTGGCCTTCGCCATGGCTAGAGACGAGAAACACGATCTGTGAAGCACAACCCTGTGTGTGTGATCCGCTATAACGCTCAAGCCCAGAGGGAAACGGAGCGGAACAGGTCCAAAATATGAGCGTAGGTATGGTGATAGCGGCCACCCTCGCGCCAATCTTTCGCTGGTCTTACGAGTAATGCTCGTTTCCACTTGAATGGGCCCAGCTGCGAGTGATTGAGATTACCCAAAATGAGGTTCTCTATTCAACTCTATGAGATCTCAGTACCGGATTCTCAACGTTCTGTGATCCACAAATCGCCGTAACGCCTCACCTTCTCCAACTCAGGATGTTTAAGCCTGAGATCCGCAGACCTGACCTCCAGAACAGCTTGGAACAAAAGTCAATCGCGTACCTGCAGCAAGAGAAGTTTTAAAAGAGCCAACAGCGTTAGTCCATTTTAGGTAAATTGTCAACAATGATGAGTCCCACAAGCTGTTCGGAGAAAAATGGGGAGATAAAATTTTCATACACGCCAGACCTTCCAGTCGGAACAGACACTATCCTACATCATTAGCCTGGGGCTAATATGCACATAATAGCACATACTAATCAAGGAAATATAATCCTGCTATGGGGTTGGCTGTATGGCCAATCAAGCTCCGACGTGGGGTACAAAATTTCTTTGAGAGGAAGACACGGCCAATGACAGGATCGGCAAGTCTCGGATCAACTAGCATAAGCTGAGTACAGGGGGCAGGGACCTTCTCTGAAAGACTAGAATGACAAGCCACTGGCTGGAACCGCTATATTGGTCTCATGTTGGCGGGTCCGTTCATGAGCAGGCGGGTTCGACTGACACCTTCTAGAATTCAGGACGCACGAGGACTTTCTTTGCCTCCTTACGAGCCTGACTGGTCAAATGGAAGAGCCATAGTGTCAACTGTCTATCAGGCTTTGCCAGATCTTTTTGTCAGTCTTGTCGAAACCTTGTTGTAGTCGTTGAATGAAAGAATGGGCAGGGACTGTGGATAGCGAGGCGTTGGACACATTGGATTCGCTCAAACTGTCCCACCTTAGGTCGCTAGGGTTGTGTTGTTGCCATAGCGACTTCATGGATAAGCAAAAGGAAACGGAAGGTGCAAGAATTGTAGCTTGGGATTTCAGGGGTTGGCTTTGAGAACTATCGCTGGAATAATCGTCCCAAATGAAGTTGTAGAGGTCTATCTACCTGCTTCCAACTTCGGAACCTATTCGCACACTCTCAGATAAAGCCTCTTCCCTAGATTCCAAAATCCACTTGCATGATTTACGAAGCCAACTGAGCAGAATGAAGGCAAATGATCAGGGGAGAGTCCGACTCTGACGTCCACGATGCAGATTACCAGCGACGAGAAATGACCTGAATAGTCCTGCTTTCAGAGCTCACGGAATATCGTTCCAAATCCCAATCCAGACAGCTGAGCACTTGGCGCAAAGTTCAAAGGTGCCCTCGAAGTTACTTTAAGGAGTGCTCTCGAGTTCGCTTGGTCAAGTCTGGTGCGTCTGGGGTTGACCCAGAAAAATTTGCGTTGACAACCTAGAGAGCTCCACTCTCATGTCCCAATGTATCCACATCAGTAGTCATGTTCTGCGACCGCTTGGACGCACTTTAAGTTCTTAACGAAGAGGAGAGCCTTCAACTAAAAAAGACATTAGATCTGACAGCGTGAAACAAATTACAGTAGTAGAATGATCGTTCCTTGGTTGACGAGTTAGACTTTTAACCTTAAATATTTTTTAGGCGCGGCGCATCCATAAGAAGTCGATTACGTGGTGCTGCCAACCAGTCAGCCGAGTAGCCAATCATGAGTTTTTAGCTGGTGGGCGCAATCCGCCGCCGTAGTAGGAGTAGGAGGTACACCCGCGACTACGTCGACTTCGGTCGTTCGACAGGTACCATATTCGGAGAGCCACGCCCTCACGTCAACCGCCTCCAGACCTGAACTGACTTAAATCCCACTAGAACTTGATCATTGACACTTCTTTAGAGTCGGACAGCTCTCTGAGTTCTCCTGTATTGGAGACGGACTTAGACTTCGAACCTCACGCCGCTGCCCGGGGGAGCTTGTATACTCGGCTGAAAAGGTATCAACCACCGAATGACAACGACAATGACGATATGGCTCGTTTCCTGAAGACTTTCTTCAAATTCCTTCCCGTCGAAGGCCAAGTCAACTTGGCCGAGGGTGCGAATGGGTGCGAGGACGACCCAAGCCTACGGCAACTAGCGAAGTAGTTGGATACAGCTTTGCTTAGGCCGATGATAGCCACTGGTGGAAAAATGCCTGTTTTAGACTTGCGTGCAGAATGCATGCAGCGCGATAATCACCGATGCGTACTGACAAAGTACTGGGACTTCAAATACCATGACCAGCCGCCTGGCTCACCTACCACCAGCCTCGAGGCCGCTCACATCATCCCATTTGCCATGGAAACCTTTCTGGAAGATGAACGATTCAAGAATGCAGCCGTATGGGAATTTATGTACCGCTATTTCCCAACCATTCAGGAGGGTTGTTACATCAATCGCCACGAGAATGTGATGATGCTGGATGCAGTCTTACATCAAGAGTTCAGTCGCTTCTCATTCATTCTAGAGGCGACCAATGTTCCTAGTCGCTACCGCACGAAGATTTTTCCCGACTTTGTATACAGCGGGTACCGCTACATCATACCCGAGTTCGTGAACATACTCAGTCACGACGGCCGGTACCCCGCCCCCAGCAAGCGTTTGCTCGATGTTCACGCAGCCATCGGCAATATCCTACACGCGACTGGGCGGGCAGAGGTGATCGCGAAGACGATAAACGAACTCGGAGACAGTAGCGGCCAGGCTCTGGCGAAGGACGGTAGCACCAACGTGGAAGAAATGCTTTCTGTATCCGCTCTTTCTTTATTGGCAATGAATCAGGTGGCAGTAGAAGGTGATTAGAAGCCCCTTCGAAACACTATTTCTGATCATGTTAAACTCCTAAACCCTAACCCGAACCGAACATGGTCAGAAAGTTATGCATTTGGTTATCTATTTTATACTATCTCAATATAATTAGCCTACTAATTTTTCAAGATGCCTCTTAGACCAGTATTTTATGTAAATTAGTACTAGTCTTTCTACACCCCCTTTTACACCTCTTTCGTTGAATATTAATTTTAGTAACTTCTATAAGCCGTATCATCGAATGCTGTCTAGTATATGTTTTCCCTAATGCCTTTCTTCGTTTAAAAATAGAGTCTAGTATAGTTAAGTTCTTGGTGTAAATACCGCTAAGACCAATACATACAGGTTGAATATAATGAATTCAACCGCCAAGGTTATGATTAGGTCCTCAAGACATTTCTGACCACGCTCTACTGTATGCTCAGGGCTTCTAGTCAGGAAAGTCTGCAGGGCGGCCTGAGGGCGGCTGTAAAAGCGGTCAAGGAATCTATGTGGCTTCCTAAGGGTGTGCTGGGCTGCCTGCTGGACTTTCCTAGTCAATTTCTGCCCAAGAAAATTGGTTTGCAGTTGGTGGCCGTAATCGGTCGCCGTACTCCTACCTACGGTAACCTAACTAAGGCGCGGCGCTTACATAAGAAGTCGATTACGTCGTCGGCACCGACTTTGGGTTTCACCTGAGAGACAAACCTCCCCTCGTCACCAACAACCAGCATGGCCAGTCCCGGGCGCGCAGAAATACACCTTATACATATGGCCAGGCGCTTATGAACAACAGCCTATCCTCGACAGCCATGGCATTTGCGCCAGTTCCTCTCACTCATGGCAGACACGGTATGCGATCGTTCCCAGCCTCTACTTGCGCCTCGAGATTTGCTGACTTCACGCAGAGATGCTGGGCCCAGTCGCACGCTTGAACGGCAGGGTATTCGGCGATGACCCCGTCATTACCTACATGCTGCTGGATATACCAAAGGAGGAGCGACTGGCGTACCTACCCACGTACTGGTCTATCCTAGTCAAGTCGGCTTTGCTCAACGACGCGGTGATTACCGAGGCCGATGACTGGAAAGCCGCGTCCGTCGTGATTCCCCCTGGAAAGCATGTGGACAATGTGTGGACTCTTTTCTATGCTGGCTTTGTCTGCGTCCTGTGGAAGATGGGGCTTTCTGGCTTCAAGGTACGACCTCCCACAAAGGTGAAAGAGAAACTTCCGGCTGAGAGTCTTTAGCGTCTTTGGTCCGAATTCTCAGGCATGACCGATGATGCGAAGAGGATTGGTCTTCGCGGTCAGAAGCGGTACTACTACATCTTCAGCATCGGGACCGAGGTCGAGCACCGCGGGAGAGGTAGGACCGTCAGCCTTGGAGAACTTATGAAAAGTTACTGACTCTGCAACAGGTCTCGCCAAAGCTATCATGCACGAGCACATGAGGAGGGCTCAGCTTGAAAACGTTCCAATCTGGCTCGAGGCCACGACGCCCAACTCTCGGAAGTTATACCTCTCGATGGGGTTCGAGGAAATCGAAGAGATTATACTTGGGAAGGGCAAAGTCGACAAGAACGCTAATCTTCAGCCCGGAGGCCCGGGTGTACCGCTTTGGGCTATGGTCTGGTGGCCTGAGCAGCAATCTGGTCATACTTCTTCATCCTAATCCAATATTCTTTGTCCCGCCATTTTTTCTAATTTACTCGCCGTCGATGAGATAAAGACACACTTTCATTACAATGTACGGTTCTCTGTCTGGTGTTTGCTTCGTCAATTTAGATTCGATGTAGACATCGTGAATCATGGATTGGAAAGCAAAACAAGTACACAGTGAGCGTCCGTCTGGGTGAGACACCGGCCGAAATGTCTATATATCAACTAGACGAAAGAAAGTGTCGAAGAAATGACACAAATATGGTTGACAAGATGATCTGCGCCTGGATCAGTCAGCACCATTACGTGTGCTCGCAGTCTAACAGACACTCTCCAGCGAGTTGAGGTCCTTGGTGATAACACCGCTCTTGACAGCATCTAAATCCACATTAGCACACAGCATTATCAGCTTCCAGTTCAAGCACAAACTCTCCTTGATAAGACCGGCGGTAATCATTCAACAGAGCCTTCCCAGCCCAAAACACCCATCCTTGCTGTTTTTAATACGAGTGTACCTGCGCCGCAAACCACTTCTTGTAAAAGTCCATGTTTGAGCTTGGGTTCCAGTCCGATGTCGACTGGACATTATCAGGAAGAGCGAGACTCCATTCGCCCACAATTGTGGGGTTGTTGCTGTCACGGTTGTCATTGCAAGACTCCCTGATGTAGCTACCGTGGGAGACATCGACGCTAGTATCCCATTTGAGGTATCGATGGTCGTCGTAGGCGGCATAGTACAGGTCATCGAGGTACTGATTTGGGTCTCCGGAACCCCAAAGCTTGTCCATCATCTGGATGTGGAGATAGTCGTTCTTGTCGATGCCGGCGCTGGCCTCATTGGCTCGAATGCGCTGGGATGGAGGTTGGCATGTCGAGAAGGAAGTTCAGCGCACGCTCATCATTGGTAGTCAACATAGAACCCGGCCTCCGGGGCCATCTGACCTGTAAAGGCATTCCGGGGTGTCTGCGCCTCAGGGGCAGCACGCAGGTCCCTGATGATGTACATGCCAGCATCGCTCGCCCAGCCGCAAAGATTCTTCACATAGTCCAGGCCGCCTTGGGGGAAGTGCTCGCTATCTGAATAGACCAAGACTTCGCGGAGCCAGTATCCAACAGGTACACGAATAGTGTTCAGACCATAGCTGACCATCTCGGTGATGTCGTCCTGGGTGATCCAGCTGGCCCAGTGTTTCGGGAAGGCGATGTTGGCCGCGTCTTGACCGAGGGAACTCACGCAGTCAAATTCAGAGGCTTAGCCACCGCAGCCCATGTCATTCCAGGCGTTCTCGCCAATCCATGGCTCGAAAATAAACTGCGAGCCTAAGTTCACACCGCGTATCTTGCCCTTAGATGCCAGGAACAGATTTGTGCCATCGCTTGCGGTGATTTCCTTGTTGGTCTTAGGCAACCAAGCCGCAGCTAGTGTAGAACAGGCGCCCAGCGCGACAATTTTGGAAAAGACGCACATAATTGACTAGTAATAGAGGCTTCGGTCGGTTAAGTAGCGCTCGACAAGGACGCCAGCTTGAACTAAATATCATTCTCAGGGTCTCTAAACACCCCACGACCTACCTTGGGGCACGCCAGTAATCTGCGGCAGCCTCAGCTTGGGCCAGGGGATGCAGATTCATAGCATCGATTCTATATCAGAGAAGCAATGATGTGCGGTGTTTCAGAGTTGACGATTTCCCTGATCGGGAAACCGGGGCTACGAGCCTTGGCCCCCACAATGACCTTAGACTCGGAGTCGCTGGTTGCTCTCCTCCTCTTGCCTTTCTCAAAGACGATCGATGCATATTGTTGCGGTCTTTATATAAATTTGGCGGACTGCGACATGAATTTCAGAGAGCGACTCGGATGCGATGATGATAATACGCAGGACTTTCGGGGCCATATTATCGGAGAAGCAATTCGGCCCCCGAACTGATCGACATCACTCTGATCTGTGCAGCAATCATCGGTGCGAAACGTACTGCCACAATCACATACTAACAGATATGTATTGCCGTGAAGAGCAAATGCTCTTTCTAATAAGTGCAGCAGGAGGTGTTTAGTCCCTATTTCAGATTCCGTTGATAGGGGCTTCTCGGTTTGGCAGGTAGTTTTTGAGACGGAACACGACGAGGGCACTAATTTGCAGTATCTCCTAGCGAAAGCTCAGAGCCCAGGTACTACGAATTATTGCTTATAGCATCTAAACCCTGACCTGAAATCTTTTTTCTTATTTGACCCCTGTCATGTCAAGCCGATTTCATACTCGGGTATCGCGTTGTCCTCCCATCTTTGAGTGTGGACCTCAAGATAGATTCATTACTGATGTAGCTTCTCTAAGAAAGTTCAAAGGATAGATCTTGGGAGGTGAGTCTTGGTGCTCCTTCCATGGCTAGATCGCGTTCCAGCGCAACCGGTAAATTATGTCGAGGGTCTCCGACCGCTATCAATGAAAAGTTGTATAGGATTGTGATATTTCTTTCAAAATCACTGTTAGCATTATCGTTCGACTTATTGTCCGTGTCCTCTTCGCTTGAACTGTCCTCTAGCTTCTCCAGACGAAAATACTTGCCTCTTTTTTGATTCTGCTGAACTCAAAGAACCTCCTCGGTGATTCCTTGCCAGTTAAAAAAGCTCATCAGAGAGAGCAGGTCAGTTGCAGACGGCCTTTTCCCACGAATATAATCAAATGATATATGCTATATAAGCAGAATAGAGTTCTTTGCCTCCCAGTCTCGGTAAAGAAGACCGGCCTCGTTATTTAGGACCTGTGACGGATGTAGACGAGCGGGTGCCTAAGGAACGAGGCAGCAATTGAATACCTAAGGAATGAGGCGGCAACCGGCGAGCGCGATGTTTTGCTTGGAGCTTCATGCGTGTCCGAAAAGGGAAGTTTCCTGGAAGGATGCCCCAGGCAGGATGGGGCATAAAGGATCCCCCACTACGGATCTTCTTCCTTTCCTTCCCCAGACTTGATTCTTTCGTTAGATAAGCACCGAATGGAGACTTTCGTCGTCATCTCGCTTGGCTCGTAACAGTATAGGCCTTATGAATCTGGCTTGAAATTCTGCCTGACGGCTTAGGCATCGTGCCCTAACGTGGTCGGTAAGCGAGTGAGCCATGTAAGCGAGCGAGCCACCCAACCACTTTTTCGCGTCCTACCGCGTTCATCTATCTTCTATCCACCACTATGCCTCCAAATCAGGTCAGATTACGCCAGGATCCGATCCAGCAAGAAGGTCGCCTTCTACTTGCAATACAGGCTATTAAAAGCAAAGAAATAAGCTCTATACGACGGGCTGCGGATCAATTCCACGTTAACCGTTGTACGCTCGCGCGTCGCCTACGCGGTACTACAAACCGCGCTGAATCTCGCGCAAATTCTCATAAATTGACTAAGATCGAGGAGGAACTACTTCAGCAGCGGATACTATCGCTAGATCGACGTGGAGCAGCCCCTACACAAGCTCACGTACGAGAAATGGCTAATTTGCTACTCGCGAAGCGTGGTTCTATCTCTATCCAAACCGTCGGTGAAAAATAGGCATATAACTTTATCTAACGCCATCTAGAGCTTAAATCTCGCTTTTCACGACGATACGACTACTAGCGGGCACTACAAGAGGATCCAAAGATCATTCAAGAGTAGTTTAACCTCGTACAAACCACGATTCAGCAATACGGTATCCTCGCGGACGATATCTATAACTTTGACGAGACTGGGTTCGCGATAGGCCTTTATGCGTATCAAAAAGTGATTACTCGAGCGGAATACTACGGTCGGAGATCGGTTTTATAGCCAGGGAACCGCGAGTGGGTAACCGCGATCGAGTCAATTAACGCTTCGGGGTAGGCACTTCTACCGACGCTTATCTTTAAGGGCAAGCAATATAATCAAGCCTAGTTCAAAGATCTTCCGTACGACTAGCGCTTCGAAGTTAGTGCGAACGGGTGGACTTCCGACGAAATAGGCCTTCGCTGGCTTCAAAAGCAATTTATTCCGTCGACGAATAGTCGTACGCGCGGAAGATATCGACTCTTAGTCCTCGACGGACACGGAAGCTATCTAACGGCAGAATTCGACTAAATCTACGCGGATCACGATATTATACCGATCTATATGCCAGCGCATTCCTCGTATCTTTTACAACCGCTTAATATCGGATGTTTCGCGGTTTTAAAGCGCGCGTACGGTAGTTTAGTCGGCTAGAAAATACGGCTCGGGATCAGCCATATCGATAAGCTTGATTTCCTCACAGCTTATCCACAAGCTCGCACCGACGCATTTAAATCAGAGACGATTCGAAATAGCTTCCGAGTAGCAGGATTAGTGCCTTTTGATCCCGAACCAGTACTATCAAAGCTTAATATTTAACTTCGGACGCCTACGCCACCCGCAAGCCACGGTAGTCCAGCAAGCGCTTTTTGCCCCTATACGCCCGCGAACGTAGACGAGCTTTATAAGCAAGCAGCTTCAATCAAAGCTTTCCTAAAACAACGCTCGAAAAGTCCCCTATCGCCGTCGTAGGCCGCGCTAAACCAGCTTATTAAAGGCTATCAAATCGTAATGTAAAACGGTATCTTTCTCGAGCAAGAAAACAAGCAGCTACGCGAGGAAAATACTGTACAGAAGAAAAAGCGTGCTCGTACGACTAGGTGGATAGCTCACGATGACGGTCTATCTATACAAGAAGCAATGGAGCTCGAGGAAGCTCATAATGCCTTCTTTCAGGCTATACCAGGTCCACGAGTACCATCAGCGCAGGGTATACCGGCACCGAAGCCGAGGGCCTTACCTAAATGCGGCAATTGCAGTGAAATAGGGCATAAGAAGAATTCTTGTCCAAATAGAGAATAATGAATATAAAGGAGTTGTGGTTGATATATATCGATAAATGTGTAGAAATTCTGGTTAGGTGGCTCGCTCGCTTACATGGCTCACTCGCTTACCGACCACGTTATATCTCACAGATAGCGAGTGCGTAGATATCTACCCGAAAATTCAATATAAAGCCTGATATAACGAGGAGTTACACGCATTAGGTAGAATTGGAAGATAGCTTTGCCTATAAACGATGAGTGCTACGTAACTAGCTAATAACGGTATCGAAGGCAAAGTCTATAGCGGGCCAAGATTCTGCCTATTCAAGCACAGAAGTCGATGCTCATATTTAATGCCCCCATTTACTGGTATCAACACAGAAGTCGATCGTCATACTCCAGCCGTCCAGGGAGTACGCGCCACCATTCCGATATCCAAGGCACTGGTCGATAATCTAGAGCCACGTTAGCAATTTCAATAGCTTTATAGCAAGAGCTACAGGGACAATTCGAAAAGAATATGTTGACTGCATACGTCAAGGGTGCTATCCCAGCACGACTGTTCATTAGGGACATTGGATGGGGTAAAAGTTGCGATATGACCGTTAGCACCAAGCCAATCCTATAATGTAACAATTAGAGATTATTTTCGCCTAAGGAATCATGGTCTATAGCGGGAGATTGCTTACAAAAGGCATATTATTCGCCCAAGTCTTGTAAGTACACAACCACTGCAATAAGTATTAGCTCAAAAGCATCTTCAAAAACCTCTCTAGATCCGTTATCCTTCCACCCTATATATTTATTAACTCACCTCGCGGTATTTTAGAAGATCAGTAGAATTGAGACAGATTTGGGATCCGGAGTCCGAAAAGCAGTCAGCAGCGTTGGCGGTAGTAGCCAAGAGGGTCGCGACTTCCAAAAGAACTGCGTAGAACTGCATTGCTCGTGATGGAAGAATGATTTTTAAATAAAATTGCGATGTGCTGATGCGTATTTTGTTCTGGATAGACTTGCTAGGCTGGAATTGAAGTAGCAAGTAGTGCATGTTATATAAATGTTTGGAGGTTTCCCCGATCTCCTTACGCGCGCTGTAGATCAAAACATAGGAGGTATCGATCCCCCTGAATCCGCCCCCACTTTTCTTTTAGCACTACGGGAGCCCTCCCCGTGCATAGCGACTAGAGTGCTTACTATGTAATTGTTCAAGTGGGCCGTCTCCACTGGCTGAATTAGACCTTAGTGCTTTCGTCACGGAGTATATAGCTAGCACCGAGAACAGGATCACTCTCAGTATATAGGTCAACTGGCGAATTTAAGCATAATTCGGCCACCATTGGCCACTATATTATAATTGGTCACCCTACTATCCAATTCAGCCACTGGATATATCAGCCATGGATTTAATGCTATTGATCTCAAAACACATACTGGCTGAATCGGAGATATCGGTTTCTGTCACTAGATGACGACTACCTACCTATCATCTGACCTGGTAGATATTGGTAGAAGATTATAACTGGCTGATAAGCAGCCTTTTGGCCTACTATATGGTGAATCGACTACCTACTCCGGCACACCATCTTGTTTACCCCTCTCTGATATATCAGATCGATCTTCAACGATTGCATCAACATTGCCTATCTAGGCAGGAGAATACGTAACACTCCAAAATGACCTCGAGTGTGTGACGAGCAGGAGGGATAGCAAGGCAACTGGTCAATGAGTGTTTGGGTGTTTGATGGAACTTGCCAGATGGGAGTTTCCGAACGTGCATAAAAAGGGCGATCTCCCAGCAGATGGAAATTCTTCTTCTTCTCTTCTCTCTAGATTTAGTTGCTTCGTTGAATGCTACCATGTTGATTCGATATCCTCATGCCTGAGTGTAACACCCGGATTTTTGTTGGACCCGTATTGTACTCGGGTAGAGGATGTTAAATCTATTAATTTCCTCTTCTCTTTCTTTCTTCTTTTCCTTCTTTCTTCTTTTCCTTCTTTCTTTCGTTCTTCTTTCAGTCTTCTCGACTCAATCCTTCTATTCCACATGAGCTCATACTGTCTCTTTGTCTTTGGAGTAAAGACGGGTCTTGGAGCGATAGGACGGAAGCGGGATGAAGAGGGATGTTCCGAGCGTGTGAGCAGGGATAGTGAAGTTGGCAGGTTTGTACCGGACGGTGAAGTAGCGCGTACGGCGACAGAACGGCAATTTGACGGGGAACTGTATTGGAGAGGAGGAAAAGGAAAAGAGCGCAGGGAGAGTTCGGAAGGAGGCAGCATTGCACCTGAAGAGGAAGTAGCCTGTACTGGAACAGAATGGGGATTTGTAGGCGAGTAGTACGGAGGTGGAGGAAAGGGGATAGTATACCGAGACGGTTGGGAGGGGGACAGCACTGTAGGAAACGGGAAGCCGGGATGTACAGGGCGAGAAGGGCCATCCCGTCGGGAAGGTGGTTAGGGAGAAGGAAAAGAATTTCGGAAATAGTTGAAGGACATCTTCGCATAGATGTTCTGGAGGGCGTGCCGCTATTATGTGTATCTAGCATATCCGGACGGAAACACAAGAGCGGCAAGAGAAGGCAGAGGCGAAGATAAAACAGAACAGAAAATGAATAGATGAACTAGCAGCAGAAGAAACAAAGAGTGCACAAATGTGGAGGTGAAAAGCCGAGACCGCATACTTAGCAGAGCATGGAAAGTAGCGGCGGTGTTGTCGAACACGAAGACACACAGGCGAACGGCCAATCAGAAGAGGACCCTATAGAAGTGCGTAGCCACTGCAAGCATGCAAATGCAGCGAGGAATATCGAATAAAAAAGGGCGCATGGAGCAGCAAAGTTAGGGCTCAAGAAGCAACATTAGGGTCGAAGAGGAAAGAGCCAGTGAAGACGGTCGAAAACCGCCAGCGCTATGCCTAAGACTGATAGTTGTAGAAGAGCAATGACAGGAGAGCGTGGAAAGAATAGGGAGCGAACGAGAAAAAAGGCAGGAAAAAGGCGGCGAATGAAAAACAAGAGTTTGGCTAACAGCAACAATCATAGATAAGGTTTTTGGACAAGGGTATTCCGAATCATGGGCACGAAGGTAAACCCTTCCTCTCACTTCGTTCGTTTCAGGGCATTGTTTCTTACAGAGAGTGACTGGAACTGTATGTAATGGGGTGTATTTACTTGTAACTAGATACGCCTAACACCCTCTTGCCTCGCCTTGATAGCCATCGTCCCTTGTAGCTGGAACCACGGCGGTTGCCTTCCGATTTTGGCATGCCGTCACGAATTTCTGGCGGCTTACACCCACCAATCGTCCAATTGAAGTTTGGAGGCTTATCCTGGGTAGACAGCACAGGCAATGCCTCTGATACCTGACCTAGCAGGTACGTAAAAGACAGGTGGAAGCGACTGAATTGAGATTTACCAGTAGATATGTAGAGGAAACGGTCGCATTCTGTTTCCTCTCACCCTGTCTAGCACCCGATTGTCCATGCATTTCGCTTTATCCGGCTCGCCTTACTTATCCTAGTGGACCACAATTGGATGTCTGTATGGTGGACGTGTGTTCCGTTCCAAAGAGCCTTTTCTCCTTCCAAGCCAAAGGTCGGTAGTACATCTGCCCCTCCTTGGCTGGCATGCACTGCGAACGATATAGTTTGTCGAGATTTCTGACAGTGCCCAGAGTGAGCCTATGGTCCGACCCAAGTTGTTCCTTATACCCAGCGAGCGCACGGTTGTACATCTGCTCCGCCTCTGCTAGCTTCCCTTGGTTATAATATAGGACACCGAGATTGTTGACTGTCTGTAGTGTGGATGTGTGTTTCGCTCCAAGCCGTTTCTCCTTCCCAGTTAAAGACCGGTTGTACATCTTCTCCGCCTCTTCTAACTTCCCTTGCTCATCATATAGAGCCCCGAGATTGTTAACTGTCTGCAGCGTGGATGTGTGTTCCCCTCCAAGCCATCTCTCCTTACCAGCCAAAGCCCGGTTGTACATCTCCTCGGCCTCGCTAAACTTGCCTTGGCTATGATACAAAGCCCCAAGATTGTTGACAGCATCAAGGGTCAATGTATGATCTGTTCTGAGGGCTTTCTTATACCCGGATAGCACCCTGTTGAACATCTGCTCCGCCTCAGATAACTTGTCTTGCTGAGAATATAGAGTCCCGAGATTGTTGACCGTGTGGAGGGTCAACTTATGGTCCGCTCCAAGGGCTTTTTCATACCCCTCCAGCGCCTGGTTATACATCTTCTCTGCCTCTCCCAGCCTACCATGGTCATGGTACAGAAGCCCAAGATTATTGAACGTCCGGAGGATAGAGATGTGGAACTCCTTAGAGTCTTTCTCATAGCCAGCCATCGCCCGATCATACATCTCCTTCGCCTCGTCCAGCTTGCCTTGCTCATGGTATAGAAGTCCGAGATTGTTGACAGTGTCGAGGGTTGATATGTGTTCCGCTCCAAGCGTTATCTCCTTTCCAGCTAGCGCCCGCAGATATATCTGCTCCGCCTTATCTAGCTTGTTTTGGTCACAGTATAGGTTCCCAAGACTGTTGACAGTGTCGAGGGTTGATATGTGTTCCGCTCCTAGCGTTTTCTCCTTCCCAGCTAGCACCTGTAGATACATCTGCTCCGCGGCAGCAAGCTGAATTTGGTCTTGAAGGAGCCGCGCAATACGCGAGAACATATCGAGTCTCTCAGATGTGGAACTGAAGATGATATCGCCTTGGAGGAAGCGCCGATTCACTAGCTGTGTTGCATGAACAGCCAACCGAGAGTAGGAGATATTTCCAAAGGAATCGTTGTCAACCCCCTTGGTAGATGCATTAACGCAGTCAAAGGCATACCAATAATACTGTGTATCGATATTCTTATTGAGTGCTGCTAATGCCCAATCGTGCACGCAATTATGCATGCTCCACGATTCCAATTTCGGATGAAGTTCCAGGAACTGGTATTCTGTCAGAGTTTTCATCACCCCGTCAAAGTTGACATCGTCTGTGATCACTTGACGTAGCCACTCTGGAGAACTGTCGGCAAGTCCGGCATAGAAAAGCCCCCTCCAAATGCTTTCGTTTCCGAAGTATGCTAGTAATTTCATGAATTTCGCAGCTTCCAGATCCTCTATTTCTAGGCGATCGTATGACAAATCCCAGGTCGTATAAAGGGTACGCTCCTGATACTCTTGGAGCTTGGTGGGGCGGCGAGGATCAATATTCCACCGTTTCTCATATTCTTCAAGGTATCGTTCAAAGAAAAAGGCGCTTCGCTGAAGATAAGTTCCGGCAGTGGCTAGGGCGAGAGGAAGACCCGAGAGTCGCTCCGCGAGTCGCTTTGCATAAGGGTCTAATGATTGCGGTCAGCAAATAATATATATATTTGTCAGATGGCATACCTATTAGAATATTCTCTCGTTTAGATCGAGTTTGGAGGATATCGAGGCCCTCCTTAATATTTTTAAAAGGCTTAATTTGGACATTGCTCCCAGCAACAAGATCTGATCGTCTTGAGGTGACAATAATGGTCCCGTGAGAAGCGGGGGGATAATAACGGTCGATCTTGAACTGACTAGGGTTATCGTAGTTATCAAAGATCAACAACCACCCAAAATTCTTTGGGTCGGATAGCCATTGATGTATACGTCTCACAATCTCTTTGCCGTCTAGGCCGAGATTCGGGGCGTTGAAGATGTGGCTGGCGATCGATTGAAAGCTATCATTCAATGAAGCCTCAGATGCTGCATTTAGCCAAAGCACAGAGTCATAAATTTTACAGTGAGACTTGGCGTAGGCGATGGCAAGCTGTGTCTTGCCGATACCACCGATACCACCTAGTACCAGACGCCGTTGCTCCAAAGGCTCGTAGCCTGGGTGCAAAACATCTGCCATCTGACCAAGCTCAAAACTGCGACCGATGAAGAGTTCTGGTGCGAAATAGGGCGCTTGGCCAAGGCAGGTGCCAACAGGCCTTTGAAAGCTGAAGTCTTCGTTCTGCTCAGTAACTATAAATAACGGTCAGGCGATACATCCAGTAAAGTCAGGGGTATTTAAGATTATAGTAAGGCGCCTGGAAACATTGAAACGACGTGAGAGATTTGTGCATATCGAAAACAAGAAGCTATAGTGAGTGTATACTCATCGGCAAATATGAAAACATGAAGTGCGAAGGGCTTTTCACTGCGATGAACCGGCAAACATAAACTTTTCTTCTGCTCTATGCTAATAAAAAAATGCAATCGTAATTGCTAATCCTTACCAAAGGTTTGATGGTCAGCAATATACATCCTTCCGCTATCGGTCACAATCTTATGTTCGCCGCTCCCCGTGTGAACCATGCTCGTCATCTTCCCTCCGTGGACAACAAAGCTCATGGCCGGGTTTTCTTCCTTAGATATTGAGGGCGGCAGAGATTTCATTTCTTCAATGATCTCTTCAAGCTCGGCCTTTTGCTCTGGTGTGGCAGAATTGACGGCATGTTGGTTGACAATAAGTTGGACATCTTGGGTGATCGCAATCATGAGATCTTCGACTTTGTTTCCTTTACCGAGTCTCCGAACAACTTTGGAGTATCGTTTCTCCCACGTATCCTTTTCACCAGGCATGGTCTTTTCAAATATTTCTCTCAACTTTCGGGCTTTTTCATCACACACATCGATAATCTTCCCCAAGGCTTGGCAGACATCCTCGGACATGGTGTCTTTGCTCGGTTCTAGATTGCTCTTGCATGTGTTCAGTGTATCAAGGATTATAGGGAGTCGGCGTCCAACGGTGTCGAATGTCTCAGGCAACTTGAGGTCCTTCCGAGCACTGTCGTAGACCTTGACCGAGGCGTCGATTATGGATATGACGGCAGAGATGGCGCCGATCACTTCCAGGCCAGACATGCTGCAAGGAGACAATGAATTAACGGAGATTCAACAATCCAGAGCAGGGAATACTGAGATAATATTGTGGAGAATAGTATGATTTGATAGTTCTGTCAAGATGGACATTCACGTTTGATGAGTTTTAAATATGCGTCTCGATTGCATCTCCCGACTGAAAGCTATCAATATTGCTCCAAATTCAAAATATATGCTTTTTGGATTTCCATTCCCATAGTTTTCAATTGAATGGTTCATGGGATGATATGATGATCTAGGCTCGTTCGCCTTCCAATATGTATGTGGAACGTAAGGTGCTTGTACGGCCTGGCTCAGCTGACTCACAGTAGTGTCAATATGGGACAACGATACAAAACAACAAATGAAACTCTTGGTCAATGATTTTTGTTAGCAATGGTTACAGTAGTTAAGTTATAATCATGTGGTAATCGAACCATCTGTGAAACGACCCAGCCCAAGACAACACCAGAGATTGGACTTTTGTGACCAGCCACTTATTCAACGGCGCAAGAACGGCAGATCTAGAACCGAGTCACTACGGCGACTGACCGCACTAAGGCTTGCGAAATTCGATGACCATTCTCCGTAATGAGCGATCTTCAGTAGTTCCTATTCCACCACGGAAAGACCTCGATCAGCCATACATATCTCCAAATCATTCCTTATTTTCTGATGACTGCAGTAACTGTGTCGCTACATCGCGTGTTGAGCGAGATATTTCGATAAATTGCTCCGGTGGACAGTCGGCAAAATGCTGTCCACTTGGGTGGTTTTTTTGCGAACCAAAGGGCTGTGGCTGATACTCATAGTATGGTGATGAGCCACGTCATGTGTAGCCTGCACGTAAGCGAGTTACTGGTATCGTGAGTCTTAAACGTATTGCGTCTGCTTCCGAGCCTGCCCGAGTAAGCCTTTGGGACAAGGGATAGGGAAAATGACAGTTTTGCCACCCCAGACCTACTGGTGTTGGAGGTAGTCCGAGAGCGATGGAGACGACTGTCGGGCACCGCTACTGTAACATTGAACGTCCATACGATTAATACACGAACCATGTAATATATTTGGTAACTGTTTGTATATACGACTATACAGGAATATTGGTGTTCCGAAGCTATCCTTAATATAGATTAGTGGATCTTGGCGCTCGGGTTCGAGAAACAGTCGAAGAGTGCAGATGGTGACACCAGTTTCGAGACGGACTGTAGCAGACAAAATTATCAATGAAGCACTCGACTGGGAGAAAAGGAGCGGAGCGACCTTTGAGGCAGACAAAACAGCCATCATACACTTCGCTCCCAAGGTTCACAAAACGGACCAGGGTCCTTTCACTATCAAGGGACAGACCGTTGTACCTAGAGACCATGTCAAGATCTTGGGCGTTCTCATGGACACGAGACTCAAGTACAAGGAACATATCGCGAGGGCAGCGTCCAAAGGCCTGGAGGCAGCGATGGAGCTTCGGCGACTTCGCAGCCTAGCGCCAGCAACCGCACGGCAGCTATTCACATCGACGGTGGCCCCGGTGTTAGACTACGCCTCTAGCGTCTGGATGCACGCTTGCAAGGATAAGGCCAGCGGACCGATCAACCGAGTCCAAAGGGTGGGAGCGCAAGCAATTGTAGGGACATTTCTCACAGTTGCGACCAGCGTTGCGGAGCCAGAGGTTCATATTGCCGCTGCACAAAACCGTTTTTGGAGACGGGCCGTGAAAATGTGGACGGACATTCACACCCTGCCAGAAACCTATCCGCTCCGCCGGAGCACAGCATGGATCAAGAAATTCAGGAGGTACGAGAAAGCAGTCCGAGGGGGGATGAATATCTTGGTAGGATATGTCCTTTGATAAGGTAAGTATGTCACGACAGTTGAATAGTTACAACTGGCCACCTTTAACCCAAAGTCCACTCTGCTCATACGCCAAAATCTTTACAAAGCCTCTGCCTGTTTGAAGATGGGCTTCACTAATCAAAGTCCAACGTCACGTTGTCGCTAACAAACTCATTGCACTGTATAACGCTCACCACTAAAATTGAAAAGTAACGACGACTCGTATTCAGGAGCAGGAGCGATCCAGATTCGTGGTCCCAGTCGACAGTCTTCGAATGCGGAGCATAACCCTACCTATTGCTCCAACTGCTGGGCGGCTTGGAAGGTGTCAAGTGAAGATTATCGAAATCCGGGCATATTTCATCTGGGTTTATCTCGGCTTCCCCAACCTCTGGATACTGCTTGGTCGGTGTGGGAGCCTCAAAGTCCAAACGCCGCGGAGATGTGGTTTGGAACTTCTGGCCTTCTCCTTTCTTCGCTGAATTTGGGCCGCCAGGGCTCGAACGCTTGGGTCGCTCGCAGCGGAGGAATTTTTTTGATGCAGGACGAGGGATTCTCGACTGGGCTTCAGTCAGAAGTAAGCCTGACCTGTCATACGCCGGGGATTCGATGAATTTAACCCATTTCTTCAAGCTCCTCAGAAGGGTTTTCTTGTCAACTTTAAGCAGCTCTCTGTGAGAGTGGTCGCAATTGTGACAGCGACCCTCAAGTTGATAGTGATTGTTGGAGAATTCTGCTAGCAGTAGTTGCTCCACGCGATGGACATACTCGGTAAATTCTTTCGCGATCAGTTCGACTTCGCCGTAGCACTCATCGTGTTTGTTGAGCCGACCTAGCTCTGGGTGTTGCAAGGTATATCCAATTTTGAATATTCCAGGGAGGCCTGGGGGGCATATCACATAGATATACCCCGGTTCCAGATTTAGCGGCCCATCAAGAGGTTGTTTCAAAAGCCAGGTCACATCCTGGGCCACTGCGTCTGGTTCCATGGTGTTTGCACGGCGTATAATCCTAACTGGCGGCGGTTCATTCGAAACCACCGAAACCCCTTCTGCCGCCCCAAAAGGATGTTCTTCTTCCCCTGGCTTCCTTCCCGCCCTGTAGTGTTCACCATCCGGGGCGTTAATCGCATCTGTGTGTTCTTCGCTTTCTGCAGGGTGTATATGACTGCTTTGAAAACTCTCGCCCTCCTCTAGCTTGAGACTTGCAAAATTCGCCCGTACATCGAGTTCCTTCAGCCACTGTTCTATGGCCTGGGACTTGTGCTCGTTGTGCCTTCGACAAATGTAGATATTGGCGAGATTTTTCAAGATTTCGAACTGCGGTGATGCCCGGGTACATTCGCCCGAGGGGCCAGAGATCATCTCGTGGTGACTTGCAAAGTCTTCTTGAGCAAGAATGAGATTACCCTTGGCTATCTGCCACCGGCATCGCCTTCGATCAGCTATCATGTATGCGCACTGAATAGCAGCAGGGATGCCATGGTCCCAGTCCACCAACTCCACCAGAGAGAAAAAGGTCGTTATGGGGGATTCCATGCTCACGAAACGAAGTTGGCTCTTCCTTTGGTTCAGAGTCTGATGGAAGTAATGCAAAGTTGAAGTCTCTCAGGTAGCTGAAATATAGAAAAATGTTCAGCCTCTTGCAACAGTGACTGGTTTGAAACCGAAGCCCCCTGCTCCTGCTCCTGTCCTTCTAACGGCTATAAGCTCAGCAGACAGCACCCCCTCATCATTCCACCCCACCTCATGCACGTATATTGAAGGGACTTGGTCCAACATGTCCTCGTGAACGACTTTGCACGCTTAGGACAGGGGATATCAAGCCATGCGAACGATAGTCTCATCCCCATATGGCAGGTGGATAGGAAAGGTGGAGATCGTGAGATTGCGAGATCTCTGGTTAGTGGATCACACCCTTGCTAGGTAGTATGGCGCTCGTGCCTTGGAGGGCGTGATAGGGGAAGGTACGTGCATTGATTTCGCGCCTAGACATGGGTTCTCGGCCGCGTTAGCAAAGGTACGTCTCACGTATTTTGGAAACCAAGCAACGCGGAAAAGCGCCATTGCCCCGGCGTCGGCGTAATAGCCACAATGGAGCATGAGTAGAAAGCAACCCTATATTAGGCAAATATCACCCGCTTATGAACCATCAGGTCCTATGATAGAGATTCTGAGCTACAACAAAGGTTCTAAAGATACATCGAGCTATACGGGCCACTTATGCAGGGTTCCTTTATCCCACGGGTGGCCAGTAAGGGAGGCCATAACAGGTGACTACTCTCGCCCTATACTCCAAGAGCCGATTACTTGCTGAAGCAGCAGTTTTACGGGCACCGATATTAATCATTACACGAATAAAGGTGAATTGGAATAAAAAATACAAGTTCGGTATTTTGATCGTAAAGAATGATGTATAAAAGGACCTAGTAAAGAGCCGTTGAACGATCATTGATAAGAATACACCGAATACTGGTATGCAAGAAGCAGTTTTAAAATTAACACGGTAGTTAGGCTAATCACATGATAGTAATAATATATATGAGTAATTTTTGCCTCAATCCGTACTACTGCTAGGTCTACGACAGCTGGACAGGACTACAAATAGTAGCAACAACGATTTTGGTGCCAGGTCTAGCGTATTACTGCTCAGCAGTAAGTCGGGAAAAACGCACTTTGATTGTTATCTCAATTGCTTGGGCTACTATCTGAAAGTCCATTAATTGTAGCATGAGCTACGAAATAACACTAGCCGAGTCACGTCTCATTCCTCGCTCGCACGGTATCCCAGCATCAAATATCATTCTCCATGTAGGAGAATTCTCATGCATTTAGTAAAAAAGCGTTATTGTTGTCATTGGCGTGCCTGAAGCACGGACTCGGATTTCAAATCCAGCTCCAACTTGACGTTCCTCTAGGGAATGATTAATCGTCACTTGGCGTCCGAAATGTGCAATCCTTGGGAAGCTCGGCATGGGATTGGAGATCCTGGCCAAAAGCATATCAGAATCAACTCAACCGCCAGGCATATCCAGACTCAACAAACTACAATCATTACCTCTTCCACCCTAAACCATTCTTACCACTCGCGTCCCGAGGCCAACGTCGATAATCATTCTCCCAGCAATAACAATTCGTGTACCCTCTCGAGCCGGCGGCAATCTCTCCTGCTCGTAGAGACGAATCAGGGTGCGGATATTGTGATGATGTTCCTTCAAAGCAGGGTCCTGGAGCATGTGTCTCAGCGTCTCCACATGTTGTTCCGGGGAGACTTCGACTGGAGGATATTTTTCAACGATTGTTCCATCCACCAGTAGCCTGTAGTTTCCCTGGCCAAAATCCGTTTTGAGCAGAGCTCCATCGGCATCGTGGATTCTCATTGCGGTTCTCCAGTGTGATGATGCTTCTGGGGATCCATCTTTTGACACGGGGCCAACGATATCTGCAGTGTTAATCAATCTCACCTCAACACGGCGTCGTTGCTCCGGTCTAATTTTGGGGGTATTCTTTCCTTTCTGCTTATCCTTGGGGTTGTGGTTAGATTCAACTACCCCTGTTTGTGGGTGGTGTTTTGTCTCTCATACCGCATCTTTCTTCTTGCTACGACGAAAGATGCGTCGAAGCCAGTTGAAGGCCATGACGCCCGATGAATGGGATGATGATGGTTTTAAGGGCACTCAATCTGGCAAATGTGGATATTTGAAGGTGGAGATGAATAGGTTGAAGGAAGATTATTTTGAGGAGAAGGCTCACCGGTTAAGGAGTTATGAAGAAGGCAATAACTATCTAATGGAAATTTCCGGTGGGATTGAGGTGGAAGGCAAACAATAAGGTCAGTCACTTCAGCGTCAGATCAAGCGGTCCAGGAATCAAAAAAAGATATACACTCCGCAAAATCTCACTCTCTTTCACAGTCCCCGCTACTCGATCTGTCCCTAAATCCGTGGTCGATTCCGCAATTTCAGGCTTGATACGATAGGTGGAGAAGAGCATGTGAGGTACCCTACAAATCGGCTAAGATACTTGAGACAGGCCCATCTCTGGTATCCGTGTGCCTAGCAATATGGCAATGATTGAGATGAAGGTTGTGGCTAGTAGCCTACGGTGCATCATATTATTTGAGCCGAATAGTCGCTGGGATGAACGTTAAGCACTATATAAATAGCTAGAAACAAAATATACCGGCCAGAACTCGATCAAGGAGGCTAGAGTGAGGTACTTGTGTTAAATCTAGAGTTCTATTTCCAATTATTGGAAATAGCTCAACCACCCGAACTCCTCGGTGCGCTTTCCTTGAGAGCAGTCACCTCTCACGAAATATACGGAAGACTGCCGATGCATGGTCCTAAGGGCCAGTCCCTTGTACGGATCGGCATCCTCACCCCCTGAGATCATCTTTTCCTGTGCTGTAGGTACACCAGACGAACCACCAAAACCCTCCAAGTCCCACCAACGCGACCGTCGCCACACGCTCACAGCTACAGACAGCAACAGCTACAATACATACAAGCCACACCCGGACACAACTGCAACCCCCCGAGAACCACAGCGTACCTACCATGTACCTACTATGAGCATCCAGAGCACCTCCCTGATGACGTACAAGAACTAAGCTCGAGTGGGTACCACAAAAAAAGCACCATCAATCATGCAATGAACCTGCAGCACCAGTCCAACCCCAAACCTTCATCCTCCAAGCACCAAGTTCCAACCATTCACATCCCTCCCTCGCGACGGAAAAATCTCGGCCGGCCGAAACCCCCAAACTTAGCGCCCATTCCACGCGGCAGACGCCAAACCGGGATACGAGATTGGGCGCTGCGGACCCCCGTAAGGCTGTGAGCTGCGAATGAGAGCAGGCAGCTAGGGCCCGAGAGATGCCGAGAAAGTAAGTCGGAAATGAGAGTTGGCGGGTCGCCCCAGATGGGATTCTTACCGGTACAGTAGAATTGGATCTGGGTCTGGGGGGCTGCAGCTGACAGCATATATATGGGTCGGAGAGGCCGGGGTTGCGCAAAGGACGGCTGATTTATTCGAAACTGGGTCGTGGTGGTGAACTTATGATATCACTGGTATTACCTAGAGGGAATGCCCACTCTGATCGAGCGTCGAGGGTCTGTCTTCTCCAGACTTGCGATCGTGGCCAGCAAGAGAATAATGAATAATCACGAGTGTTTTGCAGGTAGGTATGTATCCAAGGGGGGACATCGCATATTAGGTGGGTATTGGTATGTCCTGCTGTGTGGTATCAACCGCACTGACTAGCTCAGTGCCCATGCCAGGGTATACAAGAATCGAAACAGGATCGAGACAGTGTGCATGTTATGCCGCCAGAAATACCCTTCCCTGGGTCCTGCACGGATTTCCAAAAATCCACAAACTCCCCCAACGCCGGGATGCAAGGACAATGAACGAAAAGAAGACACAAATACTAATCACGGCCACGAAGGATCCTTCCTTCATTTCATACACCCGGGCTCGTCCCGCTCATACTGGGGAACAGCATGACGTCCGACACCCGGCCCAATATATTGCGCATATTCGAATCCTCCATGGGTAACCCTGGGCCACCAGCAGTGACCATGTTAGGCGGCAGGCTCGGGCTACTGTCTATCGGGGGCGCCGACGGCAAGATCATCGGCGAGTACGTTGTCGATCCAGAAACAGGCACAGAAGGCGCTGGTTTGCGCGTGCGGAAAGTCTCGCGAATCTCACGAAGGGCGCGAAGCGACGAGGACAGGTGCTTGGCTGAGTCGGTGCGATTATTGTGTTCGGCATCTCCGTCTGCATAGACGTGATCAGCCAGGACCTTTTCCAACCGGTCAATTAGTTCCCAGGTCTGGGGACTGTCGTCATTAGCGACCAGCAAGAAAGCGGATGCGACGGATCGCTGCAGACTGATCCATGATCGGGAACAATGTGAATTGATCTCGTGCAGCTCGACAAAGGAGTCAATGGTGTTAATCAGACTGGTGATGCAGTCTTCGCGAATCAGAGCTCGGCGCTGCTCGTCAAGGTGTGCATGTCGGTCTAAGGACACTCGGCATATCACCGAGAGAAGATACGAGGAATGCAAACGCAGCTCCGTGCGCTCTATATGCTCCGCGAGCGACCGGCATTGCTCACGATATCGCAGGTGCGGCGTAGCCTCTGCCATCATGCGCTGGATCCGCTGCTTGTACTCGCGAATCTCGTGGTACCGAGGCTCCTGGCTTTCAGGGTACATGCGGGATCGCAGCACTTCCAGTGCCAGCGAGACCACTCGACACAGGGTCTCAAAGTATGTCCGATGCCCCGGCATGGATTTACGATCAAAAGGGATTTCAGGTTGGCTGACCATGGTGATGGATGGTCTGTCATAGGCAAGTGAGAAATGGCTATTTTGGAAGGCCATGGTCCACCTGTGCTGAATGAGCAAATGTGCGCTCGTAAGAGAGGCAAAGGGCAGGAACTTACCATACGCGCCTTCGGTTGGCCTGCTCCTGAAGTTTGAATCCAGTCGATTCAACATGAAGCCCGAGAACGAGACACATGCGCTCCGTCATGCCTATGAGGTACATTAGATGGGAAAGCACGTCGGCGGTGCTCGGAGTGCCATCTTACCAAGTAATGTATAAGAGGCACCCGCATTCATATTATATGAAAGGACATTGCTGATTATAAGTAGGATTTGAATGACCTCTACCGTCGGTTGCGAAACATAGTTCAACATCCGCAGACATTGATACGCACAAGATACTACGGCGATCGTCAGTACTCGAAAATGTGGGCCAACAGTCAATCCCTTTCCTTCCTTGGCAAACGTACCGTATATCCATGAAGTCAATTCACGATCGGCACTCGGCAGATCGGACAATTGACAGCCCGAGGCCAGCACCGCAAAAAGCAAACTGAGAAAGGGCAAGTCCATACCAAACGGCTTGACTAACCCATTCGCATCTGGTTTATAGACACCTCCCGCCCGCCGTCTCCCCTCGAGTAACCGATTCGTTTTCCGATCTACCTCATCGAGGTCGGGGAGGACTGGATACAATACCGCACCGATATCTTTATAGAAGCTCAGAAATCTGCAGAAAGACCCTCGAGTCAGCAAGCCTCGACGCCAGTATTACTCCAGAACCTCTAGGGCCCATACCGTTTACACTGCTCGTCGTCCGGGAGCACCGCACACACCCCAGCAATATGGAACGTGAAAGGATCGGAGGACCACAGGTCGACAAACGGGTAAGCGGCCGACTCGTTGCCCAGCGCGAGTTCCGCCAGCAGATCCTCCTGAGGCAGCGCCTGCGCCGTATCCTCAGAACCCTTGGATTTATCCAGAATATCGACGAGGGCCGACCGGGACCCGAGATGGACAGCGCCGGTCCTCAACACGTTGGACCCGTACACGCCCTCCGATCGGGTGGAACTCTTTCGTTCCGACGCTGTCGTCGTTGCCTCGGGGCGTTTCCGAGACGAATGTGAATTGAACATGGAGTGCAAGCTGCCCAGTATCTGCTCCATAGCAACCATCTTAGTATTGATCTCGTCCCATTCTTCCTGCGAGATGTCGATTATCTCCGGGAGGTCAGGGTCGTCGCTGGCGGGGAAAGACTGGTCGCGGATGTAGGAACCATCGCGCAGAGGGGGAGGAGGTGGCGGCGCAGACGCATCGTAGGACGGCGAAATATCGAGCGAGGATAAGGAGGGCTGCAGCAACGCGGAGGAAGCAGTGCTGGCGGAGACAGGTACGGGGAGTTTAGCAGCAGCGGACGGGCGACCGTAGGAACAGGGGAAGTTGCGTTTGACACAATTGCTACAGGGCACGTTGCGGTCGCAGCGGACTTTGCTAGCGCGACAGGATAGACAGGTCTTGCACTCGCGCGGGCGGCGGCGGATGGGATACGTCGGCATGGTTCAGAGCTCCGCGGTGCTGAGCGAGCTAGGCTGATTTGCTTGCCTGCGGCGAGCGGAGGACAGAAGAGGGAACGTCATAGGCAGATCGAATGGGAGTCGAGCGAGCGAGAGGCGAGAAGAGGACGTAGCTGACCCTCGGACTCGGCACTGGGCAGGGACTTGGAAGCCCACTAGACGGGACTAATTCGACGAGTCGACTCGGATAGGGCCAAGTTGGGAACAAGTTGAGAGGGGGAAAGGAAGCTTAGTCCGATTTGTACAGGATCAAGAGGAACGGGCTAGAGCCGCCATGGGCGTTGAGGCTGACTTGGAATAGACAAGGATGAGGTCCGTGAGCGCAACCGCGGGATGTGTTGAATTCTCTGGGGAAAGGCTTGGGGATTGGAGATTGGAGATTTGAGATTGCAGATTGGCGAAGAACATCGAGGCCCGCAAATGTGCTAACAGCTAAAGTAAGTGAATGCCAACCAAATTGATCCGAGCTGCCGAGGATGGCGTGTGCAGCAGCGCGCGGGTGCTGATCACAAAGTCAATTTTGCAGAAATTGACGGGACGGGCCCTAAAGCAGGTTGGACTTTTGACTCGACTGCGACGTGGGACTGGGGGGTGGTTTCAATTGAAGCGTTGCGAGACAAATGCAAAGTGAATGATTTCATCGGAAGCTCACGTTCCTTGGGTCGTGGCGCCAAAAACGGGTCATCGCCTGAGGCAGCGGGCATCCATCCATCCACAAGGGAACCCCCACCCAACTAAAACTGGCTACTGACAAGCAACGACAGAAAGTACATTACTCCTGGCCTGATCCCGACTTCGATCTCCACAAAAACTATAGACAAGGCCACTTTTTGGTCCCATTGATATGTACCAATATTCCTGACTAGTCATCATAATAAATGCATTCGCTATGCGGCTCGCTTTCTCACGTCTTGGCCGAAGAGAGCAATCCTTCAACCCAAGTCAGACCCTGAAATGCCCCATTAGATACAACTACCTATCGATGCAATGCCAAGAGGAAAAAGAAAAAGATAGAGAAAGCAATTCGTGCATCTTTCCATAGTCCCATGGCACCGAGTCTATTTTCTTTTCAAGACTGAGACACGACTCACGAGGTGGCTGTCTTGGCCGCTTTTTTCTCCGAGATCTGCGGCACGATCCACCAGTCGTGCCACTGTGTCTTGGAGCCAATCTCGGGGATCACCACCTGAAAATTTATTGGATTCTTCTCGGAAGGTGGAGAGTCACCGAGGAGTGCCTTCTTCATGGTCTCAATAGCAATGCTGGCCCCGATACAGGACCGCATGGTATCCATAATATCACGGCGCCAATCCTCCTCGATGGCGATCGAAGGCTCTTTTGTGGGCGACGAGATATCCTCGAGAAAGGCACCATTGGCGAGGGTCGCCTCCCAGGCCTTCCGGGCTTTGGTGATGGCCTTGGATGCACGGTCCAGGATGGTGGCGTCCGTGTCCCCTTCCAAGGTAGCCTCACGATGGTACTCCTCATACGGTACCAGCTCGGGCAAGGAGATCGGGATAAAAGGCTTCATGCGGATTTCATAGCGTAGTTTGTCGCTGGAGTAGGCGTCGGAGCCAGAGGCAGACGGGAGAATCTGGTGTCGAGCCAGCAGTACATAAAGCGCGTGGAGCGCGATCGCAAATGCATCGATGGCAATGATATGGGTTGTCAACCTCTCAAGGTAGAGGAAAGACCTGTGATAGGCAAGAGACTTTTGCGCAGAAATTTCTCCCTGGCCACTGTTGTTCACTAGATCGCGCTTTCGAGCTGCCGCGGTAAAGGTGCGAATGCGATCGAGGTGACTGAGATGGGTTGAGCAGATGTGTGACAAGTACCAGTAGATGCCGGGCAGCTCTTCAGGAGCATATATCGATAGCTCGAATCCCATCTGTAGGATCAGGCGAAGCTGGATTAGCTTCTGGTGGTAGGCCCAGCTACTGAGTGGGTAGGAAAAGGTAGCCTCTCCGCCCTGGAATTGCAACGCAGGTTCTTCACTCAGGTTTTGAAGTTGGAGGTCGAGCTCCTCAGCCTGGGAGTGAAGATTGTCAGCTAATGCGTAGTCGGAGAATATAGCGGGGGTGCCTCATACCTCCATCTGCAGATTATCCCAGTCAACAACCGTATGGCAGATGGTACGTCGGACACGACAACGGTTCAGGCAGGTGGAGCGTACAGTGTCAACAAAGGGCTATAGGGACTTAGTTAATTCTCCGATAGACTGAGCTGACTCGCAGCCGAACGTACCTGGGCAAAGCGTTTCACGAAGCCTTCCATGATTTGAGCGATTCGGAATCGAGGATCAGACGGTAACTCCACCTCGTCTGTATTCGCTCGAAGCAAAATACTTGATGGCAAGACCAGCTCAGCAATATCGTCATAGAGGAACTCCCTGACTGATACAGCTCCAAGAATTGTCATGTCGCTGACAATCAAGGCCTGCAGCAGTGAGCGAATATAAACTGACGGCTGGGGTTTTCGTGACAGCAAAGTCCCCACGGCGGTCTAGCAACAGAATGTAAGTCAAAACGTGATCAATCAATTGTTTTTTCCATGACCATACCTTGAAATTGCTTGGGCCACGGTAGTCCAGCATCTGTTGCATATCAATCGCATCTTGACATAGCCGCTTCATGTGCGCCAGGGCATCCTCCTGCTTGATGTGAACGATGGGCCGAGGTGGCACGGTACTGGCGAGCTTCCGTTGAAGCTTCAGGCTGAAAGCCTCAGGCACTGCCTTTCCGCAAGACACGGTTTCAGTCAAAGTTTTCAAGTGGGTCAGACACGTTGCGAAGCTATCCGTCGATCTAGTATCCAAAATCTCGAGATCCTGATCTACAGAAGCCAAGAATTCCCGCCGCAGGAGAAGTCTGCTCTGAATCGCATCTCGAAGTCTTTGGTCTATATGCTCCTGGTCATCGACCCATTCGACCGCCTGATCCAGCAGGCGATAGAAATGAGAAGAGTCAAAAGAGGACAAGAGGTTCCGGTTGTATAGTTGCGTGACGAAGTCTTCTTCCTGTACCACCAACCCAAAACACCCCATCAGCAAAATTGGTCTGTATCCCAATAGGCATCCCACGCACCTCGTAGAAGTATTCGGAGGCCACACGGGCGTGGACAAAGTCGCATGCTTTGACCAGTGCGAGGCAATAGGCACGGAGCACAAGGCCGATCAGAGGGTTTTCGCTGGGCACACGATCGAACCGGGCATCCCCCATTGTCCTCGGCACCGGCCACAATAGCTTGTCAATATAGATAGACGTAAAGAGCGTCTGGGAAAGAGGGTGGCCCATATGCCATGCCATCTGTACCAGTGTCAACCGTATCCCATCCGTGGAGTATGCAGTATACCCACCTCATGGCAGAGCAGCTGGTCCATCAACCCCACCACTTCCTCCGGTGTTAGGTCCCGTCGCACGTCGTAGTCGTCTTCCAGTGCTTGCGCATGGTTCTCTCCGGGTGCTATGTAGCCGCTATCCATCTTAGAATCCATGATCTATCATCAATTCCACAAGAATATCAGCAATCGGTCCTCTCCCGCGCCACTTTTATCTCGGTACGACAATGACGCACCTCCAATGCGCCCACCGCCTCAAACAGTGTGAACGATTCATCCTTGACGAGCTGGCCAGTCCGTAGTTCTGTGAGAGAAAGCACTGTTAGAACACGAGGACAGAGCATGGGAATGGGGCCAACTTTACTCGATGCGGCCTCTGTAAATTCGGCAGTGATATCGCGTGGCGTAGCGGACTGCGCAACCGCCCGCGGCGGAGGCACACGAACCTCGTTATTCGGCAGCATCGCACAGAGGTTCGAAGCTCTGCAGTCCGCTGCCGGTTCTTCTCATGGGATGAGTGTGGAACTTGAGGGAAATCAACCGGCGAGGAGTGAGGGTGCGAATATGAAGAGGGGGTTTTGGCGGGGGAGGCGTAGGCGGGAAAAAGAAGGGCTTCGGGCTGGACGGGCAGTTGGGGCGCTCTGACGTGCAGCAGGTACCGGCCGAACACCAGAAAGGACGGCGTACAAATTCGAGACAAAAGTTACGATCAATTTCGACTACAGGTCCTAGGGATCCCGGCATTGTTGTACACAGGCAAGATGAAGGTGTTTTGAAAGTCTGTCTGTCTGTGAAGACAGGTCTTGTATTGCTACACATGTACAAAAAGTTCAATTGTCTCCTCGGGGTGGTTTTAAATCATCGCTTGTGTCCGATCACGGCCCCGGGTCCATCACTCTACCAGAAGCATGGCTATATCATGCTAACTCGTTCATGCTCAGGGGGCGCTGGTCGTCTATTTCTCGGCTTTCTGGGCAAGGGCCTCGTTGTTGGCCTGGGCAAGAGAGCGGACATCACCCTGCTTGCCGTTCTGTTGGTCATAAATCCCACCGTCAGTTCCATCGATCAAATCCAGACAGGTATGACGTTTCAACTAACCTCCCACTTGGAGAAACGGAGGTCCATCTGGCCGCGGCGCTCAGCGGCGAGACGGGGAGTCTCCTTGAGGGAGCGGCGCACCGTCCGGGCGGCAATGGCCAGGTAGCGGTTGTAGCTATACCCACGGTCAGTACAGGCAAGAATTGGCGAGATCTGGCACAACATACGTGAGGCCAGCGGCTTTCCAGGCGGCAGACATTTTGAAGAGTGGATGTGAAGAGATGGGTGGTTCAATTGAAGGGGTGAAAACGGCTCGGGTGAGTTTGGAAGCGTTCGACTTCGGAGAATCGGGAACTTTGGTCACGTGAAAGCGGTCTCGATCTATAAGTCACGTGGGCTCAACATCTCCCATCATCGCCCGCAACAAGAGCCATTCCATATCAGTATTTTTCCAACATATCCCAGTTGATTTATAGTTCAAAGAAGTCTTGATAGCTTGAGTCATATTTGTGATATTGTATACATCTTTGTTCCGATGATGATTTTGCCGGTCTTCTCGAGTCTAATGTTCAGAACGAGATCAGCCTTTGGTGGAAGTGCAATGCACCAAAGCTAAGGGAGAGGGGAATATGACTTGTGGATCAAAAGGCACTCTCAGTTGTGTCGAACTTTTTAAGTTCACCTGACTTGCACGCTGGTCGAGCACCAGTACTCGGCAAACTTCTCCTTTTCCGTCACGGTAAATAATGGCCAACGGAGCGTAATATCAAAGCCCAAAAAGCCTATCCAGATGTGGTAACAGCACTTGGTGGGACTCGGTGAGTCTCTCAGGTATGTCTCTAGCATGAGAATGGTGATCGTTAGTGTAGAGATTATTTCGCGCTTTCGATAGAGACCACGCGAAGCCCACTAGCGCTCCCAAGGCAGGACCAGGTAGCCGTCTTCGATTGCTTTCTAGCTGTTAATCTGGAGTCTTCCATCGCCGAGAACTTCACGTTGTTTGTTTATGAACGTGATAGCCAGAATTTCGGGGGCTGCGTGTGTTTCCACGTCTATCAATCTTCCTCGCGTTTGCCCCACGCCATCCTCTTTCTTTTCTTCCACCTCTCGATTTCCGTTTTCTAAACCTCACTTCTCACCCACATCTACTATCCCCTCGTGCACCAAAGACCAAAGACCCTGCATTTTGGTAAGTACCTTCTCTTTGTCTACTCGCACATCTTACATTAAGACACTGAGAGCCTCTGTTACTTGCTACGTCTGCGTTGAAAGCCGTTGAAGGATCTTGACAAGCTCGTTAGTCGGTAACGAGAAGGTCCGAGACTGGTGAGGCGTCAGACGGGCCACCCTTTCACTCTGCCCTTTTGCCTTATGTTCGAGGGACCAGCGCATTTTCGGGTTCTCCATCAACTTGGTTCCTCAAGTGACGGTTCCCAGTCGAACATCTGGTCGCAGGGCCTTGGCGGGATATCGAAGCCTCATTGTGCTTTCCGGCTCTGCTAGTTCTTTCATATCCGGGGCGAGTCTCGAGGGGCATCTTGACCGTTTATTCAATCTTGCATCTCGTGTCCTTGATATCTTGCTTCTTTCATCCTCGCACGACGCGCCAGCTCAAGACCTTCCTATCCATCCCGTCACACAACCTCCAAATCCTCTTGCAACCCATCACCTGAGAAACAACATACTAACGCTGATCACCATACCTAGTTTGCAAACACTGCCCTACAAAGACATCACCCACAAAATGGCCTCCACTCGGAAGGGTGGAGGGGAGGCCACGCCAGGAAACATTGGCAAAAAACCACGTAAGGAAAAGCGTCAGTTGGTACGCTGGGATCGTAAGTCTCACCCAATTTCTTTCTTGCATAAGTCCCATTCATGCATCACGGAGCTTCTATCACAAGTGAAGTGTGTTCACGTCAGATTCCGCCCATTTGTGGGGGTGATCCATAAAGTCATCCATTGGTTTCTGTCGAACTTTGAGCTTCTCGTTCTGACAATATTGATAGAGGATCTTGACACCCTGCTGCTGCTCACTGTCCAGTCGGCATGCAACCTGACCGGGGTCAAAGTCCCCTGGCAGAAGGTTGCTAAGCTTTATGGGTCCCAAGTTCACCGAAGGAGCCATTGTGCAGCACCTGTCGAAGCTACGCATCCGTCGTGAGGCTGCCGGCCAGCGTGTGCCCCCTCCCTTGCGTCGTTCTGTGACTGCGGCGGCTGCTGCTAGTGGTGGCAAAGGAGGTCTCAAGTCGGGACGAAAGAATACGCGCAAGCGTAAGGGGCGTTCTGATGCTTTGGATGAGGATTCCTCGGATGGCCTGGACGCCCAGGAAGAGGATGATTCCGATCCAGAGTACATCCAGAACAAGAAAAAGCATAACGCCAGACGCTCTTCATTCTCCATCTCTAAGAAGACCAAGCTGGGCCTGAAGGATGATGATGAAGAAGATGACGATGATGATGCTCTGATGTGCAGCGGCGCTCCGTTCCTTCAACACACCGGACCCAATCTTGAGTCTGACCTTGGCGATAGCGATAGTGAGGTAAGCGACGACGATGACGCTGCCCTCGACTTGGACGACGAATTCGATTCCGACTCATACGCCGCCAAGATCAAGCTTGAGAAGGCTAGCCCGACCCCCGGTCTATCGCGAGTTATCAAGCTTCCCGTGAGTCTTCGAAGCCGTGATCAGGATGCCTTGAAGTCGATCCGCAGCGTGGCCGACAACACTCCACCACCTTCGTCTCAGGCAGGGACTTGGAACCAGAGCTACGCGCCCAATGATCCGGCCATGATGAACAACAACATGGGCTCGATGTATGGACCTCAGGGTCCCTGGTACCCCGGTCAAATGGCCACAAGTCAAGGCAACGAGAACCCGTTCCAGACTGCACCTGGCCATATGTACTGGCCTATGCCTACTCCAGTCGTCAATAACCGAATCCTTGCTCCTAACGACTTCACCTGGTCTCCACATACGCCTGCCTTTGCTTCTGGACGAGGTGGTACCTTGGCTGTCTCGGGTCATCCAGTGCCAAGCTGGGCCTCGGTCACGGCAACTGCTGGCGAGTCTCCGTCCCAGGCCATGGATCCAGCCTCTTGGTTCTTGAACTCCAATGTCTTTGACCCTGACGATGATATTGACGCAAAGGAGAATCACGGTCAGAACCAGGGTGGAGAGGAGTATTGAGCCACGCAGTGAAGTGGCGACTCGTCATTCTCTCGTGCAGCCCATCATGGTTCTGAGAAGTTTTGACACTGGTGGCAGCGGTTTTCATTTTTGTTCTTCGAGAGAGATGAAGCATGGGGATGAGAAAGCTTCAATGATGGACATGGTTTCTTTTGTTTTCGGTCGTGAATAAGGGTGAGAGAGTTTCCAGCTCGCTTAACGGGCGCTGGATCCTCGTTGATTTTGGCGTTGTTTTCACGTCAGATGGACTTGGTGGAAGGGCTGCTCATCTGGCTTGCAAATACCATTTTCTGTCAGACAGGAAGACATCACATACTCAGGGAGATCTGATTTAGGTAGTTAGCTTCGTTCAAATGAACATGTCCTTAAAATTCATCTTCAAGAGCGAGTTAGATGAACGTGCTGGAAGATTAGCAGAAGTGCATGGTGATTCGACTGCAATGTATATACTGGATGTCAAGATTGATCCATTTAGGTATGCGTTTCTTTGTTCTCAACTCCGCGTCTTCTCCTTGAACTGCTGCGTTCATCTCGAATCTTGTTCACATCGCCTCGCCGTTAACTCGTCTTTGGATTTCTTCATGCACAGATTGACTGGTAGGTATCATAGGTACTTCCTTGTTTTTATGTTGAATACTGTATGATTAGGTAGATATCATCAATCCAGGATGCGGCTAATACGAGATAATTACCCAGTTTTCCTGGATAACCCATGGCATTTTCACGATATATATCCGCGGGCAAGCGCACGGCCGATGTTTTCCCGTCCAAATGATTAGGTCAACTCGACTGATTTGTAGGTGGCTATAGTAACGAGTCAATGAGGTTATAGACAACAATCTATACTCCAGTTCAAAAGCTGGAAGTGACCAATATGATCCTTCAATCGCAATTCTTAGACTCCACGGGATCCCGGTCTCGATGGCCATCCGGAGGTATATAGCCGGTCACCCGAAACCTCGGGAATGGCCAGGCCACGTGACCTTCTAGCTGTTTCTGCCGCCCAAGTCTGGGGATGGGGAAGAATGAAGAAAGGCCTGGAAAATTTTCGAGACTTTGGCTTCATCTTCCCCAGCTTCCCTCCCTTCCCTTACATCTCCATTTCATCTCACCCCCCTCCTCACCTCCTCACCCGCATCAATTCCGGCTGGGTTTTCTTCTATATTTCTCTCTTAATCCCTTCTCGTCTCTTTTTCGTTCTCCTGTTTCCTGAGCAATGCAGCGCGCCCTGTCCACCCGGACTTCGGTCCTCTCGGCCGCTTCCAAGCGTGCCCCTTTCGCCCGCTCTCCCCTGAACCTCCAGCAGCAGCGTTTTGCCCACAAGGTGCGTACTACAGTGCCATTGCAGTTGCCCTTCGGATGGACTCCCCGATGACTCTCGGCTGCGAATTCCGTCGATTCCGAAGCTCTCCGTGTTTAACCCTGGCTGACCGCAAAGTAGGAGCTCAAGTTCGGTGTTGAAGCTCGTGCCAGCATCCTCAAGGGTGTTGACACTCTCGCCAAGGCTGTTACTTCTACTCTCGGCCCCAAGGGTCGCAATGTCCTCATCGAGTCTCCCTACGGTTCCCCCAAGATCACCAAGGGTAAGTTGTCGTCTCTTCGGCGCAATCCCGAACCTGGCTCGGCCTTTCGCGGCGATTGAAGAACAAAACAATTGCTAACGTTGCATGTTTCAACACAACAGACGGTGTTACTGTCGCCAAGGCTATCACTCTGCAGGACAAGTTCGAGAACCTCGGTGCCCGCCTCCTCCAGGATGTTTCCTCCAAGACCAACGAGCTCGCTGGTGACGGTACCACCACTGCCACCGTTCTCGGCCGTGCCATCTTCTCCGAGACCGTGAAGAACGTTGCCGCTGGCTGCAACCCCATGGATCTCCGCCGCGGTATCCAGGCCGCCGTCGAAGCCGTCGTCGACTACCTCCAGGCTAACAAGCGTGACATCACCACCGGTGAGGAGATCGCTCAGGTCGCTACTATCTCCGCCAACGGCGACACCCACGTCGGCAAGCTCATCTCCAACGCCATGGAGCGCGTTGGTAAGGAGGGTGTCATCACCGTCAAGGAGGGTAAGACCTTGGAGGACGAGCTCGAGGTCACCGAGGGTATGCGCTTCGACCGTGGTTACACCTCCCCTACTTCATCACCGACCCCAAGTCCCAGAAGGTCGAGTTCGAGAAGCCCCTGATCCTGCTGTCCGAGAAGAAGATCTCCGCGGTCCAGGACATCATCCCCGCCCTGGAGGCCTCCACCACTCTCCGCCGCCCCCTGGTCATCATTGCCGAGGACATTGAGGGTGAGGCTCTCGCCGTCTGCATCCTGAACAAGCTCCGTGGCCAGCTCCAGGTCGCTGCCGTCAAGGCCCCCGGCTTCGGCGACAACCGCAAGAGCATCCTTGGTGACCTGGCTGTCCTCACCAACGGTACCGTCTTCACTGATGAGCTCGACATCAAGCTCGAGAAGCTCACCCCCGACATGCTCGGCTCCACCGGTTCCATCACCATCACCAAGGAGGACACCATCATCCTGAACGGCGAGGGCAGCAAGGACAACATCTCCCAGCGCTGCGAGCAGATCCGTGGTGTCATGAACGACCCCACCACCTCTGAATACGAGAAGGAGAAGCTCCAGGAGCGTCTGGCCAAGCTCTCGGGCGGTGTTGCCGTCATCAAGGTTGGCGGTGCCTCCGAGGTTGAGGTCGGCGAGAAGAAGGACCGTGTCGTCGATGCCCTGAACGCCACCCGCGCTGCCGTTGAGGAGGGTATCCTGCCCGGTGGTGGTACTGCCCTGCTCAAGGCCTCGGCCAACGGCCTGGATGGCGTCAAGCCCGCCAACTTTGACCAGCAGCTCGGTGTCAGCATCATCAAGAGCGCCATCACCCGCCCTGCTCGCACCATTGTCGAGAACGCCGGTCTGGAGGGCAGCGTCATCGTCGGCAAGTTGACCGATGAGTTCGCCAAGGACTTCAACCGCGGCTTCGACGCCTCCAAGGGCGAGTACACCGACATGATCGCCAGCGGTATCGTTGACCCCCTGAAGGTTGTCCGCACTGCTCTGCTTGACGCCAGCGGTGTTGCCTCCCTGCTGGGCACCACCGAGGTGGCCATTGTCGAGGCTGCCGAGGAGAAGGGCCCCGCTGCCCCCGGCGGCATGGGTGGTATGGGTGGTATGGGCGGTATGGGCGGCGGCATGTTCTAAACGCATCCTCCTTCCACCCCCGGTCCCTTGTTCCCCTCCGCCTTCTTTTTGTGTGAAATGATTACCCTCCCCCGCTGCATCCCTTTTGCATGGTCGCGCGGTGCTCTTGCGGCTCTGGATCTTTTGTAATGCCCCTTGGTGTTGTCTTTATTTACCCTTGTCTTACCACCGATCTCCTTTTTTTTTTTTTTTTTTTTTCCCTTTATACCTGTATTTCTCCGTTGTGCCTCCTACTCCTCCTCTCTCCACTCTTCCCCTGGGGCTCTCCAAAAAAAGATTCCGGCGCAAATCCTGTATCATATGTATCTCTCTCTCTCTCTCTCTCCATTTACACGTGGTTCTAATGCATTATTTGATGATGCTCGACACTGTTTGCCCTGTAAGATCTATAGACCGCACAGACCCAATCTTGGCTGGGATCAGCAAATACTAAATATGTCGTCGATGCCTAAGAGAACTGGAGTTGACCCCCAATTGGGGTACAGTATTCTGTAAACCGGAAGAATGCCGAGATCTAACATTGTGACTCTGTATGGGATTAAACCACGAAGCTATTGATATGAAGTACTGTACGTAAAAAGGAGAAGCAGGTTTTGGTGGCCAAGCAACGTTGAAATCGGGCGGTGGACCAACGATCGACCCGCCCGCGAGTGATCGGCACGTGGAATGCATAGAAACCCATAAAAACAGTAAACAGTTCACAGTTCACAGTTAACAGCTTCACGGGGGGCATCTTCAGCGGGCAGCTTAGGCAGTCGGCACTGCAAAGTACTGAAGGGTTCTCATTCCAGACCAGTCCCGATCTCCAGATCCACGGGCCACTGGAAGCCCGTCCAGCTGACTGGCATTTTGTGATGGGTCACCTGCCAGCCCCATTGGCTGTGGTCGTCGGCTAATCGACCGCGGTTTACGCTGACCCGCGGCCTGGGACGTGAGGGTCTAGACTGTCTCTCGAATACTTGCAATGCCAATTCTGCATTGTTATTCGAGGGCCATCTCTAGTGCCTCGATTGACCTCGCATCCTCGGCCACCTTGCCTTTTCTGCGGTCCCCAGAAACCCCAAACCCCCCCGGCTGTCAAGTCACCCCCAGACCTTTCTTGCCACACCCCCCCCCTCCGTTCCAAGTGTAGTGAAACTCACTGGCCACTTCTCCACGCCTGCTCTCTGATTTCCTTTTCTTGTCAATCTTGTCACTCGATCGTGGGGATCCTTTGCGGCACTGAGCCTGGGGGATGTATACACCACTGCGCTTATTCAATCTCCGTGCTGCTGCACCTGGTGAGCTGCCCTCCATTCTGAATAATGCCGCGTGCCTTGAATACGCTCAACCGGGCCCCAGCTGACACAATCCTACCTCCAGTGTGATACAAGGAACCTCAACTAGGCGCGAGGAAGACGACTTTAAAACACAGACCTAGTCCTACTATTCCCAGCCAGCCCCGCCCCAGTCAGTCAGCTCTCTGATTGTCCCCAAAATCCACAAATGGCTACGCTGGTGGATTCACCGCGACCCGCCCTGGTTAGCGATGCCGACCTCCTCCAGGCCCGCGCTGCGCTACAGCACCAGAACAGCCCCGACATCTCGGTCCCGCGGGATTTCATCTCCCTCATTGTCGAAGAACTGATCTACCGCCGCGAGTCCCACTCCGCGATCGCAGACGTCGAACATGAATGTTCCGCTCTTCGCAAGGAGCTCCGCAAACACACGCATATCAATGAAGCCTTCCAGAAGGAACTGCGCGAGATCGGTGAGATTATCACCCAAGTTGCCCATGGCGACTTGTCCCAGCGCGCACGGCTTCATCCGCTGGAGATGTCTCCGGACATTGCGACATTCAAGCAGACTATCAACACCATGATGGATCAATTGCAAATCTTCAGTCAGGAAGTGACCAAGGTCGCGCGCGAGGTGGGCACCGAGGGTGTTCTGGGTGGCCAAGCCAACATCGAGGGCATTCAGGGAATTTGGCAAGAACTGACGGTCAATGTGAACGCCATGGCCAACAACCTAACTACCCAAGTTCGTGATATTACAACCGTGACTACGGCAGTGGCCAAGGGCGATTTGACTCGAAAAGTGCAAGCAGATTGTAAAGGAGAAATCCTGTTGCTTAAGAACATTATCAACTCCATGGTGGATCAGCTCCGCGAGTTTGCGTTCGAGGTGAGCCGAGTCGCGCGTGAAGTCGGTTCAGATGGAACTCTCGGTGGCCAGGCTGTGGTCCATGGTGTTGAGGGTACCTGGAAGAATCTGACCGACAACGTGAATCGTATGGCGTCGAATCTCACCCAACAAGTCCGTGAGATCGCCAAGGTCACGACCGCGGTGGCGCGTGGTGATCTTACTATGAAGGTGACAGCCGACGTAAAGGGCGAGATCCTGGATCTAAAACTTACGATCAATGCAATGGTCGACCGACTCAACCAGTTCGCCTTCGAGGTGAGCCGTGTGGCTCGGGAAGTCGGCACGGACGGCACGCTGGGTGGACAAGCCCAGGTCGAGAACGTCGAGGGTCGTTGGCGCGACCTCACCGACAACGTGAACACAATGGCCCAGAACCTCACACAACAAGTGCGACAGATTTCAAACGTGACACAGGCCATCGCTCGAGGCGATCTGAGCACGAAGATTGAGGTCCACGCTCAGGGTGAAATCTTGACTCTGAAAGAAACAATTAACCGCATGGTGGATGGTCTCAGCCAATTTGCCCGAGAGGTCAAGATCGTGGCGAGGGATGTGGGTGTGAGAGGCAAACTTGGTGGACAGGCGAAGCTGGACGGGTCGTACGGTATTTGGCGGTCGATTAGTGAAGACGTCAATATCATGGCCGACAATCTTACCTCGCAGGTGCGAGCCTTTGGCGAGATCACGGAGGCTGCGATGAGTGGTGACTTTACGAAGCTGATCACCGTGTCGGCATCGGGCGAGATGGATGATCTCAAGCAGAAGATCAACAAGATGATTTGGAGTCTGCGCGATAGCATTCAGCGTAACACGGCAGCTCGTGAAGCTGCAGAGCTGGCGAACCGCAGCAAGTCGGAATTCCTTGCAAATATGAGGTATTTGAAACATCCTACAGCTTGTAACCTTGGGAGGGAATCAGCTAACATGGACAAACTCTTCAGTCACGAAATTCGAACTCCGATGAATGGAATTATTGGGCTTTCGAGTCTAGCACTAGATACAGACGAGCTTGCTGCCCCCGTTCGGGAGACGCTCAACATGGTGCATAACCTTGCCATCAGCCTTTTGACGATCATCGACGACATCCTCGACATCTCCAAGATCGAGGCTAATCACATGATGATCGAGAAGATGCCCTTCAGCCTGGGATCTACGGTATTTGGCGTCTTGAAAGCACTGGCAGTGGAGACGAACGAGAAGGCGTTGACATTGTCCTACACTGTTGATGGCAATGTGCCAGATTTCCTGATAGGCGACGCATATCGCTTGCGCCAGGTGATGCTCAATCTGGTCGGCAACGCCATCAAGTTTACCGATCACGGTGAAATCCGGGTCACCATCAGACGTGCTGAGAACAGCGACTGCCAAGAGGATGAGACGATGTTTGAGTTCTCGGTCACCGATCCTGGCATCGGTATTGAGGCGAGCAAGCTTGGTCTGATCTTCGACAAGTTCCAGCAAGCAGACGGATCGATGACTCGGCGTTTCGGTGGCACAGGTCTCGGACTGGCCATTTCTAAGCGGCTTGTCTCTCTCATGGGCGGTGATATCTGGGTTACATCACGTGTGGGCGAGGGAAGCAAGTTCTCTTTTACCTCTCGAGCCAAGCTGGCAGAGCCTCCAGCTGGTTTCTCGGAGCAGCTGGCACCATACCGGGGCCGCCGAGTTTTACTTGTCGGTAATGGAGACTCGGAAGGCTGTTCCGTGTCCACAATGCTCCGAGACTTTGGTCTCGAGCCCGTAGTCGTTCGTGACAGCGACCTCGTTCCTGACCAGGTACGAAAGGATCTGTGTGGCTCGTTCGACGCTATGCTGGCCCCGAGTCTAGAGACAGCGGCCAAGCTACGTGCCGACCCGAACCTTTCTCTCAACCCTCTGGTTATCGTGGCACCTGTCGTGGCTCTCCTCCTCAAGTCCGCCGGTGAACTCGGCGTATCATCCTACATCACAATACCCTGTCGACCCATCGACTTCTGGAGTGGTATCCTCCCAGCCCTCGGCAACCGCAGGAACCGCATATCCGAAGGGATCACCCGGTCTCTTGCAATTTTGCTAGCGGAAGATAACGACGTGAACCAAAAGGTCGCCGTACGTATCCTTCAAAAATGCAACCACAACGTCACCGTCGTCGAGAACGGCTTGCAAGCCGTCAAAGAGGCGCAGCAACACCGTTACGACGTGATTCTGATGGACGTGTCCATGCCGGTCATGGGCGGTTTCGAAGCAACGGTCAAGATCAGACAACACGAGAAATTGAACAGTCTGCCGCGCACGCCTATCGTGGCACTCACTGCGCATGCCATGCTCGGTGATCGAGATAAATGCATCCAAGCGGGCATGGACGAGTATCTCTCCAAACCGCTGAACTCGAACATGATGATGCAGACTATTCTGAAGTGCGCGTCCATGAACCTGGTCTCTGCTGTGGAGAGTTGAGATTGTGTCCGGGCTTTATGGTACAATTCGACAGCGGCTTTTGATGCTGCCACTCCGGAGAACTGATAGTGGGTGGTCTATCCTACACCACCAAGTAGCTCTATCCCGACATCTACCTCTTGGATGAATTGCAAACGCATCGGACATTCCAAACGACGATCCATTCCATCAATCCGTGGAATGATTGCTGCTGATAGTGGTCTGTCTTTTCTTTGCGCAATGCACGTTTTATCTTTACCTGGGACCGAGGCTTGAGACCACGAAGTAATGAACATGCTAGTCATTAAGGTGGTCCCAGTGCGGAATCATACCAACCTTTCAATGTTCACGTCGTCTTTCCCGGTAAATTCTCTACAGAATTACCCCACATGCATGTACTTACTTATTCGCACTGGCGCAGAGGCGTTTAGAATTTGAACTCTGTTCGTAGGATCTGGGTCTTTGTCCTCCGACTAGGAGAAGTACTATCTATTTCCCGCGAGCCAAGAAGTTATAGGACCGCATTGGTTTCATACACGGTATCAATACGAGCGAATGAATCATTTCCTTTAAACCATATACATCATATCAAATGGGAGTTAATAGACACTCGTATTCCGGCGGAAATGTGGGGTTAATGACGATAATGGGCGGGCTGAACACGAAAAGGCTATCCAGAGAAACCACAGAAAGCTGTTGCTGCCTAGCTAATCCACTCGACAAACAATATAAAGAACCAACCGGAGCATCGAAGGAAATCTGCAAAATCCACTGCCCGGTTCTTGCAACATGGACCATTCAAACTCGGCCTCCATTTTCCCGCTCGACGGCGGTTGTGCCTGCGGGCATGTGCGGTATCGCCTCAAGGCACGCCCAATCGTCGTCCACTGCTGCCATTGCACTTCCTGTCAACGTGAAACCGGGACTGCATTCGCCATCAATGCCGTTATCGAGTCCAGTCTTGTCACCCGTCTCCCATCAGCACCACCGTCTGTCCCTGCATCCAGCACTCAAGCCGTAAAGTCCGCCGGTCCGCCTTTGTCCAGCCAGCTCGAGGGTTCCGTGGAACTGGAGACTATCAACACACCGTCGGAATCGGGAAGAGGCCAACGTATTGTCAGATGTCCGGCTTGTCGAGTCGCTGTGTGGTCGCACTATTGGGCTGCGGGTTCTCGAGCTCGCTTTATTCGAGTTGGAACGCTGGATGAAGCGTGGAAAGTCCGGCCTGATGTGCACATATACACGCAGAGCAGGAGGGGCTTTTTTAGATTGGACGAGTCGATTCCGGCGTTCGATGCTTTTTATCCTAATATGGGGGAGATATGGAGTCAGGAGAGTTTGGATCGATGGGAGGAACTTATGAAGATCGATGAGATGGAATGATACTCTGTGAATCTCTGGTGGATTGTGATTATATTTATTTGTCTAATCTAACAAATCCCCAGCGCAAATCTCTCTCAGTACACACCCTGACTCCTTGTCAGCGGCGACTTGGAAGTGAACTTCCACGTCCTCACGGGAAAGGGTCCTCTGGTTCCCACAGGGCATCCTCTTCCCACGGGGCATCTTCCAACTTTAATTAAGCTTAAATCACACATTGAGCCCGCCCTCACTAACCCGTCGCACTTTCTCCGCCAAGGCCTCTCCCCATCCATTCGCCTTCGACATCGACTTTACTCGCTTTCTTTTCCTCCTCTCGAGCTCTTCCAGCGGACTCCTTTCCACTTGCCGACGTTGCCAAAAGTCCTCCTCGAATTGTGTACGATTATGGCTGTACCCAAGATACTGGTCGAACCGCTTGCGCATCGCCGAGTCTTCAGCTGGAACCACGGAAGGGATCTTACTTCTGAAGGAATCCCAGTGCAGAAACATTTTTATGGGGGTAGTGACGAACTCTCTCAACAGACCACGCCCGATCTTGTGTGATTCTGTGACTGTTTGGCGGAGGCTCCCGCTGAATGCCATTAGCAGGGCGATGCCAATGATTGCGAAGGAAGCCGGTGCTAAACATGGAGTCGTTAGCAGTGGAACCATATAAATGGGAGGAGATCGGGTCTTGTGGTAGCATACCTCCAATCTCAAACATCTGGGCCAAAGAGAGATTTTCGGGCGTTCCACTCCATTCACGGGCATTGATGCCAAAAAGGGACGTGAAGAAGGACAATGGGAGGAAGCTGAATTTATGAGTTTGACATGTGGTTGAATGGTAAGTTCAGGGAGCTCCTTACATGACTGTGAAGATGGTGAAAACCATCAGCGACCGAGACTGATTCTGCGTCTCCTCAGCCTGCCACCTCGCCATCTTCGCCTCGTCAACATTTGCCTGCTTCTGCTTCAGGTCAAGCAGAGTCTCGACCGCTTTCTGTGCAAGGTGACTGTTCTCCTTCATCTCGCCAATCTGTGTCCGATACTCGTCGATTCGCATCTGCGCCGCATCGAGGAAGACAATACCACAACCACTTGGATCGAAGTACTTCATCATGCTCTTGATGACAGTGTCTTGCTGATCGAGTAATTTCAGAATCGTTGAGAGCTCATCTTCGATATCGCGTAGCTCGAGAAGCACGGAGAGGTCGTCACGGTTGCGACGAGCTGTTTGCCGATCTCTCGCGTCAAGCTCTGCAGCGGTCATATTTTTTCCTTCTGTGGTGCGATCGAAGTCTGCTGGACGACTGAAGAATCCTCGATTGCGGAAGCGTTTGAAGGATTTGGTTACAGATTCGGTCTATGTAAATCTTGATTAGGACTCTTGCAGCAAGTCCGATGTTGTGGCACGAGGAGTAAGACGTACCAGGATACTGATCGACTCTTCGAAGATTCTTAGAACCTGCAAGTCGCGATGGAGAGTCCTGTCCAGAAGGACAGTTGTAGCGTGTAACATGATCAGAGCTGCCAAGTCACCAGCGGTTTCAAACCGACGCGCCAGATCTCCATTCAACTCATTATAAATACTGCTGTGCAAATTGGTTTGTTCCAACAGCTTTCCCTCGGAGGTGGTCGCTTCTTGATTAGGGAAAAACGTGACAATAGTCTTTCGGTCGACGATCCAAAGCCAGAGCTGGTCGACCATCAGTACATTACCATCCATAAACTCGGTAGGCTCGGTGCCTTCTGGATCATCGTTGGTCGCTTCCAGGTACTCTCGGAGTTGATCATCGATTCGGGCTGGCTTGCGAGTGCGCTTCCAGAGCATTTGATCGTCATCGCGAGCTACCGTCGAGCGTAGATTGGGGTACCCAAATTGGTCGAGAGTGCGCCGGAAGTGGATAGGAGGCTCACAGCCCATATATTGCCATATGAGTTGCGCCTCGAGGCTTGATCTGTCGATGCGAGATGGCACGGGTCTCGATCGCCCTTGGTGAAGTCGGTCTTCGATGACCTTGCGGCGTTGTATCAGGTTTCGGTATGTGTCCCAATGAAGCTGGTAAATGTTAGTCATAGTAGAAGAGAATGAGGTGTCGTTCTTACATATGGTGTCTGCAGTATATCTAGTCAGTTCTTATGATTCATTGAAGATGGGAGGTAATGTACTTACATATAGAGCCAACTGAGGATCTTCTGCATCCCCTTCCTTGGCCCCGTGGGATACGTCCATCTGCCTGGAGTGAATGCATTTTGGCCGGACAAACCGGGCATGTGGTTCCTTATGTCGTGCTCGATTGAGGTTCAGGTACCAGTTTTCATCATTGATAAATTTTCGTACACTAAGTTTCCCAACATGTCAGTACAAGGATTGTGCCTTCAGGTCCATAATATGACATACAATGTCGGTTCCTGGCGATCCTGGCATGCTCGCCGAATGACCTGTGACACCCATCCAGTATGTGTGTAGGGAACATGTATCCATACTAGCTTCTCGGTGCCCGGATCAGGTCTGTCAAAACGCGGTAGTGAGCGAGGTATATCCGCCCCTTCGGCATTCTGGTTGATACGATCTCGCGTCGATGCAGGGATTGTCAAGAAATCGGCCTGTCGCGAGGGGGATGCCGAGCTTCTACAATTTCTAGTCAGTGGATTCGTCGACGTATCCAATTGGGGAGAGGTCCATACGAGTTAGGCCGAGAGCTACTCGCGTGGGAACTGTCATCCGATATATTTCGTTTGTGGGATCTGACGTGGCCTATTCCTAATGCATGTGCGATGGTTTCCTTCGCTCGTCGTTCCAAGGGAGGTGGAGGGCTTTCACTTGAGGGTCTGTCAAAGTATCCATCTGTGGCGGCCTTGGTGATGTGGATGGTTGGAGAATGGAGTGTTGGGTCTATGTGGGTTTGATAGCTTTGGCCGTGTTTTAACGTCGGCCTCGAGGGTCGGTCGTCGCTCTCGCGCACAGCTTCATGGTTGTTATGGACGTCGTGATCGTTATGGTCATTATTGTCATCATCAGTAAGATCACCATCAATAGAATCTTCATGTTCATGGTCTTCAGGCCCCTGGACTACCTTGGGGGATGGAAAGCGGCTACCGTAACTACTCAACGAGGAATCATCCAGTGTCCCAGGCTGAATCCGCTCCAAACGCTCCCGCAGACAAGCTGATGGCCCATGAGCCAAGTATTTCTCCAATGAGACCTGCGTGGACCACAACTTCAGTGGGGTCTCATCGCTCACACCTAGGGCTGTGTCTTCGAAGAACCCATTGACTTGGACCATAACCCTCTGCTCCACCTGTAGCGGATGATCCATGCGCTTGGAAAGCTCAACAGCCACATTCACAGAGTCATTGAGTTCAATCAAAAATGCTTCTAGAGCTGGTTCCTGTCCCTCAAAACACGATGTCCCAGCATGATCCGTACCCATGGGAATCTCGTTCTCGTGCTCGATACTGAGTAACCCAGATCGAATAGAAGTGATCGGCGCATGGAACTCTATGATAGTGTTTGACTCTAAATCTTGCACATGCAGGGTCGAGTCAAGCGTCTCCAGGAACGACCAGACCTTCATGTCAGCAGAGAGTGCCTTGAACTGATTAGAAAGATGCCACAGTCTGTCCTGTCGAGGGCGGAACTGTTCTCGCAACGCGAGTGGAATTTCATACTCCAGATACAGCAGCCGCCGAATACTTCGTTGATACTCTTCTGCCGAGAGATACGTCGATCCCTGATGAGGAGTCGCGAAGAACGCGATACCATGGCAACTCGTCAGGATCGCCTGGTTCGGCTCGGCCCGTGATGCCAGAGCGAGGCATGCCTTGGCTACTAACCCGCCTGTGCTGTGGCATAGGAAGAATATTGGCCGCCGACTGCTGTCATGTTTGCGCTGCTCGAGCAGGCGGTTCAACAGCCGTTGGCCGAGGATATCGATCTTGTCACGCTCGCGCAGCTGGCCATGGCTGTATAGCAGCACCCGAGCGCGTGGCATACGTTTTAGCAGATCCGTCCCTAGCCATGGTGATTTCGACCCCTGAGCTGTCCAGGATTTCTGGTGATGGGCCCCGATGGGCGGGATCGCAACAATACTATGGTCGGAAGAATGTCAGTCTGTCAGTTCGTATTGGGGAGAAAAAGGGCGCACAGACTCTACGTTCGTCTGCTCCGCAAGCTGGATACACTCGAACCATGCCGAGCGAGTCGGCCCTACTGTAGATGGAGGCATCGTGGGCTCGAGATGCTTGAATGGGGTGCATTCAAGAGGGTCCCTTGCAGGAAGAACATGGGATGACCTGGACAGACGCCATCTTGAAATAGATCATGAGGAGGGGGCGATTTCAGCCTCAAGGCGCGATCATCTGCTCGCGCCCTGGCGTGGGCGTGCAGCCCGCTTGGTCCCAACTCGGCAGTGCGCCGATCGCGTGAGTCAAAGCACATCACCCGGGTTGGCTGCTTAGACGCATCGGAGTTTAAAAACATAGGGAGAAATCGGAGGAGAGTCATGATGTAGTTATTAACAATATCATAGTTGGGTAGCGGGGATTATTCGCGAAACTTGGTATGTACAACAAATAAGGGTGCTTTTGAATCACAATAACCACTCCAAACATGCCCGGAGAAATGAACCAAGACAAGACCGGACAAGAAACTAATGCAACACTTTCTCTATGGCTTAGCTGATGCGGTATGGTCAAAAACATGGACGCCGGAAAGGATAAAGTGTACAACGGAGAGGAGGGAGAGGCGATCGAGGGACCGATCGCATGCAAAATAAAAATACATCAATGAGGAGAGGAGACAGAGAGGGAGATAGAGAAAGGCAAGAGGACGAGGTGTAGAGAAGAAGGGAAGGTTAGGAGCTTTCTGAATGTCGGCGCTCATTCACCTCTCGAGCCATGCGCTTGCCGAGCTCATAGGTTGAGATCATAATGGCGCAGGCTGGGGCAACCTTCAGACAGCGTGCTGCCCAACCCTTGAATAGGCCGGCCATGCCTTCTTCCCGGAGGATATGCATGAGGAATTTGGGAAGGGACAGCCGCTCTGGAGCAGTAGCCTTGGGAGGGAGAGATGGACGTTGGCCACCACTCGATGGAACATCGTCGCCCATGTGTCGGAAGACTTGCTGCCTCGTCTTGCCCACATCGAAAGGTGTGGTGACCAACGCTGCCACCGATCCCGAGGTAGCACCGGCGATAAAGCTCTCAAAGAAGGCCGTTGTCGTGGAGAGTGACTCAACCTCTGAGCTGGAGCGATGCGGCGCATGCTGTCTCGTATTCTCCAGCGACTGTTTCACCTTCTCATAACCCCACCAGTATAGACCGGAGAAGGGCACATCGCGCCACATAGTGAGCGACAGTCCTCGCCATAGGGAAGTATAGCCGCTTGCATGGGTCATTTGATAGAGGCCTTCCAAAGTGGCTTTAAAATGACCCGCACCGTGCCCAGGGGTGGCCTGGAGTCTCGTCCGGAACATCTCCACTGGACTCGTGGCTGATGCGGCCGCTGTGCGAGCTATTGCGCCGGCCACGAAGGGGGCATATACATCTGACACATTCTGCTTAATTGGACTGCGATCATCCGCTCGTAACCAGTCATATCCAGCGAAATAGATGATATTCGCTGGAATTCCCATCATCAAGGTCGGACTGAGTCCGCGCCACAGGGTCCAGAAGCCCTCATTCCGGGCGATCTTGCGGAGACCATCAAAAGTCGAAGTAAAGGTTCGTTGCTGAGTCTCTTCTACAGCGCAATCAATACCAAGGTGTGCTGGACTCCTCACCACACCTCCTTGCGGCCCAAACATGCAAACTTGCGCATTATCTCCTACCCAGAACACTTCACGGCAACATGATGTAATTCCGAGGTTCGGCGGTAGGTTCTTCAACGTCTGAGTGGTATGTGTAGTATATGGCGCGACCGTAGATGTTTGTGATTGCGATTGCAGTCGTACGCGTACAACGTCCAAGGGAGTGACTAGGGAAGTTGTCGTCAGTATGGTAGTAGGTATGTGAGGACCTTGCTGCTGCCAGTTGACACTCACCGAGCAAGCCAGTCAGGATATTCCCAGCCGTCGCAGAGATCATTCGCTGTCCGAGTGAGATATCCTCCGTCGAAGGGGTGACGTTGGGGGTCGGGACTGCGCCCGTCGATGCTGTGGAGGTCATTGGCAAGGGTCCGTCAAACTTGGATGTCCATGGCGTTGAGTCAATGTCGGACTCAAAGACGTCCCCAGCAGCACTGGAGTGGCTTGAAGTCGCGGAGATATCCAGCCCGATCGACATTCGATCGGCAAGAACCGATCTATTGATGTGTGAAAGCGAGGCTGGTCTCGCGACTGCTGGGAAGAGTTTGGGAGAAGAACGATGCGTCACGAATGGAAGATTTTCGGGGTTTTGCGGGTGGCGGCGGGCGGAGATAAGCGTCCTTTCGGTCAACGCGCTTATTCTCTTCTACCGTTCCTCTTTGAAGCAACCAGATCTCATTCAACCCCGCTTGTCGATGGCGACCGCAGTGATCTCTGTATAGTTTCCTTGACTGGGTGTTTCTTGCTTTGTCTGGACCGGTGGAACCCCCTTTGGTCTTATCAGATTGATCAATCTCCGACACCGGACGTGTCGGGACCTTCCCCGCTATGGACGACAACGCCGAGCTCGAGTCCTTTCGCCGCCAGTGGCGTGAAGAGGTCGCTCGTCGATCCAAACCTACGGCCTCTGGACCTGTGCTTGATGGTGCCTTTCCATCCGCCGCTCCGATCACATCTCCGGCCCTGTTGACTGGGACTCGACCTCCGCCAACTCGCCATGCCGCTACAGACCGAAAGGATCTTGATGAAGAGGGACCTGCGCCGGCATCGTTCGACCCGGAGGAGCTGGCTCAGCAGGTCGGAGAGCTGAGTGTCACACAAGAGGATGATGAGGAAGAAGATGGGTTCACTCGTCGGGCACAGCAGGAGCCCAACTCGGCTCTCGAGCACTTTGAGCGGGCGGTCGAGAAGGAAGCTGCGGGCAACTTGGGCGATAGTCTTCAACACTATCGCAAGGCATATCGGGTGAGTTGGATCACAGTAGATAATTGAGAGCTCTAATCCGGGCTAACATGTTGGTAGTTGGATGCTGGTGTTGACAAGGCCTACCGCAACAAACACTTTGCCCACGTTTGGAAGATGCCCGCCCAGCCCGCGCCAGCTGAACCTGCAGCCGCCGTTCCTGTGGCTGCTCCAGCGTCTACAGAAGTCGAGTTCATCCCTACGCCAGAACTGATCCAGTCCTTTGCCCACCTTCCTATTCCCCAGGCAGACCCAATAATCGAAGGGACTGACCCGCCACCATGCCCGATCGCCAACGTTCCGTCAGAGGTTATCGTCGAGATTCTACGCCATGTTGCGTTGCGAGACCCGGCGACCTTTGGCCGGATGGCGCTGGTTTGCAAGCGGCTTGCATACCACTTTGCACATGAGCAGCACATTTGGAAGCGGATCTGTCAACGGCCAGAGTTCGGATTCCAAGGAATGCATTACTCCTTCGTCTGCGATACTCTCGGCCGTCCCGTTTACACGCTGGAGGATCAGCGGTACACTCCCTTCCCAGTCGGAGTACCGATCCCCAGTTCGCTGTCGTCTTGGAGTCAGGTGTTTCAGTCCTACCCACGCATTCGATTCACGGGCATCTACATCAGTACCGTTAATTATTCACGGCCCGGAGCCACATCTTCATTCCAGAATGTGTCTTGGAATAGCCCGATCCACATTGTGACCTACTACCGCTACCTGCGGTTCTATCCGGATGGATCCGTGGTATCGTTGTTGACCACGACCGAGCCTGTGGATGTGGTGCCCTATATCAGCAAGGAGAACATGAGGACTGCACGCGCGCCTTCCCATAGACAACATCATCGAAATGCTTCGGACCAGGGCCAAACGCTTTCGGGAGCAGCAGAGCCTGTCCCGCCAGTCGCCATGAATGCGCTGAAATATGGTCTCCGTGGACGCTGGCGTCTGGCTTCGCCTGCGGATGTTGCGGATAAAGCGGAGGAGCAGAAGACTCCTCCCATGGCAAATCAAAGCCCTGAATCCTTTGATCCGCGCGATGTGATCGTAGAGACTGAAGGCGTCGATCCGAAGTACGAGTATACAATGCACCTGTCCCTTCGGTCACCTTCGGTATCCAAGGCTCATCTGAACCCATCGCGGAACACCAAACTCGTGTGGCGTGGCTTCTGGAGTTATAACAACATCACCGATGACTGGGCTGAGTTTGGGCTTCGGAACGACCGGGCGTATGTGTTCCGACGGGTTCGTGGCTGGGGCCTGGAATGAGAAGATGATGACTTATGACCAATTTGACTATATCCTCTTAAAAATATCAGAACATAGAGATGTACATATCGGCGGCAAATACAAAACAGAGCTTGGGTTTTCAGTCCACATAAATATTTTCAAGTACACAAGGATGTAAGGAGCACTAGGGTGTTGATTTCATCATCCACGTGTTACTGTCAAGCGCCCATGCCGGCATCGAGCGTGATGTCAGCTTGACTAATGATAATTCCTTCTAGAAGCCCCCGGGCGTATACCCGGCCCCACGGGGTTTTTACAGACAGTACAGTCCCGAATGATTTGATGAGTACTTCGGGCCTACCTAGGCAATGGTGGGAAAGAGAGCCTTGCGCTGGGGGCACTCCCTTTGCTGGGAGGCCGCCATCTCATTTCGTAAGAGAATTAGTCGTACTCCCTAGATAAGATACTATCCACTTCCAGATAAGCGACCGGTGCACCTTTCATTAAGCTATCTTTTAAGTGGAAATAAAGTATGCTTAGTTAAAGGATAGCCGGCGTGGCGTATCTCTCGAGTAAACTACTTGACTGGCCGCCGCATCGCGCTTCTCAAGTTGATATTCTCTCCCCTCAACCCCAACTCAACCCCAACCCCAAACATACGATCCTCCACACTGTGACAGGGCCCAGTTCGCGAACCCCCGAGCTGCCTATCTTTATTGGATTCTATGACAAACAGATAGGATAGGCCCCGTGGGGATGTATGCCCCCGGCCCGGCGCAACAGGTCATCTAGGCGGGAGGGTCCACAATTGGTACATGGAGGTACTGATTCCAGTACTACTAAACGCGGGAAGTTTTAAGTACCGATAAGTACCTCCAAGTTCTCCCGGGCCGGACTGGAAACCTTCGGTGAAGCAGATTTTGCTGCAGCTTATGTCAGCAATGGCTGAATTCCGTTCGCCGAGTGTTCGTTCAGGTCGGCATGCCGTCGGGTGGCGCTGGAATGGCCCAAGCCCTAAAGGAAACTATAGAGAGGCGTATCAGCACAACAATAACCTCAAGATTCGAGCCTCAACTACCCATTTTTTGAAGAGATTTCATATTATTAAGCAGTGTACTATTTCAATGCATGTCTCAAAAACGGTATTGAACCCCGTTCTCCACGTTTACAGTCCCAGGTGGAGCATACCCTAGGGTATGGCCCATCGCCACGCGCCAAGAGAAAAAAAATATGGGTCGAATATGTCTTCAGTTTCCGTGACCTCCACGTTGCGTGATCCCCAGAATATTTTCTCCTCGTCATCCTCCGCCTGGACGTCTGCTTCTTCTCCATATCCCCATTTGCAGTCACCATGAGCGTTGTCGAAGCACCCCATGCAATCCCGGTGCGGGACGTCGAGGTCTACCATGACCAAGATGAGACGGAGAAGGCGTTTCCTGAGAAGCCGCCGCCAGTGGACGATCCTTTTGGAAATGAGGAGTCTGGGGAAGTCAAGTATCGTGTTATGAAGTGGTGGTAAGTACTCGTTTCGTGATGGCTCATGGGAAGCTTTGATGTATACGATGGACTGGGTTGGCTAACCGGTGTTGCAGGCAAGCTGGGATGCGTGAGAACCCATTACAGATTCTTCGTTGGCTAATTGTGCCTGTATCTAACCTATCATCCAGTCATGGTCGCTGAAAACATCTCCCTCGGTATTCTATCGCTGCCATCTGCCGTAGCAACTCTCGGCATTGTTCCGTAAGAATGATATCTCGATGACATGCAAACCAGCAAAGCCTCCTAACCATTATACAGGGCCTTCCTTATCATCCTCGGTCTCTCTGCCATCTCCTGGTATACAGGTCTCGTCATGGGCGAGTTCAAGCTCCGGTATCCCCACGTTCACAGTATGGGTGATGCGGGTGAGATGCTCATGGGCCCCTTCGGCCGTGAACTTTGCTACTGGGGCCAGTTGCTTTTCATCATTTTCCTGATGGCCAGTCACATTCTCACCTTTACGGTGCTATTCAACACCATCACCAACCACGGCACCTGCACTATCGTCTTTGGTGTGATTGGTTTGGTTGTCAGCTGCATTTGTGCCCTGCCCCGCACCACTGACAAGGTGTTCATCATGTCGACTGTTTCCGCCGTCAGTATCCTGACTGCTACCATCGTTACTATGATTTCCATCGGTGTCCAGGCTCCCGATAACGTCCAGAACGATATCACCACCGACCCTACCTTCGTGGACGCTTTCTTGGCAGTTACCAACATCGTATTCGCCTTCATCGCTCACGTTTCTTTCTTCGGTATCATGTCTGAGATGCAAGACCCGGCCGAGTTCCCCAAGTCGCTGGCTATGCTCCAGATCGTCGATACCATCATGTACATCGTTACTGCGATGGTTATTTACTGCTATGCCGGCCCAGATGTTTCTTCTCCTGCCCTGTCTTCGGCTGGCCCTTTGATGAAGAAGGTTGCCTACGGCCTTGCCATTCCCACTGTACGATCCCCCTTCATAATTGACGCGTCTCGGACATTTTTGCTAATAAAACCAATAGGTCATCGTCGCCGGTGTCGTTTTCGGTCACGTTGCATGCAAGTATATTTACGTCCGTATCTTCCGTGGCGAGCGCTCGCACCATATGCATCAGCGGAGTCTGTTGGCCACTGGTACTTGGGTCGCAATTGGTCTTACCACCTGGACCATTGCGTGGGTCATTGCCGAGTCTATCCCTGTCTTTAACGACTTGTTGAGCTTGATTGTACGTCTCTACCTACCTGCTGATTTCGATATTCGCTAATTCCTCGCTTCAGAGTGCTCTCTTTGGTAGCTGGTTCAGCTGTAAGTTCCCACAAGCGACATGGTCAGCGATCTATGGATGAATGCTAACCGAAAATAGACGGCCTGCCTTCCATCTTCTGGATGGTCATGAACAAGGGACAATGGTTCTCATCCCCCAAGAAGATTGTCATGTTCACCATCAATCTCATCATCCTGGGAATTGCCTGCGTTATCGTAAGTCCCGCTCACACACATTCACAAAACAGACCAACATCCATATTCTAACTATATCAGTGTGGACTGGGTCTTTACGTCTCGGGCAAGTCGATTCACGACAGCTCCTCCAAGGCCAGCTGGACCTGCGCCAGTAACGCTATCTAGATCCAGTCAAAGACTCGACGGTACATATTGTTTGTGTCGGGTCTGTTTGACCCCTTTTTATTACAGGCGCCTGGGTAACTGTGTTGGTAGATCGATAGATTTGGTTTTCCTTTTTTGGTGTACAACATCGATTGGCTGGGCAAGCCTAGTCGTTGTAAATAGATATTTTGACTCTGTATTTAGATCATGATTAGATATTCATGCCAATACGCGTACTGACGATGATTCTCTTCAAGCTGACTCTCTCCGTTCATTCAGTCCATCGATTTCTTCCCGCTTTCAAACTCTGCTCAGCCGTGTGCTTCAATGGTGGGATCGTGATGCGACTGAAATTATTATACCGAATCATCAATACTTATATAGTAATCCTGTGGACGGTAAATCTGTGGCCGTTTCCTGTGTTGGGCTACCAGTTCAATCGTATGAGCGAGTATAGTTTGGCACGGTTAGTGGAAGGCCACTTCCAGCCGCCTTCCTGAATGTTCTGCTTGGGGCTCTACTATGACGCGGTCCCCGCGCTTCTTTGAGGTTCGTAACAGCAAGGTGCTACCCGACCGAGCACACTTTTACAAACACAAGGCTCATTATCCGTGAGGGAGGATATTGGTAATATAGACCTCAATCTACCAGGGTTTTGGTATTACGGCTCCTAACTATATGGGTTACTTGTAATTTCATAGCGCTCATCCTCAAGGAGCAGTTTGTTACGCAGAGCTTATCATCTTGTGGGAGACTGCTGCATCAGAGCGTGGGGATAAGTCCTGATTTTTCCTGGAATGAAAATCGGGCTATTTTCCTTTCACCTGGGCTACGTCTCTACATAACGATCCCCTACGTAGATGATCAGGGATAGTCTCTAGTTCTCCAGCAATCGGTTTAATACCGTGTACGCTCACTGCGAAGCCGCGAATCAGCTACTACCACGATACGGGACACGAATCTATGGCTTTTGTTCTACGTCGCCTGGACATCTTTGCCGTCACCAATCAAAAATAGAAAGAGTGCAACCCCAATTTTCCACTAACATCTCCAATAATAGAGAGGACATAATCCGACTTTATGGCCCCCAAAAGGATGACGCAGCCAAACGATCAGCAGACTGATCTACTCTCCTCCCCAACTACAGTAAGTAGAGAAGCACACCTAACTCCGAACTGCTTTCCATTTCCAGCCAAATTCAGCCCGCGAGCTGAACCCTCATTTATTGGCTACCAGAGATTTTAGGTTCGAACGAAGGCCTCATTCGCACTAACCTCGTCCCGTCTTGGTCTATATCGAGTTAGCGCAATCGATTAAAAGTCTTTAGCCGCAAGTGCTTATGGGCAAAAAAGGGTGAAACACTTTCAGCCCCCGGGGTTCCATATCCTTTAAATGAGATCCCCAATTCCAAATTCCTGATCATCTGCTGAATACATTTCCTTCAGACAAACCGGACACAATGCGCTTCCTGAATGACGACCTTGTCATTGACCAGACCAATGGAGTCCCTATGATGCAACTCATTGGGCTGGGGCTCCCACGCTGCGCAACAAGCTCCATTCAAACGGCTATAGAGTCCCAATACATTGGCCTCACTCCTTGCATGCACTTTGCTCATGTAGCACCGCACGCTGACCGCTCTGACATCCTTCTCGCCGCAATGCAAGAAGACGACACGGAGCGGCGGCACAAGCTACTGCACAAGCTATTTGACGGCTTCAAAGCGACAACTGACTTCCCCGGCTCCTTGTTTCCAGATGACCTCATGGACATGTATCCCGACGCCAAGATCGTGCTGAACAAGCGGCCCGGTGGTGGCGCTAAGTGGGAACAGTCGATCAAAGTGCTTGGATTCGCCGGCAACCCCCTTTATTACGCAGTCTGCTTCTTGTGGAAGACTGACCGCAACGTTTACAAGCTCTGGGATCTGTTCTTGGAACGCTCTAAAGAGACACTGGAATTAACAGATGATGAGCTTCTGACGGCAAAGCATTATGATGCGCATAATGCCTGGGTTCACGTCGAGGCAGCTAAGCGCGGTCGGGAGGTCCTCGAATTCGAGCCTCGGGATGGATGGGAGCCATTGTGTACGATTCTTGGCAAGGAGGCACCGGAGGATGAGTCATTCCCTCATCGCAATGATGCGTCTGAGGTTCGAATGGTCGTGCGGATTTTGTATGCCCGGGGATTGATCTCGTGGTTGGTCCTAGGTGGAGCGATATATGGTACGGCGAAGTTTTTGGTCCCAGGACGGTTATTTTAGTAATATTGTGAAAGTTTGGACAATGGACACTTACTTTAGGACGCCATGAGATTTAAACCCCTGGTCTTCCACGGCACTCAGACTTCAGTCCGACAACTTATATCCCTCATGGTCTAAAATCCCCCCACCCCAAAAATAGTATAATAACCTCTACGTATACAATCTGTCATACAATCTATCATACAATCTACTATATAATATACTATATAAATAAGTATAGCATATTACCTAGCTATTAAGCGTATATAACATAGCGCTACGCTCCGCAAATAATGAATAAGGGTGGGGGTTGTGTATAGAAACGCTTACGACTATACAATTAAGATTGTGCATATAGCTACAAAGGGTTGGGGTGGGGGGGGGGGGGGGGGGGGGGGGGGGGGGTCGCCCCTGATTTAGTAGTATAAAACCCCTTTATATTTCAATTACGTAGAAATGAATATAGTATATACTATATAGCCTATGGCGTATACGATATAGCGCTACGCTCCGCACTTTTGGGTGCCCCCTATGGGATGCCCCTGGAAGCCTTGGAAGAGGTTTTGTATGTGGAGGCTGAAGATGATAATTATGGACATAGAGAAATTGATAAAGGAAGAGAATATATATACACAGAATGATTAAGGCAGCAACATGCAACAACGTCCTAGTTCCGCCAATTCAGCGGAATCTGCTCCTCTTCGTCGTCCACAACAACAACCATCCAAACACCAACTTGCCCGTTACTAGCGTATAACGGAGTACAATGGACCCAGCGACTGCGACCTTCACTGTTGAATCTGGTGACCCATTTGATCCGGGCCGTGACACTATGACCCTGTTGCATGGCCGCCATCAGCTCTTCCTTCACTGCTGAAGAGCTTCCGATGCGCGAGAAGAATGACGATTGTAGCATGCCCGGGATCTGGAGCGATGGGGAGGTGAAGAGGATACGGAGGGAGGGGTACGGTCGGACGAGAAGGTACTGTATCAGATTAGCTTTGGCTAAGCATAAATAGGTAGTGAATGGAGTACTCACATTTTCATAAACACCCGTCAACGAGCCACGGAAGAGAGGCGACTTTATATCCCGCAGACGAATAGCCTCCGTCTCACTATCCATCGAACCACCATGCGGTAACCAGTGTTTCTGCGCGCGAGAAGCTGCGCGTGTATTCAACGGCTGGAACAGATCACCGCCATGATCTTGTACGGAAGAAAGTTCCTTCGGACTGAAAAGCTCGCACATCTGCCGGAACTCGTCTTTGTGTGGCGCGATGGGCATTTCCGCAACGCTTTCCTCGTCCGGGTCGCGGTAGCGTGATTGGAGTTCAATGAGAGATTCTATTTGTGCTCCGTCAAGGGCGAGGCCGGATACGTCGATTTGGGCGCCGATGAAGTATTTCACGCTGCCTCTGCTGTCGCAGAGAGGGGCGCATTGGAGGAGGTTCATGAATGGGGAGCCATCGCGGCGACTGTCAAAGTTTGGTCAGTACTGCGACAGAGATTTAGTGTTGGGGAGATACATACTAATTCAGGAATAGCTCTGAGTGGTGTCGACATTCTTGCAACGATTCTCGTATACGGCGCACGCTATTGGGATTTGTTTTAGGGCCTTGAAGGAATCGACAATTCCGCCCAAGGACATAGTCCATTCCATATTGCGTAGTCCGGTGAAATTCTGTGTCATGACTGATTAGTGTCAGAATCAACCAAGATTGCACGAATATACGTACCTTGCGACGCGAAGATGATCGGATTATCGGGTCGCGATGGATCCGTCAAGCAGAATACTTCAGCCAGTGCGTTCGAAGTTTCTCTAAACTTCATTGGCAGTGTTCCTCGAATGCGCTCTTCGACAATCTTGCTGGTGATAGTAATGCACCTCGATGCAATGAACGCGGGAAGCTCTTCGCTTGTCAGGGCATTGAGTCCATCCTCAACGCGTTGTTCAAGGACCTTATTCGCCGTGATACCGACAGCCTCATTATCCGTTTGAACTGCTTGAACAGCTGGTGGTGGAACATCTGTTGATAGGCGGACCAGAGCATTGGCGTATTCGAGCGCTTTCAATGCTTTGGCCGCATTGAGATAGTATGTGAGAGTCGAAATGGAGCGTGGTCGCTCTTCGAGAAGGAATTCTCGGAATCTGGCGAGGTATCGCGGGTTATTGAGGATAGATAGCATGTGCTCTGTTCCAAACATCACATCTGAAAGGCGCTCCAGTTTATGAAGCGGCGCATCAACACCATCCCATGGAGCAATCAAGTCATACGAAGCGCCCTCTTCATTGACAGGGTTGAACTCTTCTGCACCTTCAAAGGGATTTATTTCCTGGAGCAGAGGTAGCTCGTTTGTCGTGACGTTGCGCCGCATATTCTTGATCGAAGACCGTGGTGTGGGATAAGCCTGTTCTTCGAAGGTTTGGTCTGGCATCGGTTGCTCTTCTGCGATAACGTCGAGACCCTTCGTTCGACTTGGGGGACGGGGGAAATCGTCGAGAATTTGATCATTTCTGATCCGATCCATCAGTGGAAACCTTTTCCATTGACTAATATCGCCACTCACCGTGAGGTTCGCCCCGATTCTGACATCCATTCATGATACTCATCGGGAAGTGTTTCCGAAAAAGACCGCAACGACTCAGTATCGAGGCCTGACAGCCCCTCATGAAGATCTGCCATGGATATGATGGGCGCTCGCGATGAAGATATCTAACAGAAAGAAAAAAGAGAAGAACAAAGCTGATCTACTGCAACGACTATGCCTCGCATCGGAACGCACCCTCTCTTTAATACTCTATCCATCCTGTCCTCACAGACACTGGAAAAGGGTGATGCATCAAGTGATCGCCTCCAGTCCGTCCCCAGTTTTTGTCTTTTTGTCTTACTGCACAATCTCATGCAATTGTGAGGCATTGACAGAGAACGGTAGATACACGAAATCGAACAGCATGAACACAGGTCACAATTGGTTCGAGAACCGATCGATCGATGCCGTGCGGCAACTGCCCACGAGATCGGTGTCGATCTCCGGCTGATGATGCAATCATGCAGGGGAGGACTCTGTCAAGAAGATTGGCGCGAAGAACATTCTGAGATCGGCGCCAGCTCCCGAGTCTATCGAATTTTGCGTTCGCAGGTCGAGGCTTGGTGGTCGCGCGGTGGTTGTTGTTATTTGGTCGGAGAAGTTTGGACATGTCCATTGTTCAGCCATGCGGCAAGCGGGACTGGGGTTACAATGGCGGGGATCAGATAGGAATAAAGTACGGTATCAAACCCAGCAACGAAGTTCCAGATCATGCTATTCTCTGGACATGTTAAATTGTCCGCGATCATATCATTGTATCCCGATGTGGTGGTTGTGTTCCCTGGCTTCGATCGTACATACGTGTCGATTCTAGGGTACTTCTAGGAAGTATATAGGCACGCATTTCCCCTCTACCTGGTATACTCGACCTTGCAGATCTTTAAAAATTTCCAGAGACAAAAGGGTCTGAGCGTTGACCCCGGCGAAGCCATGCATGTGGTCTAGACTTTCTCATCCCAGGAACAGCCCGGCCTGCCTCGTTTTCAATTTGCTTTGACCCCCGTTTGCCTATTCGCTAGTTGTTCCCAGTGCCTTGGGAACGATTCCGAATAGTTTATCCTCTCTTCGTATCGTTGCGGGCTGTGACAGCCACCACATTTAACGCCGGCTCAGCTAGCTATGCAATAGCTTAAATACACACTGTTCTGGCGTTGTCAATTAGACAGATTGAAGCCACTGTGTCTCACCTCGTCACTAAAAGAGGAGAATGCTTGGTCAGGGGCTGTGGTATTGCAGACATTTTCTGCAGAGTCACCGCTAGTTACCAAAAGGAATGGACAAGGGAAAGGGGAGGTAGGTATATCAATTGATCAAAGGTGGGAAGCTGTCTATACCGAATACTTGAGTTCTCAATTGAATTTCTGCACTGGTTAGGGGTCGTGTGATAGCCACCTGGCAATAGAGCAAGCATCTAAGACGAACTGTGCGGTCGGAACTAGAGGTTAAGTATAGTTTATTTTGATTGATCATTCCCAAGAATCATCTGTGGTTTACAAGCTCAGATTAACCTATTTGATGTCATTTAGTTTGGCATGTTATTGGTGGTGATATACTTCGGACTTTGGATCCATGGAACGTGGGCAATTCCCTTATCGATAAGCCGATAAGCGAAAATTTTCGGGACGCGGAGATGCGCCTGACCGAGTCATCTCTTCGTCTCTTCCTCTCTTCCTCTCGCCGCCCATTCACCATGCCGGAGAAGGTGCACACCTACTTTGGTGCCTTGGAAGACCAGTCCTCCAAGAAGGCTCCCAAGGCTATACCGGAACCTACGTTAGCCGAGGACGTGGGCCGCAAAAAGAGACGCAACAAGAAGCGGAAGCGCGATGAGCCCACCGAGGAAGCCCAGGCACACCCCAACAATGTGCCAGCACGAACAGAGGAACGTGTCAAGGATCTCCCACCGGCTGTGAATGAACCAATTACAGTACCTAGTGTGAGCAAGGAACCCGAACTCGAAGCCTCGCTCGACCAGACCTCCGCCCCGAAACAAAAACCGAAGGCAAGACCTCCCAAGTCCTTCACCGACACGAAGACCAACTTTACCTCCCTCCGCGAGAAAGCAAATTCCCTTTACGAACTCCGCAAGAAACTCCCCATCTTCGGTCACGCCGACGAGATCCGACAAAGGCTCCGCGAGCAAGATGTTATGCTCTTGGTCGGTGAAACAGGTTCCGGAAAGAGTACCCAGATCCCGCAGTTCCTGGTGAACGAGTTCTGGTGCCGACCGACGCCCGCGAAGGTCCGGCAAGAAGATGGGTCCGAGAAATCCATCACAGTCGGTGGATGCATTGCGATCACGCAGCCGCGTCGTGTCGCGGCGATTTCGCTGGCACGCCGTGTGGCTGAGGAAATGGGCACACCGCTTGGGTCTTCGTCGCCTGCGAGCAAGGTTGGCTACTCAGTCCGATTTGATACATCTACATCGCCTAGCACGCGAGTCAAGTTCTTGACTGAGGGAATGCTGCTTCAAGAGATGTTGCATGATCCTTGGTTGACCAAGTACAGTGCGGTTGTAGTGGATGAAGTACACGAGCGTGGTATCAATGTTGATCTTGTCGCGGGTTTCCTACGAAACTTGGTATCTGGAAAGCGTGAGGGACGGGGTGGGGTGCCACTCAAAGTGGTGGTCATGAGTGCTACGGCTGATATGGAGAGTCTGATGGGGTTCTTCCAGGAGGGATTCAAAGAGCAGGAGCAGGAGCAGAAGCAAATATCAAACGGGACTACAAACGGGACTACAAACGGGACTTCAAACGGGACTTCAAACGGCAAGAGCTCGGAGCAAGGATCCAGGGCGATTACGGCTTGTCACATCAAGGGTCGACAATTCCCTGTCAAGACGATCTACTCACCCGAGCCTGTCCACGACTTTGTGGATGCGGCCCTGAAGATCATCTTCCAGATCCACTACAAGGAGCCCATGCCCGGCGATATCCTGGTGTTCCTCACGGGTCAAGAGACTGTGGAGAACCTGGAGAACCTGGTCAACGAGTACGCCATCGGCATGGACCCGTCATTACCCAAGATCCTAGTCCTACCTCTGTTCGCAGCCCTCCCTCAAGCTGCTCAGCAACGAGTCTTTGCCCCTGCACCACCGCGCACCCGCAAAGTCATCCTCGCTACGAATATTGCTGAAACCTCAGTTACAGTGTCTGGCGTTCGGTATGTGGTGGACTGCGGCAAGGCGAAGGTCAAGCAATTCCGCACCCGCCTCGGATTAGACTCGCTCCTGGTAAAGCCCATTTCTAAGTCTGCTGCTATCCAGCGGAAGGGTCGTGCTGGTCGTGAGGCCGCCGGTCAATGCTTCCGGTTATATACGGAGAAGGACTACTTGGCTCTTGATGAAGCGAACACCCCAGAGATTCTCCGCTGCGATCTCACCCAGGCTCTGCTGAATATGAAGGCCCGTGGCGTAGACGATATCGTGCGATTCCCGTTCTTGACTCGACCACCGCGCGAGGCCCTCGAGAAGGCCCTGCTGCAGCTATTTAATATCGACGCGCTTCAAGACGATGGCGGCATTAGTGATATTGGTCTTCACCTCGCGAAACTCCCCCTTTCACCAACCCTCGGACGAGTGCTATTGGCTGCCTCGGAGAATGGGTATGACTGTTTACTGGACGTCATCGACATTATCTCCTGCCTGAGCGTGGAGAATATCTTCCTCAACACGACCTCCGAGGAAAAAAAGGAAGCGGCTGAGACGGCCCGACGGGATCTCTACCGGCGCGAAGGCGATCATCTCACAATGCTGTCCACCGTCCGGGCGTATGCTGGCGAGAACGTGGACCGCAAGGTGTGGGCCGAGCGACATCTGGTATCCCATAGGGCGATGCAGTCCGTAATGGTAAGTTGTGCTCATTATCCGGTGTCTTTGACTGATCTAACACCTCATCTTCCAGGACGTCCGTAAACAACTCCGGGCCCAATGCCGACAATCTAAAATGCTGCCTCGCGAAGAGCAAAACGGCCACTATCCCGACCCGTCTCCGGATCTCATTCTCCAAAGCTTCTTGGCCGGTTTCGCGACCAACACCGCTCGACTGGTCCCCGATGGCAGTTACCGCACGATCGTTGGGAACCAGACGGTCGCTATTCACCCGTCGAGTGTGCTATTTGGCAAGAAGGTGGAGGCGATTTTGTATAATGAGTTTGTGTTTACGAATCGTAGTTATGCACGGGGGGTGAGTGCGGTGCAGATGGATTGGGTGGGCGAGGCCTTGGCTGGGAGGTAGTTGGAGAAAGGGGAGCCACTGACGTTGTTGAGAGTCCCGGTTTTGGGGACTGATTGAGTTGTTGTCGAATGTACCGAGTCTATACCCATGAATGAGCGATCGAAGATCTACTATCAGCTATCAACTGGGGCTATAGTTATGGCCCTAGATGATTATTTATTAGCATACTCCGTATACCTGTCCACAGTAGATCCGTAGTAGTATTAGGTTGCAAATCATCTCAGCCCGAAAGCGGGGAGATGGACGATCTACATTTCCCAAGTATACTTTTTTAGTCTACTTTTTTAGGTACACTTTTGGGTCCTTGCATCTCTGCCCATAAGCGGGCGTCGATCCGTTTCGCCACTGGGTACTTCCACGTCAGACACGGGAATACCATGGAGAAACAGGCACCTCCTGGGCAAATCCAGCTGATGGCGCCTGGTAGCTATGATTCACTATTTTGTAACAGAGTCCTCCGTACAGGTCCAAACCAACAGTTCAATTGTCTGTCCAGTATGTCCAGGTCTAGGGGGCTCAGCTGCTATACCAAAAGTCACACGCGAGCAGTCACATTTGACTGCCAGAGGGGGAAGAGAAAAATCCACGCTGGCATCTCATTTCTTTTTCAGGTTCAAACGGCCAAACTGGAATACTGTCGCTCCAACATTATTATCAATCCCAACCAGCCGCTGTCATCAACTGGTGGTCCGATCTCGCAAGTTTGCATCATCCGGCTCCAGCGCCTCACAGTACACCGAGATGATTGTCTGGTCCCACTTCCAAGGAAACACTAGTCTATACTGGGAGTTTTTCCGGAGTAGCTATGCTGATAGTACGTGTATTGCCGCATACGTGGATTGTATGATACCTTGACGAGCGTATGTTCTTGTAAATTAAATACACTCGAGCCTTCTAAGAGAGGGCTATCCTTAAGCATTAAGCACGAGTAGTCGAACCAAGATGTTGCTAATACAAGCCCCACAGCATGAGCTTGGCTATGACATGATCCGTAGTTGTGACTATCTGAAACGCAGACGGTAGTGGCTGCTGCTACCACATGAGTCCTGGCCTAAGAATATCTTCCAGCGAAGTATACAGGTGTTTGGCAGGGTCAAAGTACCGCCTGATAAATGCGGACGACCTCATAGTAGTATTACTCTCGCCATGCTAGAGACTCTCCCCAATTATCACACTCAAATCCTATCTTGTACCTCAACAAGATAGTGGTTGTTCCGTGGAGTGCTCTTCATGCGACGAAATCGAGCAACAGCTGAATTCTTGCGTTCAGTTCAAGAGAAGACGACTATCTGTGCTACGGCCCGAAACTGAAACCTAGCGCTTTGCGACCGGTACTCGTACTATATCTCAGATTTCCAGTCTCACTACTTTGTCTATGTGCGGAAGCCAGGATCTGATTCAGTGATAAGCTTTGGACGAACGGGCTAGTCCCCACTCAGTCAGTACCTTGCTAGTTTAGGTATTCACATTTCATCATGCTCGACATTATCAGATGCCTGCATGCACCCGACCGGCAAATCTGATGATAAAAGACTGCATTGATATTTCTAGGTCTTTGATCACGGAAGACATAAGCAATCTTCAGTTCTGTAGTAATAGGATCCGCCAGGGTGTACTGATCCTGTGAGCTTACTCTAGTTGATTGTTCCACTTTACCTATCACCGCACTACGTTGTAGGTATTCAACAACTGTCTCGTCTCTCCCTGCCAATTCCCGGCCTCCATAGCCACTACCCGCGCCGTTTTGCCATCCCCCGTCTTCATCCCGCGGACGAAACCAGAGTGGGTCATCACTGCTTCTAATAATCCAGTATCACCCAGTTTTGCCGCATAGTGGACAGCGGCCCATTCTTCTTGGCCAACCATGTCTCCAACATCTTGCAGTGTGAGGAGCACCATCGCACACTCGACATTAGTGTGCCGCAGTGCCTCGATCAGTGCTGTATTGCCCGCCTGGTTCTTCATCCGGACGACATCTTTCGCATTACCTGATAGTTGTTGCAAAATCTTCAATGAGTCCAACTCCCCCTGAATACAAGCATGATGAAAGATGTTGTTGCCAGCGTTATCAGACAAGTCCAGTCTCGCGCCATGCTCGATAAAGATTTTCAGACACTCGGTATCGTCCAAAAAGTCGAAGATAGGTGGCCTTCCATCCTCATCTTGCGCATCAATCGCAAGCTCGGTTCCATTCTGATTGCAAAGAAGCATGACAGTCTCTCTCCTTAATCCGGCCCTGTCAGAAAGTCCTGCATAGTGCAAGGCGGTTTGTTGGTTCTCTTGTCGAATATTCCTATCGGCCCCAGCGTCCAGGAGTAGTTTCACACAGCCAACCCGGCAACCCTGCGCGGCCATTATAAGTGGTGTTTCACCCCAAACATTGGCCTGATTGATATTAAGCTGGTCTGGATGGTTTTTGGAGATTTCCAGTGCATAGCGTAAACTCTCGCACGCATTTGACTCCACTGCGGAATGAATGATACTAAAACTTAGATTTGACTGGATAAACGGATCAGCGCCGTTTTGAACCAGAATCTTCATTTTATCCGCCTGCCCACTCGCGCTGGCCCAGTGAAGCGGTGTCCAGTGGAACTTGATATCTTTCTGGTCGGCGAGATTATGAATCACTCTGCTTCTGTTGCCGATTTCGGCCGCCGAGGCCCGGTATATCTCGATTATTGACCCGTATAACGGGGAACGGTGGCGATACTTCGTTTTCCAGGCCGCCCAGTTTGTGTCTGGCGGTGCATTGTTCGCGTTGTCAACAAAGTCGATTAGTTCTTGGAGAGTTGGCCGTTCCGGATCCGAATGTTCATACAGATCAAGGACGGCGATGTGGATGGGGGTGAATTCGTAGTCATCGATGTAATCATCTTCTTTAGAAAACACATCGACAATGTCCTTCTCGGCTTGCGTTGCGTCTGCGCCAATGGATTTAAGGAACGCCAGATCAACAGGTTTTCTATAACGTTAGCTTTGAGCGTATGGCGCGGTGGCCCCATGACTGCCGGTAATAGAAAAAGTAGATACCTGGTTCCGAAGTCAGACACGCCAGTATCTACTCCCAGCTCAACTAGATATTGGATGGTCTCTAGCTGTCGTGCGTATGCAGCAGTCTACACAACAAGACACAATTAGCGTTGGGTGACACCCCAGAGAACACAGTTGGCGTACATGCAAAAGTGACCACCCGTCTGTCGCCGTATCCCAAGGCGTCGCCTCGCCTGATTGAATAGCCGCCTTCAACTTCCCCAGATTTCCATGCTTGACGTATCGCATCGCATCAGATCCCTCGGGAACCGTGCGATAGGTATTTATGCGATACCGAATTTTGATACTGTTTGACGTCATTAGATGCAACATGGCCCTCTTAAAGGACGAAATGGGGATAGGCTTCTGCATAGCCGCTCCTGCACAAGTAGGATCTGAACACCTGCTCTTCGGCTGGCTGCTCTGGTAAAATATCCGGGCGCTGAACTTTGAAAACTCGCTCTTTGGGTCCGTGGCCCCTGGGCTATGACACTTGCAGTAGCAATCGTGCCGGCATGCTCGACGAATAACGAGTGGCCCAGAGTTTGCACTGACGACAGACCCTAGGTCGCTTGCTTGTGTGTCACTGCTGCTCCTTCGATGGCCCTGAAGAAGTCTCGTTGAATCGTCATTTGAGGTCGAGAGCGCTATGGAAGCCCTGCGAGAAGATGCAGAGTCGACAGCTAACAATTCTCCACCGAGGGAACCTGCCTCCTTGGAGTACGAGCCCTCGGACTGCGCCTTGCTGGATGCGGACGATGGTGCCGCATCGTCTGGTGGTACAAATAAACCTCCGATTTGGTCGACAACTGCCGCGCATGCCTCGAGCAGTCGTGGATTTTGGTTACACGTGGTAAGAAAAGTTTCTCTAGTTCAAAAAGTTCATGTCAATATTCTCACATAGAAAAAGTCTGCAAAGGGAAAAAAGGGTAGGGCTTCACCAACGCGTGTACAAGAGATATAAACCCATGCAGCTGCGAACACTGATTTTGAATTCGAGCACTGAGCGCTGCAAATCGTGACTTGTATTGAACATAGCGAGCTCGCCGAATGGTGGAGGATTCGGACTTATAAACCTGGATAAGGCGCTTCTCAACTTCTGCCAGGGTAGCATGTCCGTCCTCGATCGCCCTTCGAAGAACATCAGCGGAGACATGGTGTTTAGTTTGGCGGCTGCGAAAGACGCGATCAAATCCCCTCAGAGCTTCGTCGAACTGGTCGAGATCATTAACAAGGTCGGCGAGGTCTCGTTCTGCATCTTTGAAACTTCTGAGCAGGGCCAAGGCCCCTTTGCTAGCCTTGATGAGGGTAGATATCGAGGCTACCAGCCCGATGGCGGAGACTGGATCCATCTTTGAGATGGAATAGATTGTATGAGCATAGGCCGATCGAGATAAGGTAAAAGTCGGAAACGCAATAGTGGGAACACATGTGGATCGGTGATATCCAGGCCCATGTCCGTCGGGCAGGTGGATCACAGCGCCTGTACGAAAGCTTGCAGCCAGGAGTAAGCGGTGTGAGGCTCTATTCTGTGCCCCCAAGCAGTAACGGGGCTGATTTCATATGGTCAGCTGGGGTTGTAGATGAAATCAAATTATCAGACAAACTCCCATTTACTCGAGGCGGCTGAGCATTAGGCGAACATTACATGGGAATGGGAGCCCAGCAAGAAGTACTTGAGTAACGCCATGTTAAGTGGAAGAATAATGCCATCAGCCACGTCATCGGAGCTTCCACATGTGCGAACAATATGGAATGGAGTGTAGGCCGTGCGAAGGCTGGGGCTATCATGCATCCGCGGCAGCCGTCTTGTTCAACCAGTCCTCTGCTTAGCCGTCGGCCACACCTACCATTACATGCAAGCCGCATCACGGACATGACTCGCGGGCGGAGGAGGGAGCCCCGGGTTGGCTTAGTGCATCGCTAAAATTCGAAATACCGACAGGGATTACAGTCCTTTTCAGGCTACCGAGCGGGGTACCTCTCCCATCAAGAGGCGGTTCGCAGTGACATGCCCTGAATCAGCCGCCGCATCGGAGCACCAGGGCTCACTGCACCAGCGAAATCGGACCCTGAATTCGTTAAAAATTGGGATGTCAAGTTGCCTCTCTATTATTAAACGACAGTTACCATTGAGTTACCATTCAGCTCGTTGGGAACTACATTCGTGCAATCATAAGGCTCCGTCTACAGATGATCAGGCGAACGGGAGCTAAGAACCGGCATGAAGAAACGAAAGAGGGGCGGAATCTGTAGCCTCCAATGGAGGCAGTAGCCTAGAGGACAAGGTTGAGTGGGTTGGTAATGATCAGTACGGCTGGTGCTAAGCAGTTGTTGCTGCATGGATCTTGAAGCATAGTATACGTTCTGATAGGAAGCCTCGTAGCAGACGCTTTTGCATGCTTGCATCCCACGATCTATAAAAGCCGCGCTACCCTAGTGCAAATGAGCTACCTGTCTGGCCTAAACAGAAAGCACATCTCTTCGTAGAGGACTGCTGCACCGTCGGCCCCCAAACCCTCAAGGGTCATCGAGATCAAGTGTTCACCCCGAAAGCCCAGCTTTTCATACCAAGGCCATGCGTTCTTGGTGCTCTCTAGGGCGACCGGTACATTTTCAAGTTTGGCATGCTCGAGACCCCAATTCACCAGAATGGATGCTGCTCCTTGCCGTTCGTAACTCGGATCAGTCCCAATGTAGCTCAGTGCTTAATCACAGTCAGCAAGAGCGTTCTCTTGTCGATAGGTATTCGGGCGATTAAGCTTACAATAACACGGTGTCGTGCCTAGCAACATATTCCCCGCCTCCTCCACCTTGGACGTCCATTCCTCCAGAATATCGAATCTGGTTTCTGTTGGCCACTTCCATGGCTTCTCGATATATCTATCCAATTCTGACTCAGGAACAGGCCGTTTCCATTTAGCAAAGCTGATGATCTTTCCGGTGTCATCACAAACCACAAGAACAGTCCACTGCGGGTCTCGAATCTCGTCAACTGCCTTCTCCCGCAGAGTAACCCGCAACTCATCGCGACTCGCAGGCGTTGGGAACTGCGCAAGAAGCATCAGGTTTGTGCCAAATGCGGCCATGTGGATGTCTGCAATCCGGGCTGCGTCATCCTCTGATGCTTCGCTGAGGGTAAGCTGGGGGTTGGACATGGCGGATGATTATACAGCAACAGAGAATATGAAATCAGGGCGGCGCAGGGAATACTTGACACTCTAGCAAATCAAAGCTTTAAATAGTTCTGTATAGGCTGTATGTTTCTGTGCGACCTTTGTTTGTGGCACTATCGGTGAGCGCACGTAAGGTGATAACCGTTTCAGCCTCGCCGCTCAAGGCAGATTCCAGATCAGTCAATCAACTAGGTATCGATATCAAGTCCAAGGTACAGTTGTAGCTTGGGGGCTCGACCAGTTAAGCTTCTTGAGCAATAGTGGTGCGAATGGACAAAGTTTCCTGCTGTTGCAGTCAACCTTGGGTGAGTGAGTAGCGAGATTACCCCGCAGCCCATTCTGGAATCCGATACGCCCTCATTTTGGAAGGGAGACACTGCAGCACTTCGCGCATGTGTCTCATTTGGCGTCTCTTCAGCTGCAGAAATAGCACAATTCACCCTCAGTATTGCTATCTCGCATTAGACAGCAATCAACAGGACAGAACCATCCAACACTCACTTCATTCTTGTAATTCCAGAATGTGCGCGTATGCTGAATAGTGGTCGACCTCATCCTTTTCAGTTCTCCGTCCGTCCTCCCCCATCAGATCTAAAGCGCTTACGTATCATTTGACTGGCCTCTGGAATTCCGCAACCCATAATGTCAAACCTATCGGAATTCTCAGACTAGCTCCCTAATGGGTCATCATAAGAAATGAATTTCTACGACTCTTCCTTCTTCAAAGGTCTAGACGAACGCCTTCCAACCCCTTCGCAAGTAAAAGCTTTGTCAAAGGACGCTCACACGAGCCCTCAACCACAGCCCGTTATATTCAGAGAATCCAAACTCTTCGTAAGTTTGGCCCTTATATCACAACCGTAGAAGCACAGTGTCTTTGGATAATTAAACAGGCCTTTAGTGAAATAGTTCTAATCCCCGAGATTTTCGGATAGCGAGTCGATGAGGAGAACTATATTTTCATCTATATAGAGTTTATCCAAGGACAGATATCGTTAGATCGTTAGAATGAACTCACTGACCTAGATAAAAACTCTCTCTATAATCAACTCTCTTAGATCACACTAAAACTCTACGCCGACTTGAACAAGATCCTCCTCACCAGTATATCCGTATATCCTAGACTAAATAAGAAGAATCGAGATATACATTTAATAGAGCCCTAGGTTCCATAAGCCACCAGAAAGTTCAAGATTACTTCTTTCAATCGTATCCGAAAGCTGGCCCTTTCTCCACCGTTAGGGAGTTCAATAACTGGTTCTCTTCTTTACTATAACTGTAGCTCCATCTCTCGAAAAAATACAAAGAGCACTATAGGGATTTATTATAGACAATAGGGACATTAAGCTTACTCATACGGACCTCCACAGAGGCAACATTATTATCTCTTCCAGCACTCCTGCTCGCATTCTTGCTATCGTGGATTGTGCGCAAGCGGGGTGGTATCCAAGCTATTAGGAATATTGTAAAGCACTCTACACCCGCTGGTCCGAGGATAAATAGCGACGAGGCTAGATTGACAAATTTTCATGTCCGCGAATGCGAGAATTTGAGGGTTTTTCAGAATACACAATGGCAATGGGGGAAGTTTGAGTTATTACTCTGCTTGATTTGGGGAATGCCACCCTTGCTGATGATACTAAGTCAACTGTTCCAGTAGACCTCTGAGAGTAGAATAATATTAGAGCCTGTATGGTGAAGCCAAGTCCCAGCAGCCAGCAACAAGTCAAAAATTTCACGCTGCCGTATGCTTCGCTTTGGATCTTCATCATCCGACTCCTCCCCGCTACGAAGTCCCTGTTCCAGAAGTTGTCATGTCGGTGGCCAAGAAGGGCAGATCATTCCATAGTGTGCCTTCAGCAGTTCGTGCAATATCAACACTATAATTTCCTCGCACGGGGCGAGTCAACGGCCCCATTCCTTGAATTTGGATGATATTCAGGACCAGACTTTCGTGGTCGGGCGTTTCATACGAGATATTCCGACTGAGCTGATAGTACATATACCACATGGAATGAATGTACCTTTCGAGGGAATCAACACCATATCCAGCCTCGCAGGATCGGGAGGCGATGATCCAGGTTCGGTCACTAAAGGCTGCGCCTCGAATCTCTTTGAATTCTCTCCGAGCGATGCACTGGCGCGTGTCCTCCTGGTCTGACTGAAAAGCTTCAGATGCGGTGAGGTAAGGGGTGCCTCATGGCAAAGGGCCGAGAAGTGAATCGCGGAGATTATGCATAATAAGGTGCTAACGGTGCTGATGGATGGATTCGTTTAGTTGCAATACTGAGTGCGAAGATGAATGAAAATGAAAGAGAAGTGCTAACTAACCTGGGTAGAACACCACGATATCTTAAATCCACGTGAAAGTGTGAAAGGGAAGGGAGAAGTCGAGGAGTTGCTCTCAGAGGAGCTCCTAGGCAGCAAGCTACGTACGGATTATGCTACTATAGTAGTTGGACAAGATTCCGACAGGATATCTTCTCGGGTATCTGAATCCTTGGGCTCATGCATGCGCTGTTCGAGGAGGGCAGTGATAGCTCGCCAGATTCTCTCGACACCAGCTCTGGTAATTCTTTTTTGACTTGTTTGCATTGTCCTGCCCATACAGTCACGAGACAAAGTCCCGTATTTTAAAACGTGTAACTGATCGTACTCCGAACGATACAGGAATATTGATACTCCGACCTTTATTTCAATATGGACTAGTGCCCATCTCTCCCCAAGTGGACGGATGTATCATCTGTTATCAGTGCATCATCATCAGTCCGCTCCTCGCGTCCACAACTTGTCCCTTTTATTTCCCCCTTTCCATGAACCAGCCCTGGTTCTGGCTTCCTTTTCGTCTTCATCTTTTCTCCCCCTTTCTCCTCCAGAACCACTCCTCTTAGTCGGATCTTCCGCTTCCGACCGCACTCGCGGTCTTGAATTGCGGGGAAGATCCACTCTCCATTCCATCATCGACCGCTTATCTGGCTCTACCCTCCTCCTCCCAGCCAGTATCGGGTTATAACCACGTCATGGCTTTCCGTGTGCCGACCCAGGCACCGCCCCGAAGAACGTCCTACTCCGCCTCTCAACGACCGCCGCCTCTTGATCTCCCGCTCTCGACGTCTGAACAGCAAGAAGACGATACCACGCAATGGGTGCTCTTCTCTCCGACCGCCCGCACGCATACGACCTCCACAGAGCACACCCGTACTGTCGGAGCATCACGCCTGAGTGATTTTGGCTCATTCGGCACCGCTACTCGATCCGCTGCTGGCCAGGGGGGCGAGGGGGATGAAGAGGATGAGGATGCGCTGGATGATCAGCTCGATGAGGACGGCACCGAGCTAGACAGCTTGGACGATGGTTTACATGCCTTTCGTGCCCCATCGCTGTCCCCTGCTTCCCCAACGCGGGTTGACCAGGGGCCACCGGCTATGCTTCCGGCCCATGATGGGCTCGGGAGTTTCCAAGCGTCCAGCCAGTTGGCCCAGGAGCAGTTGTGGCAGCACGAGCAGTATAACCCGCAACGGCGGGAGCAGGCCCTCCCCAGACACCGCCGGCGCTCCAGTGTTCAGCGACATCTGGACACGGTGAACGAACAGGAGGCCCATGTCGAGCGGGACCGTTGGCAGCGGATCGAGCAATGGCGGATGGACCAGAGCCGGGCACTCTTGCAGGAGATTGAGCGTGAGACTCGTCGGCGTCGGTCCAGTCGTGCGAGTGTGTCTACCATTCCACGCTCCGTGGACTATACCTCTCCCCCCACGATCCCAGAGTCCCCGGCTGAGGCCGCTACTCCTGTGGAGCCAGAGGAGATGGACGAGTCGTTCTGGCGTCGTATCACACGCAAGGTCATTCAGGATCTGATTGGTATCGATGACTCCCTCCTCTCCGTCATTCTCGGCGAGTCCCTGGCCTTGGACGCACAAACTGCCGAAAATGACTTGCCAGAGCTGGACATGGAAACCGTGCTGGCACGTGAACCCGAACCCCAACATATCGATGCGCCTCTCTGGCAGACTCGTGTTCTCCAGCGAATTGCCCACGAGTTGGGTATACTTGTGCACCAGCTGTGCGAGCAACCCGGCGCCTTTACATCATACTACCAAATGACCAAGGACGTCTCGAGTGAATATGCAGGCATGTCACTCAACCGCCTCGCCGACAGTACCACGTCGGTACGACCCTCCGAGCTCTCAGCCCAACCCACTGCGGAAACTATTCCCTCCGACTCCATGCCCTCACCCCACTTCAACCCAACCCTCCGCGACCCCAGCCGCGAACACGAAGCGCAATGGGGCATCGAAGACGATGATCCCACAGGAGAACCCGTCTCCGAATCCACCCGTCTCCAACAGGAACAAGAGTACTGGGAGCGCGGTCTAGACGTGATGATGGTATTCCGCTACCTACGCACCCGCTTCAGTCGTCGGGGATACATGACCAGTGACAAGTACACCGCGACTCCCACTCCACGCCACACACAGGATGCCTCGCGCCGCGCCGCAATCATCCGCCAGCATCACCCCCTCGTCGCCCGTGCCCACTCCCGTTCACAAACCCAATCTCGCCGTCCGTCCCAGCTCTCCGGCGTCTCTGGCGCTGCGGGCGTCTCGTCGCCACTGGTCCGGCCACACCTGCGTCGACCGAGTTCCAGCTGTGCTAGTCAGAGCAAACTCTCGGTTATCTCGAGCCGGAGGACGCTGACGGGCTCGAGCAGGAATTACTGGGATATCGGCGGGTCGGTGGAGAGTAGTAGTGCGATTGGCGTGGGAGCTGGACTCGGCACGTGGGGCGAAGCTTGATCTAATCATCTTCTCTTCTGCATTCTTACATATTCTCTTCTCTTCACTTCTTTTGGATTTTCTCGGTTCAGAGTGATGGAGTTGGTGGTGGGTGGTTCGGATATACGTAATCTCAGAAACGACATACATGTGGCGGCGATGGGGGTGGATATCTTCTTGTTTTTGATTTCGGGACATGTTTATAGGATTTGGTTGTGGTGTTTATTTGGGTAATTGGGTGCTCTTTTCTCTTTTCTACATTCCATGTTGCATGCATATGATCATTTGATATACTTTGACTTGGGGCATTATCTACATTGTCAATCCGTGGATATAATTCTGACCTTTTATCACCTTTGATGTATAAGATAGAGAAATTTTACTGTGACGGAGACTCTAGCACAGCCAGCTCGAGAATGAAATTCCGGATCAGCCAAAACCCATTCCCAATGCCCATGAACGAAAGAAAAATTTTGTATCACTACGAGCCTTGCAGAAAGTCATGATTAGCCTATGCCCTGGAGCGACCTCAGGTAGGTCATTCCCACGCATTAGATCTTGACATTCTGTAATCCCGCCGCACACATTTTATGCCCCTGGACGTAATAAGATAAATTTTGGATCTTGTCTGAGCATGAAGGTCAGCTTGGTTGATCATTCAAGACTCTGAACACAAATCACCTGTCAACGTGTAAGGTGCAATAACAAGGTTATAAAATCTAGTTAAAATCGAATATGCTCAGGTATCTACTACTGCTTTGATAGCCTCTTCAAGGGAGCGTAGAATACGCTAGGTTTGATAAACCAATAAGGCTAGTCAACGAAATAGGGGCGTGACCCAAGCAGTATATAACCAGGCGCCCGCGACTTTTCTAATGCAGTCTCATTCACGCCACATCCCAACACCAAAATTATGCCATTCTCCAAATTTGTCAAATGGTGTCAGGAACATGGTAAGTTCTTCTTCGCGCATGAAATTGCATGGCAATATTTTAGTACTAAAACAAAGAAGCACCTAATCAGAAGAGATCCTTGATCCCTCCAGCCTCAATCAACCCCCAACTGCAAAGTCTGTTATTCGCACTTCCGTTTGAAATTCGAATTATTATATACCGAATCCTTTTTGGAGACCGGTCTATACACTATGAGCGTGACTGGGTCGACGAGAAGAGAAAGAAATGGAACGTTTATGCGTACGTATGCTTTACGGCAACTGAACGGGTGGATTGGGATCACTGTGCCGGTCATCAGAGGCATGCACTGGATTCGGCGAAATATTGGGGAATGTTTTTGGATGCAACCCTTCTGTACACTTGTTGGAGAGCGTGAGTTACAGAACTCCACCTTACTGAAATTAAGAGACACTAATGGCAAAGAATAGATATGTGGAAAGCTTGCCAATTCTCTACGGCAACGAATTTCGGTTTTTGAAGCGAAGAGAGCTATGCACCACATTCCCAAATCAAGTTCCTGCTACTGGCCTTTCCAGTATCCGCAGGGTTACGCTCTGGTGGACGCTAGGAGCGGATATCCAGCCGCACACGTCTTTGCAAAACAAAGCAAGATACGATTTGCTGTGGAGTGCGCTACGGTCCAAATACACCGCGTTAACTCATATCCGCATCTTCATCGACTCGGCGTATCTGCCACCGATGAAAGACACATCGAGGGGTATTACTGGTGATGCACAGATTGAGAAAGACCGGCTGTTTCAGAATGCGTGGCTCGAGGGATTAGAAGCAATGGTTGAAGCAAACAAGGACTTGGAAGTGTTTGAGGTGCATTTCTACGTCAAGGTATATCGGAAATTGAGGGACAGGGTGAAGCCATGGCTGAAAGAGAAGGAAGAGGAACGAAAGGTCGACAATGGTGCTGTCAGGTATAAAGCGTACAAATGCCGGAGTACGGCTATCAAATGGCAAGGTTGCCCCGACGGGTCATATGACGGAGTTATGACGGATCTCTCAGACGGGAGCTCGAAAATAGGCATCGAAGACGCGAAATCTAGACCTGCAGAGTTCTGGTTGAAGAAAGCACGAGAAGCCGAGAATCGGAAATGAAACTTTGGTCGCCAACTCTTTCGCCTGTGCAATGTGTCCAGATAACCACCTGCCCCTTCCACCTGAACTGTTTAGTTTGTTTATGCCTACATGGACGATATATTATGAGCCTTGCATGCACTGTAGGGATATCGGCAAATATGTGGCCAGACAGTATCATATACATATAATGAGTTGAGTCTACATAGGACCATGAGAATTCGTTGAATCCTGGTACAACCCCCAATCCTGAAAACCCTCACCAAACGGACACTGCGCAAGCCCCTCCTCAAACCCGGAGGTACTGAAGTCCGCAACTCCCGGCATAAACGATCCCAGCAAGTATTCCTCAATAGACGGAAACGCCGCAGTCCCATCTTCCCCGGGTAACGTGGGCAAGAACCGCGACTGGGTAAAGCTCTCAGATGGGGTTGACTGCTCGGGATCCGGAGCTATCGACCGCTGCGGACGATTGAGGTCCATGCTTGAGCTTGCGGGTGTGTGTGTGGAGGAACGGTTGGCTTTCCGCTCTCGGGCAACCCACAGCTGTTTGAGCATGTGGCTGTAGCTGCGGCAGATGTGTACTTCCGTGGAGGGGGCATTTTCGAGGCAGGAGACGAATTCGCGCGCAAGGCTGGTTACTTCTTGGCGCCTGTCGGGTGATTGGAATGCGCCTGCGCAGTCGGCTTTGTGGAGGAGGACGGCGGCGTAGACGCCGTATCTTTCCTCAGGTTAGTATGTGGCGACGTCTATCTACATTTGTCTATGAGTTTGTGATGGAGTACTCACAAGTAGTAGCGTGATGGGAGGTAACATACAACCCGGTGCGGGTCCAGACTGTTGATGAGAGTGAGGAGATTCATAGCTGCACTGATAGCATCAAAGATGTATCGACCGTCGGGAGACGCCATGATTCCATTCGACAACAGCCCTGCGAATAAATTCTTGCTTGACTGCCGCTGGGCCGTCGACTTGCGCGGGTCCGACGCCCGGGTGAAGACGGCCTGGAAGGAAAATGCGTTCGTATATAGCAGAATATACTCGTACATGATTAGGAGCGTGCTCTTGAGACTCGGAGACACCGACAAGCCAGACCACGTCGAGTGCCACGCTGTTGCAGCGATACGAAAGTCGTCTAGATACCGCGAGTAATGACCTTCGTAGACCATTGCTAGTGTTCGTTCTTTGGATGAGTAGAGTATGGCATGGGCGTTGTGTAGGAGCTGGACTAGCTCCATGGACGCTTGAAGAATAGATGCGTAATCCTCACGATTATTCTCTGGGCATGGTCTGAGTGTTGGAAAATCCCGAGCTGTGAATTTGGCTGCGAGCGAGGGACCTCTGGACCAGAAGGACTGGCCAAGTCGGACTGATATCTGCCTGTCTGCCATGAAGATATCTAGATCTGTTATTATACAACGCTCGGATGCAGATTGTGGAACGGCTACTCACATGCCCACACAAGCCTATTTTGGTCGGCTCGCTCTTTTGACTCGCCGCTACTGTTATTCGGAAAGGCGGCTTGATCAAGACGTTGAAGGTAGCCATGCCGCACAGCGAGCCCAACAAGGGACCAAGCCGTTCGGTCTTCGCTGAACAAATTCTTTGGCACTTCAGACGTTGTTTCCTGTATTTGAATGTGTGGCAGCCATTCGGCTAGAATCAATAGACCCTCTACAGTCCTTGGCGTCTGGGTCCATGGATGTGCAAGCAGGACGTCGACCAGCAGGCGTTGCACATGATCCCAGCAGTAGCGGTGAGTAAGTGAATGATGCGGGTCGTCTCTTGACGCTATGGTGAGGATGACAGTTAGTAGAAAATAATCTGATTTCTTAATCTTTGCTGTAATTGAAGAGTGCAGCAAATATGAAGGGACGATTGGACAGTACTGGTGGTAGCAGCGGGCATATCTACGCCATGTTAGCCGATGCCAACTAAATATGAAATGGAAGACCAACTTAAGTAGTAGCTCGGAGACGAGCCCTGGCCGCAGTAGACCTCTTTGGACCAGCTCATAATCATCGAAAATAGTGGCTGTAGACTGAGCATGATATCGAGCCTCACGCGTCTGACTCAAGGTCGTCTCCATACTGCCTTGCATCACAGGATCCGTTGCGCCGTTGCGGCTTGTAGTCGAATGGCGCGCTCGCGCCTGATCGCCCGAAAGGGCCAGAATCTGTAGAGCATCGGAGGGATTCCTTAACTCCATAGCCAAGACATCGCCGGAGTCATCCCTCGAAACGCTGCCTTCGTTGTCAGGGGACGCCCTTTCTGGACCAGATATGTTATTTGAATGTGTAGGGTCGGTGTCACAAGAGTTGACAGGGTCCATCCGTGGCCCAGTCCGATAGTGCCGGAAGTTTCCCCCGCGGCGGGACTTTATGAGAATGCACTCGCTTCCTGACTGATGACATGCCACGCATGGTGATTGTTTCGGATCTCCGACTCCGTCACTACGGGTGTGAGTGGTGACAAGGTCCGCCTTGAATTGGGTAGGGCCAGTGGGGGTCTCACAGGTTACATCTGGTCTTACGCTGGCGGCATCGTAAGCATGCCCGGTAAGATCTTTTACCAGTAGTTGGAGTCATGGGGGTGCCAACAGTGCGATGGATAACGGATCGGCAATAGATGGGACAGTCAAGCTTATAAGTTTGGGAGGTGGGGGTTTTATACGGCTACAGTCGGCTGTAGTTTCCGGATAGAGAAATGCGCTGCTTAAAGCTCTACGAATCAGGGAATGGAGGCGGAGAAAAATCCCTGTCCGATCCTCTCCTAGGGGTTGGAAGCTGAAAACTAATTGTCCATCGATCTTATGAAGCTAGAAATAATACATCTCTCAGGTGATCATTTACTAATTGACATCCACAGCTCGGGGATTCCAGCACCTCAAGGAAGACCCATGCGTTTGTTGCTCTTCTCGTTGAAGCCCCATGCCAGACTGCTATCGTCATGCACAGTCGCTCGTCGCATGTCTCTCCGATACTTGGTAACAAACTCCCCACTAACAGCACGGTGCATTGTACATGTATTATCCCACACAATCATGTCACCAGGATCATACCACTGCACGTCAATGACGTATTTATCCTGGGTTGCGTGGTCAAACAGTCTTTCCAGGATAGCCTGGGGCTCCTCTGATGAGACGCCTTCGAGTGAATGTATGTGTTTTGCCAGGTAGATCGTGGGGATGCCGGTGCGCTCGTGCACTTGGAGCAGCCAGTGGCGGCTCATGAAATGGTCCGTGGGCTCGACATCTTTGAAGCACTCGGGGGCAGCCATTTTCTTGGAGTGTAACAGCGAGTGGCGCGCAATTAATTTCTTCTCGCGCAGGAATTGCTTATAGTCAGGGTCCAGATCTCGGTAAGCAGCCCTCATGTCGGCAAAGGCAGTCGAGCCACCAGTGCCGGGAGGAGGGAGTTCGTGGGCAAGTAGCAAGGAGTACCCAGCCCGCCGAGGGTTGAAGCTGGAGTCGGTGTGAAAGAGGGCATTCCCCTGGACAAGTCAGTTTCGGCTTGGGGCTTTTTGTCTTTATCGCTCGTTGGGCTGGGATGGAATACCTTGTTCGCCTCACCACGGGGGCTGCTCAAATCGACAATTGAACCATCGAGATCAATGTTTCCAACGTCGAACAATTCGTTATATGTCAAACGGTGCACACGGCCGGCCTTATTGTAAGGGGTCACATCGTCAAGCTCACCAAATTTCCTAGCCAGCTCGAGGTGAGTCTCGTCAACCAGTTTCGTCTTCCGAACTACAGCAAATCCATGCTGCAGATGGTCTTAGCACAGCTCCAATTTGATACCGTGCTTGATGCACCCACCTTCTTTACTGCATCCTCAATAAAGCGATATCCCTCGTCGGTCACGCCGTCGGCAAAGTCCAGGCCTGTAATTTCTGCACCGAAGCCGTTCTTGATGACCCTCAGCGAAGGGGGAGGACTGTGTGCGGTTACGGTTTCGGTGAGAGTGGTAGACATGATGAAGCAAACTCAACTTTAAATAGTAGATAGGAAAGGCTAGGTAAGATCACGGTGAGCGTTCTGGTGTTAGTGCAAAATTTTGTAGAGTCCGCGCATTCTTATACCTTGCCGGCGGTTGTTATGATCATAGTCATGGCACTGTGTTTGGGAAGCCGAGTCCGTCCATTGCCGAAGAAATTCGGCGCTTTCGACGTGTTGGACCGGAAGTTCCCCCAATACGTGAGAGTACCCGGTAGTGTCCCACCAGCGGTGTAGAGACTTTCTGGGGGTGGCCATCGTCGAATTTGTCCTCCGCACGATCAGCGCTCGCATCGCGACAGACTCATCGGCTATAGTCGGCCAACGTATCGACAAGAGACGGAAAGGTGTCAGCTCAGCTAGTGTAGATCATCTGTAAAAGCCTTGACCAAGTTCATATCTGCACTATGATTCTGCACAAGTATATAAGTAGTCGTTGTTAGGGACACCAGTGTAAAATAGCTAGGGTTATGTATAAACGCGTACAAGCAATGTTCTCTAGATATCTCAAAGAATGCAGCCTGCCCTACTAACGAGAGCAGAATACCTTGGTCTCTTATCCTCTCTCCTGGACAGTTTACGCCCCGTATCACTCAGGCACGACGATTTACTTCCACAAATGCCAAAACTCGCAATCCATGTTATCATGGCTAATACTCTATATCGTCAGCTTGGCTATTCGCTTCCATGCTCCTACTCCAAATGTAGAACATCCCGCCAAAGTCATGCCAGGCGAACGTTGGCAACGTTATATCTCTTTTCTGGACTTACGCTACCGTTCATCCCACCAGCTCTTGAAAGCGCGCGCCATACAACAGGTGTTCGAACAGGCGCGGCCTGTTGGACGATACCGAGTTCCTTCAATCAAATCAACTTTGATTTTGTATTTCAACATGAAGAACAGTACATGCAAAGCAACGTGAGGACTAATCATGCAAAAACCAGTCCCTTCCATCCAGCCGCTTTACACTCAGCACATTTCTGACGATACTCCACCGCATGCCCAGAATACCGTGCCACACTGCGAACAGTCTTGCCCTTGATATTCTTGTTCACACCAGTCATCCAACTATCAATTTCGTTCGCTAGATGACCCTTGCTACACTCAATCACATGCTCTGTCCAGCCCTCCACTGCCTCTGGAGTCGGTTCCACATAAGAGTAGTCATTGTCCCTGCAGTATTGGAGTAGATCGGAAACAACTTGCACTGCATGCTCAATGGTGCGTGGAGCGTTGCCAAATGGCTGGTGGGGCCCGAGAACCATGAACATATTGGGCATTGAGCGTGCCGTTATACCTAGGAACGTCTGTGGCCTGTGATCAATCCAGATTGCTTGTTCGCCGTCCTTTGAGTCACTGCTACCAAGAAGAGGGCGGCCATCCTTGGCGTGCCATTCAATTGCACTAAAGGCACCTGTGATGGCATCGAAGCCGGTGGCGTAGATCAGAACGTCAAGTTCATGCTTGTTGCCATCCGACGTCTCTATTCCAGTCTCTGTAATTTTCGCTATCGGCGTTTGTTGAAGATCCACCAGGTGAACATTCGGCTGGTTGTACACCTCGAAGTAACCACTCTCAAGAGGTACTCGCCGCGTACCGAAGCCATGGCTCTTAGGGATTAGACTCTCCGCCACCTTCGGGTCATTCACGCGAGCCCGAATCTTGTCCGCGATGAAGTCAGAGTATAGCTTATTAGCCTTGCGGTTGGTATATGTGTCACTGAAAGTACCGAGCCACTTTGCGAAACCAGGCTTTGCGTAGATCTCTTCCCAAAGAGCGAGTCGCTCCTCTGGAGATATCTCCAAGGACTTGCGTGGGTCGGCTTGGTGCATGAAGCAGGCTGGTGTCTCGTTGCAGAATTTGAAAAGCTCGTCGTAATTTTCCCAGTGCTTCTGCATTTGGTCCAGGCTGATCGGTTCGTTGCGTAGAGGTGCTGACCAGTTTGCCGTGCGCTGGAAGACAGTCAATAACTTGACGCTGGGCTCCTTCGCGACAGCAGTAATTGTCTGGATTCCGGTTGCTCCGGTGCCGATGACCCCAATCCGCTTATTGGCAAAATCATGGCTGAGATCGAAATTTTCGGGCCAACGGGAAGTGTGGAAAGCTTGCCCTTGGAAGGACTCGATACCAGGGATAGCTGGCAAAGTTGGCGATGACAAGAAGCCCATACAACTAACCAAGAATCGTGACTGGTATTGCTTGTCGGCTTCATCTGTGAAGAGCCATGTGTGGGCGTTGTCTTGCCACCGGGCAGACTTGATACGGGTGTTGAACTGGATATTCTTGGCCAAGTCATGTTTCTCGGCAATTCGCTCAACATATCGCAGAATCTCCGACTGCGGTGCAAAAGACTCTTTCCAGTGCCACTCATTCATTAGCTCCTTATCGAAGGAGAAAGCATAAGATAGCGACTCAGAGTCCACTCGGGCACCTGGATATCTGTTCAAGACGCGAGTTAGAACATCATGTTTTATGAGACCGATATCGATCTCTTACCTGTTCCAGTACCAGGTTCCACCAACAGAATCAGCAGCCTCAATCACCTTGATATTCCACGATGGGAACCGTTTGCGCAGGTGGTAGAGACTACAAACACCCGATAAACCGGCACCGATGATGAGGACATCGTACGCCTCGATCTGCACTGATCCCATGATGACTCGAGGTGTCGAAGATATATTCCGAGCGCTGATTATGCTATGGTCATCTTGTAGGCATGACGAGGTCCTTTATAGATCAAAGTCATGATCGTGTTACATCACTTGACTTGTGTGCGGTGGTGCTTTGCAGAATGGAGTGTGATATGAATGCATCGGCGATACATGCTCCTCTCGTGAGCTTATCGTTGCTGATGGAAGTGGAGACGTGATCAGCAGCCAGCGCCACTTTTTTGTCTTCAGCCTTGTGCCCGTGTTGTCTCACGTGACGCTATAGCCTTCCTAGAAGATCTTGAAGTAAATAGCTTAGGTACTACTTCCAGTTAAAATTGTCTCTTTAGACTCAGTCCCTCAATATACCGTAGCCGGCAGAGGTTTTCAATTCGTAGCTTTTCGGATCTTAAAGCAATTTAGAGTATGATATGGGCATCGTGCGGTCGTCACTAAAGAATAGATCGTTAAGTGTGTTTGCCACTAGCACTTATAGGATTGTGGGATGCAGCCAATACATTCATGTCAATGAACTAATCAACACGATCACAGCCTTTCGCAAGTTCTCGACAAAAGTCAATAAGGCCCTCGCTCAGCGTAAGTTTCAAGATAGATTGAAACCTCTGCTGCACAGTGACAATAGTTTACTACACACAGAAAATTTTATTCAAGCTCAGCCGACTGACAAAGGAAGTGGCTGGTCTGCAGGTCGGTGTCAAAAATTAAAGGCCAGGCTGCATAATTATGAATGGAACGGTCGGAGCTGACGAGGGGGCTGGGGGAGTTAGGAGGTGCAGATTAGTTCAATGTGCAGAATCCTTCACCTTTTATCGCACTAGATTAGTTAGACTTAGAGCTAGACTATATGAAATACTTTGATTTAAACATTGCATTAGGGTATGCTTAGCACCCTCCCACATTATTAAGAAGAAATCCTTAGGTTTCGAAGAGGCGTCTCAGTGGACGCATGGGACGATTGAGGCTTCTACGGATATCATTAATCACAATAATTTTCTACTTCTTTAGCTGTTAGGTGGTCTTTTTGAACATCTTTAAGAACTATTCATGCAGATTTATGTACGGTATTTACCTTCTACCGATATCCTTAAGCGAAAGTTGTCAGGGCTGTCGATTACGGGAACAGCCGAAGGTGCTACGTCCCTTATGTAGCTGGAATCGCGGGGGGGGGGGGGGGGGGGGGGGCTTATTTGCAATACAAATGAAATATTTTATTCTGTTCTGACAATTGGACACATTCCAAGCACCTGATTACCTTGCAGGATAGGATAGATACAATCTCAATTTCGATTGTTCCAGTTCTATAGCCGTGTGTTCTCTTATATAATACTCTTAAGCCTAAGATACTTCCTTGGAAGTGATTTCTCTCTTTGACAATCTGTTACTGCCAGATTGAAAAAAACAGTGCTTGAAAGCTCCCGTCTAGCACATTATGCCAGACATAGGTGGGTTTCAAGGATGGTTTTGGGAGTCAGACACAGATGGTTTGCTTCCCCTGAAAATCCCATTCCGATACCTACAACTTAACACTTTTTCTCCGCAACTAGTGAGCGCCGTGTATTGTGCACCAGGCGATGTATGGACTACATCTGATTCTTATGCTGGGTGTGTCAATTCGGCGGTGACAGCACTTGCCACGGGATGTACAAATGGAGTGGGAGGTGGAGGTGGAGGTGCTGTTGTTCGATTTGGCGACAATAAGACTAGTCAATGGTATGCGAGCATAGACTGTAGTCTCCGATGTCTAAAGCCCCTGCTAATAGCTTACAGTAACACCAACTCTTATTGCATCAGCGTCGTCGTTGCCCAGTTTTTCTCTCCTCTGGACTCCCAATGGTTACTCATCATACTTGCGACTTTGTGTGGCCAATTAGCACAATGTATCGTGAGCTAAAAACACCAGGTGCTGGTAAGTCACGGAAAAGATTATTCAGTAAAGATACAGTAGTCACGGCACTAACAGAATAATTAGGCCAATCTGTAACCGCCTACACGGCGTTGAAAACTCTAACAGACACCATAGCAAGCCCAACAGCCACATATTCCAAGGTCACGGCACACACGGAATATGTTCATAAACAGTCGCTAAGCCCAGGAGCCGTCGCAGGTATCACGGCTTCATGTATGATTGTATTTTTCGTCATCTCAGCGTTACTTTTACGAAAGAAGCTTGTTCAGTCCTTCACCAAAGAGTCTGGTAGTAAATCCAGAGAAATTGAAATGGCGAATGACACAAGTATATATGAGGTTGGGTCAAAACATCGGCCTCGTGAAATCGGGTCTTCTGATCTGGCGACACGGCAGGAAGTGAGTGATGCACTCACCCTTCTGAGCGTCAGTTTCTGTCGCGAGAATTTTCTTTTGCTCCAAGTTTCATCTATCTTGATCCGGTATTTTGCTTTGTTACATGTTTATATAGAATATTATTCAAGAAGCTAAACGGATTATTGATGAACTTCAACACAGCCAGCCTCCATCAACATTGTAGACCGCGCCAGTGACGAACGATGCTTCATCGCTCAACAAGAATGCGACCACGTTTGCCACTTCGATTGGCTCTGCACGCCGCTTTTGTGCTGTAGCTTGCAAGCCTCGCTTCACATCTTCGGGATCTTCGCCCTGGGACATTGGGGTATTGACGGATCCTAGAATTCCAAGTCAGCATCTCGTCGACGAAATAGTCAAGTCTTGGTCGCATACCCGGGGAAACACAATTTACTCGAATTCCCTTGTTCTCTTTGGCTGCTGTACGTGACAGTCCAATCACTGCTGCTTTACTAGCACAGTATGGGGAAACTCCAGGCGAGCCCATCTGGCCGAAAGCACTGGCAGCGTTCACCTGCATGTCTGGGTCAGCAAGAACCGATGAAGTAAAAGGCAATTACTTACAACGCTACCCCTGGCACCCATAGCTCTCAGTTGTGCCCGAAGGCAGTAAAACAGACCAGTTGAGTTCACAGCAAAGTTGAAATCCCATGTCGCATCGGTTGTTTCCGTAATGGGTGTTGCCGGACTGATCACTCCCGCCATGTTCACGGCACCATCGATCTTGCCAAATTTTTGGACCGTAGATTGAATCCAGGAATCTACTTGACTGCTGTCTCGTACATCAACTACTGTATACAAGTGCTGGTCGCTCGCGGTCAACGAATCGATCGCTGTTTGAAGTGCGGCTTCGTTGATGTCTGCCAAAGATACGATTGCGCCGCGTGATGCAACTAACTTTGCAGTTGCAAGTCCCATGCCAGAGGCTGCACCGGTAATTGCAATCTAATCGAGAAATTTTGAGGTTAGCAATTCTTTCATAGTGGTGGAGCAAATACCTACAACTTTGCCCTCAAGAGATGCCATTTTGGTCTCACGATATGCTAATATCTGGGCTATCTTTGCAGGAACTGCCGTATGTGCCGTTAGTCACGAGGCGAAGAATAAATAAGTCTCCTCTTGTTCCAAGTGCTGCCTCGGTGTATTTACGCCCCTTCCAGACAATCACAAACTTCCACAGACATCAGTAGGCAAGTATACCCTCACCCAAAGAGGCAGGTTTCCGCTATCGCGGACCCACTCTTATCTTCCCCGCAAATTGTCGGACTCGGCCCGATGCTCGCAACGGGCCTGATATCGCCGTAGATACCCGCCTTTTCATCCTTCTCGCGCATACTTGCAGCCTGCATCATGGCTGGCAGAGTCGAGCGCGCAGATATCAACGCTCATACACGCTCCTTCACCGGGTGTACCACAGTACGTATATACCGGCAGTTGCTGGCGAGGAGCTGGAATCTGACTAGGCCATAGTGTCGAAGTCGGCACGTAAAGTGCGATGAAGGCCGCCCAACATGTTCCATGTGTGCCTACTTTGGGCTAACCTGCGCTGGCTATGGAAAAAATATATTTTTTGACTCAAGAAACCCAGAGGCGAAGATCCGGTTTCGAAGGCCTCTACTTACAGAAGAAGAGCGAGAGCGCATGAGCCAGTGGCTAGTCTCCAGCGCACCGCCCAAGTCCACATTTCAATTGCTATCCCAGATAGATGACGAGTGCGAGAGCTCAGCTCCATTGAGAGATTTTCAGCTATCCCTTGGGCCGTTTGGTGTTTTCAAAGTCCATCAAGACCATGCAGTCCAGAATGCAACACCCGACGAAACCGAGTCTTTGCCACTGGTCGAGGATTTTGAGAATCCCGGTACCGGTAGTCCAGAGCAGGATGAACTCCCAATGATGGGCTCTTTCACTGTCGATGTCGGATTTTCACAATTGTCGCCATCATTTATGCAGTCACTACTAGAACCACCAGATCATGCGCCGAGCTCGAGCTCTCCAGATCTAATAGATCTGTTGATGGACCAAAGCCACGTCGGCGACACGACTTTAGCGCCGCATCAAGAATACTCGCCCACACGCTTGATATCTCAATCATATTGTAATCCACCAATACAGTCCGACTTCCTGGCTCCAGGTCCAGACATGTCTTGTTCGGTCCCACAAGACGCAGTCTTCCTGATTAAACATTACTCTTCAACTGTTATCAGTCTCATGACACCCGTCCGCCATAAGAAGACACCCTGGCATATACTATTCATTCCCCATGCCAAAGACTGTCTAGCCGCTCTAGCGTTGGGCGAGGACATGAGTCATGCTAGCCTATGCAACTTTTACGGAACCCTAGCCATCAGCGCCTTCAGTCTAGGCGGCGTTTCTCGATCTGAATCTTGGCTCGAAAAAGGAGAAATGTACCTCCAAAAGGCCCAGACCCACGCCCGACTGATGCTCTTGACCGCCTACGATATTCCCAAACCAGCAAAATACAAATCTATTCTAATGGCAATCCTCACAATGGTGCAAGTATCCACCTTCTCGGGTAACCGAGACCAAGCTGAAGGATACTTTCTGGAAGCAGAAAAATTCATCCGTATGAAAGGACTCAAGCGAAAGAAATCAAGGAAGGTACGCCTTCTACATCACTGCTATGTCTTTGAGCGGATGTTCCATGAAAGCATTTTTGTCTGTGCTGCAAATTCCAACCACCGCCAACATATCCGTCGAGCAATCGAGTCGAGTGGGCTTGCTCCCGCGAGTGTGGATGGCCTCTCTTTCCGTCTGTACAAGTGGAAAAATCTGCATCAGGAAATGCTCCGCGTGCGCGACCGGGAAGAAGGGGAGAATGATCTACACCTTGAGCGCCCAGGCCTCTTTTCAGCAACTCTATACCCCGAGATTTTTGGAATTCCAGAGGCATGGCTCCTTCTTTTATCTTGTGTGATCCGCCTTGGGACTGAGAAAGATGCCGCTGAAGAATCTTCCACCCCAAATGGCCTCAATCTAAAGGACTTTATCAGCCGTGCGAAAGCTCTGGAAGACTATATTAATCAACTTCAACGCCCCAACCAAGCAACTTTTACCTTTTCATCACAACATTCCACTATCGACCAACACATCTTAGAGAACATGCTCGAGGCAATGCGACTTGCCCTTGCCATCTACTTCTACCGCCGAATCTACGATATCAACGCGTCGATACTGCAAGAAAAGGTAATCGGAGTGCGCGACTGTCTACTGCAATGCGAGTACGCCGACTCTAGCGTCGTGCATGGTTCTGCGGGATTCATCTGGCCAGCATTTATCGCAGCATGCGAAGCTGAAGATCCAGATGTGCAAGAGTCTTTTGCGAGGTGGTTTGAGATTTCCGCGCAGCGGAGTGGATTGTCTGGGTTTACACGGACTTTGAGTTCGATTCGGAAGATCTGGCAGGAGAAGCGTGGTGGCGGTTGTAGTGTGACTTGGTTGGACTTGATGAGGAAAGCGTTGCCAATGCGGGAACACGGGGAGTGGGAGGGGTGACTTTCTTGTGCAGATAACTTCAGTATTTATGTATATCATCACAATCAATTTTATAATCTCAACTGCAGGGAGTGAAAGCTCCTCTCAAAGATATAAGAAGAATGAAATTTCACCTTTTTTGTTCACGAGCTGCTATACTGTCCCAGTCACGTCCCAAATGAGCTACGTTGTGCACTCTTCTGGTCTGATCAATCGCTACGCGTTCCAAAAAGTCATATGAACTACCCCGCATCCCAACTTTAATCTGGCAGCTCTAAAGCTTGCCTATTTTGCACCGTGCATACTCTTGATAAGGCTGACCGTTGACTAGTGGAGTGGGCTTACCAAGTTAGGCAGGCTTCCGCGACAACCCCACTACGGAGGTATGCGCTGGGTGATGGTGGACCGTTACTTATTTCAATAGACTGCCTCAAGCTATCAGGGTTTTTCTCATATATATAATTTTTCATTATAACTTAACATTATCTTCATACTCGCATTTGCCTCTTTTATCCTCCACGCCAATGGACGTCCCCGGCATCGCATTAATCACTGGCGCTGCATCAGGCATCGGACGAGCCTGCGCAAAAGCCTTCGCCAAAGAAGGCGTATCTGGACTGGCTCTCCTCGATCTGAGTGGAGAACCCCTCGCAGCTGTCAAATCGGAAATCGAAGACCTACAATGTACGCTGGGCCAAACCAGCCCCTGCCGAATCGAGACCTACCCAACCAACGTCGGCGACGAAACCCGCGTAAACGAAGTCATCGAAACAGTCGCGCAAACATTTGGCCGTCTCGACTATGTAGTCAATGCGGCGGGAATTGCAATGAAACACCAAGGCGGCGCAGCATATGCCGAAACCGCAGATTGGGACCGCATTCTCAACGTCAATCTCACGGGGACATTTTTCGTTCTCCGCGCCGCAGCAAAGATCATGCTAAAGCAAAAACCCATCAAGTCCATCATTGATGGTCGGCCCTTGCAGCGAGGCTCGATTATCAACTTTTCCTCTATTCAGGGCATTGTGGGGATTCCCTTGTCGACGGCATATACCGTTACCAAACATGCCGTGATTGGGTTGACGAGAACGGCTTCGGAGGACTATGCGAAGGATGGATTGAGGATTAATGCTATTTGTCCTGGATATACGGAGACGCCGCTCACAACCAAGTCGCCGGCCATCTTGCAGGCCATGGTGGAGCGTGTCGCGACCGCAGTGCCGATGGAGCGGATGGGACGGCCGGAGGAGATTGCAGATGGAGTCTTATATCTTGCGGGAGGTCGGAGCTCTTTTGTCACGGGGACTGCTTTGATGGTAGATGGTGGATATACGCAGCGATAGCAAGATAAGTAGACTTAATGAGAGAGAGGCGAAGTGTTTTCAATGCTATTCACCTCAGGGATGTGTATAGTTGCACGTAGCCAATGAGGACCCAGCATTACCGTGATAGGCTGCTCCACGTCGGCTAAACAGGATTGCCTGATCATTGGACGATAGTATTGCCCGTTTCTGGCTAGCTCACTGTTCGACGAGGACATGAGAAAGTGAGATTCATCAAATAATCGATCAAGCTGAGCTGGAAACGCCCGCTGTGCCGCCTGCGATTCGCCGGTTTGGGCCAAGTGACCTCACGACCTTTCCCGTCTTGTCACCGATGCACCGAGATCAACCACATCATCGACCACTCGCATCGGAGCTTCTCTCCGCATTCCACATATCTCGCCCAATCATGTGGTTGATAAAAGCAGATGCGTCGGAATCTCACTCTGGTCGAGTCCCTTACAAGACTCTACTTTCCCCTCACAGGCAAAGCGTAGCAGAAACATGCCCAGCTTTGCATCGCCTGCATCCACCTGCTTAAACATTACGCTTCGGGGTTATATCTGGCCGAGAGCTCAAGTCACATATTTAAGGAACGCGACGCGCCTGTCCATCACCAAAAATTCTCGACCTTTCGCAACGCAATTCAACCCGTCAGACCGTGTCCCGAGCCGCCCCATCCCCCGCCAGCTCCAGCCCACATTCTCCAAGGCCAACATGAGCAGCCAGCGCGTCCCAATCGAATCCCAGCGCGTGGACGCACCGCTGACCTCGTCGGCGACCTTCCTCGTTCTATCAGCGACCGATAAGGAAGACTCCATCAGCACAATTCGGTCCGTCCTCGCTAGCCTGGACGATCTCGCCAAGAATGTCTCCATTCGCGACTTGAATGCCCAATTCGCTTGCACGGTCGGCATTGGCAGCGATATATGGGACCGGTTGACCGGTTTGCCTAGACCTGCAGAGCTTCATCCGTTCAAGGAGATCAAGGGCAACAAGCACACCGCTGTCTCAACGCCTGGAGATTTGCTGTTCCATATCCGATCGGAGCGACGGGATATTTGCTTCGAGTTTGAGAGGCAATTGATGGATCAGCTTGGTGATTCGGTGTCTCTAATTGATGAGACAGTCGGATTCCGATACTTTGATGTCCGCGATCTTCTCGGTTTCGTTGACGGAACGGCCAACCCCGTCGGGCCAGCTGTGCCCTCGTCCGTCCTCATCGCAGAGGAAGATACATCCGCCCAAGGAGGCAGTTACATCGTGATCCAGAAATACGTGCACGATCTAGAGTCCTGGAAGTCTCTGCCGACGGAAACACAAGAAAAGATCATTGGACGAACTAAGCTTGATAATGTGGAACTCGACGACGCCGAGTCTGGACAGCGATCGCACAAAACCCTCAACACGATTGAAGACGAGAATGGCAATGAACATGATATCTTACGCGATAACATGCCATTTGGATCGCCTGGTTCAGGCGAATTCGGCACGTATTTTATTGGGTATACGCGCCGGTTGTGGGTTATTGAGAAGATGTTGGAGCGCATGTTCGTTGGCCATCCTCCTGGCCTCCACGATCGAATTCTGGATTTCTCTACGCCGTTGACGGGAACGACATTCTTTGCTCCATCGGCGAGTCTACTAGCAAGCTTGGATTCGGATTAATTACCCAGTCTACGAACTTAGTACGTATTAACGGAGTTCACAAAAGTCACAATATGAATCTGCATATACAGCGACGTCTCCACTTACATACACGAGAAGCGCTAGATAGACAATTGATCAGGCTATTGAATCTCAAAAATATGACAAAGTAACAAGAACTACACAGCCTCGTCAACTCAAAGTCACGAAATTATAGAAGACGAACACAAACCAAAGGATCTTCATCGACGACTGGTTCAATCTAATCCAAAGCCTGCACTACCTTCGCCCACTCCCCAAATCCATACGCTCCAGGCACGCTCTTCCCATCAAAAAGACTCGCCAACACCACCCGATCCGACTGCTCGCCTTCCCACGGCTGTCTCCCATGCTGGGCAATCACATTATCATAGACCAGCACATCACCCGTCTCCCACTTGTGCAGTACACGAATCTCATCCGTAATCTTAGCCAAATGCTCCAAATACTTCTCCGGTATAACACTCCCATCTCCATAAATCTGCTGAGTAACATTCTTCCTCCCACCCGAATTCACCCGATTCATCTTCCAGTATGAGGCCAATCCGGTAAACAGCGTGGGCAAATTAGTCTCCGGCTGTGTCCTAATTGCTGGGAGTCGATGCGTCAAAACAAGCCCGTCATCCGTCCACTCCCACGTCGTATAAATCCCACGTCCATACCGGGCAATCTGCGCTTCTATCTTGCGTCGCTTGGTCTCTTCCGAGTCCCCATCCACTATCTCCTTTCCAAAGGCTTGTTTGAGGGTGGACCCGCCTTCATATTGTTTTTCGTACTTGTACGTGACGCGGCTCAAGATGCCCTTCTCCGTAAGCTCAGCGATGAATTCTGGAATTTCTTGCTGTGCGCGGTGGAACAACTCCAGCGAGGAAGAAATGGGAGATTCGCCGCCCTTGTTGGGGACGTGATGTCCGTAGAAGAAAATATACTCCGGGGCATGGGGCACCTGCGGGGACTCGTTGTGGTTGTATATCAGAACCTCCTTGGGTGCTTCGTTGGCGGGTGCCACGTTCGGTGCGAGAAGTGGTCTATCCACTACTATACCAATGATCTCGTGAGGTTTGTATCCAAAAGCGTGGGCGAATTTGCTAAAGTCCTCGGCGTTATGGATGGGAAGACCACGGAAGAGGAGGGTGCCGTGTTGAGCAAGCTTTTTGGTCAAAGTGCCATCTCGCTGCTGGAGAGACTTGATAGTCTCCACGATGACGTCGAGGCTGGGCTTTTGGGATTCCTCTGTGAGACGTAGGGCGAGGGGAATCACGGTATCTTTGGGATGAGGAGATCCCAGTACCCGCTGGTTGGAGGAGGGGAGCTCGAAGGGTTCGAATGAGACGACAGATGAGACTGCATCGCTGATTTGCAGCTTTTCAATATGCAGATGTTCAGTAGTGGTTGCCATTCTGTGATTCTGGGCCTGGGGTAGTAATTGATTGTATTATGATGCGTGTTAGATTGCAGACATGGGCAGGCAATATTGTCGGACCTTCCGACTTAAATACGCTACGAAATTCCTAAAAAAGAGGAGAAACCCCTCCTCATATGCGCCAAAATGACGACAATTCTATTGGACCATAATCTCCGAACACAAGGATATGATCCTTCCTTTGCCTCTCTCGCATTTACTGCATTTATTACCTATTGTCTGCCAAGATAACTTCCGAGGCTATCGATGGATTGTGCCATTCCGGCGTGGACATGCGTGCTTGCGGGGAGACGAGGCTAAACGTCGGCAAATATACCGAGTACATGGGACGATAAGCTGGATTCTAGTCGCCTATTTAAACCTACAATTAATTTCGGACAATTCCCGTAAAGCCTGGCTCTCTTTCGTGCAACTTGCTTTCCTCATCATGGCTATCTCCTCTAAGGTGGATCCCGGTATACAAACCAACATCTCGACAGTCCCCGAGGACAAACCCAATGCCTCCAATAACTCATCTCGACCGCCATTTTTTCGAAGCACGCTCTTTCAAATTCTAATCGTTGGCCTATGTGCCTTTTGTGCCCCGGGAATATGGAGCGCCATGAATGGCCTCGGAGTAGGCGGGTCCCAAAGTCCCGACCTGGTCAACGCGGCCAACGCTCTCCTCTACGCCTTCATGACAGTGACATGTTTTGCGGGGCCATGGATTACCAACATCATTGGGTTCCGCTGGACTCTCGCCCTGGGATCGATAGGGTATCCGCTATACGCAGCAGGGCTGTACCTGAACAATCGCACTGGTGCAACCTGGCTTGTGTACCTGGGCTCCGTGACCTGTGGTCTCAGCGCGGGATTTTTCTGGAGTGTCGAAGGTGCCATTGCGACTGGTTACCCTGAGCAACATAAACGTGGTCGATATATTGCGACGTGGTTTACTTTTCGCAATTTCGGCAATATCATCGGTGGCGCCGTCTCGTTGGGAATCAATCATAAGGTCAATCACCGAGGAAAAGTCGGATATCAGACATATCTTGCCTTTATCGCAATTCAGTGCCTAGGTCTATTCTTTGGATTATTCCTTTCGAATCCAGAGAAAGTGCAAAGAGATGACAACACCAAGATTGAAGCCCCTCAGGGTATCCACTGGCGAGACGAGGCTAAGGCCATGTGGCGATTACTGAGAAGCAAATCCATCCTACTCCTTGTCCCGCTGTTCTGGTACTTCGGATGGATCCAGGCCTACCCCGGTACATATCTTGCGACCTATTTCACAGTACGATCGCGAGCGCTGGGTAGCTTCATGTCTGCCGTAGTTGGCACCCTTGCGACTTGGCTCGGTGGCTCTCTCGTTGATCTCCCATGGATCAAGAGTCGAAAGCGCCGCGCGATCATCACATACATCCTCATTGCCCTTTTGAACAGTGCAACTTGGATCTGGGCCGTCATCATTCAGAATGAATACAGACATACCAACCCTGTCTTGGACTGGGGAAACCAGCGTGCTTTTGGCCGTGGCTTCGGGCTGTATCTCTTCGAGCGGATCAGTCTGGGCTTAGTGGAGAACTATATTTACTGGTGCATTGGCAATCTTTCGGACTCGCCTGGTGACCAAATTCGATACAGCTCGCTACTCAGAGGTATCGAGACAGCAGGGGTGGCTGTGGGATTCGGTGTCCAAGCTGTGCCCACTGCATTGATTGCTACCGCAAGTATCAATTTTGGGCTGTGGTTTTTGGCATTGCCGTTTAGTTACTATGCTACATTGCAAGTTGTGCGCAAGTTTGAGAGCTCAGCACAAAAGTCTGCTGGTTTACAGACAGAGGAAGAGGGCAATGCGGCAGTCGTGGTTCATTAATTTCCATTAGTTTATCTAAGTCTAGCGCATTTAGATGAGTTCTAAATGATGGACTTGCATCACGAAAGAAACATACTATTTGGGCAATTCTTGAATAGGCATTAACTTGCGATCTGGATGGCGCTCGCATAATGCGCAGTCAGTACTTGAGGTACTTGACGAGCATATCGAATCAATATTGACTATTGTCTCAGTGTCATGGATACGGTATCTGTCTAGAATATTTTCATGATTCAGTCGCTGGCCCCCGGCTATAACTCCTCTTCCATCCAAACGAAATGATGTTGCTCGCATCTAGATCTCGTCTGCCAAAATGGGAGCCTTCCTGTAAATCGCCATTCCTGTGTGTTATTGCACTAGACTTGGCGCCATCAGCTAGCGTTCCGGTGCTCTGGTACCGCGTTCCCACTACACGCTGAAGTCATCTACCGCGAAACGTGGTCTCGCTCCAACATCCCTGCTTCATCTGCATTCATGATGTGTGGTTCCTAAGCTCGGTCGAAGTGGTAAACGGATGATCGGGATTCTCTCTGTAAAGCGACTCTTCTATACATATGGCCTGTCTTGTGCTCGTCGTTGTCTATCGCTTCCCGGTCTGGCGAATTATACTCCTCAATGGCGTGATACTTAATCCTGACGCCCTACGAGATGTAGACAATTTGCACGCCACGCAGATACCAGACTCAATTGCCGATCCCCACTTTCTGTGTTCTCCTCGCAAAAATGTCCCTATGTAGGCAGGCGTGGTGGTGTGCTTTTGTGAATCAGCTTTACGCTTGTCGCAAGGTTATAAGGGAGGCTCAGCCATGCACAATAGCACTTGTCCCGCGTAAGCTTTCCGGTTCCAACGGTCAATATGTCAAGCTCTTCAAATTCAATTCAAGCCAAAGATGACACAATTACGAGCGTCTCTGCGATCAGAGAGACACACGATGGCAGTGAGCCTCTACGTGATGTTTCAGGTGACGTTATTGAGGACGGTCTCCGGAGAGGTCTGAAGGGTCGTCAGTTTATGATCATCGCGTTGGGTAGTATCATCGGACCTGGATGTTTCTATGGACTGGGTTATGGCATCTATGAAGCTGGCCCGTTGGGTTTGCTTATTGGATTCTCCGTCGTTGGTGCGTGCGAATGAGTCGAATATGCAGATTAGAGCTGACTGGAACACAGGAGCCTCAATGTGGATATTGATGCAGAGTGTTGGTGAAGTAGCTACTCTGTTCCCCGTTCATGGTGGATTCGTTGAGGTGAGCTTGAATATTTGGCTCTTATTATCAACCCGACATTCTAATAAGTGTCCTTGCTTACAGCACTGTGACCGCTTTGTGGATCCGGCACTCAGTTTCGCTGTATCATGGCTGTACTACTTTATGTGGAGTGTCTTTCTGGCCTCAGGTAAATCAGAAGGTACACTTTTTGAGATAACTTGAAGCTAATGTCTTGACAGACTGGAACAACGCAACCGTATTCCTACAGTTCTGGATTCCAGAGACTGCGGTTCCTGTCTGGGCTTGGTATATCCTTATTTTCGTCTTCTTCTCAATCCTCACGACCATGGGAGTTAACTTCTATGGAGAGATAGAGTATTATTTTGGCATGTTCAAGTTCCTGTCGCTAGTTGTGCTCTTCTTTATCTCTATCCTCGCCAATGTTGGTGCATTTGGTAATGGATATGTCGGGTTTCGATACTGGAAAACGCCTTACGGTATACCATGCTCTCAATGTGTGTTTTTTCGAAGATGAACTGACTTGATTGAATGTTCTAGGCCCCATTCAAAATGGAATTAATGGCTTTGGCCAGGTCTTCGTCATGGCCGCTGCATACTACGTTGGAACTGAGATCGTCTCTGTCGCAGCAGGCGAGTCTAAGAACCCCCAGCGTGACGTTCCCAGAGTGAGTCCCAAAAAAAAGTATGGAGCATTATAACAAATCATATACTGACAGCACATATCAGGCTACAAACTCTATTCTTTACCGAATCCTCTTCGTGTTTATCGGAATGTCTTTCTTCCAAGGCTTGATCTGTCCTTCTACATCAGACGATCTAGTTCACCCAGGGTCCAAAACGGCCTCGTCCCCTTTTACCATCGGCTTCACCCTTGCCGGGTGGAAGTCATCTGCTCATTTTGTCAATGCGATCATTCTCATTGCATTTGTGTCTGCAGCCAACGGTGTCGTGTACATTCAATCTCGGACTCTGTACTCGCTGGCCTTGAAACGCAAAGCACCCTCGTTTTTCGCAATCACAACTGCCAGAGGAGGTACGTTCTAATACAATCCTTTCTTCTTCATAGACATCACCTAACTTCCCTATTCAAGTTCCTTACGTGGCTATCCTTTTCTCAAACTTGTGGGGCTTCCTTGGTCTCATGTCCTTACAAACAACAGCGGGCAGCCTCTTCTCATACTTCACCTCCTTCGGCGGAACAGCCGCTTATATAGCCTGGGCTGTGATTACATTCGTACAGCTTAGAGTCCGCGCTGCCGCCAAACGGAAAGGCATTGATGTCAAGACCTTCCCGTTCAAAGCACCTGGTCATATCTCGATCTATTGGGGCAACTTCTTTTTCAATATTTTCTTACTGCTGATTCAGGGGTTCACAGTCTTTGAGACTCCATTCAACTATCAGTTGTTCATTGCCTCGTATATCAGTATTCCGGTTTTCTTTTTGATGTTTGTTGGGTATAAGTGGTGGTTCAAGACTAAGTGGTAAGTAGATGATTCTCCTACAGTGGAAGCCGAGACTTAAAGTTGGCCAAGAACTTACCTCTGGAATTTGTTTACAGGGTACCCCTTGACAGCATTGACTTTTCAGGAAGACTCCAACTTTCCTCTGAAGAGCAGGACGGTATGCAGAAAAGACCGTTGGGCCGCAAGATTTTGGATGTGTTCAAGGACTAGTTGACACAACGAAATAATATCACGCTCTGGTTGTGTACCCAGCGATAGCACTGCAACGATTTTGAATCCACCTAAGTCACCGAGTCCAAGATCCTATCTTTGTTTATCGATAGCAATCCCAATTCACATTTCAAGGAGAGTGGAGTGGGTAGTAGCCGCGACATTCCTCGCGGACAATCCCATACCACTCATCGCCCGGACATCAACACTTGTTTACTCTACCATAGTAACTCCAGAAATGTTCTCTCAGGCGCAGTATTTATCTCTTCAAAATTCTCTAATCTTCCACACTCTCTACTCCTCCACACTGTATCCAAGCCTCTCCATATCCATCCCTCAAAATGAAGCTCTCTATCTTCCTCCCCCTAGCGGCCTTCCTGACCTTGACCGCCGCCGAGCCGTCAAACATAAACGACGACATTAGCCCGTGTTTGGTACTACATCTCCATGATTCTACATAATAACTTCATGTACTGACCACTTCTGCAGACCCGATGTCTGACCGAGGCTGCGGTCGTCGCTGGATGTATCTCCCAGTACGACTCGGTCTGCACCTGCCCCAGCCCAGCCTTCAGGGATGCGATGAAGATGTGTTTGGATTATTCTTGTACGGCGGAGGATGCAACGAGTAAGTTCTACCATTGCTGGACTATACATGCTAGAACCACGCACTAATGATTGGAACCTTGACAGTGGCGCAAGAGCTACACAAGGAGCGCTGTGGGACGCCGCCGAGCTAGAGGATTGTGTTGGTTATGGTCTTGGTTTAGTGAATAACATGTTTACTTGAGATGTGGATATAGTGTTTATTGAATAATATGCCTTCTTTAAGTATGAACTTTGTGTAGACTAAGAAAACCAACGTAGTGGTTCACCCTTAGATCTCGTTATCTTGTGCAGACGCATGCTCTCAAACAGGAACTCTTCTAGTGCCAAGGCCGCTTCGACGGATCTTCCAGAGCCTGGTAACGAGCTGAGTCTAGCCAGTGCGTAGGCTGCAACGACCATAGGCAATGCTAATCGGAGCTTAAGTGGAGGCGTTTCAAGGCGTCAGAGCGTAGTGTAGATCACTCTTGGAGTTACAAAATAACACACTACAAGATACAGAATACCACTTAAAACCCATGGAATAAACTCCATTCGCACGAGACTGAGAGATATCAAGCTAGGTAGGTCGAGGAAAACAATGAAACAGGCAGGAAGGGAAGAGGAAGGTTTTGAGAGTAAACATCCAAACTTTCAATTTTTTCGTTCTTGAATTTCATATTCTGGATCAAACCCAAACAACCTCCATCTAAGCCTGAGACAGGTTCTCGTAGGCGTCGGGGAAGCGGCGCATGTTCTGCTCGATCAGACCGTGGCCACGGAGGAACTGGACGTAGGCACCATCCTGCTTGAGCTTGCCCTCCTGGCGGAGCTGGACGTACTCCTCACGGCGGACGGGGGTGAAGCCCCAGTTCTTGGAGACAATGATCTTTTGGCGGCCGGGGAACTTGTACATGGCACGGCGGAGAGCCTCAATGGCGGTGGCACGGTGGGCATCACGGGTGCGGACGGACAGAATGATCTGGCCAATGTTCACACGGGCAACGGTACCCTGGGGCTTACCGAAGGCACCACGCATACCGGTCTGCAGACGATCGGCACCGGCGCAGGAAAGCATCTTGTTGATACGGATGACGTGGAAGGGGTGGACACGCACACGCATGTGGAAACCTTCCTTACCGGCGATCTTCACAAGGTACCTAAACGAGAGGAGCGTTAGAAACTGAGGATCTCGCAGAATTGGATGTATTCGGTGATTGATATCGAGTGGTCGAGCGAAAGGCAGGATATGGAGAAGGTGTAGAGAACGTACTTGTTGGCGCAAATACGGGCGGCCTCGAGGGCCTCGGATGACAGCTGCTCATACTCGTTGGAGACCATGTGCACACAGGTGGGGAAGTCGTCAACGTTGGCCTTCTTACGGCCCAGATCGAAGATGCGGATCTTGGGGTCGGGAACACCACGGTTGAAGCGCGACTTGGGGTACGGCTAGAGATGAGGGGGATGTCAGTGAACCAATCCTTGCCAAGCTTTGCAGATTTCATCATTCTCCCAATCTGAGAAGCTCAAAAATCTTCCTCTTCACATCGAGTCCCAGAAACAGAGATTTCCCTTGCATTCAGCACCTGCCCGGTGCTCTCGTTGATGATCGCGAGGGGTTGTGCCTCACGCGCTTGTCCTCCTCCCCACAACCGAGCCTCCCGCACACAAAAAAAATCATCGAATAACTCGACATCAGCAACGCACCTTGTTCTTGCAGTAGCGGTAGCAGCGGGCGGGACGGCGAGCCATTGTGAGTGCTGGAAATTGGCGAAATGCACTTCCTGCGAACTGGGTTTTGGATGTCGTTGGGTGTCGAGGGATCGAAAGGGAAAAAGAAGGGAAAACGGGCGGGTCACGGGATTGTTTGATTTCCAAGCAGCAAAGTGGCGAAGCCCTAAGCCCTAGTGAGCGGGCCAATCAGAGCCAATTACTAGGACCCACTTAAGTTGAGTCGTACCCGGTTCTGGTTACTTTGCAGTCGAGTCAGAGTGACTCTTGGACGATGATCAACAAGTATGATAGGATAAGAGGATGATCCTCCGTATAATAAATATGCGAGGGATATGATACTGGAGGCCATTCGTCATTTCCAGCGCTTACGGTATGAGTCTACATCCGGCTTATAAATCTCCCCGATCTCTACCCGACAAGTCTCCGTCGGACTCCTCCTGTATGTCTTATAGCTAGTTACTCGTTCACTGGATTGGTAAATGCCCACCGGTCGGCCTTTTGATTGGAGCTCTCATAGTTCATAACTAATCGTAGATGCGCCCCAATTATTCCGCCACATGACATTCACCACACGCCATTCCAACAACGTTCACAGGCATTCGCCTCCCCCAGTCCGCGCCTCAAAGCCCACCCACTTACTGGGTGCCAGTGAGGATGTCGGAGTCACCGGCATCGAGAATGGCCATGGTGGCGCAGCGGAAGAGCTTACCACAGGCGGTACCAAGCTCGATCTATAAGTGGGTGTTAGCAAATTGATCCGATCGGGCAGCATCATAGCATGCGCGTTTGCCACGATGGTATCGGTGTCGACTCACGTTGTTACCCGAGAAATGGTGGACGGGAGTCTTCGCCAGCATGGCGTAGTACTCCAGCTCGGACTTGCGGAGAGGGGGGTGTTGGCAGCGATGATGACCAGCTTGGCCTTTCCGGAGCGCAGAGTCTTCATGGTAGACTTGGCACCCAGGGTGACCTTACCGGACTTCATCACCAGGGCGAGCCTGGAGTTGATCTGGAATTGCGGTATTAGCAACTTGATCTTGAATGCTTGAAGATCGGCCGAGACGATCAATGCTGTCGGCGTGGTTGACTCACGTTGTCGGAACCCTTCTTGGACTTCTTGTTGGGGGCCATCTTTACGCTTTGAAGTACAAGACCTCAAAATGATATAGAAATGTGTATAGAGAGATGCGCTCCGGCCGGCGTGGATAGTGAAAGAAGAGGAGCCGCGCGATTGAAGCCGAGCCGCAGAAATGTACGGACAGCCTCGGAGAAACCAGTTAATGCGCTCCGGGAAATGACCGCCTTCATCTCGACTCAATGGTCACATGACCTTGCTCTTGGTGGAGCTGGTCTGAAACCGACCTGGTTGCCTCAGGCGGCGATGATCCCGTAATTTCCTGGGCCTGCTTTCCTGGCCAACATGGATTGAGCAGTTCACAGGTAGAGGAGTAATATCTTTTCTCTCAATCTACTCTAAATAATACTGGACCATTCTTCCAGATGACTTGCTGTGATTTAATGGTAAATCTATTAATAACTGGGGGTGAACGAGTCCAGGGGATAACTCTAACCTTATAACCTTGAACCACTGTTGTCCGGGTTGCCACTGTACGAAACGCAACTTACTGTACTGGGCCCTGGCCGTTCGCAGTTTGTTGTCCTCAAAAGCATCCTCCTAGTCCCCTGGAGACGATCCTCATTATTCTGCCAGTCTCATGTCCTAATCTGAAACCCCCTTTGTCTTTTCCCCAGTCGTTGATCTTTTGACTTTCTTCAACCTTCGTATCTTCACCTCTTTAGCCTCGTATCCCGCCCTTTGGCCCCAAACACCACCGTGTCTGCTCTGGTATTTTTAGAATACTCAGTCCAGAGTACTCCATACTCTCTCCGTACAGAGTAAGGAGATCCCGCATTCCGCAGCAAAAATAAAGAGAGTTCGTCTCTGGGCTCGACAATCGTCCCATCTCCCCATTTCCTCCCTTTTTTTTTCTTAGCCTGCGCTCTTTTCCCCCATTCCAGACACTCTGCGAATGCCGCGCTAGGCTTCGAATGATTCTACGGCTTCTATCCGCCATGTGGCTCGCAATCAATCTCTGACAGCAGCAGCATTCCCCCCGATCTCTAGTCAAATAATCCTGTCATCATCGCATCAACCCCGAGACGACACAACCTAAACCAGCTTACGGTAGCGCGGCCCACTCGCCCTTTTTGACCGCTTCCCCCAATTGATCCACGACCACCAACAGCCTCTCAACCCTCTTTCCTCCACATCCCCCCGGACAACAGTCTATTTTGGGACTCGGAAACCTTCACATAGGATTGAGAACTGCCCCATTTGCCTTCTATATACCATCATCGGTCCCACGGGCCTCGGGACCCTGCACGATGTCAGCAACGCCTCGCAAGCCTGGAACCCCCGGCAGTTCCAGCAAATCATCGACCGCAGATCCGCCCTCAACCAACGGGTCCACCACACGAGGACATGCACGCTCGCCCAGCGCCGCAACCAACGGCCTCAACCGCTCTCCTTCTTTAAGAGGTTCGACGCCTGTCTCTGCACGCGCCGCTGCACGAAAACCCGGCCGATCTAACCTGAGCATGTCCAACGTCCCGCGGATCAACAACGACCCCTCCGAGGAGGAGGCGCGGGCTCAAAATGCCGCCCTCATTGAAGAGCTGCGAGCACAGCTCCAGAAGGCTGAGACGGCCTCGGAACAATATCAGAAACAACTCGGTGTCTTGCAAATGCGCCTCGACGAAGCTGTAAGCGAGCAGGGAAAGTTGGAGGACCAAGCCCATGAGAAGGATACTCGACTGGAAGCGCTGAATAGCGAGATTCGGGATCAGGCTCGCCAGATCCGCGATCTCGAACAGAACCATGACTTGGAGCGGAATGCGATGTTGCAGGAGAAGGAGCAGCAGACGAGTCGGGAGGAGGAGTTGCAAGCTACCATCCAGCGCTTGAAGGACTCGGTGGCGCAGAAGAGCATTCCTGTCAACGCAGAGGGTGAGCGTCAGATTTCCAGATCCTGTATGGGCCTCGCCTATATATATCTCTAAAACGAATGACCAAAAATTTGCTAACATTCTTGAACAGCGAGCTTCCGGAACAGAGCTTCACCCGATGTCGACGGCCAATTCGCCCCATCGTCACATCTCGAGCGCAGCCCCTCCCGAAACAATTCCAACCTTCTTCTCCAGAAAGATAAGCTTATCGAGTCTTTGCGACTCGAGCTCGCTGAACACCAAATCAAATTAGTAGAGATGGAGAATGCAGGTGGAGGTCGGCAGCGCGAGCTCGAGAAGGAGCTCCTGGAGGCTCGGATGGCGAATGCTCGTCTCATGGAAGATAACGAGAGCTACCAACTCTTGCTCAGCGAGAAGACTCTCACCGGTGACTTCACTAAGGGTGACTTCATGCAGCATGCCCATCCCGATAAGCAGTCTAGCGGCGGCTTGGGTTCTCTAGCAGACGAACTCGAGTCTGTCGACGAAGCGCCTGAGACCGAACCCAGTGGCAAGGTGGACACCGAGATTAAAGCTCTGAGAGACCAGAACAAGGCTTTGTCGCTTTACATCGAGCGGATCATCAGCCGCGTGCTGCAGCATGACGGCTTTGAGCACGTTCTTGACAAGAACGAGGATGAACCTGGTTCTAAGACCGTCAAGCCCGTGGAGAAAGACTTGCCTCCTACGCCTCCTGAGAAGGATGATGCACCCAGCCCGTCCTTCCTACAGCGAGCCAAGTCTGTTATGGCAGGACCTCCTCGTTCCCAGCCTCGATCACGCCCAACGAGCATGATGCCCCCTCCCGCATTGCCGCACAGCAGTGCCAACGAAAACCCGGATACAGCACCCAGCATCCCGATCCGAACCCAGTCAGTCCGCGCTGCCCACCGTCGCACTCGCTCAGAGCAGGTCGATCCAAACGCTGCCTCTGTCGTCGGACAAATGTACCGTGGCCGGAACTCCGGTGGACCAATGAGCCCCTCTGCAATGGGCCCCGGGTCGCGCCAGAGCATGTTCTCCGGTGCTGCAAGCTACATTTCCAGCCGCGCACCATCAATGTCAAGCCAACCAGATCGTGGAGGCCGCAGCAGTTCGCCCAGTGTGACTAGCGACATTCATGGCGACACTAGCTCAACGGGGGCAACTTCGAGCCCTCCTCGCTCTAGCAGCGGTATGAACAACTACACAGGCGCAGTAATGACGCAGAACAAATTGCGGCCCTTGCGCCTGGTCAGCGATGCTGCCAAGCAAGAAGAAGAAGAGGCCGCACGCAAGAAAGCCAACCGCGCGAGCTGGATTCCGGGTTGGTTCAACCGTCCTGTTAACCCGGATGAGCAGTCGCAGCAGTCGCAGCAGCCACAGTCTTAGTCTGTGGACCACGATGGGTCCGTTGATTAAAGGCTGACCACAGGTCTGCTTTACTTGGCTCTGTCGCAGACTGGATGACTTGATGTGTTCTAGAAACTGTCTTTACCATGTTTACCCATACCCCTGTTATTTGTGATGCACATAATGTCTCATGTCTTGAAATGTATGGCCCAACCTCGAGTGAGGATGTTGAGTTGATTTGCGCAATTTGAATTCGAAATGTCCTTTCTCTTCTATTTCACTTGCTCTCTTGGTGGCGTAAATGTTTTATTTTTCTCCTTGCCTAGATGGCGTCATTTCCATGGGGGATTGAGATGTACTTGGGTACTTGTCTTCTCGTGAAATATGGTTCACTATTTCTCCCGCTCTTATGTTATCCGTGTTGATGTAGATAGTATACCCCATCATTTTGTCTCCGATGCGAATTTTGATCACATATCTAACTACCTGGGAAACTAAATAGTTAGCTAGTTATTACTCCCGTCTTTGTCATACAAAGTGCTCAAAACTAAAACCCGACCTGATCAATCAGTATCGATTTGCTTGGTAGTTTGGTGGCAGCTCATCATCTTACACCACGGAACAACATTAATCCGATCTCCGTCAGCGGCCACATTGGCACCAGCTCGGATCAACAATCCAGAAGAGCGCCCCTCCATTTGCACAACCACCACTCCCCAAAAGCCTTTCACCATGCCCGGCCCTCTCTCCCTCTTCTCCGTCAATGCGGTCCTCGTCATGTCCGCAGACGACGGATCCCGCATCTTCACCAAATACTACTCCGCACCACACGCGCCCACGGGCACCGCACCCAACTCGACCGACTACCCTGGTGCCAACCCATACCCGACGGTGAAGGAGCAGCGAGCTTTTGAGAAGGGTCTCCTCGAGAAGACGAATAAATCAACCAGCGATGTTATTCTCTACGATAACCGGATTGTGGTGTTCAAGATGGAGAGCGATGTAATGCTCTACGTTGTCGGAAGCGCGGACGAGAACGAAGTGCTGTTGTACAACGTTGTGCTGTCCTTGCGGGATGCGTTGGGAATTCTATTCAAGTATGTGAAATCATTTGTTGACTTTGTGTGGAGAATTTGCGTGTTGTGTTGGGGCAATTGGAGCTAACGGGGATGGGATTGCCTAATAGGGGTGCTACCGACAAGCGCACTATCGTCGAGAACTACGATCTCGTCTCCCTCGCAATCGACGAGACTATCGATGACGGTATCATCCTCGAGACTGACCCTGTCCTGATCGCCTCTCGTGTCAGCCGTGCGCCTGCCGCTGATGCGCCGAACATGAAGAACATCGACTTGACTGAGCAAGGGCTGATGAATGCCTGGGAGTTTGGCAAGCGGCGTCTGGCTGAGGGTCTACGACACATGTAAAGCGATGTCGCTGGCCTGCTTGCGATCTGATATTCTTCTGCCGTGTTTGGAGTGGCGGCCTGCTTGTTGTGTGGTGCGAGTCGTTCGTCCGTGTCCATTTCTGCTACGTTTCTTGTTTCTTTCTTGAGCTCTTTTCCTGGCTGGTCCTGGCGCGATATGGTTTCTTCTTTTCTGGTCCTAGTTGGCTTTTCCCGGGACTATGGACATGTCATAGATTTGTTGTATGCTTTTCTCTCTGCATCCTGTCCCATCAAAAGCCCTGCCTGTGAAGTGGGGGGTTCTGCGGCCCCGTGTAGGCTGCGTGGTAATACCGGCGCGAACGCCGATGACTGCAATGAAAAAAGACGATCTCATAATACTAAATCAATGTTTGAACTACTTGGAGCTACATTGTAAATTTAGTGCATTGCCTCTGACTCAATTGCCGAAGTACTCAGGCCCATTAGCGGGTAATCGCGTGTCCCAGAAGAGAGCCCGACTCCGGTCCCTGCCCCGCATACGTCACGCTCGAAAATTCCTTTCTTTCAACAACTCCTGCGCCCACAATGAAGCAGAGATTCTCGTCGCTAGATGTCAAGGTACTACATCTCAATCTGTGCTCCCCAGTGTACATACAGCAACCTTACAATTTTCCCAGGTCATCACGCAGGAGCTGGCCGCGGAGCTAGTCAACCTCCGCGTGTCCAACATCTACGACCTCTCCTCCGTACGTCCAAGTCCCTTGCAAGACCCAGCACCCAAAGCCGGAAAAAAATGGTATCTATCTAACATTTACTCTAGCGCATCTTCCTCTTCAAGCTTGCCAAGCCAGACCACCGCCGCCAACTGATCGTCGATTCCGGCTTCCGCACCCATGTCACACAATACTCCCGCACCGCGGCGTCCGCCCCCTCACCCTTCGTCACTCGCTTGCGCAAGTACCTCAAGTCCCGGCGCATCACCGGTATAGCCCAGATCGGAACGGACCGTGTCATTGACATCTCCTTCAGCGATGGTACATACCACCTGTTCCTGGAGTTCTTCGCTGGTGGCAACATCATCCTCACGGACCGCGAGTATACCATCATCGCGCTGTTTCGCCAGGTCTCCGCTGGAGAGGGCGAAGAAGCTAAGCTGGGATTAAAGTATACGGTGACGAATAAGCAGAATTATGGGGGTGTGCCTGATATCACGGATGAGCGGGTGAAACAGACGCTGGAGAAAGCCCAGGCGCTGTTTGCGAGTGAAGAGGGTGCACCGAAGAAGTCGAAGAAGAAGAATACGGATGTACTGCGGAAGGCTCTTTCCCAGGGTTTCCCCGAATATCCCCCGCTGTTGTTGGACCATGCCTTTGCGGTGAAAGAGGCCGATCCGGCGACGCCACTGGACCGAGTTTTGGGAGATGAAGCTGCCTTGCAGAAGGTCAGGGATGTGCTTGAGGAAGCTCAGCGCGTCTCGAATAGCTTCGACGTCGGCGAGAATCATCCAGGCTACATTGTCGCCAAGGAAGATACGAGAGCTTCCGCTGATGGCGAGAATGCCTCGAAGACGCCTGGCTTGTTGTACGAGGATTTCCACCCGTTCAAGCCACGGCAGTTTGAGGGCAAGCCTGGGATTACCATCCTCGAGTTTGACCGGTTCAATGCCACTGTTGACGAATACTTCTCGTCTCTAGAGTCGCAGCGTCTTGAATCCAGGCTGACGGAGAAAGAAGAGGCAGCTAAGCGTAAGCTGGAGGCTGTCCGAGAGGAACATCGGAAACGTATCGATGCCCTGAAGAACGCACAGGAGCTTCATATCCGCAAGGCTGGTGCCATTCAGGATAACATGTACAGGGTTCAAGAGGCGATGGACGCTGTCAACGGCCTCATCGCGCAAGGCATGGACTGGGGTGAGGTTGCTCGTCTTATTGAGATGGAACAGGGTCGGGGGAATCCTGTGGCCCAGATTATCAAACTTCCATTGAAGCTCTATGAAAACACCGTTACGCTTCTGCTTGCTGAGGCGGGCGATGAGGAGGAGGATGAAGATGAGGAAGAGCTTGCCTCTAGTGATGAATCCGAGTCGGACTCGGAAAGCGAAGCGCGAGAGGAGAAGCAGCGTGCAGACGCTACGTCAAAATTACTGTCCATCGACATCGATCTCGGTCTGACGCCGTGGGCAAACGCTTCGCAATACTACGATCAGAAGAAGCAAGCGTCCGAGAAGCAGCAGCGGACCGCCCAGTCATCCTCGAAGGCTCTCAAGAGCCATGAAAAGAAGGTGACAGCCGATCTCAAGAAGAGTCTGAAACAGGAGAAGCAAGTTTTACGCCAGGCTCGCGTGCCTTTCTGGTTTGAGAAATTTGTCTTTTTCGTCTCCTCGGAGGGCTACTTGGTTATTGGGTATGTACTTGTTCAACAATAGCTCGACAAGTCCACGTTCTAACAGATCATCAGTGCCCGCGATGCAATGCAGAGTGAACTCTTGTACCGCCGTTACCTCAGCAAAGGCGACATCTTCATCCATGCCGACCTCGAAGGTGCGCTGCCAATGGTCGTCAAGAACCGCATCGGAAACTCGGACGCACCAATCTCCCCTAGCACGCTATCACAGGCCGGAAATATGTGCGTGGCAACGTCCACAGCATGGGACTCCAAGGCCGTCATGTCCGCGTGGTGGGTGCATGCTCACCAGGTCGTCAAGACTGCCCAGGTGGGTGGAGGCATCTTGCCTACGGGTCGATTCGAGGTCAAGGGCGAGAAGAACTTCCTTGCACCTTCGCAGCTGGTCCTGGGATTTGCAGTTCTGTGGCAGGTTAGCCAGGATAGTGTGAAGAATCATAAGCAGCTGTTTGAGGCGGGGGATGCACCGGCGGAGAGTCTAGATGTTGGGAGTATGGAGGCACCTGGGGCTGAGCAAGAGACTACTCCAGAGAGAGCTGCTGCTGAAGCCGCTTCGGTGGAAGAGGACGTTTTTCAGGAAGAGCCACGGGAGAAGGATGCATCTGGGGATGAGGAGGATGCAGAGGACGATGAGGACCAAGCTCCAGCTAGGGACCCCCTCCAGCGTGGCGATTCCGAAATCCCTGTCAGCGCCGGTCAACAGTCGCCCGAGTCTGAGCCCAAGTCCGATGCAGAGGACGAGGATGATGGCAAGCCAGAGCCAGAGCTAGGGTCTGTGCAAGAAGAGCAGGCTGCTGAGGATATTGAAGAAGCCTCATCAACCACAAACCAAGACGCTGCTTCTCAGCAAGACGAAAGAAAACAACCCACTGCCCGCGAACGACGCACCCTCGGACAAGGCAAACCCATTGACCGATCAGGCGAGGAGGAGCCCACCGCACCACACATCCCGCAAACCCGCGGAAAGAAAGCCAAGGAGAAGCGTGCAGCAGCCAAATACGCGCACCAAGACGAGGAAGAGCGCGAACTAGCCCTCCGCCTGCTAGGCTCAAACAAAGGCAAAGCCGCCAAAGCAGCCAAGGCGGCCGAAGCCAAAGCCCAACGTGAAGCCGAAGCCGAAGCCCAAAAGCCCGGCGCCGTGCGCAGCACGAGCGCGCCGCAGAAGCAGAACGCAAGCGCCAGGCCCTCTTCGAAGAAGGCGGCGACGACTACAATGAGGAAACCGCCGCCGCCGAAGCAGCGGATCTGAGCTGGTTGCCCGCGCTAGTCGGCACACCGTCACCAGACGATGAGATTCTAGCTGCGATCGCGGTGTGTGCGCCGTGGGCCGCGCTGGGACGATACAAGTATAAGGTGAAACTGCAGCCTGGTGCGGTCAAGAAGGGTAAAGCTGTGAAGGAGATTGTTGGGCGATGGGTGTCGGAGACGACGACGGGGAAGGTGAAGAAGGATTATGCGGAGGATATTGGGATTTCGAGAGTTGATGCGGAGAAGTTACGGGAGAGGGAGGGGGAGTTGATTAAGGGGTGGAAGGAGACGGAGATCATTAATACGATGCCCGTGGGGAAAGTGCGGATTATGACGCCTGGAAGTGGAGGAGGTGGAGGTGGAGGGGGAGGAGAGAAAGGGAAGAGTAGTGGGAAGGGTGGGAAAGGTGGTGGCGGTGGTGGGAGAGGAGGAGGTAAAGGAGGGAAGAAGAAATAGACAGGAACAGATGGATGTATATAGGTTGAGGGGCTGGTAGGGCTGTACAGGTACTTGGGCAGTATTTGACTGGCGAGTTATAGAGGCGCTATGTGAGTACTGTAGGTAGGACAAGCATCAAGCAGTTTGGTTGGATATATTATTTCCTTCTTGAGCCAATCAGCAGTATCTTTGAGAAATACCTGTCGAACCATGACGTATCCCTATCTCGGATTGGAAGTTGTGGGTGTCGCTCATGTCTAGTTACTCCATCTAAATCCCATCTTATCTCGATCTATATATCTTGGCACAATCTACAACCTACGTCCAGCCAGTATATATGTTCAGCAACAAATGGTTGACATTCTGCAAGACATACCATGCTCAGATTTGGATGCTCGAGACTATAAACGCTATAGTCATATTCCACTCATACCATCCCTATATATTATGCCGTTGTACTGCTCGCAGGTGTACCAAGGGATCACCAAAAGCGGCAAGGTGCCAGGGTCTTAACCACCCTTGCAATATCACCTCTGGTAATATACCTATAAGTCACTTTCTTTCAACGTTCCTCATGGTCCTGATCTATTTTCTATTGCCTTCCTTTCCATCTTTTACCCAACTGGATCGCCACCTACCTAGGTAACTCGTCAAACATCATGTTTTGTGCCTGACGTGCTGACTCATCCGACGTCATTGTCGTGCGCAGTTTTTTTTCCATCGATAAGGTTGTCTAACTACCACAAAGTTCACTCGTCCACTGATTGATGCACTGCACGGCCTTATCCGGCATGATCGTCGATTTCAGGCCCTAAAACTACTCGGATAGCCACGGTCTCCCTCAAATTCAAGCCATTGCTGGGTCACTCGGGCTTTGCCCGTGCATTTTCCGCCCCTCCTCGCTGGTCCTGAGTGCGTGCGCCACGAGCCCTGCGTCATTGATTCATTGCTTTGCATCGATTTTAAAGATAACCCGCCCTACAACCCGCGTGCTCATCAAGCTGCTGTTCTCCCGAGTCTTCGCTGGCACTGGTCAGCGCCGTCTCGCCCGCTTCTTTACTACCACCACCACCACCACCACCATTACTACCATGGCGACCCCCGAGACGCGGGTCGTCTCCGTCCAGCGCCTCAATGAGGGCCCTGGATCTCGGTCCCTAGCTGAATGGTGGGCCGATGAGAAAAAGCTTCAAACGCCCGAGGCCAAGGCCATCGAGGAAGCTGCCCAGATCCTCCGCTCCAGCGATATCCCCGTCGCCTTTCCCACCGAGACGGTCTACGGCCTCGGCGCGGATGCCACACGAAGCGCCTCCGTCCAGGGCATCTACCGCGCAAAGCAACGACCCTCAGATAACCCGCTGATCGTGCATGTCGACTCTCTCGACATGCTCAACCGTCTATTAAACCCTACACCTACACCGCGCACCCCCAGCAGCCCCAGCTCGACCAAAACCCCGCGCATCTCCATCCCAGAGATCTACGAGCCCCTCCTCGAACGCTTCTGGCCCGGCCCTTTGACAATCATCCTCCCGAACCCATCAGGCTCCGAACTCGCTCCCGAAGTAACCTCCAACCTGACGACCTTTGGCGTGCGCATGCCCTCCTCAGCCCTAGCCCGCCTCCTCATCCACGCAACAGACCGTCCCCTCGCCGCACCCTCAGCCAACGCCTCAACCAAACCATCCCCTACAACCGCACAACACGTCTACCATGATCTACACGACCGCATCGAACTCATCCTCGACGGCGGACGCTCCGGCGTCGGCGTAGAAAGCACCGTCGTCGACGGCCTCTGCCAACCCCCGGCCATCCTCCGCCCCGGCGGCATCGGTATCGAAGAACTACGCACCTGTCCCGGCTGGGAAAACGTCATTGTAGCATACAACGACGGCACACTAGATGTGAAAGAAATCCCGCGCGCCCCGGGCATGAAATACAGACACTACTCGCCCAAAGCGCGAGTCGTCCTCTTCGAAGCAGACTCGCACTTCGCCGGCGTCGTCCGGCACGTCCAAAAGGATCTCCAAGACACCGCCATCGGCGCACACACCGTCGGCATCATCCGCACGCGCAATTGGCCCCAGGGTCTGGGCCTTGCATCCGCCGACGTGCTAGCTTCCACGATGCGACCTGTTTCATCGGCGATTGAGAATCTACACAGTTTCCCGGTCCCCGTGCACGAGACGGGGAGTCCGAGTAGTCGGACGAAGATGGCGTTTGATTATCATTTGGGGAGTGAGACGGGGGCGATTGCGCATGGATTGTTTGCGGCGTTGCGGGCGCTGGATGAGTTGGATGTGGATGTGATTTATGTGGAGGGGATTTCGGATCGGGATGGGGATTTGGCGGCGGCGGTGATGAATCGGTTGAGGAAGGCTGCTGGGGCGGAGATGAAAGTGTAGTTGTGGTTCTTTTGTTTTTGCCTTTTCTATTTGTTTAGAGCATATACTCCCATTTCTTGTTGTGAATGTACATGGTCATTACGTTTTGATTGCTGGTGGATTTGCGGGGTATTGGGGATAGAGTTTTGGAGAGACGAAGTTCTGTCCAGTAAAGTACAGTGTTCTTTGTAGAATTGGACATGCGGAGTATAGTTCATTCTCTTGGACTTGCCAGATTGGACAGCATGCTCGCGTTGTCTTTGGCAACCACTGTGAATGTCAGGCACATAATAGTATATGGAATGGAAGCAGTCGTAATAGTCAAGATGGTTCACGTAATAGAAATAGTTGGAGATGTTGAATCTATAGAATCAAGCTTAATATCGATTATATCCATCATATCGTTCTCGATCTCGTTCCACCTGGTCTCGGAGACCTCCGCCTGTTCTTATCGGGCGGGAGTTGCCTCGATTCACCCGCCCCGATAAGCCCACGCCCAAAATCTCCGGTGGATTCGAGTGGACCTGCTCCTTTTCCACTTCGTTTCGTTCGTCAGTTTAAGAGTTTAAGCCTGGGTCCTCCCATCCCCAATCCAGTTAGCCTGGTCCGAAACAATGAAGAAAGCAGAGCCACTGCCCCCGCTCGATTTGGGTAAACCCCGAGAACAAGAGCTGCGAGAAAAGAAAGGTAGAAAGGCTTGAACCTCGGTCGATTCGTCGTATATATGGGCCGTGGTACCCACGTAGATCTCATTCTCTTGAAAAGAAATCCAAAAAAAAAAGAATCTCCATCTCTCTATCGCATTCTGTCGCATCCTTTTTTGCTTCTTTTCTATCTTCTCAAAATGTGCAAATCCCCCCTCCACGACTTCATCCACGGCCTCCCCAAGTGCGAACACCATGTCCACCTCGAAGGCTGCCTCACGCCCTCCCTAATCTTCCACCTGGCCGCCCGCAATGGCATCACGCTCCCCTCCCCAACCGAAAACCCCGCCTACGCCTCCATCGCCGCCCTAACAGCCCGCTACGAACACTTCACCTCCCTCGACGACTTCCTCGCCTTCTACTTCGAAGGCATGGCCGTGCTCCGCACAGAACAAGACTTTGCCGACCTCGCCTGGTCCTACTTCCAAAAGGCGCATGCCGACGGCGTCCACCACGCCGAAGTCTTCTTCGACCCGCAGGTGCATCAGAGCCGGGGCGTGGCGTATGCCACCGTCGTAGCCGGGTTCGCGGCGGGCTGTCAGCGCGCGGAGAGCGAGTTGGGACTGTCAACGAGGTTGATTATGTGTTTTGTGAGGCACTTGCCCGTGTCGTCGGCGCGGGAGGTATATGAGGAGTTTCTGGCGCATGAGCATTTCCAGGCGCAGGTTGTGCATGGGCTGGGCTGGTCTTCGTCCGAGGTTGGTCCACCCAAGGATATGTTCCGTGAGATCTATGCGGCTGCGGCTGCGAGGGGCATTCCCCTGACGGCGCATGCGGGCGAGGAAGGTGATCCGACGTATATCAGTACGGCCCTGGAACTCGGGGCGCAGCGGATCGATCATGGGATTCGACTGGTTGAGGATCCCGAGTTGATGAAGCGGGTTGCGCAGGAGGGCATTTTATTGACGGTTTGCCCGTTGTCGAATGTGCGATTGCGCTGTGTGCCGAGCGTGGAGCATGTTCCTGTGCGCAAGTTTCTGGAGGCTGGGGTCAAGTTCTCGATTAACAGTGATGATCCGGCGTATTTTGGGGGTTATATTTTGGATAATTATTGCGCGGTGCAGGAGGCGCATCAGTTGTCTGTGATGGAGTGGAGGATTATTGCGGAGAATAGTGTGCAGGAGAGTTGGATTCCGGATGAGAGGAAGGCTGAGTTGTTGGAGAAGATTGAGGGGCATGTTAAGATGCACATGGTGGCTGTGGAGGCTTGAAGAGAAATGTGTGTATATGAGGTGTCTATTTGGAAGGTGGATGGCGCATGATGATACCCTGGGATGATTCAACATTTTGTATATGGTTTCTTTTTCAACGTTGGGCATATACTTTATATAGGGGATACATACGCATGAGCATTGATTTTTGATAATCTTGGATGGAAATGAGTAGAGTGAGTCGAGTATGTTGGAATAAGGTCATGGATCTTAGCTTTCTGAGCTCATTCCTGCGTATTCTCCTGAGTACAGTATGCTGAGAGTACTTCATGTCGACTTGACTGTATAATTCAATATTCTATCATACAAATCCCTGTACAATGTTCCATAAAATGTTCACAATATCACTGAAATAACAAGGAATGACCGTGTAGGACGTGGACTCTGCATACAGTTGAATGTCAGTTGGCGCCTGATAAAAGTGGCAACCATTCATCCAGGTAGTTAGTTAGTTAGTTAGTTAGTTAGCATGTTATGCCTGACAAATCTGGCCATCAACCCCCTCTTGTCTATACCGGCACGTCGACGAAGCTGCCACTCTGAACAACTCGAACAACCCAACCTTTCAACTAGCGCATCTTCATGTCCCGCATCCTCTACACCAGGGCATCCACATTGACCAGACCTACACTGCTTTTACAGACTCGACACCAAACATCTCTATCCCACAGCACCTCATCCAGAGCCACACCTCTTTCCCGAATCTTTTCTACACCCTTCCAACGAGCATCTAAAGGTCGCCTCCATCATCCCTCTGGAACAGTTTATACCCAAAGGATGTCGTCCACCACCACCTCCCTCGACCGCTACAAACTAATCTTCTTCGTGCCCCCCTCCCACCTCGAACCCTGCAAAGAAGCCATCTTCGTCACGGGCGCCGGCACCTTTCCCGGTGGCAAGTACACCAAGTGCTGCTTCCAGACGCGTGGACAGGGCCAATTCCTACCGAATGAGGGGGCGAATCCGGCCATTGGAGCCGTTGGAAGGGTTGAGCAGTGTGAGGAGGTCAAGGTTGAGATTATGTGTTTGGGGAGGTCGGTTATGCTGGATGCAGTGAGGGAGTTGGTGAAGGCGCATCCGTATGAGGAGGTTGCGTATGAGGTTTATCGGATGGAGGATGTGTAGAGAGAGTATGGTATGGTTCTGTGTTAGTGAGGTGTAGGTGCAGGCTTGTCTTGATGCTGGATGATTAGCTCGTTGCTGACTGTGCTTCGTAAGGTCCATAGGCATGGAATTGTTGCTTCTGTAGATCAATCTTTGAAGGTGATCACCATCAGAAGGCATGGAGACCCGTAGTCAATCAATTGGTAAATGTAGCAAGTTGGTTGAATGTAGTTGAAGGTAGTTGAAGGAATTCGACAAGTGCAGGTTGGATGGTACAGAGCGGGAGTAATCTCCCCACGCTGATTGGCTGCCGACCCGCGAAAGGTCTCTCGGCCAACTTCGACTCTTCACTCTTCTCCTCCAAGTTCAGCTTCATCCGCCATCAATTGACACTCCAATTCCTCCACATTATGGCCTCAAAACTCCTTCCCCGGGCCAGCCGCCTGCTGCGCCCTATCTCAACTCCTCAATACAGATCCTTTTCCGCCGCCCCGCAACGGCTGAGCGACTCGCTCATGGTGGTACGCATCCCCAAATCCAGGGCACACCACCCCTCAAGACAACCTATGACCTAGCTAGACGCCCGCGCAAAGCCAGGACAGCCCGAGCGCACCAATGTATCAAAGAGCTAATCCGTCATCTTCCTGCCAATCAGCACCGCAATAAGCCTGACAACAACCCGACCCTCCCGTTCAAGTTCACCGAGCAGAACCTCAAGGTCGTCGATGAGATCCTCAAGCGCTACCCTCCCCAGTACAAGAAGGGTGCCGTCATGCCCCTGCTGGACCTCGGCCAGCGCCAGCACGGCTACACCAGCATCAGCGTCATGAACGAGGTCGCCCGCATGCTGGAGATGCCCCCCATGCGCGTCTACGAAGTCGCAACCTTCTACACCATGTACAACCGCGAGCCCGTCGGCAAGTACTTTGTGCAGATCTGCACCACCGTAAGCAATCCCATGCCCACGGCAATTGCCACATCAATTATCCGAAAACAATCATCCTCATAAAAACATACAATTGACCCTTGATCCCCACTATCCAGACCCCCTGCCAACTCGGCGGCTGCGGCTCCGACGCCATCGTGAAGGCCATCAACGAGCACCTCGGCATCACGCCCGGCCATACCACCGAGGACGGCATCTTCACCTATATCGAGGTCGAGTGCCTGGGCGCCTGCGTCAACGCCCCCATGGTCCAAATCAACGATGACTACTACGAGGACCTGACCCCAGAGTCCATCAAGACCCTCCTCACCGCACTCAAGGAGTCAGCCACCACTGGGGCCCCCGCGCCCACCCCAGGCCCGCTGAGCGGGCGCAGCACCTGCGAGAACAGCGCGGGCCTGACTAACCTCCGCGAGGTGCCGGAGTGGAGTCCCGAGTTGTTGATGCGCAAGGACGGTGCGCTGGACGGTGAGGCTAAGCAATAAGCGAGAGGAGTAGATTCCAGTGCAATTCTTTTCATTTTATAATGTCGCGGGGCTTCCCGTAACAAGCCCCCTTTCGCTGGTTCGCTATGCTGTTCACTGCTCATGTCGAGTAGAGAAGAACCGGGCGAAACAAAAAGATATTAGACTTACTCGACGCTTCCATCTCCCCTGCACCTCCAGCATGAATCATCTCTGTCCCCTCGGAGCGCGTCCCGTTTGTTTGATTTCTCTACACATGTACAGTACGTGGCTCTGGATTATACAAGATCCAACCGAGTCACTAGTTATCGGCGCCAATGCTATGCGATTTCTTTTCAAGTTCCAATCTCATTTTATTTTCTTTTCTAAGCCTTCAATATTGCACGGGTCTTCACTGATAGAGCATTCTTAGGTAGTCTACTATCACTGTAACAGTACCTACGCCACTTGAGGGATCATTGCAGCAAGAGAAGTTTATTTCATTGTCTCTTGGAGCCGGAGTATGCACTCAGCGGCATAGACATTATCATTATGTCGTATCTCATGAAAAAAACAGCCTCAACAAACAGCTCCAGCACACCGACAAGAGCCAAAATGGAAGAAAAACGAGGCATAAAAAACGACACGAAAAATGAAAAAAGTGAAGAAAAAGAACAGAAGAGAAGCCCCGCTGGAAAGTGAAGAATGAAACGCTCAAAATCCACTAGGAACCAGAAACCAGAAACCAGAGAATAACCCAGAAAGCCAAAGACCAAAGCACCCAGGGAACCAAGAACCGAAACCCGAAAATACCAGGCAGAGCCCAAGACAACCAAGCTACCACGACAGGCCAGCACCGAACAACCACCCAGGAAAGAAAACCTCCCACGCCTCAACGAAACGAGGCACATCCACACCTAGTACTGAGGCGACCACTCCCAGACATGCTCGGCATGGAGAAGGAAAACAAAACTGCACAACGTGTGCCCCAATTGAAGAAATCGAAATACGGTATATGCATCCTTGCCAATAACCTGTCCCGTACCCCGAATCACCAGAGCCCTTCGCAAAGAATGCCGAAGTCGAACATCATCATCCCACGACACAAAGGGTCAACTGCCGCATCGAACAGTTCCGACACACACTTCCAACCTCCGGTTCCACCAAACCCTTCCGTCACAGCCAGTGTTGAATGTGTGAGCAACTGCGTGGCTTTATCCTGAGTACGAAGACGTGCTTCCGTCCCGCAAGTGGTATTGGGCTGTCCCACTGTGGATTGACGTTCGGCAGCGCCGAGGAGTTCGATTGTCGGCACCTTCGGGGTGAGGTAGAAGCTTATTGGCCCGACTGGGACCTTCCGACTAGGAATCGTACTCGACTGGGTTGGGCATTGGCATTGAGGTGAACTGAAGAGTGTCACCTTCGCAGCGCTCGTCAGATGGCTGGACATCCGTGGGTGGGACTTGCAGATAATCGTCACCGCGTTGTACGACGACAGTACGGGTCCTTTCTTGGAGGACGTTGACGTCTGCGGTTCTGCGCGTCAGAAGGTGGTAGATGTGGACAGTACGTCCTTGTCCGAACCGGCGGGATCTGCCGATTGCCTGGGTCATACCGGCGTTGAAGTCGTGCTGACTGGATGTCAGGAGAGGCGAAAGGAAGAGAATATGATTGGCGAGTTGGAGGTTCCTATTGATAAAAAGTTAGTATCAAAAATCGATTCAAACAGAGGTATGCACGGGACGAATGAAAGATCCCGGGGAAGTACTTACAGGCCAGCCGCCATTTCACTGCCGAGGCGCAAGATGAGCACCTTCGGGCGGGGGAGGTTCTTCTTCTCCTCCTCGGTCAGCTTGCGTCCTCTCTTCCTCTTTTTCTGACCGCCATCCTCTTGGTCATCCAGGTCCTGTTCATTGCCGTCGACCATCGGCGTGTCCTCGTCCTGCTGCTGCGGCACGGACTTTGCCTTTTGAAGAACAAAGTCCGTGATGGCCGTCGCCCTTCCGGACTTGGCCACACAGTGATGAATGCCTGCAGCATCGAGGGCACGGGAGGCGTAGGTCATGGCATCTTCGAACTGGACAAACAGCAACGCCTTCTCTTCGGCTGGGATGTTGTTGATGATGTCGACCATGCTATTGAGCTTGCTGCTTTCTTGCGCAGCACTAGCATCTTCCACGGAACGCCCACTCACTTGCTTTGACATGCTAGCAGAGGCGCGGCATCTGTCCACCGCACAGATAGCTTCCTTATCTGCCGGTTCATTCACCAGGGCGATGCAGTCCTGGCAAAGACGGTGTCCGCAGCTGCGGATGACTGTCAAGCCGTCTCTGCCCGCAGAATCGAAATCGAACGATCCTAGGCACTTGTCGCAGTTGTAAGACTGCTCTATTTGCAGGTCCTGTATAATGGTGAAGAACCGCATCTCTCGACTGCATTCGACAATCTGCTCGATCGTCTTGAAAATTTCGCAGACGAGATCCTTCTTCAGGACGGTGTCGATCTTCCAGACTTGGAGTTTCGCCTGGTAGTCCTCGTCCGAGAGAAGGATGAAGTTGCGGTTCGTGGTGGACGTCTTGCTGCCAGACTCTTTGCCATCTGTTGATGGCTGTGATTCGGCGGGTTCATCGACATATACCTTCCTCAACTGTGTCTCTTGGGCCTTGGTCGGTCGGGCCACGCGCATTTTTTTCTCAACATTCTCCTTCAGCTTCTCATAAGGTACACCCTGAGACCATAGGTCGGGTCTCTCGAAGACCGCCCCAAGGAGGACTCGGACCAAGTCCATGGTCTCTGCATCACCCACTCTCTTCCCGAAGCACCGGTCATGGTCACAATCGGTATCACAGCTCGCGTCTCCTAGTAGGGTCTCCCAACTCTGGCTGATTTGATCCTGGGCAAGGTTCAGCACCATGAACGCCATCTTTAGGAATGACGTGAGCTTGTCCCAGTGTTCCTCTCGGACCTTTTGCCGAAGCTCGATGCGCTTTTGACAGTTGTCGACGTTCCAGGGATGTTCGATCATCCCCGCAATCGTCGCGCATCTAAGTAACGCTTCAACGGGGGACTGTGACTTTAGCAGGAGCACGTTTAGCGTCGTGCTCAGAGCATCGAGATCTGACCCCGTGATCTTGCGGACCCGACCCTCGTCTGTGACAAACCTGTCATACAGTGCCTGGTAGATTGTCTCCTCCTGAGGGAGGAAATCAGACACTACAAGGCGTGTGTCCAGGGGCAACGAGCTGACGTCTACTGGGTTCTGACGAGCGAAATGATCCAGGAAGACCTGTGCATGGTCCCGGCGATTTCTATACCAGGCCATGCTACGAGGAGGCTGGTGCATCTCGAAGGCTTCCAACGCGGTCTGGTTTCGACGAGCGCCTTTGAGTCGTGAATTTGAGGTAGGCAGATCGCCGTCGTTGTCAATGCCCAGGTGGATACCCAGATGACGCGCGATATCCTTCACGTCGGCGAACTCCTCCAGTGCGGGGGTACCAGAGAGGATCCATTTCGAACGGGAGATGAGAGAGAGAATAGCGAGGTTCCGCTCTTCGCGGGTGTAGGTGTACTCATCAACCACTATCCGGTTGAAGCTGAAGGCGTGGAGTGGGAGGTATGTCATATCATCCAGCGAGGGGATGCGCTGACTCGTTGGAGCGGGGATGTTGAAACCCTTTCGGTCGTCCCAAGGCTCCTGCTTCTTGTCGCAGGTCTTGGAGGGCTCGACACACTTGGATTTTTTGCGGACAGGCTTACCCTTTTTCCGGACAGGCTTGTCGGCGTCGGCATCAGTTTCGTCTTCCTCCTCCCCTTGTACGTCGCGATCATTGTCACTTTCACCTGATGAATCATCATCTGGAGCGACGGCTTGCTGGTCACTCGACCCTGCTGGAGGACTGACGTCCTCGGGTGGTTGCACGGTGGGGTTGGCCGAGGGCTCCTCAGGAGATGCGCAGGGGCCAACACGGTCAGGGTTTTGGCTGACAGATGCGCGGGAAGACTCCAAAGACTGAACAGGTGCGTCCGTCTCGAGAGTACCATTCTCAGTGGTAGTGCGTGGCTGTGCTCGAGCAGCAAGAAAGGCAGCACCACGCAGACGACGAGAAGGCACATATGTGGAGTTTGCCTGTGTCCGCTGCAACTCCAACCGCCGAGCCCATACATCCTTCAAATACCCCTCAGGTCCCTCTTCTTGCAACACTCGCACCACCCGACGAAGAGATCTGCTGGCATCCTTGAACCAACTGTCAAAGTTTCGGCCCGCCTTCACGGGTACTTTCGGGGTACCAGTAAAGTACCGCATGATCTGATAGTAGGCCGGGCTATTAAACATTGACCAGGACACAAGGATGATATCTGCTTCGCGCATCTGCTTCACGGAAGTCTTGCTGAGTGCCTTGGCATTTGGCAGGCGCAGGATCTTGTACTTAGCCCCGAGGAATTTGCGGATCTCGTCGGCCCACTGTTTGAAGACATTGTGTGGGATCAGGAGGAGGGTGGCCTTGGTCGCAATTTGCCCAGGTACTAGAGGGGCTTGCTGCAGGCGAAGAGAGTCCTGGTGGTACTGGGCGTCAATCAATCCGAGGATGATTGCCGTTTTGCCATACCCAACTTCATCACACAGGACACCTCCTCGCACCACGCTGGGCATGGTGACTTTGACCTCGGCTCGCCACGACATCAGAGGCAAGAGAGCCTCTTCCGTCTCCTCCTCCACGAATGCCAAAATCTCTTCGGCCTCCTGGCTGACCATCCAGGTCAGAGATCGCAGCTGCTCCGGCCGCAACGCGAGCAAGAAATTCGGTGGCTGGTGATGGGCAGCATCATTCTGATTGTCAAGCAGGGTGAATCTCGGGTGACTGGTTCTTCCCCAGTCGTTCGTGTTGCCGACCAGCCGCCATTGGAACCCAATGCTACAGTGATTTCCGCGGTTAACAAGCCGGCCATAGGCTTGGTGTGCCAGTGACTGGATGTTCAAGGCGAAACGCAGTTCAGCTTTCCCGGCATCATCAACTCGTCGCAAGAGAACGAATGGGGCTGGCTTGGATTTGGCGGCGCGCTCGTAAGTTGCTGCGCCTCGCGGATCCTCGTACGGGATGACACGCCCCTCCTGATCACGACCCCAGATAATACCAGGTGCTGGGGGGTCACAGGTAGGGCAGAACGTGTCGTCGTCACTTGGGCGTTCTGCGCCGACGGTGATCATGTTCCATTCCGGGAACTCCGTGCGGCTGGCGATTTTCTGAACCGCCCAAGCGACGTCCCGCATCTCGGATAACGACTTCCCGAGAGCCACTGCTTGCCAGGCAGAGGATGGTGGTGCAAGTGAAGGCAACAGTGCCGGTGAAAGATTGAGACACGTCGCTGGCGCTCCGAGCGAGACCAGCGACGTATATGATTGATGACAGTCGATGCCTCCAAGGCGAACGGTGGACCCGTGCTGCAGACTGCGATAGATGATTGGGGCAGTCATGAACGGCTGGAGAGTCATCGCGGCAGGGGCATCACACCAGCCTCGGTAGAAGGCATCGACTGTTTTCGGCTCGTCTGTGACGGCCGTTGCTCGCCAATAGTGGGATAGTTCGGCGATGGTGATGCGCCTCGAGTACCCAGTAAGACGGCTATGCTCGAGGGAAAACACACACGAGTCTTGGTCAGGGTGGCCAATCTTAGAGGGGTCGAGGAAGAGGTAGACTGCCGGGCAGTCCTCTGTGGCTTCCTTCTTGTACAACGACGAAAGCGCCGTTCCACAGTCCGGAAGGTGGGTGTACACACCACGGACGTCCGCGTCAAGCTTGGCCACATCATCATCGTCGACACCAACCCGGACTTGGGTCCACACCTGCAGGGTGGGAATCGGCATTTTGGTGATGCCAATTGCTGCTTGGTACGCTGGAACTCGTTCTCCGTCGCCAGAGAACTTCAACGAGATCCGCGTACTCAGCGGAGCAGCAATTTGCCACGAACCATGCAGGAGGGTGCCCGGATTCGGGGTCAGGCGGGCAATCGGTTTGCCGAAAATTTCTCTCACGAGGCACTGTGCCGGAGAACGTCGTGGAGCTTTGGCGAAGTACAGCCACTGGAATCCATCAGGGCGAATCTGCAGCTGCATGCTGGAGTGCTCACCTTCGTAGGTGACAGTCCAGATGTCGGACCGCTGGATGTCGTAGAACTGGACATCTTCGGCGAGAGCAGACCGGACGGTCTCCATGAAGTCCCGTCGGGCGAGGTCTGCGCCGATTTTAGCGGCGATGGTGGTGTTGTCGCCACCTGGACTGCCAACATACGAACCCTGACTTTCCACCACCGCAGCGCTCAGGCTCCCTTCAGTCTCATCATGACTAGACATCGGGGAATCTTGAGTGAATTGAGGCTTTGGTGAGTGGTCAGTTGGGAAGCTGGCGAGGAATTTGTCAAAGTCTGTTACGGACAGACCGGACAGCATGAGTCTCATAGGCAGAACGCCCTTGAGGTAAGCGATGAACTCCACTGGCGAACTTCGCTCAAAATTGGGCTCCGCCATGGATCGATAGGCGTGCGTTGGGTTACCGGCACAGGAATCGCACGCACGGTGCCCACACAGAGTGCACTCACCGATTTTCTCCTTGACCACCGACTGACCCTCGCAGATGCAACACTGGGCACTACTAGCCCCGTGCTGCAAAAGCTGGACATACCAGTCAAAGGACTTGGGAGAATCCTCAATGTTGACTAGAACAAGGTTGCCATCCTCATCCACGTTTGCAAACTGTGCTGCCGAATTTTCGTCGGCAAGGGCGTGTGCGTCGACCGGTTTGGCTGCGCCTTCTTCCAACAGGCCATATCCCAGAATGAGGGCGGTAATCATCGTCGCACATACTGCGGTCGATGTCATGGCGTTCCCAGCAAGGTCCTGCAGGTCTCGCTGCGACTCGCTTGTGAGGATGATCCGGTCCAGCGGAAGTCCTTGCAAAGAGAGCGCCTCCAGACCAGACAACGGACCACCTCGCGAAGTCACAAAGGGCATGCCACATGGCGTGAGGCAGCCAACGACCCCGGACGAGCCGGTACTCTCGTTACCGCGATCTACACCCTGGGAGAGATCGATCCAGCGCCTAGTTCATATTCAGGTCAGTTATCAGTTCATATTTAGCAAAGATTCCGATCACTCACTCTTTATGGTTGAAGTCGATTCCCCGCGTGACGGCTTCGAGAAACTTCATGTCGAGGGTTTCCCACACGCGTTCGACTTGTGAGTTGAACCAAGAGCGCCAATAGAAGTCTGGCGGGGTTACTCCCAAAATCCCTGCCTGGGAACGGCTAATGGGCCGTTGATCACCTAGCTCCACCTGGGCGCGAAATTCCGCGTGTCTGATCTGGTATCTGTCCCAGTTGACCTCGGCCCGACTCGTGCTGGCTTCGAGACGGGTGACAAGATCCTTGTGGATCTGCTCTAGGCGGCGGTCATTCTCAGGCAGGAGGAACATGCCGGCGGGCGAACTTGCTTTGCGAGCGAATTGTTGCATGTGGCTCTTGAACGAAGAACCAAACTCGTCCAAGCGAATTCCTGCCGCACCGGGTGACGCGCCACCTAGGCGTTGCTTGTCGATAGCGATCAAATATCCTCTTGTGCGGGTCTGAGGGATATAATATTGTTTGGAGTCGAGAATCATGTGGGCGGCATGATAATCGATCTCGGCCCAAATTTTGACAAAGTCGTCCCAAGGAGCTTTGCTGACGTTCTCCACGACAACCAGTCGGGGGCGGTACTTGCGTGCGTACCGAAGCAGAGCATTGAAGGTGCTGCTTGACTCACCTTCTTCACTCAGGAGCTTCCGCTTGTTGTTCATCGATGAGAAATCGACGCAAGCAGTCCCAGCGATCAAGATGTCGAGGTCACCGGGGACTGGTTCCAGTGACCCATAGGCCGTTCGGCTGTGCATAAGGTCAGTGACTGTTCTTGAAGTTGTCAACAGCGAAGGACGCAGGGAAACTTACGCCTGGTCTTTTCCGAGTTCCAAGAGATCACGGAACAGAATTGGAGGTTGGAAGTTCCGTTCGATGTACGCTTGTTTGAACGGAACAATCTCACAGCTGAAGATATGCGAGACTTTAAATCTTTGTTCTGCGTCAAGTCCTGAAGATAATGATTGGGGTTAGCGGCGTGCAAACAACAACGACGACAAGGGAAAAGAAGGTCGGATCGATTCCCATTGTGCACGACCGTAAATTCGAACAAGGCAGGTAGACCAGATTAGACAAACGGGACCCGCATCGAAATCCGGGGTAAAAAGAGATAAAATGAGCCAGCAACTTACCCTTCTGGAACATCTCCATTGCTAGGATGGGGCTTTCAGTGCCCGAACAGACGGTTGCAATCCTCAGTGGCCGGTCTCCGAGATGTTTCACGACTTCCTCAAAACCCAAAGACATGGCCTTGGCAGCGAGGTCGTTAAAGATCTCTTCCAGCGTGTACATTGGGGGCAGGTGCAAGGCAAGGTAACGGTCTTTCTCATCGACACGAGCCCGACGAATCTCGGGAATGTCAGAAAGATCATCTGGTTTTTGTGCCTGCGAATCATCGCCGGGAGTGACACTGTTGGCGTCAGAGGTAGTGGTACTGGCTACAGGAATCTCATCAATCTCCTCCAGAGACATCTCACGGGGAGTGACACCGTTGGTCTCAGATATGTTGATCTTCTCATGTCAGCAAGTTCCATCATTTCAGACGAGACTCAAAGTCTCATCCATGGAGTCTCTCAACTTACTTGGTACAAGCTGAAGCTGGAGTACACTGAAAGGTAGGGCAAGTGTTGATCACGTGCTTGAGGAGCGGGAGTCTTGGCAGGCTTGGCAGTGATAGCTAAAGTCACGTGGATGGAAACTTGGAAATTTGATTGGAGCGGAGGGTGGTGGAAGAAAGAAGGTCCGAGATCCGAGGTGGGGCCAAGGCCGGTTTTGTATTTTTCCACCAGATCGGTCTAACCTCTTTGGGGCGAGTCCTCTGTCGTTGCCTGCTTCCAGATTGGGCGACCTAAAGTAAACGAAGAGGCGGATGTAGTGCCGTTGCCGTGGCATTGAACCTACATCCATAAAATGACGGGGCCTCTGTGATTCAAGGTGATTCTGAGCCATGGTGTCATATTTATGAAGGTACGCATGTCAGGCCGTAGGCTTACTGAGTAGTATTTACGGCACCACATTGTGAGAGCTTGCAGGTGATGTAGAGTCTTTAAACTATTCACAGAAGCCGCAGGAACGTAAATTTCAGGGGATCATTTAGAGTACATGGAACTAATGAACACTTCGTCAGACTAGGATACAAACAGTTAATTATATTTACTTCAGACCCAGTTGTGCAGATTGAGACGAAAACATGCATTATTGGTCCTCTGCTCATGTAGTGAATAATAAGTAGCCGAGCACAAATACAGCACGGCAATCGGCAGGCCCAGACCAATGGATCTTTACAGGGATTCTACATGTGTTGACTGACTGCAGCTCATAGAATACTTTGGAAGCATGATTTGGAAGACGAATTCGTTAGATCGTCCTTAGAAGTACAGCTAAATTCAAAGCTGGTATGCAAGATAGCCCATGAAAGAAAAGAGAACCGACCCGTTGCGCCGACCTTCGCCTCGTCAATATTATAGAAGACATGGAAAGGAAAAGAACGTTGGTGCTATGACCATGCGAATTAAGGTCCTCCAGACAAGAAGAGACCCATCGCATAAACAGAGAATCGGCAACGGCAATCACCGCATACCACCCTGCATCAATTGCTGGCGTAGGAGCATAATTTGGCTCCGCTCCATTGGAGGTAGGGCATCGATCGCTGACTGCGGCATGCTCAAGACTTGCTGGAGAAGCTCATCTTGACCAGGAACCTGTGGCGGGGCGGGGGCGGCTTGTGGAGGTGGAGGCGCAAAAGGACCTCCAGCAACGGGTGGTGTTCCAACTTGGCCGGGCATACCATATTGCTGGTACTGGGGAGCAGACTGGGGAGGGGCCTGAGTCTGGGCAGTCTGCTCAACCAGGGATCCCAGAAGTTGGTAGTCAACCAGGTTCATGAGCAGTAGCGCTTGGAAGATCGCGTAGGCGAGCTGCGGGGCTTGACGCAGGAGTTCCGTAGCACGGACAGGGTCTGCAACAGCCAGAGACTTCATTTGTGCAAGGACATCGAGGAGCTGGTTGGGAGGGAGAGAGGCGAGAGTTTGCGAGATGGCATTAGGGCAGTCGAGATGGGGTGGAACGTCAACACCCGGGGGCAAGGGAGGAAGCGGCGCAGCTCCAGGGATTTGTTGCATTTGTGGTACAGATTCTTGTTCCATTGGCTGTGTCTGCTGCGGGTAATCGGCGGGTACAGAATCTTTCTCGTTGTTGTGAGGCCAGTCGACCCGAATCTTGCGGCCCATGATCTCGTAGTCGTTCAGGTTGCGCACCGCGGAAGCTGCTGCATCGGCGTCGGCAAAGTCTGCAAATCCATATCCCTTTGGTTTCCCGGTCTCTGGGTTCATCATCAGGCGAAATTTGGTCACAGTTCCAGCTGTGCTGAGGATGTCTTTGACCTGCTCCTCGGTGAGATCTGGGTAAAAGATTAGCATTGCATATCAAACTTGTTTCCCACTGTGACTATGGAACATACTGTAGGGGATGTTCCCCAGGAACACACTCTTTCCTGACCGGTCGGGGGCCATGGCTGTGATAGCTGTGATGTAGTTGATGAAAGGTCGTTGAAAGTCTGAGCTCGTGCGCAAGCTCATGAGGAACGAGCGGTTCTGCCGGACTTTTCGGCTGACCGCCTACTTCTTGACCTCCTCCGGACTCCCCGTCTTCATCCACCTCATCCTCAAACCTCTACCAAAAGCCTCACAACATGTCTCAGAATCAACGAGAGGCCTGGGAGCGAGTGCAGCTCATGCTGCAAAGGCGCAAGGGTGGTTTTGGAGGGATTCCTGGTGGTGGCCGTGGTGGCGGCATCGGTCTTGCTGGTCTCGTCCTGCTTGGTGTCGGCGGCTGGGCTGTCTCGCACTCGCTTTTCAACGGTATGCTGTCTATGCGCCGGTCCACAGATGATCTCAATCTAATCTCTTTGTCTAGTCGACGGTGGTCACCGTGCTATTAAGTACTCTCGAGTTAGTGGTGTGAAGAAGGAGATCTACACTGAAGGTATGACATCTCCGGTGATGGAGCACACGAGCTCGGAACTCACACTTTGGGTACTCTTCTAGGAACTCACTTCCAGATTCCCTGGATTGAAACCCCAATCATTTACGATGTCCGCGCTAAGCCGCGCAACATTGCCTCCTTGACCGGTACCAAGGATTTGCAGATGGTCAACATCACCTGCCGTGTCCTCTCCCGTCCTCGAATCGACGCTCTGCCCCAGATCTATCGTACCCTGGGTCAGGACTTTGACGAGCGTGTGCTGCCATCTATCGTCAATGAGGTCTTGAAGAGCGTCGTTGCCCAGTTCAATGCCAGCCAGCTGATCACCCAGCGTGAGAATGTTGCCCGTCTGGTTCGGGAGAACCTGGCCCGCCGTGCGGCGCGCTTCAACATTGCTCTTGACGATGTTTCCTTGACGGTACGTGCTTTTATTCTGTCAGGTCAAGTCAATTTTTTTTATCCAGCACTAACATCTACCTCTCTCCTTAGCACCTGACGTTCTCCCCCGAGTTCACCGCTGCCGTCGAAGCCAAGCAGGTTGCTCAGCAGGACGCCCAGCGTGCCGCGTTCGTCGTCGACAAGGCCCGCCAGGAGAAGCAAGCCTTCATTGTGCGCGCCCAGGGTGAGGCTCGCTCGGCCGAGCTGATTGGTGACGCGATCAAGAAGAGCAGGAGTTATATCGAGCTGCGGAAGATCGAGAACGCCCGCCAGATTGCGCAGATCCTGCAGGAGAACGGTGGCAAGAACAAGTTGTACTTGGACACCCAGGGCTTGGGTCTAAACGTCAACGCGCCTGGCGAGGACTACAAATAAACTACATTAATTGGTGGCGCACTGGTAGTGGAATCATGTACAAATAGCTTATTCTAGGTAGTCGCATCGGAATGCGGTCTCTTCTCTTCAATCTCGTGAGGTTCTATGCGTATTATTAAAATACCTACAAGTATCTAGAACATCTCGAGCAAGTAGCCCTCCAGTCCTTTACAGTCCTGACCACCGGCGAAGATATATTTCGGCGCGGGGACTAAAGGCGGCGAGCGCAGACTCCACCCACTTTTTTTTGAGCTTCCAATCCGCCACTTTTACAGCAATTAATCAAGGGAGTCAAGTATCTTGGTGAGTATTGACCTTGTGAAAAGAAATATCGAAACAACATTCCTGCTCAAGCCGTACTCCATATCGTCTCCTACTGACCAGTCTCCAGAACCCCCGCCAAAATGACCGACCCCACCACCAACGACCCTCAAATTCATCTAACAGAAATCGACGTCGACCTAGACGTCCAAGAGATCCTCCTCGCCGCCTCACAGCACGACATCTCCAAGCTCCGGCGCCTCTGTCGCACACAATCCTCATTACCCGATGCAGCGAACGTAAAGGACCCAGAGACGGGCTACTCGCCCCTTCACGCCGCCATTGCAGCCTGCGAGCCCGACGAAGACGAGAAAACAAACGGCGAGGCTGCGTCTGCAGACAAGGAGCTGCTGGCGTCCGGTGCTGAAACGGTCAAGTTCTTGCTACAAGAGGGTGCGATCTGGAATGATCTCGATAACAAGAATGAGACGCCTGGCTGTTTGGCGCGGCGCATTGGAGCGCTAGACCTCTACGAGCTTATTGTTGATGCTGGTGTGCGTGCGGAGATGCTACTGAGCCGATTGGATGAGTATGCGGCACTATCAGACAGCGATGATGAGGAGGACGAGGGCGAGACTGCAGAGAACACCGAGGACAAGGCCGAGGACGAGACCGCACCCGAACTCATCGAGGTGTCTACAGAACAACCCGCCGAATCCGCCGCAGCTAATCCCGAAGTCAACAACCGTGGCTACCTTTCATCTATACTCTCCATCAACAACGACCGCATACTCGACTCGGACCAAAACGGCGTCATGATGCGCTGGGAAAGCGACATCATGCTCAAATCCGCCAAAGCACTCCTCCCACGCCCAGGCCTGAAGGTCCTCAATGTCGGACACGGCATGGGCATCGTGGACGGATTCTTCCAAGACCAAGGTCCCGCCGAGCATCACATCATCGAAGCGCACCCGTCCGTGCTAGCCGACATGAAGGCCAAGGGGTGGGACACCAAGCCCGGTGTAACCATCCACGAGGGCCGGTGGCAAGATGTTCTCCCCGGTCTTGTGGGTGAGGGCGTCACGTTTGACGCGATCTACTATGATACGTTCGCCGAGTCCTATGCCGATTTCCGGGAGTTCTTCTCTGAGCAGGTTATCGGGTTGTTGGAGCAGGATGGGAAATGGGGCTTCTTTAATGGGATGGGAGCTGATCGGCAGATCTCGTATGATGTGTATCAGAAGGTTGCGGAGATGGATCTGTTCGAGGCTGGGTTTGATGTTGAGTGGGAGGAGATTCCGGTGCCGAAGCTGGAAGGCGAGTGGGATGGTGTGAGAAGGGCGTACTGGGTTGTTGATAGCTACCGACTTCCGCTTTGTCGGTTCATGGACTAAGCTATATAGAAGCTATGCAAAAATACTGTAGATAGCTTACGGGATAATGAATGATCTGAACGCCATGGATAAAGTGAAGGTCTCGATAAGATTATTCAATATGCATAGCAGTTTATCGATTGTTTAGTTACTCAGTTCTTTGTTTCGCTTCACTGTATCAGACGTATCATTAGATTAGAATAGTCACTCTCACCGATGTGAATGCCAGGAAGCTTTTGAGGTAATACGTGGATTTGACAATGCGGAAGCCCAAGTCACACATGAACATAATATACCTCTGCTTATGCGCGGGACTCGAATTCGTTTCTATGAAGACAGATATATGTCGAACGCTCAGAAAATTGCTATGCACAGGGGAAAAAAAAAGCCGCCATCAAGGTACGAAAAGGCGAACGGTGAACGCCTCAGGAAAAATGTACTATGCTAAAGTTGGATCAGGTCCACCTCCGAGAAATCTGGTGGACTGCGGCTAAAGATCGTTCGGCACTTGCCGTCCAATGCCTGGTACTCGTTACTGATCCAAATGTGCTTGCTGAACCGTTGTGTGCGGTAGACCTCGTCATCACTAATGCCAATGTCGTCTCGTGGGATCCAAATCACGGGCCGCTTGGCGCGGAGAGCTTCATGTTGGAAGGCTCGTTGCACCAGTTGATCACGCTCTTCAGGTGTGAGATCTTCCAGTTCGTCGTGAATACCCGCGAAGAGAGCATGACCCACGTTGTTAGTGGCTAGCCCTTGAGCTTCGGTGTCGTGAGCCATCTTCTCTCGGAGGGCTTTGATAGTCGGACTTGGGCCCGCGGAATTCGCTTCGAAGAACTTCGACCGCCTATCAGGTGAGCGATCGGCCCAAGATGGTCGCTTGGTGCCAAGTTTGGGTGTGGATAAAAGACCCGAGTCGTGACGCTTTCGTCCCTCACGATCTGCCTCCAGGGCCTTGAGTTCAATGTCGTGAGCGTCTCGGTCCCGGTGATGTTCCTTCCGCTCCCGATCAGCGAGACTGTGCTCGAGACGATCATCCTCCTCCTCGTCCTCACCGTCGTTGCCAAGGCCGAGCCGGGCTAGTTGAGCACGATGGAATTCCTCATCGCGGCGAACAGCGTCATCTTCCAGAGTGATTGGCAGGTAACGCAAAAGGGGACCAAATGCTTCATTGAGAAGGATTTGGAAGCCAATCGTCATGATAAGAACGATGATCATGAGTATAGCCTGGCCTTTGCATGCGACTGATCCCTGTGTGTCCCGTACTAGGAAGAACAAGCCGATCAGGCACACCTCCATGAAATACAGTCCAGTGAACAGCTGGTTGACAGCCCGCGGAAAGAGGAGGCCGCCGGTGTCAAATCGGAATTTGGTCACGTATAGAGTGTTGTAGCGATAGACAAACCAGAAAAGGCTGAACGTGATTATATTAAACACCATAATGAGTGGTGCAACAACACAGTAGATCAGACCTAGCAGGAAAGAAAGTTAGAAAACGGCCGAGAAGTCTTGAGAGCAGATGACAGAATCTGATTACGTACCGATTGAAGCCAAGGTGGTGTAGACAGGGAAAAAGGTACCCCATTGCATTTGGTTCAAATTTGTCGTCCGCGCCCACTTCTTCCTCGCGGTAGAGTCCATGATGGGGGCGAGAATGAACCAGCTGATAAGGCCGAAGATCTGTACCAAGGCACCCGCACTCACAGACATGGCTTGCAGAATCATGTAGGAGAAGAAATAGTTACTTGACCTGGGTATATTTGTAGCGAGCAGTTCGGGCCAGCTGGACACATTCGTGACATTCTCAATGATGGTTGAGAAACTGGAGGCGATGGTGACAACCAGGAACAGCTGCACAAACAGGAAAGCAAAGTAGTAGTTCTGGACGGCCAACTCAATAGCCATTCCGGTGTGCAGGCCTTGAGTCTTGCTCAGAAAGCGGAGAATCAGGGGCAAAAGTGCCATAAGAATGGCCAAGCAAAGTGCAGGCAAAATACCTTGGATAGCAGAGATGAACCACGCAGGCAGCTTATTGAGCCAAGCGAGCCATGTGAAAGCTCCCTCGAGGTATGACAGCTGTGACAAGAGTCCAGTGAATGCAACGGGAAAGGCCCATCCAATGACCATGCCGATGACCAAGGTGACGATGCCAAAGGTACGCAGATAGCGTTCCCACCATTTCATAGACATATTGTCCCAGATGACATCGTCTGGAGAAATTTCCACGATTCGCGGTGCCATCTGCTTTGGTACATGGTGTGCGACGGATTGACAAGCCATATGCGCGGCAACCTGATGGTTAAATTGAATAAAAGCGGAATTCATCAGCGGGAATCGTTCCGGATGTTGCTGATCAACCTCGATTTCCAGGTTCAATCGCGCAAGTTCCTTCCGGCAGTAATCAATGGTATCGACTTTCTTGCCGACCAGCCACAATGAAGGCATCCATTTCCAGCCGAAGATGGGTAGGCGGTGGGTCTCTCTGTCCTTGTGACGAACATACTGCTTCCAAAGCGGCTCTCCATAGTCTTCGTTATCGAAGTCCTCATTGTAGGCAATAGGGTATTCCTCCCCTTCAATCTCGTCTCCCTCTTTGTGACTTTTGCGCCGATCGCCAAGTTCCTTGCGTGCCTTGGACTTGGTTTTTCCATGACGCGGTGTATCAGTCGTGGGAGAATCGGGGCCAGTCAAAGGATATTCGTCAGGCTCCGGATTGGATCTCTTGGATTGGGTAGACAAGTGAGATGACATGCGATCCTTCCAAGATGGTCGTTTCTGGGAGGTAGGTCTTGCCTCGTGGCACATGGTACCACTCTGGCCTTCTTCGGGTGTTTGTGGCTTGGTGGTTGAATTGACCGATCCCATAGGTAAGTCATTGGATGGTGAATTTGGATCAAACGTAGGAGGTGTATTCCCACGGGGAGGTAGATCGTTATCGGTCGCCTCCACAAAGCCACCATTACGGGCCAATGTGTTGTCAAAGCCAACCTCCATCTTCTTGAGACCACCTTTTACCGTTTTGCCCAATTTCCCCACACCGTGTCCAACCAGACCAGCTGCCATAAGCGCTGGATCAATAGCTCCACCGGTGCGTGACCCATCTGATGCACCACGCTTATGCGTGTCGGAGCTTCGATGTAAAACTTCGTGCAATGTGTGGGCCTGATGAGGGTCACCGGAGCTGATTCCAGGACCCATAGCCATCTGAGAAGCTCGTTGGTCGGTTGCAGCTTTTTCTTCATTCTTGATCTCCTTCTCACTTTTCCCGGCCTTTTTCGCCTCTGCCTTGGCTTTCTTCCATGCGGCTTTTTTGCATTTAACGATCAAATCCGTCTCGGCTGCCTCAAGCTTGAGAGCAAGTTCATTTCGCTCCTTGACCTTTTCGTTTAAGTCGTCAAAATTGCGGTTGATCCAAATGTTCCGAATACCACCAGGAAAGACATCGAACAGGTTGTCCAGGGACTCGACGTTCAACCAACTGTGGGGAATGGCTGTGACGAGCACGGTTGTCGCAGAGGCGCGTAGCCGGTGTTGTGGGGATGTCATGTAAGCTTGACGCATACGAATATAGCCTCGTAGCTCATCGAAGAAAATAGCGCAGACATAGAAGACCATGATCACCGCCAGCACACAGTGCGCCCAGTAGCGACTGCTATGCTCGGGTTTCACGTTACCCCAGGACAGTTGATCCAAGCCACTGACATTCCACCGTGGGCCAGAATCAGTGCCATTCTGGAATGTGGTACCTTTTCCTCCCACGCGATTGATGGGCAATAGTACTGGCAGGATCAGAAGACCCATGGGAATAAAGATCTTGAGGAGCATGCGCAGGTAGCGGAGAAAGAAATAGGCATCAAGGCCACATTTTTGAATGAATTCTGAGCTGGAGGTTCGAAACACAGGGCCAATCCACCGAAAGAGGCCCGGTGGTGATGGTTCTGTGCGTTCTCGGTCAGGGACTAGATAGGTTCGTGGTTGACTATACACAAGGAAGTTAGCGTTGTTTCTCACTTTTGGCGATGGTCTTTGGCTTTCAACACGACACTCACTAGATGCGCGTTAGTTTGCCCTTGAGTAGCATGAATAGTAGAAACTCGACGGCAAAGACAATCATGGCCGTCGCCAGCGAGGCCAAGAAACTCTTGAGTGAGACACCCTCCTCGGCTTTCCCATTGCCGCCCGTATGCGACAACGCTTCTTCGAGTGTGGAGGTCATAATGATCGGCCGTCAAAGTGAGACGATCAGATCTTGAACTGAAGATCGGCTTCACCTGAGAACACCCTCTTGGGGGGTCTTATCCTCCCTGCACCAGATGACGTTGGCGGATTCAAATCACTTTGGTATAAATGGCAGGGGAGCAGCACATGGCCGGTCGGGCGTCGACAGTGAAGTGAAAAGTAAATTTCTCATCGAGGAGGAACGGGGGGGTCAAGACTCAAAAGGAAAGGTGAACAACAAAGAGGATCGGCGGCGGGACTGCCCTGCGACTCCTCGCTACCCACTTCGTTAGTTACCCACTAAACAAGGCTAGCTTTGAGTTGGCATATAATAATAATGACTGCAGTGGCTGTTGTTTGGGTTGGCGCCCACGGACCTGACAGCTCCCCCGCGAGAGCGCAAAAACAGGGATGATTGGAGGGATCGTGGAAATGCCGATCGCCCTGTAGGATGACATCAGGCGTCTGGTGAAACAGCCAAGCAGGTCCTGGCGGCTTCAGAGAGAGTGGGAATCGCAACCGACAGCAGGCTTTACGTTGAGAAGTTGCGAATCTGCGCAGATGATTTGAAGGAATTGGATGTGTGCCTGCTGCTGCCGCCAAGTCATTTCATTCAACAAAAGCTACTGCGAAACTGCGACCAACAAACAAAGCGACCAAAAAGGGAAAGAGTGGAGTCGAGTGGTGTCAAAGGTGGCTGTGCAAGTGATGAAGGGATAGTCTGAATTCCCAATCAGGAACTGGTGTGGCTCAGGCACCCACCCCCTTTTCCCCAGTCACGTCACGTGAACGACATCACGGCAGATCACGTGATTCTTGAATACTGGGTTGGCTTTCGGGATGGTCATGTGATCTGTGCCGTGAGCACGCGCCATCCAAAACAGGAAACCACTTAACGCGTCCTCGCGTCTCTGCACGCGTCCCACCGAAAAAAAGAGCTTTTGCTCTCCCTTTCTCCCAACACTCAAATCTCCATCCATCAATCCCCACCACCACCATCACCTTCCTCTCAACCCCCGCTCTTCCATCACCACACACAAATACACACACATACAGACATCATGTCTTCACCGGCGACTCGGAGGACGCGTGCCTCTAATAAATCATCTACACCGTCAAGATCGTCTCGGGAACCCCCTAGCAGCCCGACCTTGAGAGAATCAACACCCCGTGCCGCCCGAGCTCTTGCCGCCGAGCGCAACATCCCATCATCCTCCCCAGCAGCTTATCAGTCGTCTCCTATGAGGCAACGGAGTGCAGAGACGCCAGATGTGCGAATGGGCGACGCAAGCTCGCAGGTCGATGATGGAGATAGGACTCCACGGGCGAACCAGGGAGTTAGAGGTATGCCATTGAATATTTATAAATCTCTACACGGCCAAGATTTCCACCAAAAAGCCCACGGGCACTGACATTAAGACAGATTCTTCTCCTATCAGTTATATTGCAAGCTCCAGTCCCGCCCGTGGTCTGGGTCGATCCGATATCCGCTCTGACATCCGTTCCGATGCCCTGAGTACCAGCAGTGGGCTATTCGTCTCCCCTAGCGGGGGCCGCCGAGGCCCTCGTCGCAGTGACCTTCACTCCAGCGGCCTGAACTCGACCCCGGCTCGTCGGAATCGCATGTTCGTTGGTCCCAATGGCATGCCCGCTGGCGACAATGTCCCTCGCTCCGATGCGACTTTCTCCAACATCAATCCTGGTACCTCCGAGGCCGAGGCTATGGCTGGAAACTCTACCCGCGTGATCTGGGGTACCAATGTCTCAATTCACGATTCCATGTCTGCTTTCAAGAATTTCCTGTACAACTTTGCCACAAAATACCGCCTCTGGGCCGATGGTGCGTCGGATAACGAGGTTCGCATCATGGGTGATGCGGCGGAGAAGCGGGAATATATCACTATGATGAACGACATGCGTCGACTTGGATTGACGACTTTTAGCCTCGACTGCAAGAATCTCAAAGCCTATCCCCTCACCCAGAAGCTGTGGCATCAGATGCTCGCGTACCCGCAAGAAATTGTGCCCTTGATGGATCAGGCTGTCAAGGATGTCATGGTTGATTTGGCTCTGAAGGAGATGGATGTGTTACGATCGGAGATTCAGCGTGGTGGCCAGTCTCGCGATCGTCGCGGCCAGTCAATTCTGACCTCGGATGGTGTTGGCCCTGCCGCTGATGTCCCCGATCTGGTCCAAGAAGTTGAGTCCGTCAACTATAAGGTTCTCCCGTTTGGTTTGGACCAAAGCATCAACATGAGAGATTTGGATCCTGCTGGTATGTTTTAGACTTTGGTAGCATTTTCTTTGACTTGAAGATTACTAACTGGTCACAGACATGGACAAGCTGGTCAGCATCAAGGGTTTGGTCATTCGCACCACCCCCATCATTCCCGATATGAAAGATGGTAAGTCATCATTGCCGCTCTTATCTGATGAGCTCGACTAACCAAATGTTAGCATTCTTCCGCTGCAGTGTCTGCAGCTACGGAGTCACTGTCGAGATTGACCGCGGCCGAATCGCCGAGCCCACCACCTGTCTTCGTGACTCTTGCAAATCGCAAAACTCTATGCAGCTCATTCACAACCGCTGCAACTTCTCTGACAAGCAGGTCATCAAGCTGCAAGAGACACCGGACAACATTCCCGACGGTCAAACGCCTCACTCCGTGTCTCTGTGTGTCTACGACGAGTTGGTCGATGTCTGCAAGGCTGGTGATCGTGTTGAGGTGACTGGTATCTTCCGTTGCAACCCAATGCGAGTCAGCGCTCGTCAACGCTCGCAGAAGGCTCTGTTCAAGACTTACGTCGACGTCCTGCACGTCCAAAAGGTTGACCGCAAGAAGATGGGCATTGACGTGTCCACCATTGAGCAAGAGATGTCTGAGCAAGCGGCTGAGGCTGATCAAGCCCGCAAGATCTCGGCCGAGGAGGAGGAAAAGATTCGGCGCACTGCCTCTCGTCCCGACATCTACGAGTTGCTGTCTCGGTCATTGGCCCCTAGTATCTACGAGGCTGACGATGTGAAGAAGGGTATCCTGCTACAGATGTTTGGTGGTACCAACAAGACCTTCCAGAAGGGCGGTAACCCGCGCTACCGTGGTGATATCAACATTCTTCTTTGTGGTGACCCTTCTACCGCCAAGTCTCAACTTCTGCGTTACGTGCACAAGATTGCCCCCCGTGGTGTCTACACCAGCGGTAAGGGTTCTTCGGCCGTCGGTTTGACTGCCTATGTTACCCGTGACCCCGAGACCAAACAGATGGTGCTCGAGTCTGGTGCTCTGGTCCTGTCCGATGGCGGTACTTGCTGCATCGACGAGTTCGACAAGATGAACGATGCCACCCGGTCCGTTCTCCACGAAGTGATGGAGCAGCAGACCGTTTCCATCGCCAAGGCTGGTATTATCACCACGCTCAACGCCCGAACTTCCATCTTGGCGTCTGCCAACCCCATTGGCAGTCGGTACAATCCTAAACTGCCCGTCCCACAGAACATCGACCTGCCCCCAACCCTTCTCTCGCGTTTCGACTTGGTGTACCTGGTCCTGGATCGTGTCGACGAGACAGAGGATCGACGCCTGGCCAAGCACTTGGTGGGCATGTACCTGGAGGATACCCCCGAGAACGCTGCCTCCGAGGAGGTCCTGGTAAGTTCTCCCACACGCCCCACCGGGCATTCGAATCAAGAAGTTCCAGCCCAGCTAACGATCCTCTTCTTCTAGCCCATCGAATTCTTCACAGCATACATTACCTACGCCAAGACCCGAGTTCACCCAGTCATCACCCCGGAAGCTGGCGCCGCCCTGTCCGACGCCTACGTCGCCATGCGCCAACTCGGCGACGATATTCGCGCCTCCGAGCGCCGCATCACTGCCACCACGCGACAGCTGGAATCCATGATCCGGCTCTCCGAAGCACACGCACGCATGCGCCTCTCCCCAGAAGTCACTACCGCCGACGTCGAAGAAGCCGTCCGTCTCATCCGCTCCGCCATCAAGCAGGCCGCGACAGACGCGCGCACTGGCCTGATCGACATGAGCCTGTTGACCGAGGGCACTAGTGCCAGCGAGCGTCGACTGCGTGAGGATCTGAAGAAGGCTGTGCTGGCGCGGCTCGAGGAGCGGGGCGGCGTGGGTGGTACTGCCGTGCGTTGGGGTGACCTGTTCCGTGATATGAGCGAGTCCAGCGATGTCGCGCTGGATCATCAGCAGTTTGGTGATGCGGTGCGCTCGCTCGAGGCTGAAGGTGCTGTGCATGTGTCTGGTGAGGGTGCTCGGCGGAGTATTCGTCGGGCGGCGACGGGTCTGTCGTAGAGGGTGATGGGAGATGAGCGATCACCTTGGCAGACTTTCATATTCTGTCGGTTGCTTTGTTATGTCTTTTTTCTGCTTTCCTTTCCTACGATGCAATGATCGACCGGGCTGCATATTTAGCCCTGGGCCATGGGGTGTTTTGGTTTTTTTTGTTCATGGAGGGCGTTGGGTTGTTTACTGTAGTAACATTTTAAGAGAAGATACATACGCATGTATTGCTATGAACCCCCACTAAGCTTCCACTTGAAAGTAAACAGTACGTACTGCAGTACTTCTAGTGTTGTTACCTGAATCGCGCTCTGTATATAGTAGTGTTTTGTTTTGTCGGCTCAAGGCTCTGCACTTGGCCTTGCAGAAGTGATCTGTCCAGTGTCGCGTGAGGGACTTCCGTTCCCGGCGATGTGGATCGGCATTCCACCTCTGTACGATGAGTTTAGCCGATGTATAGGCGTGGATAGCCGACTTGGAGATAGAGTGTACGTACGGAGTACTGCATGTTATTAGTACTGTATTTTGTTTAAGAGTGAGTAAACCACTGGTGTAGATCGTAATAGTAGCTCCAAGTTATAGTTATCTGTATCGATATTCGAGGGTATCGCGCTGATGGTTGTGCTTGTAAAATAAGGAGATTCTTGTCTACACCTGAGTTGTCTCTCGGCTGCTGAGCAATTCCAGATTCCAACGGAGGACGAGTACGGAGTATCGTCGAGGGTAGTGGGCCTGGTGCTCAACCGACTCGGCCCCCGTCTAGCGCCTCGCTTGCGATAGGCTGATTATTGCAGCCCTAGGTCGTAGTGGTGGCGTTAATCTCTATGCAGGGTGGGCTGTAGGTACTTTTGCAAATAGTAGTCGAAAATTAGACTCTCCCTGCTCATAGTCTATACTATTTCCCTCAATGGATATGAATGTCGAGCAGATGATTGATATATTCATTAACGGCACTAGTAGAAAAGGAATAATACTAGACCGTCACTGTCAACTCCGCGTCCAGCCCCACCGGTGGACCAGCCCGCAGTCGATCGGAGCAAATGGGGAAGCTGTACGGGCCACCCAAGCTTCGGATTGCACCATGCATGGCTCCAAGGAAAACTGATCCATCGGATTGGCATGTCGGTCTGGGCCCTGGTCAGTTTCTGATACCACGCTGGATATGTGGGATATGGTACCTGTGCCAGGGTGCAGAGGTATCAAGATGAGTATGAAGTATTATTATTGTATAGTACTGTAGCTCCCAGTGAATATGCCACTGATGATGATGTCAGGTCGGTAATCATTCCTACCGACAGTGTATTGTACAGTAGTCTACTGAACTCCAGTCGGACTAGTGTGCAGCTCCGGCGGATCGTTACATTTTTAGCTTGTTGCGATGGCGCCGGCTGGGCCAGCACGTGCGCAGCTCGTGATGCTGACTGGTGGACTGGAATGCTGACTCATCTCGAATTGCTGCAGCTCTGACTGCTGTCCAGCCAATCAGGACACCCCACACCCGGAGAGCTCTCGTCGTGCAGCAACGAGGATCGCTTGCTGGTCAATTGGGGTGGTGGCACAAGGTTATACACGAAATGATATCCATCCACTTAATCTGATTTGTACTGTCCTCGTCGTGAAGCTGGTTGATGCTCGGGTAGACCAAGAACCCACCCTCCAAAGCTCCGTTCCGGCGGGTCTCTCCCCAGGCTAGCCGTTCTCGGGCGGCCGATAGAGTATCGCCGCCTCTGCTCTTGAATCGCCCTCCGCCTCGCTCAACTTGAATTTTCCTCTTCTTGTCATGCTGGACTGATCCCGTCTCACTTCATTCTCCATCGACTTTGCCCATCATGAGGTATGGTATCTCCCCCCAATCATCCTCCCCAATCGCATTTCTCTGGCCATCGCATATCTCTCAACCCACCCCTGCCAATGCCCTGGCCTCTCAGAGAGCTCTCTCACTCGCCCGCAATCCGATCCGATCCCCCGCATAGCTTGCTCATTCGGCCACATACACTCCCTCCCGCTCACAAGACACACCATAACTGACTTCTCCCTTGCAGGTTCGGTGAGCATCTCCGTTCCTCCATGATCAAGGAGTACTATCCGTACTACATTGCCTACGACGAGCTCAAGAAAGCCCTCAAGACCGACTTTGTCACCCAACCAACCCCCGAAAACGTCAAACCCGCCCGCAAGGAATGGACCGAGGACGACGAGACCACCTTTGTCACCCTGCTCGAGTCTGAACTCGACAAGGTCTTTCAATTCCAGAAGCGCAAATCCGAGGAAATCGTCGAGCGCATCAAGGCGAGCGAGGTCGAGGTGAATGACGTCGTCTCCCGTCTGGATGACAGCAAAGGGTCCCGTCGCCAGAGCTCCCACACGTCGAGGCCACCGCCCACCGACGAGGATTTCCTGCTGTTGGAGCAGGTACTGTCCGACATCATCGCCGATGTGCACGATCTGGCCAAATTCACTCAATTGAATTATACCGGCTTCCAGAAGATCATCAAGAAGCACGATGTACGTGATGGCCCCCCTCAATTGCCCTTGTTTTGAGATCAGCGCCAAGCTTTGTCCCCGACCAAGATTGATGCTATTGCGCTGCGTTCAAGATAGCTGACTGACTATTCCACTATAGAAAGAGACAAAATGGTATCTCAAGCCCGTGTTCGCCGCCCGACTCAATGCCAAACCCTTCTTCAAGGACAACTACGATGCCTTCGTGGTGAAGCTTTCCAAACTCTACGACCTGGTCCGCACCAAGGGTAACCCGGTCAAGGGCGACTCAGCCGCCGGTGGGGCCCAGCAGAACTTTGTGCGTCAGACCACCAAGTACTGGGTACATCGTGATAACATCACCGAGCTCAAGCTGGTGATTTTGAAACACTTGCCAGTGCTGGTTTTTAATGCCAGCAAGGAGTTTGAGGAGAAGGACACGGCCATCTCCTCCATCTACTTCGATAACACCGATACCTGGGAGCTGTACCAAGGCCGTCTTAAGAAGACCGAGGGTGCTGAGGCCATTCGTCTGCGCTGGTATGGAGGCATGGAGAGCGACCAGATTTTCGTTGAGCGCAAGACCCATCGTGAAGACTGGACTGGTGAAAAGTCCGTCAAGGCCCGTTTTGCCCTCAAGGAGAAGAATGTCAATGCCTTTCTGGATGGCCGCATGACTGTGGAGCATGTCTTTGACAAGATGCGCAAGGAAGGCAAGAAGAGTACGGACGAAATCAACGATCTTGAGCAGCTTGCCCGCGAAATTCAATACCGAGTCATCACCCGCCGCCTCGTCCCCGTCACTCGCACGTTCTACCACCGTACCGCCTTCCAGCTGCCTGGCGATGCCCGTGTGCGTATCTCGCTTGATACCGAGCTCACCATGATCCGTGAGGATAACTTGGATGGCCGCCGGCGTGCTGGAGCCAACTGGCGGCGCATGGATATTGGCGTCGACTATCCGTTCTCGCAGCTGCCGCCAGAGGACATTGACCGCTTCCCGTACGCGGTGTTGGAGGTCAAGCTGCAGACGCAGGCAGGCCAGGAGCCACCGCAGTGGATCCGAGATCTGACCGCGTCGCACCTCGTCGAGGCCGTGCCCAAGTTCAGCAAGTTTATCCACGGCACGGCGACTTTGTTCCCTACTCGCATCAACCTCCTGCCTTTCTGGTTCCCGCAGATGGACACTGATATCCGCAAGCCCCCGACCCGCCGATACGGTATCCACCGCCCGATGGCGAGCACGTCGATGTCTGTGAATGATGAGGACTCGGACGACGACGAGTCCCCGCAGATGACCGAAAGTGCTACGCTGAACGGGTCGCGCGAGGGCTCGGATGATCGATACCTCTTCACCGAGACGAACGGCAACGAGCTAGACATTGAGGAGCGTATCGCTGCGCGCCCCTTGGCCGGTGATGAGGATTATCCACTTTACGATTCGGACGATGATTATGATACCGTAGACTCGGATGAACTGGAGGAGGCGCGCCGCGTCGGTGGTGTGTATTATGCCGAGCAATTGGCCAAGCATTACCTTCGGAAGACTGGGCGTGCCATTGCACAGGGTCTTTGGGCGATTGTTCCCCGGCCCCGGCCTACTGAGATGCCGCCACCGGAGGCTCGTGGTATCCAGGTACTCGGCACCCAGCGCAGGTTCAAGCGTTTCCAGGCACCGCCAGGCAAGAGTAAGTCTTCCCTTCGTGAAGCTGGCCTATGTAATGTTCTCCTCTCAGTGACCCCCCCCAACTAACACATCATAGGAATCTTCGTTCCCGTCCGTGTCGAACCTAAAGTCTACTTCGCCGCTGAGCGCACATTCCTCTCCTGGCTCGAATTCTCCATCATCCTGGGCGGTATCGCCGCCACACTCCTGAACTTTGGCGTCGACTCCATCTCGCTGGGAAGCGCTTGGGCCTTTACCATTCTCGCCGCCGGTGCTCTGGTCTACTCCCTGCTCCTGTACATCTGGCGCGTGGACAAGATCCGCAAGCGCCGTGATGTCAAACGCGTCTACTACGAGAAGTGGGGACCCACTATCGTCAGTCTGGGTCTCGTAGTCGTTGTACTGGTGAACTTCGGGTTGCGTGTCAAGGCTGGCGGATTCATGGCTGGGAAACTCCCGTTGGATGGGAGACCCCGCCATGGTGATGAGCTCTGATTGTGATTGAAGTTGAAAAGTATATGCAAGCAACGTCTGTTGATTTCCAGTTACTCCTTACTTGAACGAGTTATACTTACGTCTGTCAGTTCCATGTCTGTCAATTGAACGACTAGTACGTGAGGCACTGGACGCTCTGAACTTTATATTTACCATGGCGTTGTATTTTCCTTTTTCCCATTTCCTTTTTTGATTGTTTATTTTCCATTGCTTGGAGCTTGTGGCGTTGGCGTTGTGTACAGATCAGGATGAGTAGTGTGTGTGTCAATATTATGAACATTTGCATGCAGTTTGGGGGTAATTTCCTCTTTTTTATGTTTGTTTAAGGTATCTTGTCAATGCTATATGGCTTGAAGATCTTCTCTCTTCAACCTCCATATACCCCGCTACTATCAGTGAATGTCGGACTTCTTAAACCAGCCTAACCAGAAACATATGTCCGGAACATGGATCATTGGTTCTACTATATACTGGCTTGGAACTGCTAGCCAGATTCTCGTCCTCATCTCGCCACACGTATACAACCTGACTGGGTTACCTCCTATAATATGGGGAATTTACTGGTACGCTGCAGCTCGTCCACGTCAGATCCGGCCTCTATGTACATCTTTATAGTCATTTCCATTTGTATATGCGTTCCACAAACTCGAAGACGGACGTATTCGAGCACGGTTCAGAGCTGGAAAGACGTTGAAAACGGTGTTTCTTCTCACTACCTGAGGTGTCTTCCTTTTTCTCATCCTCCATCATATCTTCTTCAACATCTCCTTACCACATGTTCTCTATCACCCCCGACAACCCTTCGCGTCGGGTCGACCTCCATTCCGTCGACCATTCACCCAAGCCGGACTCCGTCTCCGCATCTCGTACACCAGTATCAACATGGCTTCAATCATCTTGAACGAGCACGCATATGAGTCGACTGTGACGAAAGGATGGAAAAGGGCGGAGTTGGCAACTGGCGAGTATGATGTTTGCTTGGAAGGCCTCATGCGATTCCGAAAGGGGAAGTTCACTGAGAGGGTATAAAGGCCCATATCCCACCACGCTTCTTCTTCTTCTTATTCTCTCTTTCCTTCTCTAGACTTGATTCTTTCGCAGATAGTACCGAATGGAGGCTCCCGTCATCATCTCGCTTGGCTTGTAACATCGACGGGCAATACTGAAGGTAATCAGACGGCTGAGCTGGAAGAGCTCTTATTTACCAACAGAATCCATACCGTTCCTTCATCCTCCAGCAAAGACTAACATCAAGTGATCTTACAGTCCAGCATCTCGGATCTAGCTATGTGAGATCCCACCACCTGTCCTCCCAGATCCAAAATCCGGTTACCCTAGAGCGTATTCGCTTTTGAAGGACCGTCATGGGCTCCTGCACTGGATTGAGTCCCGCAACGTATTGAGAGATTCCAGACGGAGCCCAAGAAACTTGAGAAGACCAAAAAATTGCCGGCTAATCTCAGTGTCAATTGTGAGATGCGCAGCCAAAGATCCTCGCGGGCAGTTGTGGTGGTGGATGTGCATATCGTACTCAATATATTTCTGGCGGCTCTCTCGAATCTCCATCACATCCTCTTCATCCAGATTGCCCTACCAAGCCTCAACTTGAGGACGGGGCATTGCTTCTTCTAAGGGAGGTAGTATGGCTCGTTCTTGCTTCCATTGCTTGTGAATCTTATACTTCCCACCTGCCACTGTATATGCACTACTTCGGGGAATCTGTGCGATATACTACAGCTTCACCTCAACCAGCTTCTCAATCCCTCCCACCCGACTGTCTGATAAAGAGATCTCACACATACAATATGTCGACATCATCAAGTCGGTCGCCCTTTCTCCGCGTTAGCTCTCAGATGCGCAGCTTTTACACCAGCTCTTCTGACAGAATAAATCTCTCTATCTTGCGGCGAATATACGATCCACTATACAGGGTTCCTAGACTCTAAGCGCCGAGTAGGATATCAATATCTTTACACTCTCCCCGCGATCTCTACTATCATCTGCAAGGAGTACAGGCAGAGACACCAATTCCGTGCAAGAGTGCAAGAGCCCAGCGAAATTACGCGATCAATCCTTCGGAAAAGACGCGTTCTATACACTGGTGTTTGCGTTAACAGTCGACTTCCTCCTCTCTACCGGAACCTGAGCGTATCCCGATTGTGCTTGTGATTACATAGACGATTTCGAGTATTCTTAGTATCACCTAAGGATATCGTCATGGTGTGGTTGAGGAATACGTGCTTGTAGCAGAGGGAGAGTCCGTTCTAAAGGTAGTCTAAATAATCTGAGAAAATAGAAGTCCGTTCTCCATATAACCTTCCCATATGACCTGAAATAAAGGACCACAATGACATAGAGGTCGTAGCCAAAAAGTGAGCCCTTGGCCTGGCGAGGGTTCCAAAGCCTCAAGTACCAAGGTATCTCTGGCTTTTCTTCTTCCTCCCACCTCTCACCTTGTTTCTTCCCCCCCTGTTTTCACATATCACCCAACACTGCCAAAAATCCCTAATTTAACTTTGAATATGCAACCCAAGGCTTTTGTTCATCGGATGGCCAAGATGAGGGACGCCCTCGAGTACGAGGGCCGAACTCAGGCAGCCCCATCCAAAGACACCGCTGCCCTCTCGCTCGAGAGCATTGCGTCTCGGATGCGTGTGAGCGCGATTTGTGAGAATACCAACCCCCTTCTCTCTTTCCCCATGATCGTATCTCAGATGGGTCATGGTGGACCCTTTGCAGCGAGCAACAGCCGCCTCATTTGCAAAACTCCAGAGCCCGCTGCAACTCCAGAGCAAGCTGATTCTGCTCCGTTGGCCGAGCCTCCATTTACTCCACAGAGGCAATCTGGGAGCGTGAGCTCCCGTGATGAGGATGAGCCCCCACGCTCACTCAAGAGGAAACGCCAACCTCCTGCCCTGTCGACACCATCTAGCTCAGCTAGAACCTCCACCGCTCATTCGCCAGACTCGATGCCCATGACTCCTGGCTCTCCGAGCGTGACTCGGAAGATTAGATCCCTGAGGTATGTTCTGATCCGGCCTTCCAAGCTCATGACAACCTTGCCCTAACTCTTCCCTAGACTGGACAGTCCTGTCAATGGGGAGAACCTTGAGTCTCCGAGTCGTCCTCGACTGCGTTCTGAGGCCAGGAAGCTCAATGCCACAAAGGAAAAGGTCCATGATGACTCCCACGCCTTACAAGCTGAGCTGAATAGCATGCGAACTCAGCTCGAAAAAGAGAAGCGTGACGACTTGAAGCTCAAGACTGATGCCAGCAAGGGTAAAGGTGGAATGAACGTACTACGAGCGGAAATAAATGCCTTGCGGTCCGAGCTTGAAAGAGAGAAACATGGCAATTCTGAACTGAGGGACCAGCTGGTCTCTCTGCGTGCCGACTTGGACCTGATGCGGTATGATTTTGAAGGGGGCGTGGGAGGGGACAAAAGCATCACACCTGAGACTCGACGAGATTTGGAAAATGTTATGAACATGAATAACATGCTCCGACGGGTCATTCAGGGCGAGCGAATTCACAGGGAGGAGATGCACGGCAAGCTTCATTCTCTCCGCTCGAAGGTTGGCCCGTTAATGGCCAAGGTGGAAACTCTACAGGGGACTGTGGATCAAATCCAGGCCCATTTCAGTGCCCATGATGCTCCAATCGAGCTTATCATGGACTTCGTCAGGAATTTCTACCAGTGGTGGGAGAAGCGTTACAATGCACGCAACGGGGGTAATGGCTCGGAAGACAATGATGGAACGCAGGCGGCGAGTGCGTGATACTTTGGTGTTGCCATTTTGATGAAGGGTTACCTTGTACATTTCTGCATGTGTGATAGCCTGGAGAAGCTAGGGATCCTGTTGGGGTTGGGAACTGTGAGGTTGTATGATTTGAAAATGCTAGAGTTGCCTTGGAATTTGATTATTGTCAGACTTGTGATTCTATCCATTAATAATGAATCAATTTCTGCCTTCAAGTAAATTCAAGGTCCCAGCACATAGATTATTCTGGCAGGTAGCTACGCTGCCTTCCAGAGTCAATCATCGGGCAAGGCCAGAGCTGCCTTGATGATCAACTTCTTGCGTGGAACCTCTCTTCCTCTGCTACCTTACCATACAAACCCGAAACAAATAAAAGCATCGTCCTTGCCCCAGGTTTTCGTCCTCCAAAGATTCCCACACATTTCCTCAAACCTCCCACCTTCAACACTCACATATCCACACACACACACAATCCAAGGCCGGTCCTTGGTGATCAATACCTCTCGTTTCAACCATTCCAGCAACAGAATGGTTTCCACACGCAGCCAAGCCAAGACTGAGAAGCGCAAGCGCGCAGAGGAGTAGGAGGACGCCAACCAGGCTGAGCCCTCGACTCGCACCAAGCGAGCACGGCAAGTCGCCTGGCCGGAGTTGTCTACTGGACTAGAGCATGCTAAGAATACCCCATATGCGGCCCCTCAAAGACCAAGGGCACCCCCAAGCAGACCACCGGGGCAAAGGGCCTGTCAGGGCTGGCCACCCTGCAGGCCAAAGTCGACGAGCTGGAGGCATGGGACCGGGCCCGAGCCAACGAGATCGCGGCCCTCCAGGCAAAGATCACCGCTCTCGAAGTGATGAACGAGAGAAGTGGAACCGAGTGTGGGCCTCACTCGCCGAAGTGCGAGAACTGATCAAAGAGGAGGGGTCCGTACTGAGGGCTGAGCACTCTAAGCTCAGAGAGAAGCTTGATGAGGAGGTGATCCAGATGGTGTCGTGGGTGCGCGCGGAGACGACGGTCCGGATGACATCTGTGATCAACACGGGCAATGATCTGACCGCCGAGTCGAACCGGAAATGGAGTTGGCTGGTGCAAGATCTGGCGCTGATCAAGAGGTGGTGGAGAATCAGAAGCTGAGGAAATTCTTGCCTCGAGCCGGTCTCAGCGGAAGTGATCATGTCTTTCTGGCCGGAGGGGAGAGGGAGGGGAGGGACATGGGTGAATAGTCCATCTGGAGGATGGTGGAGGAGAATACATTTCTGCCTCGAATAGAGATAGTGCAGTTCTTGGAATAAGAATCGTTGTGAAAGCCATTTTTGCATGTAAAGGAGGTGGTAACCAGCGACTAGAATCTAATAGGGGTAGATGATGTCCAGATGGACAATTTGAACTTGGATTCACTGTTTGAAATGAAGATGGAAGTAGAAAGAGAGAATGGCCCTGTTGGATCAGATAAGATCGCCCTCGCACAGACCGCCCAGCCCCCAGACCAAAGGCACTAAAGGCAGGCCCAGTGGAAACATTCCGGAACTACAGGATGGAAAAACCAGAGAAACGAATCCAAATCCCAACAGAACAAGACCTTCAAACCAGTTCACCATCACAAAATCACGAATTCTTCCCTCTCGCACGAAACAGAGACCACAAGTTTGGATTCCGCTGGAGTGTCTTGTCCAGCTCTAGGAGAATCATTTCCTTGCGACACCCAAGTCTCGGCTGCCATTGTCAACAACGGGGTTAGCGACGGTTGGAGATTACTGGGAGGGTTTGTCTCCTATGGAAAACATCATATCAGTCAGATTATGCAATGTGAATAATAAACAGTGACCGGCGAATGATCTGAATCCTCACGGAGGCTGTCACGCAGCTTCTCGGACGAGTCAGCCAGGTACTCAAAGCCAGACTGGTGGCGGTCGATCTGGAGCTGGAGAGAGTCCAGCTTAGCCCGGACGGAACTAAGCATGATCTTGTTCTTGGCATTCTCAGCCTGGACCTCCTTGAGAGTGCTCTCAAGCTTGCTGATTCTGTTTATCCAAGGGTCCGTCAGTAAGTGTGTGAGAGGGTATCCAAGTCATGCTAGGTCAAACCATCTCAAGTCAGGGTAAAACTCACCGCTGGCTCTTGGTAGACTTCTGCTCGGCCTTCTTAGCGGATCCAGTCTCCTTGCCGGGAGACATTTTGACTTGAACGAGAAAGATGTACGGCTTGGTGATGATTATGGTAGGGTTGGGGGATGGAATGGAGCGCAGCGAGGCGGAAATCGATAGAGGGAGAGAGTTGGAAAGAGGAAGAGCGAAGAAGATGAAGGTATACAGACGTGCCGATATCTTGAGGCACGTGGGCCAGCTCATCGGGCTATCGATATCCCGATACTTCCATGGATATCTACACACAAACGTCGTATAATACGGAGCTCTCCATGATTTATCGTATTTGCGCTGACAAACAAGGACCAAGGCAATGCCATGAGCGAGATGGACTCTGACATTCCCTGGCTGTTGTTCACAGACTGCGTCATGCTATGAGTATCAGGTAACATGCACAATGTACATCTCGGGAACAAGAAACGACACCGCGCTAATGCCACAGAATGACATATGACAGACATTTACAGCATGTTATATCTCTCTTGCACGTGACAAATAAGTAAGGAGCTTCAGTTGTCAGCTCTACGATAGAGCTCAGCATGAATACCAGCCAGGTCAGCAAGCTTAAGCATAAACAACCAGCCTGACCACGAACAGCCAAGTTGAACATAGCTTGAATTTATACAAGCAAGATGAAGCTACAAGCAGCAAAAAAGCCATTGAGAGAGAAGAGGTGAGACGTCACAGCACCACCACAAGATAGGGCAGAGCCCTGCTTCTCTTTGTGATGAAGGATGACATGGATCTGTTGCTCCAACAAGAGAAAGCACTAGAACATGCCTCACCATACATCAAGACAGTCTGGTAGGCATGATTGAGTATGAAACTTGTCACAAATGCAGTGGCTGATCACGCTACGCAGGGAAATTTCTAAGACCGTCCGCAAGTTAGGGCAAGCTCGACGAAGAGACCCGCTTTTGGCCACCACGACATCATATCAAACGATGCATACGCATCCCAAAGTAGGAAGGCAGTGCTCTGCTGCCTGCTCCAGCCTCACCCCGGCGTGGGATCTTCCAACTCACTTCCTCCCACTGAGCCATTCTGTGCTCCACGATGCTCAAAACTCATCAACATACCTCTCTCTGCACCGCTGCATTCCGCTACGTCTCACGACCGGGTGACCACAGGGCATCTCTCAAGAAAAGGGCTTTTCTCACTTCCTCTCTACCTGCGAGTACAAGGTAAGTGATTCATATAGGCCCCAATAGCCCATCAAACCAGAGGATTAACCCTGATTCCAGATGGCTCCCAACGATACCGATCACTTCAACGCGTGGATTGAAACCTTTGGCCCGCTGGGGCCTTCGCCAGAAGCCATAAATGTCATCGAAATCAGCTACCCAGACCTGGGAATTTCCCAAGCTAAACGCGAACATGTCTCCACTGGCCCTACTGGAGAGATTCCATTCGAGTACATCAGTTCTAACACGAAAACATATTAGCGTAACAAGAAACATTCACATGTTGCAACCCGGACGTTCCACCGTGGCCAATATCACTCGTACCATTCAGCAGGTCGAGGCAGAGGAAGCGGATAAGCACCTCGTCGACCTCGCCGAGCTGCGTTTACAGCTAGAGGAGGCTGAGTACGAGCTGTTTTGGTTGAGGAGGGGAGGGCGGAAGCATGCAAAGCGGAAGCATGCAAAGTGGGTACTGGATGTTGGTGGGCGAGGCTCGTGGCAGAATGGAAGCAAGCATACTCGCTCACAATACATAACAATCTGTCTGCCCTTGTTTCGTCTGCATGGAGGAGGGTGATGGTGACTGGCAGTACCGGGGCCAATCGGAGTTCCATGTCTTGTGGAATATGAACGATGAGGAGGATGGAGAGGAGAGTGACGAGAGTGAAGGGGAGGACGAGGGTGAGAACCAGATCCAGCCTCGCTCCATATATTCAAGGAGAATACACCTTGCAGAGCACCACATATCTCATTGAAGCAGCTATACTGGTGCATGGTCTTCTTTCGGTGACCCAATCTCACCCTCATATCTATTCAACACACATTAATAGTGTCGGTAGCTGATAACACTCCATTCTCATGGAGAGCAGCGCTATGAAAGCCATAGCTCTTATTATTCAATGACATTACATCAAACCATACACCCAGAATTTTCGTAGCGGTTTAAATCGGTTCTTTCTCAAAATAACCTTCACTTTCTATACCTGCTCTCATCGAAAATTGACTGGAATGTAATCCCACCGATGCGCGCATTCTGGCATTTGTAGGCGCCTAGTAACACTGTCTACGACCCATTTGAGTGCGGATTACGAGAATTTCCGCTACACCAACGTATCTAGTGGAGACTTGTTACACCTCAAGATCCATTCATATATCTATCTCATATCTTTAGTAGGGTTCTAATTCCCATGTGATGGGTTGTTGACCGAGTATGGGCCCATATCAGACATGGCTTTCTGCTATATACCGTATGGCAGAGTCCTTTAACGTTTTGTTTTCTGAAATGGACAGCCCGTAATTTCTTTTAAATTGGACCGTATCGTTTCTCTAGAAAGAGTCAAGTACAAATGTGTCATGACTTTCTTGATTGCACCAGAATGCTGCTTAAGAGTGTTTTGCTTTGATCCAGGAGGATGAGAGCTTAGATTTACCTGTGCCGGAAATTGTCGTACATATTTTCGCCGTATGTCCAGGTTTGCATATAATTCAAGGCCGATGGACTCAAGAACTTCAGGCAGGCGCTTCAAGGGACGAGATTTGACAGAGCAAAGGCTAAGCTCTGGCTCGGATCCATGAGATATTCAATTCATAGGCCACGCTTTGTTGAATGAAATAATGTCATGCATCCTTCATAATATTAATCACAGATAATGGAGGAACGATGGATTTGTTTCATTTGTTTCCAGTGCTTGTCTAGTGCTTCTCTCTACACTGACTGGTTCGGTACACGTGGATACATTGATAGAGCTCAAGTTTGAGGAATGGAATTGTTTCTCAGCTAGGTCAAGTATGATTGTCAAAATTGTACCCCATAGCCTCTACATGGTATTCTATCATTAAGCGGGGTGCAGGTCGTTTTTGTTTACAGAATTGACATGGAAGTTGGAAAACTCGAATCAAGCCACTTAATTTTGCAGAATAAAGATGCACGTTAAGCTCATTGAGCACATTCTGCAGTTCAGCCTGAGCAAGCAATCCCTCGAAACCAAAGATCCGAAACGAAACCAGTTCCAGAACCATATCACCAGCAACAGCAACAAGCTCACCAGGAAAAGAAATAAGAGAGCGCGCGCAATTTTTCCGGTCATGATAAGAATAGAATTTGCCCATCCTTGAGAGATTGAGAAAACACCGAGGCAGCCATCTAGTCCGAATCACCCTCGTGCTGCTGACCGAAATGCGCCCAGAGGTGCTGCATCATGTTGTTAGGGTTACGGTGTACAGTAGAGCTCATAAAACAGCGGTCGGAGCGGACCTCCTTGGAAACGTTGGCATAGACCAGTGAAATAGCCACGGTTAGCATGTGTTCATACCATGGGTACATCTCGTGGCCTCGGTCAAGTGGGACAGTGACATCTGCGACAATACACCAAACCTGGTGCATGCGAAGAAGAACTTCCATGCCTACCAGCCAACTGGCGTAATTGTCCCGGCCGGTCAGAGGGTCCAGGTGGAAGTTGTGGTAGTGTTTATCTTTGGTGTTGTCGACGAAGGCCTGGACGTTGCGGAGAGTCTTGGCCTTTTCCTCGGCGCGGCGTTCGGGGCTCATAGCATAGATTTCGGCTGAGTTGATGTCTAGGGCATTGTACAGGTCATCTTCCAGATAGTCGTGGGTGTGAGAGTTGTTGTCGGAATCGCTGGTGTCAGACGAGGAGTCGGAGCCGCATGAGTCGCAAGAGTCATCAGTGTCAATGGCGTCGGAGTCATTGGAGTCCTCATCAGAAGAGTCCGCAGAGTCGGACGGCACGGGCTTGACAAGGTCGGGAAGCTTGACTCCCTGATCAGGCTTGGGGGTCTCAGTGGCTGGAATGTTGAGGTGCAGGTTAGTAATTGGTATCAGAGCGAGAGAGCAAGACTATACGCAGAGGCAGGAGGATGGTATAGAACCTTACCTTTGGTGGCCTTGTCTTTGGCATCGACCTTGGTTTCCTTGGCCTTCTCCATGGCCTTCTCTACGGCCTTGTCCACGGCTTTCTCCTTGCCTTTGTCCTTGTTGTCGTCCTTCTTGGCGGCGGGCTTCTCCTTCTCATCGGTCTTGTTGTTCTTCGCAGTGACCTTCTCAGACTTATTCTTAGCCTTGCCCGCTAAGTCAGACTTGGCACTCTTGGGATTGACACTCCCATCACCGGAGCCCTCAGCTTTGTCGATGGTCGTGGGCAGCTTATCGGTAACCAAAGTTGCAGATTTGGTGGAGCCCTTAGGGTTAACAGGAGCCATCCGGGCCGGCTTGTTTGAGTTGGTCTCAGCACTGGCAGGAGACATGCTGACAGTCGACTTCTTGGACTTGTCGGGGGTAATCTGAGAGGCACGCCGTTTGCGAGACTGGTGTGCAGCGGCTTCCTGGGCAGGGGAGCCAGCCATGGAGGATGGGACTAGGATGACGTAGGTAGCTCTTGATCAAAATAGATGGATTTGGGAAGATGAGGAGGAGGGAAGAAAGCGTGGTGGGGTGGAGTGTGGTGGAGGAAGTGAGAGATGGGAAGTTGAAGAAGTTGGCGTGAGCAGAACAGGTGACTTTATAATTGAGAACCGCCAACGCCAAGATGGCAAATTCCGGATTTCCCACGTCTCAGATGGAGGAAGTTCCCTTCAAGATGTCTGTACGCTACAAAGACAGGGTGTGAAACAAGAATATGAATGTCAGACACATTGAAACTACACAGGGCATTGTTAGAGACAGAAGGGATATGAATGCATTTAAGACAAAGTATGTACACACTGACGCATTACCTAGAGCGCCAGACAGAGTCTTTGTATAGCATCAGTCGCCAACTCCAAGATCAAGGATTGTAATTGACCACTGGAATCTGGGTATCCTCCAGCTTCACGGCGTCTGGGTTCTTAGCTCCAACACCGGAATACTTGTTGATCCAACCCAGGACCTGCTGGTGCCACACCAGACTGTTCTCCTTGTTCAACACCCTACAGATAGGTCAGCTTGGTCCAATGGGACAGAAAGGATTAAGCGCTAATCGTTGCAAACAACCTGGACTTACCAGTGGTTCTCATCGGGGAAGCTCAGCAGACGACTGGGAACACCGCGTTCTTGAAGAACATTGAACAGACTCAGACCTTCTGCTTCAGGCAGGCGATAATCCTTACTGCTGTGAATGACCAAAGTAGGAGTGCTGAACTGCAAAATGTGCTCTGGCGCGGAGGGGTCCCAGCGTCGGTAGTTGTCTCGGTTGTCCCAGAAGGTGCCGTTGAACTGCCTCATGTCAGACTGCGACTTATAAAGAGAGGGTAGTAGATAGAAGAACTCACATCATGCTCGATGAACCAAAGCTCTTCACTAGATATCTTAGCATCCGCCACAAAGGTCCCATCGTGAGTGACAAGTGCCTTAAACTTCCGTCCCAGGGGGTTGCCCTGGATCCAATTCATCATGAAACCGCCGTAACTGGCACCCGCAGCAACACCATGGTCGGTGTCGATGAAGTGGAAGTTTTTTCGGACATACTCCCAGGCCTTGACCAGATCATCGTAGGGGTAGCTACCTGTGGAGAGTCAACATCATGCTGGAAGAGCAGACATTAAAAAAGGTCAGATCGTACCCCAGTTATTTGCGATAGCATCGGTCAATTTCTGTCCAAAGCCCGTGCTGCCAGTCGGATTGGGCGCAACCACCACGTACCCCTGGTCAGCCCAGACCTTGGGGTTCCACCGTGTACTCCAAGAATCGGCCCATGAGCCCTGAGGTCCACCGTGCACATAGAAAATCAGTGGGTATTTCTTGGACTTGTCAAAGTTGGCAGGATAGATGAGCCAAGAATGAATCTGGCTGTGTTAGCACAAAGTTCTGTTTATGGCTCAGACTGTAACTTACCTTGGTCCAGTTTCCTTGATAATAGAACTCATCCACATCAGCAGGGCTTAATCCCTTCAAAGCCGGATCGACTTCGTTGGCAGAGATTAGTGTGTTGATCACACCGTCCTTGGGGTTCGCAGTGTACACAGTCCAGCTGGTCCAGATTGCCGAGCCGGTGATCAGGACATCGCCGTTAGGCAGATTACGGAAGCCGCTAACAAAGCCTGTGTTGGTAAAGTTTTGGGGCTTGTAGTCATCACCAGCGTCGACGGGAACAAAGAATAGGCGCCCACGTGCGTGATCCTCACTGTGGACGATGAGGTTCTTGCCATCGGCCGTCCACTTGACCGAGTCTGGAGAGCGGTCCCAATCCTTAGCGACAGCAGGAATGGTCTTCTTAGAGTGAAGGGTGTAGACGTAGAGTACACGGCGATCAGACTCGTACGCGATATTCCCCATTTGGAAGTAGGCAATGTGCCGACTGTCCGGTGAGAATGATGGGCTACTGGTATCGCCCTTAATACCATGAGGGGTGCATGGGCTGTCTGGGCCGTTGATTGCCTCGGGCTGCACGCTACCATCGTGCGAAACGAGGTAGATATAAGATGCAGTGTGGTTAGCGCGGGGCAGTTCTGGGGCCTTGCTCTTAAAAGTAACCCATATTCCGTTTGGAGAAAGATCATAATCCGATGAATCGCCGAACGGAGGGTATGGCGATTCAAGATTCTTGACGCCAGAAACGAGATTCTTCAGTGGTGCGTCGAGTGAGTAGCGAGAGTTGGCCCACTGTCCGTCTTTCTTCTTCGTGAGGATGCCGGAGAAGACAGCGTTGAAAGTGGTAGTAAGCCAGGTATCCCAATGCCGCACGTAGATGCTGTCATAGATGCGAGCCGTACTCAACGGGGTAGCTGCCAGCTCCTCATTGTACGCAGTTCCATTTGCGTAGGATTGGGCATACACCAGGAAGTTGATATTGCCTGTCTCGGTAATCGCGGTCTTGAGACCGGAGAATGGAGCAGGCAGAGAGGCTGCCTTGTACCGACTGGATCATTATTGGTGAGAAACAAATAAGCAACAGAAAACTGGGACACACATACGACTTCTCAAAACTAGCTGTATCAGACACCCACAGTTCAACACCACCAGGGATATCGGAATTGGTGCCGTTGATGTACAGCAGGCCTGAATCATCGGTGCCCAACCAGATCAACTCGGAGACATTGCTATCATTTGTGAGCACAGTGATTTTGCCACTGTTCAAGTCAATCAAGTTCCAAGACGACGAGGTTTTATGCGTCTCCCAAGAATACTCCGATGCTGAGAACAAGGCTACTTCCTTGTGTTATGTTAGTACTTGAGTCGATATCGAACAAGAACGACAGACAACATACCCCCGAAGGATTGGGGACAGCTTCACCACGGCGTGGAGCTGCAATGAGCCCTCTGGAATAAATTTAGTAAGATAGACCGTGCCGACCCCATTGACAGAGGGCATGAAAACAGGAGAGTGTGCTTACTCGGGCGTCAGCGCCTTCACCCCTGACAGAGCGCTCAATCCAAGGACCGCCCATTCAAACGAGTGCATCTTCGCAACCAGATACGCACACGCACAGGTACAGATAATGGTAACAAATAATGAACGAACGACAAAATAGGCCCAAGTCGTGCCTCTGCTTATGTATCTTTCCACCGCGGTGACCATCGGTGATCCGACAGTTTCCCCAGGGGGAAATGTTACATTCCTCGATGCCAAGAGTGATAAACAGGCAGCGGAGGGTCCTGCACGGCCATGATGATGGGCTCGCAAGAGGAGAAAGTGCGATCTGCTCTGTCGGAGGGGGGATAAGAGAAGCACGAAGGTCATTGGCAGGTGTAATTGGCTCGCGATGAGAACAAAGAAGGACCCTGGCTCCCGCGCTGATGGCTTGGGTTGCAGCGCCAAGCCGAGCGGGGGAGGCCCGCTGATACCCGGGCGGGATGGAGGAAAAGAGTGGACGGCATTGTCCGGGAATTGAGAGCTTGTTGCTGTCGGAAATTTACCGTTGCCGACTGATAATTGGCAGATTGGTACATTGTTTAGCTATAATTGCAAGAGATTGCTGAAAATGTGCAATTGCCGGTCAGATAATGGCGATGCCTCGTCCCGATGTTCCAGGCCAATCTAGTCCTACATGATGCATAATGCATGCTGAATGGTGTGACGACCGCCGAGAGATTACTCTCACTACGATGCAACATTCAAGAAAATTGGATGGATTGATTATGGATTCGCAAAACGCTCAGTATAATGCGTCTTAGTACTCAAAGTCATCATCCACGCCGCGCTTGCCGGCGGTCTCTTGGGCCACCGCTTCTTGCTTCCGATACATCTCCGCCACGGCGCGAGTCGTTGTGGCCTGCTCCGGCTTCTTATCCTCGCGCGACTTGATGAATCGGGGGAACCGCAGTGAGACACCTTTACCGCCACCAGTAGTGCCCTCAAACTCATCCGCCGCGGCTTTATACCGAGGGCTAAGGGTCAAATCAGCCGTTTTCACCTCCCAGACCAGACGAGGTTCAAACCACACGTCGGGTTGATCCTTGGGGACGGTGGAGTGGGAGTAGAAAGGTTTGGGCCGGTCGATGACCAAGGGACTCAGCTCCTTGTGGAATTCCTCAAGCTTTGCCTCGGAGAAGCCGGTACCAATGTTGCAAATGGTCTCGTACGTGTCCGTGTTGGGGTTGTAAGCAGCCAGAAGGAAAGCACCGTACACCGAAGTACGTTTGCCCCGGCCATAGTAAGCACCAAGAACGACGAGATCGAGAGAGTCGCCAACGCCAGCTAGATAGTCCTTTTTGACCTGCACAGGAAGAAGTCAGTATCGCCGCCATTGCGTAAACAGTGCCGTTTTGGATCGAACCTTCAGCCAATTCCGACTCCGCTTGCTGGGCTCATATCCACTTTCAGACGTGTCCAACATCTTCACCATCAGCCCTTCGCACGAAGCCTTGACACTTTCTTCTAGCAGGTCCTGGATCTCGTCGAGGACATTGGTGTCTCCGAATTGTGCAAACTGGAACTCCCCTTCAATGGGCTGGAAGCATTGATGTAGTAGATCTCGGCGTTCACGGAGTGACTTCTTGACACATGGCTGCCGATGCTGGGTTAATGATTATGGCAACAAGTTAATGATCAGGGATTGCTTACCTCGCCGTTGAAGAAGAGCAGGTCGAATGCGAAGACGCAGACCTTGACTTTGACATCTTCTACCTTCACATCCTTCCGCTTGCGGGTCATGAGCTGCTGGAACGGAAGAACCTTCTTGTTGATAGTATCCCAAGCAACAGTCTCACAATCCAAAACAAAGCTATTGACGTCCTCTTTGACCCAGCTTTCAAGCTTACCCAGCACATCCGGGTACTTCTTTGAGAGATCTTCGGAGTTGCGAGAGAAGATGGCACTGAGGCCCTTTTGATCCCTTTGTAACGTAACAGCTGATCCAGGGTACTTGTGGATATGATCTGGTGCCACGAAGTGAATCTGTGCCCGCTCACCATCGTACTTGTATTCGCAGGTAAACTCCTTGCCCTCGAAGCGGTCGAGAACTTCAGTAATCGACTTCGTGGGCTTCGCAAGCATGGGCTTCAACGGGACACCCGGTTGGAGCTTGCACACCTTGGGCAGATTGAAGAGACCGTGCTCCAACATTGCCGGAATGATCACTTCGTAGGCTGGCAGTTCACTATATACTGATTTGAGAACGGACTCGCCTTCAGCCAGCCGCTCGGGGGTTGGAGGCTTTTCGCCTGCAACGGCGGCCTCGTGAGTGACAATAGCCTGAGCCAGTGCCACAAGGACGGTCCGCTCCGCAAGGCCCAGTCGCAGCTTGCCCTCTAGGAAGCGAACGATGAACTTAGCCTCACTAGGACCGCCCTTGTCATTAGTGATGTCAACACCCTTATTGCCCTTTCCAGCGGTGGCAGAGTCCGCAGCTGACAGCAACTTCTTAATGCCAGAGATTTTCTTATCCTGCGACCCGTGTCCTTGAACCTTGGCAATGCCTAGCAGTCCCTCATGGACACCCCTGACGGTCAAGGGCTTCGGTTTGAACATGGTAGGCTGGTTGCCACGACTCTTGGCAGCGACTAACCCCAGATCACCGATTTCGTGCTGGTCCGCCTTGATGACCTGCAGACTGCGACCAGTACTCTCGCCGATGGCCTTCATAATCAACGATTCACCAATGCCAAGCTCAATCCCGGCATAATCCGCGGCCAGTTTGTTGATCATGAGCTGCACTGTAGGGAGTAGATCGTTTGGGGTCAGGCGCAACACCTGCTGGAGGAATAGGGAACAATGTGCGAGAATAATCAGGCGTTTCGTGGTCATCTCGACTAATGAGAAAGTCGTGCACAGGGCAGCGTAGGGAACTGGTTCGCCTGCCTTCCAATCCGGGTATGGATCTTTGCCGCTGGCTTTCAAAGTGGCCTGCACCTTCGCCATGGTCTTCTTTGTCACCTCCGGCTTGGCCTCTTCTTCAGCCTCGCTTCCGGACTCAATCTCCTCTTCATCCACATCTGAGGTCGGATCCGCCTCTGGAGTCTCCTCTCCGGACGCTTTCTTCACAATTGGTGTCGGCGACGGTATTTCAGCTTTAACGGGGCTCGGAGAGGGCTTCGTAGGGGAGTTCTTGGGGAACTTTCTGGGTGATCTCTTCGGGGAAGGCGAGCGTTTCTCAACCGAGGAAGATCGATCTTTCGTGGCCTTACGCCGACGTTTAGAGACAGGCTGGACGTCCGATCCATCGCTATCCTCTGCGTCCTCAGCCATTTCCCGCTTCAAGTTCTTGCTTGACTCCACTCCATTGGTTTCGGCGCTGGGGGTAAGCTCGGCTCCTTGTTCAGCACTTGCATCCGCAGACTCAGCGGCGTTTTCATCAGTTCCTCTCTGTCTCTTTCCACCAAATGCCAGTGTCGTCTGTTTCTTCGATGCTTGGTTGGCACCTGCATTTGAGCCGAAGAACCGCCTAAAATGACCACGGTGAGGCTTGTTAGCAAGTCCAGTCACTTAGAAATCGGGTGAACGGAGAATTGAAGAGCAATGATTGATATCCACCGCGATTCTTCTATTCACGCACCCGATGGTCAATTGAGAATCACGCACGTACCCCAAGGTAGCCTGTTTCCGATTCTTGTCATCCACCATGCTTGCTAAAGATAGTAGAAATGTCGCTGGTCGGAATATGTGCAAGCGAGAAAGCGAAAAATTCGGAGCAGCTGATTGCGACAGAAAGGTTCGACACGGAGTAGGTGCTGAAAAAGATGATGTCTTGGTGTACCGCGATATTGCCAATAAGTTCGGTTCGGAGCGCGACAGCGAAGTGAGCGCGAACGGAATCCGCAGGCCGCGCATAGAAGAACTTGAGAGAAATCCCACTGGTTCAATCCAGCCTGGGGGAGCCTCAAATTATAAAGTCTGCCAGACAGGACTGCTTTCAGGCAACAGACACCAGCTTGATTTGGCTTCGCCAGGCAACCTCGCGGCTCTTTCTCCGCGCGACGTGACGCGCCTGTCACGTGGAGAGCTATTTTGCTACGATAGGAAACCGTGAGCTCACCGCTTACAAAGACCAGCAGAACATCAGGCGGTGGGGAATTCACACGGTCATGGCCTGCACTCACGATCTTAAGAAATGACAGCACCAGACTCAAGATGGAAGCTTGCTGCTCTGCGTCTTGAGGCTAGAAATTAGGCATTGTGCCTCAGATGCCTTTCCCACCTGCCAGGCTCAACTCCACTCTTAGCAATCATGACAGATGTGCGGCAGGAATCCTTTAAGTTGGTAAGTTTGGCCCACCATGGACTCACATGATTCCTCAACAAACGTCTAACGTACCATAGCTACGAGAGCCCTGTGTTGAGCTCAGCTCAGTGGGCTTGAGATTTCGTGGAAGTCATGCCTCACCCTTGGATGTCTCTCGTGCCCTCGAACCGGTGTATCATTCTCTAAAAGAGCTTGCGGCGAAGAACTTACTCGATGGGAAGCTCGCTGAGTATGCCTTCTTTCCGCTGTCGCATATCTTCAACGAGACACAACGACTTCCGGCACAATGCCTCGAACTAGCAGTGCAATGCTTACATATCCTGATTGCGGATGGCTGGAGAGAGCAATTATCACCAGCGCTGGGAAAGCAACTGGTCATACTGTTGACGCTGATTGTGGGAGGATCTCCGAATAATGCAGATGGGCAACAACCGCTGAAGGCGCAAGTGGCGGAGGAACTCTCCGTAGCTTGCTTTGATTGTCTTCGTGTCATCTTCGATACGCTACGCGGACCGGTCGCCGATCGAACCATCTTTCATGATATTGGCACCGCTACGGTCGTTGACCAGACCGTATACATCTTGCTCGAGGGTGTGCTGGATGAGAGATCCGATGCTATCTGCATATCCGCTGCTAAAACACTCAAATCGCTCTATGCCCGAATTACAGACCGTGTCGTGTTAGCTAGCATCATGCCTCGCACTGTTTCGGCATTGGCAAAGGTGATACGTCCCACAACCCAAAGTCGACGGTCCTACAAACTGTTGCAGATATGTCTGGAGGTTTTGAACCAAATGTTGAAAGTTGTACTCAACGATCATGCCGCCGCCAATGCGGAGAAGATATCTCCAGTCTCTACAGAATCGGACAAAATGGCCCTCGATGCTTCCTGGTTGAAGGCCACAACTACACAGATCAAACTGGCACTTGTCAATGTCACTCAGGTGCGCCGCCATCGAAGGTCGGAAGTCCAATCTGCTCTATTAGATCTCTGTGTGATGGTGATCGAGGAGTGTCAAACCACCTTGAAGGACGCCGTCCCCATGATGGCTGAAACGATCGTTGTCTTGGCCGACAATGAAGGCGACCATCCGAACCAAGCCTACTTGACTCTCCTTCACCTTGCTACAACATACCCAGTCGTGCTAGACTCCTTAAAGGAATCTCTTCATACTTGGTTAACAGCCTTCCCCCGTATCATGCAAAGCAACGACGAAACTGCCAAGCAGTGGGGGATCCGACAGATATCGACCGTCTTCCAAATATTGTCGCAGCTCCAATCTGGATCAGACTTGCTTACAGGTAGCTTAGCTTCTGGCTTGTGTGATAGTATCGGTGCCGTGGTGAAGTATGGTACAAACTCTCTGCAGTCAGTGTCGGCACCTGGCGATCTTCGGTGGGATGTACTTGCGTCCGAGTCCAAGTCAATAGCCTTTCCTCCCGTCCTACTCGAGCATCAGAGCCAGCAGCAAACGCTAAAAGACATGCGAGAATTTATTGTCAAACTCAATCTCTCAGAGTCAGGAAACGAAATCACGAGGTCTATTATCAATCGTTTGCATGCCGGATCAGAAGACTCCGCCGTGGCCCCATTCTGGCTAGCCCTGACTTCTCTCCGAGCACAGTCTCAATACTCGGCCGATTTCGACGACTTCATTGCTGACGACGATCTGGAGCAATCCAACTCGCTAGTCAAGCGTACTAGCATGATTGAAGAGTTATACTACACTTCATTGACAATTCTGAATGATCTGCCTGCCGATGGCTCTGGTGACTGGCAAATGTCAGCTCTCGCTCTTGAAGCCGTGGCTCTCCAAGCGCAACAATTGGGTGAGGCCTTCCGACCTGAACTCATGGATGCTTTGTATCCGACGCTGCAACTACTCGCTTCCAATAATACAACTCTTCAGCGGCATGCTATGATATGTCTCAATGTCCTTACTGAGGCATGCAACTACCCTGACACTAGCTCCATGATCATCGAGAATGTGGACTACTTGGTCAACTCAGTAGCTCTCAAGCTGAACACCTTCGACGTATCACCATATCCTCCCCAGGTACTATTCATGATGGTCAAACTATGTGGTGCGCCACTTGTTCCATACTTGGATGATCTGGTTGACTCTATCTTTGGCATTCTTAATCTCTATCACGGTTATCCTAAGCTTGTCGAAATGATGTTCAAGACTTTGGCTGCTATTGTGGAGGAGGGATCACGGAAGCCGGCTCTATTGACGATTGACAGCGGTCGAGAGACAGGGCCACACGACAGTCGCAAATCACAATATCAGCATCTTTCTCTCTCTACCGTCGCAAGTGACATCGCCAATCGGAAGGTTAAGCGGATTGAAAACGCGGAAAATGACGTTGAGATCGATGGCAGCCTGTCACATCCCAAAAAGCCTTGGTCGGAGACTTACGAGAAGCCTCCGCCTGAGCCAGAATCCATTGAAGAGCTATTGAAGCAGGCCGAATCCGATGAGCCACTTCCCCCGCCAAAGGAGCCAGAAGATAGCGAGAAGCCATTGAGCAAAACCCACTCCCTCCTTCTTCACATTGTCAAATCCATTCCATCCCATATCTCATCCCCGTCGCCATACCTTCGACGCTCCCTCCTCTCAATGCTCATTGACGTTCTGCCATCTCTGTCACAGAATGAGAATAGCTTCCTGCCTCTCATAAATGACCTTTGGCCTTCAGTCGCGTCCAGAGTCGTATTTCCTTCATCACTAGCAGGCGACTCCTCCTCGACTACCCTCGTGACCCGATCCTCTACCGAGTCTCGAAGCTCTACCAACCCGCCCGATATCCAAACATTCCAAGAAGAGACCTTTGTCATTACAACGGCTTGTCAGGCAATTGAAGCCATGTGTAAGGGCGCCGGTGATTTCATGGCTTCACGTGTTGAAGCAGAATTCCCGCGTTGGCAGCGGCTCTACCAGCGCGTCTGGGCCCAAGTACGGCAGGATGCCGAGGCGGCCAATGAGCGACGAGCTCGGCAACAAAGAAAGAACAACCTCGACCCAGCCAGTGTAACATCAGCGATGCAGCCTGCAGGGCCAGGGTCTGACTCTACCTTCGTAGTGACACCATCTCTTGCCTTGTCGCCCACCGCGCCCGGCTCGCGAACATTCACGCCCCAACACGCTCTATGGAGGGCTTTGATATCTTTGTTCATCACACTACTTTCTCACGTCCGGCTGCCCTTGGAAGCGGGCGATCAGATTTGTGAGGCTCTGGGCGCATGGATTGCACTTTTTGTTGGGCCGGAGTATTACTTTAAACAATCAGACCGAGCGTTCTCTCTAGCATCAGATGATGTGTCCAGAGGCATGTTCCAATCGGTGGAAAATGCCATTTGTGCAATGGAGACCTGGAACCCTGATCTGACTTGGCTCATCATGGTTTCACATTGCGCAGGGCCATCTTCCTCGCCTGTGCTTCAGGTAAATGATGTCATTCAAGTCTTTGGCGAGCCCTTGCAATATGCAACGGTTGTGTTCTAGTTATCCGATATCTGAGATATAAAGATGAAATATATAAACAAAACTTTGCTTTCATTGCGGTAGACGTTGGCTGGTACAAGTCCGGTTGAAGTGTAGCTTAAGATACACCTACTGAAGACAAGAAGATAGCGGTACCATTTTAATTCTCTTCCATTACCCTGGATGAGAGTGTCCGCAGCGAGGCATAACTTTCCACGGCCACGGTCAAGATTTCCAGACTGCATTCAAAAAGTCACCCTTTTCCTATACACCAGGAATATGTCCGAGAGCCGATGGTAGATTCAAGGTATCATAATCCCGGGCCGCGGCGTGCGCTGGCACCCGGTCATTGTCACGGCCGTTGGCAAGCGGCCTGGGAAGGGCAGACAGGGCCACATAGCGGCGGCGGGGTTTACCTCTAAACAATGGTGGATGGACCCATAGAAGAGGCAGGGACAAGAATAGAACTAAGTGTGACTTTGAGCCCCGAAAACAATGACGAACCTGAAAGACTTTGAATAGGTCACATCAAAGGGACAAATATTGACATTAGCAGGTCATTCACCAATAAAGAATGATTACTTAGAACAAACTCGATTGTGAAGACGTGATCAATGTGACAACGAAGCAGTTTAAGATGCAAAGACTTCGAAGCCTTTGAAGTGATCCTATTATAGCCACTTGCCTTAATGATCATGAGGTATTTAAGCAGCCAAATCCTCAGACTTAGAACTCATTCCTCCATCTCTAATCTACAGAGTCTACTCATTTGAAATTTGAATATCCATCCAAAGGCGCACCCACACAACACAAGTTGACTACCAACACAGCTGTCACTCATCCGTCAAATCTAAGAATTGTTTCTTCGCCATGTTTGTCAACATATACTTTGAGGCTATTGACTTCCACCTGACCGACTACAACCTTTTGCAGGGCATTCTGTGGCGCCTGGAGGAGGGCGAGTCTAGTCTTACCCCCTGTCCTGAAGATGAGGAAATTGAGAACTGTTTCTCTTTCAAGGTTCGTGGGTCTACACAGGCAGAAGCTTATGCTAATGCGATCGAAAAAGTGATGCGTTGGATTCGACGTCTGCCTTCTCGCGGTCTTCCGTTCGACCGCGCTGATGTCTTCCAGAGTGGCTTGGGTTTGAACTTTATGGCGCCACAGTAAGTTGATCGTTCTTTGTTGACATGGAAGGCGAGGAGAAGGTGGTTGATTTCGTTTATCTAATGGTAGTCTTTAACCTTCATTACTCATCACCTGCGTGTCCTTAAGGCACATGGAAAATATGCTGTCCTTTTAATGATGAAGTTTTGTAGCTGATGTAGTCTAATCTGTCTGCCTGTAGCGGCTAGTGGCGGCCAAACGAGAGAATTTGGCCTTGCATGAACCAGCAGATATCCTGTTCAATATTACAGTTTCAATTTCAGTGACAATCCGAGGCGTAAATCAAGGCTCGGTAAGTTATGGCAACACGCTCATATTCGACCTATTCAATTCCTGTCATCGAAGCAGCAAGATGATTCATTCTGACTTGGTGACATGCTGTCAACATAGCCTTCACGATAATCATCACAGGTCTCAATTCTACTCGTTCCTCTACGATCGCTTCGACATGGTCCCCGATCCAAGTCACCAAAGCGAGGTCTGTGTCTACCTCTTCACGCTCATGATTCCCAATGATATCCAAGCACAGGATGAAAAAAGGGATAAACTGGTGAAGTAAGATGAGACTGGATTTTAGTAGTTAGTAATTGCCTATATAACGCTTCAGAGTAGAAATCACCTTCACATACCTGATACCCGAGTATGCGTGTAATGCTGATCCTAGAAGGGACTGGAACATTTGGATAGACTTTCTCGAGAATTCCACGGTTTTAGGTGGTAAATGGTGTTTTTGCTGCTCACATTTCTTCGATTGGTGAAGAATGATGAGGATCTTGAAACTGCTAAAAATCATGTCGCTGCAAAACCATGCGTCGACCTGAGTCTTGGCCAGTCGAAGCAGCTCATCCTTCGCTATGTTAGCAATCAAAACCTTGTAAAAATATTAATGAGAGATCCTACCGTGTCCCAGTCACGCATAATCGACTCTACTTCCGCAAGGAAACTGTCAACCGTTGCATCATGCGAAACCTGGTTAGGGTCTGGCCCCGAGTCAACCCAATCCAGGTACTTCATCACCACTATGGTAAGCCGCATAGAAGCCAGAAAATGAATTTGAACAAAGCGAGAAGATTCCTTGTCAATGCCATCAATCGTTGGATCTGGGAAGTTGACCTTCCAGGACCCTGGCGGGATAAGGGTTGGCTTGCCGAAACATAGCCGGAAAAGGCAGTCCGTTCGGAGTAAATGCCAGAATTCGAATCGTTTTCGATTTTTGTCTACCTCGGTTTCATCGGTCATCGGTCCCTGCAGGAGTGATGGCTGGCCATTCGCTTCGTCTGGGTACCCATCCACGTAGAAATATCCCAAGGCTTTGGCTATGGTCAAGGCGTGGCCGAGCATCTTCCACGCCAATTCGCTATTGCAGCCCTCGAGGGCCATCGATACCTGGTTCATTGTAAGTCCTGTTTGATCTTACTTGAAGAATTATAGCTTCACTTGCCATGAGTATTGCTGCGTAGAGATCAGTGGGGGTATTCTGTATATGATCCACCCAGTATTCAGTCAGGGTCTGGCACTTCTGGTAAATATATCTCACCAGACCGCCGATATCGTTGTACAAACTGGGGTTCAGCATGATGCTTTGAAGACATAGGGAATAGTAGATAATTTGTGATACATAGTCAACCTGAATGTGGGGATTTCTCAAAAGATCAGGGATGGAAAGTAGAAAGTCTTTCTCCAAGGGCATTTTGAATCCTTCATACTGGTACAAATCGTAATAAGCTGAGCAACGCGTTAGCAAACCGATCGCTATTATTGGGCGGCAAACTTGCTTTGAATAAATTTCTTGGTCAGTTCGTTTGGAATTTCGGGGTTCTCTAGTGCCTCTTTGGCTGGTGTCTCCTGCAGGTATTCGATTTCCATCATCGCAGCCGCAATAGCTCCCATACAGTTTTCGTTTTCAAAGAAACATGACTCAACCGCACGCAGATGGCTGAATACATTCGAAAGAAGTAAAGCCCGGGTTTGGGGATTTTTGATGCGACTCAAGATACCGCCGATCACACCAGGCGTGGCTGGAGCCTGGGCGTGATCCGAGAGCACAGCTCCAGCGATGTCCGAGTCGACGAATGAACGTGACATCGAGCGATCGGCATGTTCGTCGGTTTCTGGCGCTTTCTCCAGGCCACAATGTTCTTCTAGGCGTTGGAGGCGGCTGAGAACGTCCGTGAGAATAGAGTAGTCGCTGTTGTCGTTGCTATTGTCAGCTGTTAGTTAATATGTCCAGATCATTCAGGCTAAAACAGAGGTAGGCAGGCACCCTTGTTTCTTGCTTCGTGGCTTTCGAGGCCGGTATTGACACTGAGCCCCAATAGACTCGCATTTGTCACATTGGGGACTGACGCGATTGCATCGGATCTAGAAGCCTATTATTACTCCTGTGGCACAAGGTTGCATTGAGGATCTACCTTTTTCAATTGGCAGCGACTGCACTAGCCAATGTTTTAGTCGGCATTTAATTCGAGATTTCAAAAAGGGGCTCACCGAAATACTCTCGAATGCGTGATGGGTAGCCATATTCCGGTATTAGTCTGAGAAAAATGGTCCACAGGATGTGGAGGATGAAGTAGGGGGAAAAGCAGACTCCGAAAGCCCGGGAGCAGTGCCTCGAGAAGCAACGAAGTGGATCCCGTTTGGCCGGGGATTTGTATAATCCCGAAAGTCCAGAATGGACCTGAGCGCAAGATTCCCCACTTTTGACTGTTTGGCACTATCCCCAACTCCAACTTGCCTCGCTAAGCAGTTACTCTTCAGCCTAGAAACACCGTAAGCCTCTCTTCATTTGGCCCGCGGAAGAGCCACGTCTCAGATCCACTATCCTGATATCGGTAGTCCTCGTATTCTCTTCCATCTAAACGCGGTGCATAGCTCCCCGTCCAGATGTCATCAAATATAAACCGAATGTAACCCCCTTCGCTCTTTGCTCCAATCTATGCTTCCCGCAACTCGCCACCTATTCGCCCTCACTTGACAGGATGGGAGTTTCCTCGAATACCCTACCGCAGGAAACTGTGGTAGAGGAAAAACCCGCGATCGGAGAGTCGCGCTCGGCGTCGACAGATGGCCAACCCAACGATCAGGTCGCGGATGCCAAGGAGGATCCGGAGGTGAAAGCTACGGCCGAGCAAGCTACTTCGCTCAAGGATTATTTCGTATGTCTCGCTCAGCAGATGCCTTTTGACGTTCTTATGAGACCCTATACTAATGGGATCCAGAGAGTCCTCTCTTATACAACCACAGGGGACCGGGTAGTCCTCGCGATCGCCCTAATATGCTCCATTGGGTCTGGTGTGGTGCGTTTTATGCTACATGCTTTGTCAAATACGGATGGAGATGAGATTAATGTTGAATCAGCCGTTGCCGATCATGAATATCGTCTTTGGTGGATTGGTTGGAGAATTCAGTTCATACTTTACCCCGGGAACTACAACGACTGAAGCGCAATTTAAAGCCTCGGTTAGTCGACTGAGGTAAGTAATAGCTTTTTCTGTTCATGAGGTTCTACATTGCTGATTCAGAGGAAGTCTGTACATTGTCTATCTATTTATCGCAAAGTTCACATTGACATATTTCTCCATGGTAAACTGCCGATTCGCGACCCAACATTTTCAATGACCCCAGGTGGCTAACTCGCTTCATCTCAGTACTGCTTTAGGGTTATCAGTCTCCGAGTTTCATCTGCCTTGCGACTAGAGTACATGAACTCGCTTTTTGCGCTGCCAATCAGTAGACTGGACCAAGTCTCCGTTGGAACGGTCGTCAATGCAATCACCACTCTCTCCAATTCGATCCAGCAGAGCATATCAGATAAGCTGGCCATCCTCTTCCAATCTACTGCTCTTCTCGTTGCCGCCTACATCATCGCCTTCAAATACTCATGGGCCCTCACCCTCGCCACAAGCTCTTGTCTTCTCTTCATTGTCGTCGTCTGCTGCCTGACGTTGCCTGCTATCGCCAAAATCCAACAAAGGGTGGATAAAGCGGATGAGAAGCATTCGGCAATTGCAGCGGAGGTCTTTGGCTCAATACGGACCGTCATCTCTCTGGGTGCCGAGGCTCCGCTAGCTAAGAAATATCAACAATGGGTTATCGAATCACGGAACAGAGGTCGCAGCATGGCTATCCTGCTTGGGATCCAGTTTGGTCTCATGTTTTTTGCCATATACGCTAGTTACTCACTGGCATTCTGGCTTGGTCTGAAGCTCTACCGAGAGGGTCACATTGCGAACGTTAATACGGTCATCATGTAAGTTAAGCACAGTCAAGTCGCTGTGCTGTCCGCAATGCAATCGCTCACCATAGCTTGCAGTGTTTTTTTCTCTATCATGATTGCAGTCAGCGTCCTTGGCAACATCGCGACGCCGTTGACGATGGTTTTCAAGGCGGCCAGCGCAGCGACCTCGTTCTTCGAAATCATAGACTCGGAAAGGATCGTCGTAGGTGGTGTTTGTGATTCCGAAGCTCTATCCCAGGGCGACATTAAATTCCAGAATGTGGAATTTACCTACCCCGCGCGACCAGAAAGCAAAGTTCTTATGGGATTGAACGCTCGATTCGAAAGAGGAAAGACCACTGCATTGGTTGGTCCATCAGGATGTGGGAAAAGCACTATTGTTGCTCTCCTTGAGCGGTGGTATTCCCCGGAAGGAGGAAGTGTCTTGCTAGGGGAGCGGAACATTGAGGAGTTGGATCTCAAGTGGTGGAGGTCTCAAATTGGACTCGTACAGCAGGAGCCGTTTCTCTTCAACGATACAATTTTCAAGAACGTCTCCTTCGGTCTTGTCGGCACAAGATGGGAAAATGAACCTGATTCCGTGAAGGCAGACTTGGTCGAGAATGCATGCAAAGAAGCATTTGCAGACGAGTTCATCGACCGTCTCCCAAAGGTATGTCGTTGTTCTCCTGACACGTCTTCTCCGACTAACCCTTACAGGGCTACGACACCATTGTCGGAGAGAGCGGCACCAAATTGAGTGGCGGCCAAAGACAGCGTCTCGCCATAGCCCGAAGCATCGTGAAAGGGCCTACAATTCTGATTTTGGATGAAGCTACTAGCGCAATTGACGTACGTGGGGAGAAGATCGTCCAGGCAGCCCTTGATCGCGTCTCCAAAAATCGCACCACAATAGTGATCGCACACAGACTGTCTACTGTTCGAGGGGCCGATCGGATTCTCGTTCTTAGGGCCGGTTCCGTTCTCGAGGAAGGAACGCACGAAGAGCTCCTTGATATGGAGGACGGACTTTATCGAGGCCTTGTTAACGCCCAACGACTTGAGATTGCCGCAGATGAAGAAGCCGGTCCTATGGAGGCCACAGAAGCATTGGAAGAGGAACTTGAACGTTCCACGACTGTCATTCCCGGTCAGCCAGACGAGGATCACAAAGAGAAATCGAAGCAGCGTGGCTTTTTCCGCAGCACCGGCGTTTTTCTTTACGAAGCAAGGACACACTGGATACTTTGCCTGACTGCTGCACTGGGGGCACTGGGAGCTGCCTGTAAGTTTTGTCATTTAAACGCACTGTCCTTGGCTAACATGAGGGTCAGCCGCCTTCCCTTTACAGAGCTGGCTATTTGCAAATCTCATCGACGTATTTCGAAAGACAGGAAAAGAGCTGGTCGACGGTGCGAATTTCTGGGCGCTGATATTTTTCATTTTGTCTTTGGGAATTGCGGCCTGCTATGCAACGGTCGGATTCTCGGCCATAAGACTCTCCGTTGTCAGTTGTTCTTGCCCTGAACGAAGTAAGATCTAATCGCCTTTTCTAACACGTTAATAGGAAATATCTTCCTCTTGCCGAACAGAATACTTCGAAAATATTCTACGAAAGCCTGTCCCGTTTTACGACTTGAATGAAAATGCCTCTGGCTCCCTGGTCTCCCGGCTAGCCACCGATCCTAAACAAATTCAGGAGATGCTCGGGCTAAATGGCATTTTTCCAGTAATTTCAGTCTGCAGTATGATAGGCTGCATTGCAATCGCATTTGCCTTTGGCTGGAAACTCAGTCTCGTGACTGTATTTGCCGCTTTGCCTTGCGTGTTCCTTGCAGCCTTCATGCGTATTCGATACGAACTGCAGTTTGAGGCCCTCAATGCGGAGGTGTACTCAGGAAGCTCCCAGTTTGCCGCCGAAGCTATCCATGCATTCCGAACTGTTTCGGCGTTGACCATGGAAGACTCTATCTTGAACCGGTATTCGGGCCTTTTGAAAGAACAACAGAACAAAGCTTTTCGCAAATCCTGGTTCGCAACCCTTGTTTTTGCGTTCTCTGATAGTGTGGAACTCTGCGCCATGGCACTTACATTTTGGTATGGCGGCCAGCTTCTTGCGTCCCGGGAGTACCAGCCTGCGTCCTTCTTTGTCGTATACATGTCGATCATCCTCGGTGGGCAACAGGCCGGTCAATTCTTCAGCTTTGGACCTAACATTGCTCAAGCCACATCCTCTGCAAATCGGATTCTGAACTTCAGGCCAGCCTTGGACGAGATTAGTGCTGCTGCTAAGCTGCACAAGGCTGATCAATCTCACAAGTCCGGAGCTCACATTGAGTTCCAAAATCTTGGTTTCAAATATGAGTCACAGGAAGCTCCTCTCTTCACAGGTCTTGACGTGACCATCGAAAGTGGCCAATTTGTCGCCTTTGTGGGGGCATCAGGATGTGGTAAGACCAGTTTGATATCAATACTCGAGCAATTCTACAAGCCGTTCCGAGGCGCTGTCCTCCTTAACGGGGAAGATATCAAGTCTATTGACCCGACCTCATACCGAAGATCTCTGTCATTGGTAGCCCAGGAACCACAACTATTTGAAGGCACTATCCGTGATAATATCACTCTAGGACTTAAAGACTCAGAGTACACGGAAGAAGAACTGGTTCAAGCCTGCGTTGATGCCGAGATTCACACCTTCATCACCTCTCTTCCAGAAGGATATTCCACAGACCTTGGAATCAAGGCACAGACGGCTCTTAGCGGAGGGCAGCGACAACGATTGTGCATTGGCCGGGCCTTACTGCGCAAACCGTCTCTTCTTCTTTTGGATGAGGCGACATCAAGTCTTGACTCACAGTCCGAGAAATTAGTCCAAGCAGCGCTTGAGAGATTGGCCGCAAGAAGAAGTATGACAATTGTTGCGGTAGCGCACAGGTTGGCTACTATTCAGAAGGCAGACGTCATTTTTGTCTTTGGGGAAAGTCAGAGTGACAAAGGGTCGCGGGTAGTTGAACGCGGTTCACATCAGGAGTTGCTCCAGAATCGGGGGACATACTGGCAGATGGTTCGTATCACAATCCTGAGTTCTCCCTCATGTCAGAAACTTACTAACTGCGTTCCTATGATACAGTGCCAAGCTAATGGACTAGATCGATAAGTTCATTCGCCGCATGACGCCAATGCGTTTTCTTTCTCCACTCACGGCTCAATGTACCATAGAGCATACTATATATGTACATCTTCACTTCTCTTGGAACAAGATTATAAGGGCTGGTGAAACAGGACCGAAGCTTGGCGCGAAATGTGGCTGCGCTTCTCGCAGTGCCAACGTTGCCCTTCAAGTCGGCCTCGCCCAGACCTACAGTTTGTTTTGTTCCCTGACGTTGCACAATCTATCATGTAAAGTCACCTGAGAGTGAAGCGAAGAGTCTGTCCCCTCTAGGCCAATGTAAGCCCATTACCGTCAAGTATCGTTGTTGTCCAATTTCCCCCTTTTCCAGAGACCCAATCCTGCCCTGTTTGATAGATATTCTGATAAACTTCCTGTAGCAGTCTGACCCTGTGGTACTGAGATTTGTTCTTGCGGCTCTTCTGGTATGGGCCACATATGCATTGTTATAGTCCAGTCAGGCTCAATAACAGTTTCCCAAACCTGGGAAAGGATGATATCTCCATTTGGCCCAACAAGGTCATAATGGCCTTCTGCAACGTGTGGACCAATTATGTCAATATGAAGAAATGCCTGATTAATAAGATCCTCCATTCCCTGTATCAAACGCCGAGGTCAATGGCCATGTAGCCTATGAATACTCAATATTGCGGCTTACCTGCCAGGTACTGCACAACTCGAATGGGAAAGAAAATTTCCGACCAACAGCATCCTTGAATTTGATTGGCTTTTTCTTCTCCAGCGGAGGAGATGGGGGGCGCGCTTGGAGCATCCCAAGTTTTGCTAGCGCTTGAACTGCGTCCCGCTCAGCCGCTTTTCGTCGGAGATACTCTCCATTTTCGCGACCCGCTTCGTTTAAAGAATTCCGTTCTTCCTTGATAAATTGAACTTCCTCAGAAGAAGCTCCTCGTTGCGTATGCGCCTGACTGTGATCTTCGACTTTCGGATACGCTTCATCCCTTTTCCCTCCTAGGCGGTCGTCAGCGATAATAGTTGTTGCGGACGAGGAATCCGATGATTTCTGGTGCACTTGTGTCTCAAAACTACTTGTCTGAAACTTTGCAACGGCCTGAGGCGTCATATACTGGTTTTGAATTTTCTTATAGGTTAGTATTTGGGACTTTATACAATAGGGTTCCTTGTCAGTGCATACCTGCTGGCCGTGGAAATTAAAATATTGACTGCTGTCAGCCCTGTCTGTAAAGTGTTCCTGAGGTCGGCCAATTCGTCCTTCTTGAATAGACTCCATCCAATCTTCCTCCAGCTGTCCGCTACTAAAGATTGTCCACCGTTGTTGGACAAGCTCTGCCGATATTTTTCTTTTTTTTCGAGAAACCTTGCCATTACATCAATCGATGTGTTCATTATATGTGAGATCGCATTTATGGTCGCTCGGCTGAAGATGTTGCTAGAGTTCATATGTTCGACGTGAAGAAATGTTTGCTGAATGTAGCCGAGCTCACAGATGACTTCTTGATATTCCATACTCGCACCTCGAGTTTCCGAAAGTGAGCGTATAAGCCTGTAGGCTAAATTCGCGCCAGCAAGGAAGTCTCCAACAGAGAAACCGAATGACATGAATACGGTTCAAGTATTGTCTGCCACAAAGGTTGAGAATATTCAAACCTAGATAAATAAAAACGAAGAAAAGTCAGAGGTTACAGGAGAGACGCTTGAGATGAATTTTTAGAAAACGACTCTTTTTCTGTGTATTTGGCTTACAGAAGCGGAGGGTTAACCTAGCACAAGCGACGCTAGTCGAACAGGCTAGACACATCTGCAGTGATTTGTTGGACCAATAGGATAAGCAAGTTTCACCATATCCTTTGCACTGCCTTCTCAGTAAGTAGCAAACTCCTTCACATACGTCGCAAATGATGCTCTGCCATAAGTGAGAAAGAGAGTTGGCGATATGGATCGGGAGCTTATTTTAGTTTCAGGCAGATTACTCGCTGGGGAGGCGAGAAGCTCTTCCCCTGTCCTAGAAGGCGGAGCGGGGGGGAAGCAATATAGCCACGTCCCTGGTTGACGGACCTAGACAAGATAGTTGAAGTTAGAATTCTAATGCTGTTTTTCTTATGAGGCGCATACTATCTGTCTCTCCATCCAGAAGGCTAACTGTCAACCATACCACCAAACACTTTCCATCTTTTGTGTAGATTGGCCCAACGCCAAATAAGGAAAGGGAGTGAGACGACAACCAATGACCAATTGATCCCAGCCCACCGAATAGCACATGACTTTCCAAATACCTGACCAATGAGAACGAGGCTTGGCGCGAAATTTGGCTGTGCTCCCATAGCGTCAACTCAGCCCGCCAGTCAGCCTCGCGTAGACCCACGGTTTGTAAACCCTTCCGCTCCGTTCCATCATTTCAGGGCATTTCAACCTGGCCAATCGGCCTACCAAGTCAATGTTGATGGTTCGTCATACTTGGCTCTTTCAGGCGGAGCCCCATTTGCCGGCAGAATCTCTACTCGCATTGTCACCTCTAGGAGCAGGCTCACCAGTGCAACTGTTTTTGAAAACTAAAGTTATTGATATGGACGTCTCCAAGCCAACTCTGACCCTCGAAGACGGTCGGGTATTTCGCGGGGATCTGGTCCTTGGTGCTGATGGCGTTCATGTTTGCAACCCTTTCCACTAATCTTTCAAGGCCAGGACCACTGATCGCTCGCTTTTTTAGTCTTGAACTCGTTCCTTCGTTGCTCAGAATCACCATCACCATTCTCATGGGGGAAGAGCTGTTTCCAGTGGCTGGTCCCATATGAAGCGATGAAAAAGACATTCCAGTTCGAAAATAGAAACACTTTGACTGAGTGGACTGGTCCAGATAGAAGAATTATCAACTATCCTTGCTCGAATCATACCATGGCAAATTTTGGTGCTTTTTTTTGATTTCTGGCTACTCCTCTGTCAAAGTATGCTTTAATTGTTAAAAAGTGTTACGTCGAATGGTAAAGCATAGACAGCCTTACGGAGTACAAAAAGTAGTCATATCAGAATCTCAAAGATTTTTGCTCTTGGTGCCGTACTGACGACTACAAAATGTATTCTGTGCCTGATGAATCTGCTTCAAGTCGAGGGTTTGCCCGCGGAAATTTCAACTCAAATTGTTTATACTTAACTTTAGTGGAGGATGATATCAGCATGCATCGGATGTGGAGACGTATCAACACTTTTGAAGGTGAGTGTAGCCGATGACGGAGATTTAAAAGAGGCCTACTTTCCATCAAATGGTTGATTTCAATTTATGTCGAATTCGGAGATCTTTTCCAACAACTTCCAAATATCTATGAGCAGCATGGCGCGATAGGCTTCTATTGCGCCGAATTTTCTGGCAGATCATAGTCTCCCGGCAATTGTTGCTGCGAAATTTTCCTGCGGCGCGGTATGGCTATCAAACCGTCTATCTGAATAGAAAAGGGAACAACGAATAGATGAACAGTATTGACCATGAGCACAGCCTCGGGGAGGTGCGGAGCATGGGCCTGGATCATTGATTGTGTAAGGCATCTTCTCCGCTATTCAATCAAAAGCGAACTGCGTTTGCTCCTTCGATAACCTCAGCCAAGATGACTTGTCTTTCAATTTGAATAACTTAAGCTATCATTCAGATCCTGATGTTAGCAGAATGAAAAATCCCGGCACAGTAAGCCTCGTTACTAAACGGGTAAGCGAGTGTGTCTACAATCATCCACGACAAGGAAGGTTCGTGATGACTCTAGGTAGTGATCATTCGATTAGACTTAACACCGTCGTAGGGAACGTACGGGCAGTTCGCGAAATATATGGAGGTGCCGAGCTGTCCGTTCTATAGATAGATGCACATACAGATATCAACACCCCCCAGACCAGCCTTAGTGGACGAATTCACGGAATGCTTGTGGCATTCGCCTCGGGGCTGGCAAAGTCGCGAAGAAAGGATATCTTCGATTGTATTACGGAGTCTCACCTTATCAACCTGAGGAAATTTGTCTACATCGGTCTTCAAGATATAGATAAAGCGGAAGAAAATCTTACCATGCAAAATAGCATCAAGACATTCACTATGGATGATGTGAGGTAGTATAATCGCGTCTGGGACTTTGTGCAATTTTTGTTTTCTAATTCATCTCCAGTGATGGTATTCAAACGATCATGGATCTTGCACTAGAATATCTTGCCGATAAAACGCCGATACATATATCGTACGACATCAGTTCGTTTGATCCTGAGGTGGCACCCTCTACTGGTTTCCCTGTTTCTCGGGGGCTATCTCTTGAAGAGGGCATCTTTATCTCGCACCGCATCCATGCCACCCGGAATCTTATTGCTATGGATCTGGTTGAGAAAACCCACTAACTAAACCATCAAAGTTGAGCCTCACACTGATCGGCCTGGCCGACGGGAATTTTGCGAGACTTTCTTTCGGACAGGGGAGTAGTAGTGACAGTAAAAAGTAACAACGCAAACTCTACATCTGAGCGAATTTGCACAATAAATATGGTATGTACGCTATCAAGTTTTGAGTGGCAGACGCGAAGACTTTAGCCCTTGCGAGATTGACAATGCCATGTATAGTACATCATGATCATTTCCAACCTCATCTAGGAGCCAGGGGCACCATCACCAACCTGACTGCCAGTAGTATAGTTGCCGAAGCAGGCCTCCTGGTACATAGCTTTCTTCTTCAAAGTCGGCACTGCCTTCAAGAACTTCTCGACTGGGCAGAACCCGTTCTTAGCCTTCTCACAGCTAACAAGGCCATCCAAAGGAAGAGGTGCGTTGTTGAGGACGAAGCGAATGTAGTCCGTAGTATGAGGAGTAGAATCCAGAATAGGGTTCTCATAGAGAATTGGGTCCAAGTCATCGAAGGAAGTATCGCGAGGACAGGTCCAGATCTCCGAGAAGAACCGAGCACCGAAGGGGGTCATCTCGGAAAGAGAGAAGGTACGCTTAGAAGGCGCGTGGTCCACATCACCGGGCAAACCCTTGGGTCCGTACTTGAAGTAGTCAAGGCCGAGGGCAGAGATGACGGACAAAATGATGTCATCGTGGGACATGTCCAGGTAGAACGGTTGGCCGAAGGGGAACTGGGCGGTGTTGTCGTCGTAGGTATAGTTGATGCTGGTATCGCTGGAAGTGATCAGCTTCTGCTGGAGGCGGGCGGCGAGTTCCAACACGTAGCCAATACCCTGAGCACGGCCGGTAGGAGATCCGTATGCGTAGTCGCCGTAGTACTGAACGTCAACGTTGTAGGAAAAGTCTTTCCACTCTTGCTCGGTGAATAGGGAGCAGAAGGATGAGCCACCAAGACTGGTAACCTCATAGGCGCAGAGGTTCTGCATGGCCAGCACGTCCATGGCAGTTAGATTGAAGTCTTGAGGGAGGTATGCAGAGAATCGAGCACGGGCAGCCTTGGTGTAGCGAGAGATGAAGACCTCTGCATCGTTATCACTAATCATACGTTAGTAGGATGTTAAGAGGAATTAGGTGTTGCGTACTCACCCCTCGGTCATGTCACCAGGGCAAGATTCATATGAAGCCAGGGTGTTGTTGAACGGAAAAACCTCGGGGATGATGACCAGGTCATATTGCTCATACGAGCTGTTGGCACCACTGTTGCCAAAGAAGCCGCCTATTTAGTCAAGTCAGCATGAAGCGGGATTTTGATCTAAATTGATTTCACATACTAAGCCACCAGCGAGCACTCTCCAAGATTCGAGACTGAGAGGTAGTCCGGAAAACCGGCTTAGGACGGGCGGTCCCATTAGGATAGACATTTAGAGATGAGTTCCACGCAGCCACATTATCGCGATCGGGACGGTACAAGAGACGACCGTACTTAATCCAGAAGTGAGCGCCCGAGGTAGCCTCGGTAGCTGCACCAGTCTCCATGAGAATGTCCTCGCCAATGACGTACTTCCAGTTATTGAGGAACTTCAACGGACCACTGGCGACAGCCTTGCCCGAGTGTGCCTTGGTGTAGTTGGTCAATTTGGCCGCAAAGTCCTGCATGCCTTCACCATCCAAGGGATAATTAGTCGGATATCGTTCGGCATGGCGGTGCAAAACGTGCACTTGGGAGAGTTCGCATCCCGAAGGCATGCCCTTAGGAAGTCCGAAGCTGTCTGCGTCTTTATAGGGGCTGAGATTGGCCCAGCTTCGGGTCATATCGAAACCTGACGCGTAAGTAGCACCCGTGGGTGCAGATACTGGGGCCGATGAAGTGGCCGCGGCGGCCACGGAGGCCAATGCGGCTCCAGCAAGAAGCTTCATAGCTGCGTTGGGATCGTTGATAGTCCGTGTTCGAGATTGAGTAAAATTGAGGTCAAGACAGGGCGTGATCTTGAACCAAATGCCAGCAACACGCGCCGGAATGCGGGCAAGAAAATTGAAATCTACACAATAGAACGGAATTGATGCGATTGGTTCTTCGGGTCCCTGGACTCCGTGTGGCCAAGGTCGATACAATCTGTAACGAAGAATAAGCAGGTGATCAACTAAATAATTGACAGTAGGGATGGCTATGATTTAAATTTCGAATTGGAAATTCGGCGGGGGCTTTTGGGTGAAACCTCGTGGCTCCTCATGCTGATCCTTTCCTTCGGACGATCGATTCTTCCGTGCTCCTACTACTCGTTTCCTGAGTGACATGGTTGACTTCGTAATCTTGGGATAGCTTAACTCGTATTGTACTAGTCAAGCGATTGTTAATTCAGGCACGAGAGTCAATTAGTAACTAACTTATCGCCCTCTGGAGATACGAATCTACTAGCCTTAATTGTGCCTATAATTCCACCCGACCACGCGAGCAACTACTCCAAGCAACCAACAATCTCCGAATTGTCTTCGACGGAGCCCCGCCGCCCGGTGCAACTCCACCGAGTTGCGGGTAAATTTCTCTAGTTCACGATAAGCAATTGACAAAATGAGACAATTCTTGTTGAGAGATCCAATTGGCTATCATTCATTTCCATTCACTCTATCCAGTTAAGTACGGGCAACAGTCGAACGTCAAGTCGAAAGTCAACAAACATGTGCTCGATCACGTGACTGTGTGTCATACTCGTAATTGTGGCCGTTGCCGATGACATCATTCGCTGCGGCCAGGGACAGGGACCTGCCAGGGTTCCCTTTCCTGCCTTGACCTGTTCAAGCCTGCCTTCTCAATTTCACGGTCATGACTTAGAATTGCTCTTCATCAACTCTCAATAATTCCAACATGTCGGATAAGCTGAAGAGCATGGCCGCGGCCGAGGCCACAAGCGTTCGTGCAGCATCACAAGATGTCCTCAAATCAGGCGCGTATCTCTACCCGATCAAGGTATGCCAAATTATCCATCCCGCAGCAGATGCATCTCCATCGAGTAGTCATACGACGGAAACTGACCATCCAACTAGGGAATCATCTACTTTGCAACCCACAAAGACCTCTGGGGCCCTTTCATGTCTCGTATCGGGCGCACCCTTAGCTTGGGAATGGGCGTTACGTCATTCATGTTCTTCTTTACCTACGTGCCCCAGATGGCCATCATGGCATTTACAAGTGGTCCATTAGCCGCGATTTCTGCAGGTTTGCTAGTTCTCACTGAAAGTGCGACCATAACCAACCTCCTGTCGCGGTCTTTCGTTGTGCAAGAGGCGCTCATTGACACATTTGATGGCACGCTCGTCGCCCGCGGTCAGGAATCTTTGGTTTCCCAGGGTCGTCAGCTCAAACCTCGATCAGGTAGCAGGGATACGGTGGCGAGACTGGGCAAGATTATCTCGCGTCCACTTTCCAGATTCACGCCTCAGACAATCTTTAGGTCTCTGATCTATCTACCCCTGAATTTGATTCCGGTTGTCGGGACAGTACTTTACATTGTCGTTCAAGGCAAACGAGTCGGACCCGTGCTGCACACTCGGTACTTTGAGCTCAAGGGTTGGAATGCCCGGCAACGAGAGGAGTGGATTGCAAACCACCGGGGGGCTTATACCGGGTAAGTTGGCTTGTCTTTTTCTTGTTTTGTGAGACTTGGATGGTGGTCAATTCTTGGTCGTCTTTGATATTCTTCCAGGAACCTTATTCTGACTCTTTGATAATTAGACTGGGCATAGCGGCATTTGCTCTAGAGATGATTCCATTCGCTTCAATTGCTTTCTCGTTCACCAATGCAGTTGGGGCAGCGCTGTGGGCGGCAGATCTAGAGAAGGTATCAAATTAAGAGCATACTTGACAGGAAAAGTTGAGTGCTAGAAAAATACGGTCAAGAACGCATTGCTTCGAAACCCAACATTCGGGGAGCAATGGGAATCCAATTGAATACTCAATGAGCCTGCTCTCGTTCCAAAGTTCAGTCAAACCATCTGACAAAAGACTGAAGAGTTTCTGCATGTGAGATATTTCAAAGAGAGGAAGCTGGTGGAAGAGAATGAAAGCTAAAGTAGGCAAGAGTAAACCAAATGCTAGAAACCTGGGGTCACAGGGCCTTAAAAAGCTAATTGATGGGCAAGAATGACCGAGGAATCATCGAAGTGGGCATACGATAGAGCATTATATGGCTCTTAACATCTCACCTCATCTTAATATGCTGGGGTCTTTAGATGTGCGTTTCTTATGTGCTTATTCCTAAAGGAAAAAGTGAAGTATTGAGCCCGGTGTAGGTGCCGGAGTTGATTGCGAGCTAGCGTCCCAGAAGACCCGCCGTAGGGAATTGGATTGAACAAGCTACTGGATTATCTGTAATGAATTTACATCTCATCTGCCTGCTCTTAGCTAGCTCTAAAGGTCAAATTTTGCACATGTTCGTTCGCAAACAAGGGGACAAAGTCAGCGGTATAGTACCACGTCGGTTTCTGCATCGCATCGTTGACCTTCAGTCCATTCACAGTGAGATTGATGAACGTGACATTGGTGATCAAACGATCTTCATCGTATCCAAGGAATTGCGAAGGGTTCGCATGATGACCGTTGTAAACGAGATCCTTGATCACAACGTTTCGAATTCCCCGACCGGGCGATGTGTTGTACTTCGTATTGTCCATGACCCGGAAGTTCAACAATTGACCCAGCTGGAAATCCTCGACTCGGACATCTTCGATGTGGACATTCTCAATAAGGTTGCTGTCACCTGCGTTGATTGTAATGCAGCCCTGGTACCACATCTGGGGCTCGTGGTGATTGAGAATGTCGATATTTCGGATCGTGACGCCATCCATCGTCTCTGGGTTAGGAGTGTTTCCGTGCGTGCCGATGTTGATCGGGTGCGCGTAGTCTGCCCATAGTGATGAATCTTGCACCGTGATGTTTTTCGAGTCTCCATAATAATTCCACCGATGTTGGTACAAGGCAATGTTATCATCAGAGTTTCGCATGAAAACTCCTTCGATCAGAACATTCTGGGAACAGAAAATGTCGATCCCGTCGCCATTTCCCTTGGAAGAGAATGAGCGGATACCAGAGATGGTGACGTCCTCCGAGCTGCCAGAGATGACTGCGTAGCCATTGGGATTTAGCATGATGACATCTCTGACCGTGATGTTGGAGGAATATTCAATCAGCACAGCACCGGATGACTTAGTTGCCAGAATACCCCTTCCAGTAACCGCAGAATTGGACACATTTTGGAAAGCGATTTGCGCGGTCAGTAGACCTCCTCCAGCCACGTAGACGGTCTTCCCCGAAGGCACAGACAGGATTCCGTTCTGGATACCGGTCCCATTGTTGACTCCAGGGCCGAAGTAAATGACATTGGGATCGTTAACTGGGTTACTTGTCTCAATTGAGTTTGAAAACAGCTGGAGGGTATCAAACAAGCCTTCGTTAACCTGAATCAGGATATTCTGTGGCTTCGACAGCGAAAATTCGATGACACCATTCGCGACTCGGGGACCGATGCCAAGGGAATAGGGTCGGATGTCGACTGATTTCAGAGGGCCGTTGTGGTATTGAAGTCGAAAGTTGACTGGGCTGGAAAAGTCCAAGAGTGCGACAGAGGTGTTGTGCTCAACGCCCTGGCCAGAGGTAGTATTGACCTGGGCTACCTTAGCGAAGAAGGTTTCGACTTGTTGAAACGGCCCGTTTCCAGATTTAACAAAAACAGAGTATGAGGTCCCATTTGTAACCCCGGGTGGGAGAGGATATGTCTTTATAGCATCATTCTCGTGCCCCAGGGCCATTGACGAATGAATAATAACAGCGAAAACGAAGATAAGCAAACAGTGCCAGCGCATCGGGCTGGCGGGGCCACTCTGGGACGACATTTTGAAATAGTCAACCAATGAGATTTAGCTTCTATGCCTGAGATAGGAAATTCGCAGGTGTCTTGTTAATCTTTATATTCTACAGCGAAAGGTGTCTCGATCAGTGGACTGTGGCACGGAGACGTTCCGGTCAATGCCCCGGATTGCTGCAAAATCAAGTGTGTAGAACGATACCGCGGGGGTGAAACTCCGGGGTCCAAAGTTTAATTGAACCGTTACCTGACAGAGAGTCCAAACATCTGATGACAAACTTGGCCAGACATTCCACGGGTGTCGTTGGGTACGGTGGCAGTTCAAAAGTTCGAATCTAGAGACCGGAGCCAAGCTCTAGCCAGATACGCTTCAACTGCATGCTCTTTTGAAAGGTTCTTTCTAGACATTCTGAATGATCTGTGCATATAGCTTTAAAGTTCTCTTCAGGATTTCAAACTTACGGACTTCCGCTGTCCTCCGAATCTCTTTCCACGTTTGGTAAGCGGCTTTCAACTGGCGCCCTGCCGGAGACAACCCCGCTCATTGTCCCAGATTCTCCTCATGTTAGAACCCATACTCGGTTAAAGACAAATAAGAAATTATTCATTCAATCTGTGTCTTGCTAGCAAAACAGTCGGGCCCTTTCCAATCTGCTCAATGCCTAGAAATATACACTCCTTTTGAGCTCAATTCAAGTATATATACATGCCCGCGGTGGATTAGCATCGGTCAAACCACCTAATCTGCCATTAACATGGTAAACGAGGGGGATCAACCGTAGACTACAAAAAGGACAACTGATTTTTCCGTGCCTATCAGGTATGCAAGAGCATTGTTTCTGTTGTTAAAATTTGCTTAGTTACCCAACGCGCTATTGTCATGTGATCATTGAAGGTCTCAGCAGCGCCTGGGCAGATAATTAAATATCCGAAGACTTGGGCCCTGGATCCGCAAAATCGTGCCTTGTAATTGGATGAGTTTGTTGTAGTGACCTTGTTCTTCCCGTTTACGGTTTTCGTTGCTGTGTAAAAGCTGCTGTGTCCGTATCAATTCCCCAATGATACGTGACACGTTACATAACCTTCAAACAGCCCAAAAAAAAGTAGGCCGTAAGTTTGAAGATTAGTCCTTCGCAGGTTTCCTCTCTTCAATCCAGCACTTGTACGATAACCAAGTGAACCAGCCTACGTCAAGTTCCCACGGCGGACTATGATTTTCGAAGCGAATCTCGAAATGACGGACCACCTCCGGGATGACTTTGGTCAGCTCAAGCAGACTGATATTCTTGCCGAGGCAGACACGCGAGCCACCGCCGAACTAAAACCATAATTAGTATCTACGCAAAGCAAAGGGTCTATGGGCTTATTCATGAACCGCAAAATTCAAGGCCGAACTCAGCTGCGTGTTTCCATTGTCCTCGAGCCATCTTTCAGGACGGAAAACTCGCGGGGAATCAATCAGGTCTGGGTTATAGTGGATTGCCCATGCACTGATGCCGACCTGTGTCTGAACGAAAGGATTTATATCAACGACACGACCGATAACGTATAGTAAGCTTTCACACACCTTGGCTGGAAAATTATACCCACTCAGGAGGACACCGTTTTGCGGAACCTCTCGTGGTAGCATTTGGGCCACGGCCGGGTGCATCCTAAGCGTTTCCTTAATTATTCCTTGTAGGTATGGCATCTGCTGCGCTTCTTTGAATCTAGCTGGGTTCGACGACAGTGCTGCGCGTTCGTGTGCATCAATCTCATCTCGGAGCTTCTTGAGAACCATCGGGTTTCGGTATATATAGTAGAAAGCCGCACTTAGAGTGATGGCTGTAGTATCAGACCCAGCGATGATGTTCGAACCACATGAACTGAAAATCGATCCTTCATCAATTTTCCCTTTCCGTTCTAGATCCAAAAGTTTGGCGAGGAACGGTTCAGACTTTGGGTTCTCACTGGGCTCTGAGCCGACCCGGCGAAACCGTTGAATCGATTCCGCGATGAACCGGAACAACTCATTATGCGGATCTTTCATCTTAAGCAAGGCGGCAACCCTGGCGAGTATAACATGTAAGAAAGGAAAGGGACCAAATGTCATATGATGTTCCGTGGCAAATTTGATTTTGTGTAGGAAACCAGTACGGTCCCTTTCTGTCTCCATCATATCGAAATTTCTATCCATCTGTGACGTTGTTAGAGACGGATTTCGGTTTTGAAAGTTCGATGAGAAGACAGACCGTGATATAACCAATGACATCAAAGGCGTAATATTGTAGGAAAACCGGGAGCTGAACGAGCCTTTTCGTCTCCGCAAATTCACGGAATTTGCGCATTAGCACAACATTCATCTTTTCGACAGCCCCTTCATAATTGACCACGGTCGACATGGTGTATAAGCTAACGATTTTCCTCTTATTTTCGGCATGAAGTCGCGAATCTTGCATGTTCAAGATATTCGGCTTATCTGGATGACCAGCGGCCGCGTACCAGTCTGACTTGGCAAATCCCCCCAGTTGATGAGTATATAGTCCTCAAAGCTTCTAAAGTGTTGAAACTATAGCGGTTCGGTGCAATGCGTACGACAGGTCCTGGTGCATGCAGTCTCCAGTCAGCCAAGGTCGCAAAATCCGAGAAAGGGAGCCTCCTGACCATATTTCTCATGTAGTCGTATGTAGGTCTCGTTAAGACCATTCCTCCGAATAGCGTCTAATTCCCACAAACTCGAAAAACGAGCGAAGAAAGGGCCTGGAATATCTCGCAATGGAGAAAAGAGGAGATCATAGATCGCATGAGATACGTTCCAGAGTCCAAGAGCAATGGCAAGCACAATGAGAACATGTAATATATTAAATAGCATGTTGACAAAAGACGTTTTAGTTTCGCTTCTGAAAGTCTTGTGCCGTCTCTGAACTGAACAATACCTCGACGCGAATGAAGTTACTTTAGAATCATGACGCACATATAAGCGAACGACCCGGGTAGGTCTTAGTTCTTGAATTGCCGACTAGTTCGTGCAAACTCTACTAGTCTGCCTATGAATGCGTTCTTCTACGTGCACAGGTGGTATGTGCATTTATAGCTGTGGGCTCCGCCCTCCGCTTTCTTTACCCCACTGTTTCGGGTTGCGCAGACATCTCCACTTCCCTATTCGTGCTGCCGAAGCGGCAGCCCTTTCAACGGAAGCAATCTACCGACTCTTTGCCTGCCGTATCCTTCGCTTCACTTTCGTATCGTCTCTACTTTTATAGGTTAGTGCGGGTGAGAATAGCCTGCGGATGCCGCTCACTCGGATGCCGCTCAGTCGGACGCCGATCACTCTGATGGTACTTACAGTCATTTTCCGTAAGTTTTCAACACATCCTGGACCCACCTATCTTACCGCTACCACCGCCTACTGTATACGGGCAACAGATAATATGCTTCGCGTCGTAATCCTGCCCCAATCTGAGAGATTTGGCATCTAAGGAATTGCCCTAATCCTTGAGTAATATTTTCGACGCCATCGTGGAGTCTAACTGGTAGGAGTCGATAAATTCAGCTTGTCATGGGGGTATTTGACAGGCACAATATTACGTAATCTCGAGTGTGCAAAAACTGTCGAGACACGGAGCGTTAACTTACCAGTGACCCACTGTCCTCTGTGTTTTGTATAGTTATTTGGTATCCTTGGTATTACGGTTGTCGTAACACCGTGTATCTTAGCCATCTATGGGGTATTTCAACCTGCCCCATGATATTCGTTCTTTCTCAATCAATCAACCTTTGCATCTAAGATTGTTCCGCTTGGTCCCATCCTCAATCTCATTCGCGTACTAGGACTACTAGCCCTATTCCTCAATTAAATTTCCATCGATACATGGAACTTTAATTTTCAAACTAGGTGACAGGCTAAATATTCTCTCGGATAGTCACCTAGAAACGGAGGTCTAGTCTCGATATGACGAACGAGATCAATAACCAAGATACAGAAGCATCAAGTTGTAGAAGTCCCGCTGTAGGTTTTACTCAAAAGCCGGACAAAAAAGGATAGCACCGGGTGAGTTGTGCAAGTAAAAATTACTTTTCGTACAGCCCATATACGGGTTTGAGTGTCTTCTCTATACCGGCGCTCTAAATGTTCCTGGCGAGTCTAGGCGTAGGCCGCCCACTCGGACACCGCTCAGTTGGCATTCCGGGAGCCTCGCTATTTCCTACAACCTAGCCATGGCTCTGAAGGAACCATATCCGCCGTTGTTCCATATAAACATCACCCCTATAAAAGAAACACCGGCAGTTGAGATTGATATGCAGCCGAATCCACCACACTTGGACCGTCACTGTAGTAGTGAATCGTCCAAATCAACAAGGGGGGACTGGGCATTACAGGAGGATATGTACTATGGTCGACATCAACCTATTTTCTATACAGAAATAAAGCAAGTCTAGATCTAATTAACGGTGCAACAAAAAACAACGACTATTCCATACCAACAGTATTGAATCATCCTTCTATATTGACGATGGTCTAGATTAGTGGCCCCGAATAAATGGTTGATCGGAGGACCAATAGCGGAGTGTCGTCGGCCATAGTGCATTGGTTCGGAAATCCAAGCTAAACATTTACATACCAGGGGTTTGGTATGTGGAGGTCCCCCGCAATAGTTTCCCCAGAAAACTTTGGTTGCTCGGCGAGGATATAAAAGAGCATCCCTGGTTGCCTGCAGCCAACACCCTTGAACCAAAGATTACCACCCAAAAATATAACTTGAGATTCTTCTTGTGATAGCATACAAAATGTCCCTAGGTATCATCCAAGTGGATGAGCACCATGCACCTGGAACCTTTCTGTTATTCAGTGAATCATCTGCACATCTCTCTTCTCAGGTGAAGTATGGCACTGGAAAGGTAATTCCAAAAAATAATAACTATTCAAACAAAGACGCAATGCTAAATGGAGTAGCATGCAAACGTTGTCCTAGTTCCTCAGCCTTCAAACAGCCCGAACGACCCTTTGGTAAGTGGTTCCTGTGGGTTAGTGGATTCCGAATCTCAAACTTTGCACAGAATTGGTCACAGTGGAAGAAAAGCTTGACATATATTGTCTTATTCGCCAATTCAATCATTTTTTCCTCCATTCCGCCGCCCGTGATTGCTCCATCAATGGTCTTGATGTCGCTCGCACTGAAGCGACCTATTAAGGATATTACAATGCTTACTGCATATCAACTGCTTACGACTGCTTGCTACGGGTAAGTCATATATATGTATTAATATAGAGATTGGGCTAATACATATATACAGACCAATCGGATCCGCTTTAGCACAAAAATACGGGAAACGACCACAGTTTATCTTCGCATCCGTCATGGGATTTGTTGGAACACTTGTCTGTTGCACCACCACAGATAACTATAGTGTTCTGTTGGCAGGGCGGATTATCCAGGGCCTCGGCTCGGCGGTATTTGAAAGTTTGACCGTTGCAGTTATGGGTGATATGTGTGTCAATTTTAAATCCTGCATATGCCTTGCGCCGCTGACTGGTAAAACCAAAGATTCTTCGTCCACGAACGATCTCTGCGGACTGGTCTGCTAGTGATGACATGGACCTGCATTATTTCTCTAGTCTCGATCCTAGGTGGCGTGATAGCGGAGGGTCTTGGCTGGAGATATGTGTTCATCATTCATCTGCCATTTACCGTTGTTGGATTGTTGTCAGTTATATTGTTTCTTCCAGAGACTCAATGGAAGGGTACCCGAAGAGATGTTTCTCTTGAGGCCGCTGCTCAGGCGGAAGGTAAAGAAATGACAAAAATCGATCACGGGCATGAGGAAAATTTGCCAGTGTCCTCGTCAGCGGAGCCGAAGAAAACATTTATACAGGGACTTGCAATCTTCAGCGGGATTCACACAGACGCCAACTTGTTGCGGCTGATTTTCGCTCCATATTTTGTGATTATCAACCCTGCAGTTATCTGGGTGGGTAAATTCTGCCATTCTTGTGTATGGCTTGCTAACCAGGATTATTAGGCGATTGCTATGGGTGGTGCATGCATTGTTAGTTTCTCCCCACTCTTTTCTACCAACAACGAGGTTAATAATAAAGTGATACAGGGTTTTTATGTGGCTGTCTCCTACATTCTTGCCCAAATATGGACGCCTCCTCCCTACAATCTGAATGCTCATCAGAATGGTACTTTCTATGTTGGTGGTAAGTTTTAATTTTCACTTTTTAAGTTCCGAAAGAATAGAGAAAAGTTCCGCTAAATTTGACCTATAGCATTAACTGGAGGCGTGATCAGCAGTCTAGCCAGCCCATGGCTAAGAGATATGGTTGCCAGGAGGCTGACCAAATGGAACAGAGAGACATATGAGCCTGAGTTCCGCATTCCAATGATGCTATTTGCTGCTTTATTCTGTGGCATTGGATGGTTCGTATTCATGTGGGATCTTGACAACCCAAAGCCGAATGGATATTATCTGGGTGCATTCTGCCATGGTTGTGTGTGCTGTGGTACAACCATAGGTATGACATTTGCCAACCTTTACATACTGTGAGTATACCTCATTCTCCTAAGATTTGTTTTATTTGTCCAATTCTTCCGTCGCAATAGTACTTGACTGATAACTGTTGGGAGCGACAGCGACGCCTTCCGGGAAAATTCTACGGAGATCTTCATCCTCTTGATGACAGGCAAGAACTTCATTTTCTATGGTTTCTCTCAAGTTATAAACACGTGGTCAGTGGAAAAGGGCCCGAGTGACATTTTGAGGACCTTCGGAAATATTACAATGTGTCTCATGGGTTACATCACCTTTGTTGTGTAAGTTTGATCAGGCCCATTCCACTTCCCACAAACAACTCATTGATAGGTGATACAGACATTTTTGGCAAGGTCAACCGCTCTTTCATGTACAAGACCGGGTTGATGAGCAAATTGACAGGTTACAAACACCACGGGTGAAGGATTGACCTATTTGGATCATCTGACGAGAAGGACTACTGAGAAGCTGTCATACGGATAATCTCACAGCATGTCTTTAGTATAGTGAAGAATTAGGTCGACTATATATAGCGAATATATGTGTTACAATGAGAAATTTGAAGAATTGAACTAGGACTTACAAAGTTTATAGGGATATTGAGGTGAGTATACTGGTCGCATTAATGTAGCAACTGGGCTGGTTGGCTTACAATCTAAAAGATCACCTCTTATCTACGAGGCTATACAGTATGGTTTCTATGATTTGACTGTATAGTGCGCTCATTTTTTGACTCCGATCAGAATCTAATTTCACCGCTAGCCCCGGTATGAAAATGATGGCCCATGTGCCGAGCCAGTTATGATCGGCCTAACCCCCGCACCCGACCCCACATTTACCGCCCCAACATTTTGCGGAGGTAATGCATATATTCTGCATCTATTCTGCCTTCAGCATTTAACCGGGTTTCGCTTGGTTTGATACCTATTCAACACTTACCAAGATATTTCGGTATGGCCGAAATGGCAAGCGACGATAAGCGACGGAAAAAATGCTCTCAGTTGCACTGGATGCAGACAGCGGAAGGTGAAGGTAGGGGTTGAACGCTCCTTTCATATACATGCTAACCCGAGAAAGTGCGAAAAACCCTCTTCTGGTCCTTGCCAACGATGCAGCAGGCTGGGCAAGCTATGCCAACTAGGAGGCTCTACATCCCGACCGTAATATCACACTTCGAAAGAACGATACGAGCTTCTGGTGTCCGTGGTTCGTCATTTCGTTCCTTCGGCTTCTTTCGGAACTGAGGACCTGCGAAAACTATTAGACACCCTGCCAGCTCCAGCGGAAGGCTCTCCTGCCCCTTCACAACCTACCGCTGTGGCCACCTCAAGTGGTGGGCCGGGCCCGTGGCCGTCGGAGACTATCACCCAAATGAATACTCCTCCAGCATCCTCAAGTTCTCCCCATCCTCCCAGTGAGGAATGTGGAATCGAAGACTTGGAGAATACATTGATGGTGGATGCTATGAATATTCCTCGTGAGTCCAACATCTATTTCACTGTCCCTTATCTGGGCGCCGTGTGAGATTTTAGGGAGACTGAAACTAATTTGTGTGAACTTATAGGATTCAGTGGCTCATCTAGTTGCACCACTCTCAATGCCAAAATAATCTCCCATTTGTCCAAAGATACCCGCGGCCTATCACCCTTCAATGACAATGCCACTCCGTCGTTGTTTGATGGACAAGTGATCTCTTATCGAAATGCAGACTATCTCCCCAATCGCAAGGCGCTTGACCAAGCAGCCGTGAGATTTTTTTCAGAGATCAACAGCGTCATATATATCCTTGATCAGGATAGATTCCACCTTTGGCTTGATAACATGTATGGTGGAAATGGGGTGCGTGCATCCGTGCTGGTCATATTGTATCTGGTCATGGCCCTCTGCGGCGATGAAGACCCCAGTTTTCACATTGCTCGATCCTACATGGATGATGTGATAGAGGAATCGAGCTTGGAGAGTGTGCGGGCAATTATGTTGATGGTATGATTGGTGCCACTCCCCGTCGATATTCTGTTTTTACTTACGAATGCTAACCTGTCAGAGCTTGTACCGCCAAAGGGAGAATGAGCGCAGTGTTGCCTGGGCGATGCTGGGAGTGGCAATCCGAATATCGCTGTCGCTTGGCCTTCACCAAAGTATAGGCTACGCGCACGACACTTCCATATACGGATCAGAAATTAAGCGACGTCTTTGGTGGTCCCTGTGCGACTTTGACAACCGGAGTTCTTGCATGCTGGGACAACCCTCTGGCCTTGGTCGCACGGATAATGCTGTCTCTCTACCTTCACAGGTCAGAAATCTCTACCTTCTATAAATTCTCATGACGACTAACCGTAGCAGGAATTCAATACTACACCCTATACACCGCCTGGATACGCCACTAGTTCAGCATCTCTTGGTATTCTGATTGGCCAGATATCCCAGCAGCTATATTTCCAAAACGACAATTTGAGAAACAAGAAGCAGTTGAGTAATGAGTTTATCCAAAAAGTGGGAACATGGCACAACGAACTGCCCGATCACCTTCGCCCAAATTCGGCATTCCCATCCTCCTTTGCACGTGCCACATTATATTTAAACCTCAAATATAATTACGCCCGTATGCTTATCGGGAGGCCTTACATGGTCCATTCGATACTTTGCAGCAACAGCCATGACGCTTTTTTCGAATTCCGAGCAGAGACCTGTGAAGCTGCAAATCGTGAGTCCATCGAGATCTTAATGGAATTCTACCGCCGAGGTCTTTTGTCGACATATCTTTGGCTCGATACATACTTCATCCTGGAAACAGCAATAGTCCTATTTCTCCGTGCTGTCGAAACACCGAGTGTGAAGAACGAGTTGAAATCATTTCTGCCTGTTTTGAAAATGTGCGATCAAAGCCAGATTGGAAAATACGCTGCTGAAAATTTCGAAAAGTTTCTGCATAATTTGGAGAACGGTATAACGGAAAGACCTACTCTAAATGTCGCAAATCCGTTTCCTCATTCATCTACGCTCGGTCATATGAGTGGTAGTTGTCATGAAATAAGCTACAGTGACTTGGGAGATCTCAACGCCCTTGGCTCTGAGTGCTTCGGCTTTGGAGAAGATTTTGACCTGGACTTATGTGCAGCTTGGGATGCCTTGGAATGAGGTTTGTAATATAGTACAATAGCTTTGTGTTTTCAATACAATACGTGTTTTAAATGCTGTATCCAGCTAGATACCGTTGCGGCTTGCCTTTCATGCGTACTGTTATCAGATATCATGCAGTAGGCACGAAACTTCTCAAATGTATATTTTCGACGCCCAATCACACTTCAAGATTCATAGTCTATCACAAGCTTCCCGGCAACCTGTCCTTTGCGGAGTCGATCCACCGCTTCAGGGAACTTTTCGAAGGGCAAGACCTCACAGACTTCTTGCACCAAGCCCCTTTGAACAAGTTGCAACACTGCCTCTGTATCCTCCATTGTACCCACCAATATTCCTTTGATTGACAGATTCTTCAAGATCATCATAGTGGGGTTCACATTCATGTTGTGACCAGACGAGGCTGCAGGTAGGCCAATGCACATAATCACTCCCCCGATTCTGGCACCGATATAACCGATAGCTGTTGGATATGCAGGGGGCGCTGTAACAAAAACACCGTGGGATCCTATACCTCCAGTGAGACGAATAACCTCTGCAACAGTATCTGGGAACTCTTTGAAATTAACGAAGGCCTCTACGCCCATCTTTAATGATAGAACACGCTTGTCGCTTCCTGTGTCAACAACAATGGGCCGTAGCCCAAAAGCTTTTGCTATCTGCACAGCTTGAATCCCAACGCCACCGCCTCCGCCGATGATTGTGGCCCATGATCCAACGGCGAGTCCAGATTCTCTGATGGAGCGATATGCGGTAGCCGCGCTGCACATCGCGGGGGCGGCAACGTGATCCGGAACTCCCTTTGGAATCACAGTGGTGTATCGCGCTGGGGAAACAATATAATGTTGGAAGGTTCCTAGGAATCGCAATAAGAAAATGAATACTGCCGAAATGTTTGAAAGCTGTCTTACCAGTGGCACCCACCCCAGTGAGGATCTTCTTTTGGCAATGGACCTCTTTGCCTCCCCAGCAAAGACTGCAGGATCGGCAGGTGTTCCAAACTGGCTTTACGCCGGCGCGATCCCCAACCTGGAATGTCGTCACGTTTTCACCTAGCTTAACAACCACACCTGACCCTTCGTGGCCAGCGGAGCATATACCCGATGCTGACATTTTTCTACAACCAGTGTCGTTTAACATGTAGTGGATATCTGAATAGCAAATACCGGTGGCATTGAGTTTGATCAAAACTTCATCGGGACCTGTAAATTGTAAGATTACACTATCCCGTTGGCATAGCGTTATTGAGATTGTATTACCTGGGACTGGGACCTTCACCATTTGAGTCTTCACGGTAAAGTTGGGACCTTCATCGACAACGACGGCAGCCCGACACTCCTCCGGTATGACAGTTGTTAGTCATTCTGATGAGTTGGGTAGTAAATATTGTGGTGGAGTGAGATGGTAATAGGTATAGTGAAGATGGCGTGAGTCGCACAGTAACGGGTGCATACCGCTTATATATCTACTACAGAGTAAGCTTGAGGGGGTTGAAGTGATAACGCGGTGTCCGACCCGCTCTCCGTCATCTATCTAGTTCGGAATCCGCTCGAATATTGCCTGATCCGTTTAATATTAGAACATGGCCGTTGCTCAATGGTTCATGAGTCAAACTATCCCTGTTATGGCTTTTACTAGAAAACACCCGCGTGTTCATGTGGACTCTTGCTCCTGCCAAGTGTTTGTTATCATCGGATTTGAATTAGGAAAGAAACTATTTTTTTACTAATCTAGGTGACGGTAAAACTGCTGCCTCGGGAAATGATCGGCTCCCGGAGCGTGTAGTCACCCGGCCGCCCTGAGCAGCTGCCGCAAGGGAGGAAACATCGAGTTCATTCGATGTTTTATGGAATATCGTGAACATCTGATTATGCCCTCTTGGCAGTGGGAAATTGCAGCCGCGCGAGCAGCTGACCACAGCCATTTCGAAACGGTCGAATTCTTCAATCAGCAGCAGTAGAGTCGGTAGCGAAAAAAATACAGGTGGAAGCCATTTCTATTTCAGCGGCTTGCCAAGGTCAACACTTGGATTGAATTGGCATAACTGAGAAGCAAATTATGTACAAGCCTTCCACCAAAGAAATACAATTGAGCCACCCTTCTGAAGCATCCGTGGTCTAGTGCATCGCTCAAAAGGCCTTATGACGGTGGTAGGCCGGACTTTTCCCCCTGCGCGAAAACAACTATCTCTTGCCAAAATCGGTTTATTGGAATATCTCGAGATCCAGGGCTTATGCAGCCTTGCAGATCAGTTAAATTACATCTAACCTCACGCGCGATCTTTTGATGCCGGTTTCGACCGGGTGCCGTCGTAATGGTGGATATGCTTAACCTAAATGAATTCCGCTGGCCCACGATCGAGGTATCCGTGGAGCAAATTCTGCGCGAAAGCCTCTCGAACCAGGAAACTAGCGATAGAACGACTAGCAAAACGTTCCTCCGACCGGTCGACCTAGCTGATTGAATAGTATGGAGGATTTCGCAAAAACTGACTAAACCGTCCTCGATTATATTAAGACCGATAATCACGAGGTTAGTGGATTCGTGCGTAGATTCATTAAAAACGTAAAGAAATATACCCAAAAGTCCTAACAGTGTGATACTGTGGTGTTTCGTAAGTCTTCGACCACCATCACTGTACTGCCTAGTCTTCCGCTCTCAGGGGGAACTTCGCCGGCCTAGAAACCGTCATGAAAGTGACTTGAGGTAATTTTCGGATTTCATTCATTTCAGATTTGAATAAAACCTATCCCTAGCTCAAAAAGTCAATATTGAATGCGTTATGCAGCAAATAGAGGAATATTATATGTCATCATCAGGGTGGTCGAGCAGCCCCCCCCGGGCCGGGAGGAGCTGCTCCTAGATCGAAAGTTCCAGCTTCTAAACAGCAATTACGAGGCCCTCTTAGCGGTCGCAGAATCAACGGTTTTCAATCGCGAAGTTGGACATAAAATAGGCTTTTCCCACACACCTCCACTACCGCGACAAGCCCTTCGTTAACTTCATACATAGGGCTTCGAGGAAGATTAAATACTTTCTCTGAACGTTTCAACACCATTTATAGCATGACCACTCTCACACTAGCAGTCTCTGATCATAACGAAAGTACTCTAGAGAAAGAAGAAACGTTGCTACGTCAGTGTGGAGACGATTTGGACGATCTCAGACTATGTAGCCCTATGCCGACACTATGACTGCTTAAATTCAAGACTGGACACTTTCCCTTCCGCTAGATCCTGTTTCGTTGCTCTCAATCAACTGGGCGTGCCCTGAGTATGGAAGCGGGAGTTTTTGGACATTGACTAAATAGCGAAACTAGGGTGTCGGAGTCCAGATCAAGAGAGCCATTAGCCATCAAGTGCGATTGGTAATGTACGGTGTCTGTCGATGGGTTTTTCTCGGTGCAAATAACTCATTAATGTGATGGTTGAATTGGCAGGGGCCCAGAGTGTAAACATTGTTGATGAGTACCATCATCAAAAGAGCATTACATGTTATATATGACTGTAAGCGGTGGTAATGCACCCTCAGGAAAACCGGTACACTTCTTGGTATCTCAGTATCATTTCTGGAAGATTAAACGCATAGCATCAGCAGGACAATCGCATAGAAACCGCACACCAAGCTTATTAAAGCTATCCTCACATTTTCGAAGGTGGCATCAAATAGACAAGCGAAACCGGCTAGGGGATCAACGTATTCGACAGTCTGCACACTACCTAGTCACATACACCCCAAGGCCGTAAATAAGAGAATAATGAAAACCAAGGTCGCATGTAACATTATTAAGGTGATTGTTGATGGGTCACGATCGATGATTGATGGAAGCTAAACAACAAAGAATGGTAGCGGGTGAACGGGCAATCTGTTTATTTTTCGACCGTAAGCGTTGTCAGATAGGTGTTGCCTTCTCTATCTCTTACCGTCGGTATCACCAGCCGCTTTGTGCTGTTCTAGGTGCCTCCAAATATGGTTCTCGAGAACCGCGTCTACCGCTATCTACTGCTTATTAATAGCTTGCGCTAACTATGTTAACTAACTTAACCTAACTAACCACCGTAGTTCTCGTTCTTTATCCTAGACTTTTCTTGATTACAGTACTATTTTCATGTTATAATCAGACATGGGCTTGCCAACCATATTTTGAACACCAATGCCCCCATCGCCCATAACATAAGTAACATAACTGTAGCAGTTTTGTGTAACAACCTTGCTAAATTTTACAGGCTGAAGAAGATTTAATTCTTCCTTCAGGCAGTGCAAACGACATTGGGGGTTGCCCCAGTCTATTCTCTATTAGTGCCTTCCCCTTACTTAGGAGATAGGAAGCTAGAGTAACTTACCGACGGAATCTGGTTGTTCCCACAGCAAAGGAAACTCTGACGTGTTAAGGTGTTACCAGAAGTGGGGCAGGTGAAGGTATTGCCTGCTCCGTGGATGGCTAATCATTATATTAGCAGATGTTCATTCCGATATCTACTTAGAAATGCCTTACCTTGCACACAGTTTGATCCAACTCCCTGAATGAAAAATATGTTCAAGGGCAATGCAGAAACACAGCACCACGCATGTGAAGTGAGTGGGTTGGTCGCGGTACCGCATGTGCCCGAGTTAGCTCTCGCTTGAATATTTTCAGCTGGAGTAGCAGTGGCTAGGCCAGCAAGAGCAAAAGCGGCGATGATGTTCTTCACGAGCATTTTGAAGTGTTCGGTATCAAGGAGGTAATTTTTAAACTTGGTCAGGATCAATTGTCTGAGAATGAAGTCAGAGGATCTCAGCCTTTAAATATCTTTTTCTGGCGCCTTGAGATATAGCGCCTATCCTATTCCGGATCATCCAAAAAGCAATCTATTTGCATGTTATTGAATCGATTAAATCAACCGATGCGTCTAGATCAACCATGTAGCTAATGCAGACGATACAACGATCTTTGATGGTGGCACGAGACACAGAGTGCAGATGATACATTCAAAGATCCCGGATTTGGTTCAGTGGCCCTGTGGTTGGCCCGCTGTTATGACATAATCTGCTGGTTCTCGTTAGAGCTGGATCTACAGCGGTAATTGACTAGCCATGATAGTAGAAGAAACTTGATTTTTGGTGCGTATCTTGAGCAAGAAAGTGATAAAGTGATGATAATTGTTGAACCAACATCACTAGATCCCTCACAATTAGAGTTCCCCTCATAAGCAAAATGAATAAACCCGGCCTATAGATGCAATATGTGGAGGTAGGTAACATTCTCTTAACCCATGGTTATACCTCGCCACATTGTTTTTTTAGGGTCTCCGCGGGCTCTATCCTGGTTTCAGCATCTGTCTTGGTAGTGACTTTGAACACGAAATTCTAGACCAGGAGATCTATACTGGCTTCTCTAGATAGTTGAACTTCATATGCGCTGTTACAACCCCTGCAACAGCAAACGATTTTAGTGGGGTTCTTCAAACCCGGATAAAGCCAATCGAGAGCTAACCACGGTCCGGAAAGCCACTTATGCACTATCTCCAGATCATGTAGACCACAGCAACGAACGATCATTCCAACCTCGCTCATATTCACTAGACGATTTGGTGATAGCCACATCATAGGGTAAGTGGACCTAAACGCGTGAGAAATGGAGTTCATACGCTAATAGATTCATACAAGAAAAGAAGGGTTCTCTGGGATTTAACAAGGTCTGTACAGAAAGATCGTATCAGATAATTACAAGCCACATGCTAGTCCTATTGTAGAGTGGACTGGAATGACAGCCTAACGCAAAGTGTGCCAAATGCCGTTTTTCGGTATTAAATTATATATCGTTCAATCTAAAGTTTAGCCAAGTTAGCCGGGCTGAACGGAACCACCGCAAATTTGGTTGGTAGATTAAACGAAACCGCTGTTCTCGATGTGAAGTCAGACAGTTATATGCGGGGATAAAGTTCCGCCAAGGATTTAAATCAGAGGCTGATCGAGAACCGGTGGAGGAATTTTGTCTAATTTCTAGACGTTCGTATTGATCGCCTTGTCTAGTTTGCTATGGCGGGTCTCCTATTCATGATAAAGACCCTAACCAATATCAAGACAATCTCCTGTATCGGTCGCGGACATTAGAGCAAATGAAATCGACGCATCTGGAGAAATAGATCAAAAAATAACATTGCCATCAAAGACTGGTAATGAATGCCACAAGGTTAAGTCATCAATTCGAAGGCATGCAGCAATTTACGGTGTTCGACAACTTAAACAAAATCAATAGAAAAAAAAGGAACCAAAAAGCCAAAAAAAGGATATTTGCCTGGCCCTCTACCACTGCTGTTTCTGGAAATATAGGTCATTTTTATGTAAGCACTCTGGTTAGTGTAGTACCGTCTAAATCGGCTAAACCTTGCAGAAATTTCTTCCCCTTCTTCACCGCATGCTTGGCTCTCTAGTCGCAATAGATCGATTCGTTTTTATTGAACGGAGAATAGGTGTATCGCTAAGCTTCAGAATATCCCTGCGAGACATCTGGGGCGTTCGCGATTATTGAATCTCTCTTGTGGCACGATTGTGTGGCAAGATTGGCGGAATTTTCAGTAACAATCTTAGTATAATACGACGCCTTTTGGGTCTAGACCCTTATCGGTGACACTATGGATGTCTAGACATCGGTAGCTTTCAGTGACGAACGCACCAAACTTTGCGGGCAGCTCACGCAGGGTAGTAACCCTTCACTCGTTCCTCGTTTTAGGGCAAGTAGAAAGTGCGAAGTATAATCGGCGTTTCCTGTTAGATCAGGGTCTAGATCGGTGGCTGAATAGTCATTATAGAGCTAGACAAAGCATTATTTTTTAGTGAATAACTATCAAGTTAGGTGGGAGAGTGTGATGACGTAATTATGATTGATAGTTAAATTGACATTAACATATTCAGTTTAGAACCTCCGTTCATGGCAGAAACACACTACAATTTGTCTAGACCTTAAAAGACAGTAGCGATGCCTGAATATTGATAGAAGTGGTGAAATGATAACGAAGGATTGACTTGAATCAAAGTCATTGTGGTCCAGCAGACGATATGGAGCGTAACGTAGCAGAATTTCACTAGAGACTTAGTGCATGCAAGTTTTGCCACTAGACAAACGGATAGACGGGTGGTGGGTGCAGGCTACATTCTCTAAACCATGGTACCTATTAGAGTTTGATCGTCCTCCGGAAATGCTATCCATCCCAGTTCTACCTGAAGTGATTTTCTGGGGAACATCAAATGAAGGAAATCGACGGCTTTCTATTTGACCGCCTTCCTGTCATCCGATATGTTTCAATTTGGATTTTTTATGACATAATACTATAAATCCTCGGAACTGCTGTAAAGGGAAATCTACTCATAGGGTAGAAGGCCTGTCGATCAGGTAAGAAGATGAGGACAAGTCGTATTCCAGAGACAAGATTGATTCTTGGGGAATCGTCAGAATCCTTTTCATGGGAGTCTTTTGTGTACAGCGATTGCTTAGAAATCAAGACAGTCAAAGAAGCAAAGACAGATTCTGTGTAACCAGTGAGCGGGGTTCTCATGCAGTGTAGCCCTTTAGCTGAGTCACAGACCTGCTGCCGTTTCACAGATGAAACCTTTTAGGTTGACAGAAGGTTTCTCCAGGTCCTCCCGGGGAATAGCTTCATATAAAAATCCCCCGTGACACTAAATGACATAGTTATCTTCCTCTAGGATTGGTTCCAGATGCTGATCTCCACCCTTAATATCAGAAGGGTCCATGTCGCTAAAGGTTAGTCTAAAAGGACTACTAGATAGAAAGCTAGGGAAGAGAATGCCGAATTACGAATGTTATCAATACATTTTATTAATATTTCAGCCGTATCATCTGGTATAAGCTGATGAATCTGGACGTGATAAATACTTTGGTTTCGGACGGGTTTAGTCGCTACTTAGTGTACAGCGTAAGGCCCTTTAGACCTCGACACGGCCATAGGCGGGCTATGCCGAGGTCTAGGTCCTTTGATGTCGCCTAAGTTAGCAGCTGTCTCTAACTGTTGGAGTAGAGGAAAACATGTCCAGAGAAGAAGAATACGCATAGTACGCACTGTACTGTAGCTGCCTGATCGGCGGGTGGGCCCACGTTCTCGCTAGGGACCAAAGTCAAGCAACCTTGATTCTTGAACTTGTATAGGGTAGTTGATAATCCGCCAGTCACTTCTGATGGAGATTTCCCCTTCCCGATGGGATTTTCCCCGGAGATTTCCAGGCCCAGCTCTGATTGATCGCTTCAGGCCCTTTATAGGCCTTCTCCTTCTTTCTTTCCTTTCTTCTTCCTTAGAGAGTTGTCACGATAGTTCGAACTGAGATTGTGTTCCTGCTCCTTGTTGCTTCCTTGCGTAGTGGCGCTAGATGCGCCATCACGACCATCAGGATAGGGCGTCGTGTCTTTTGTCTAATAATAGTGAAGAACTATGTTTAAATCATCGACGTTCATAACCGGTTTCTCCCTAACAGTTATATCGAGGTTGTAACATACGATTAGATTCTCTTTCATATACTACACATAATGTCAAAAAGCGAAAGTTCCGGAATGCAAAATACCACTTACATTATTAATATCTAGGGAGCACTTCGCATGAAGACTTCGCCTAACCGCTCGGTGGTAGAGCTGACACTATTGCCTCTAATTCTCGTGTAAACTGCTAAACTTCTTGATATTAGAATTATTAAGTATCCACTCGAGCAACAGCATAATATCTTCTTTCCGAGCTGTGGCAAGAAACTAGAGTGGATCACCCTCCTAAATAATTACAGAAGCTGTTTTGATCAGTCTCATTTCGAGAAAATCGATATCGAAAAAGGAAAAGAACAAAAAAAGAAGAAGCGGTAAAGACTGACGCCTAGATAGAATCTGGTGATCAAAGAGACAAAACACTACAGCAGACGGCTGTTGAACAGAGTGCAGTGAACAGGAGCTACGGGTTGATGGGGGCCAGGACCTCTTTTAAGTATTGAAAGAACTGACTTGAGTACGGTCTAGCGCCTAAGAGAAGGACCTTTCCTATTTTGCAATTGACGGCTATAATCGGAAAACATAAACAATGAAACATGACGACATCCCTGATTGTCTACCCTAAGTACCCTGAGTGAAGGATGAGCAGATCCCTGAGTAACCATGAATGCTCAGGGAGCAATCCGTGATCACTCAGGGAGCATACGGAAATAGTGGGCAGAAACAGATCACGTGTGAGCTCGATGACTAAGATTATGGTAAAAAGGACGCTTAAAACAGCGTCAAGAGTAGCCGTTTTCGGCGTCGAATTTACCATTACCTAGCGTTGTGGTGTAATGCGAATCGATAGACCCAGAGCTTCAGTCCTATGGTTATTCGGACATGGAATCTACCGCAATGTTTGTAGGATATAAGCATATTTTGAGGGCTGATATAGCAAACGCAAACCTTTAGAGAAATAAGTACGATTTCTGACCTGTTTGAAATAGAGCGTTTTAAGATCTTAGTATCTACAGGCTTCTTGAAAGTCGTTTACCTTTGACTCCGTTGCCGTGGCCTTGTGAGCTGAATTTTGGTATATATTGGCTAGAATCAACAATGGATTAACCGTGGAATGAGTGTCTGTCCTCCGATGTGTAGAGTCATAGAGCTATCTAAGAACCTGGGCGGGGCACATGGGACGACTCATGATAGCAAAAGAAACAGTGAAATTCACGAACGCAGTGTGCTTGGCTAAAACTTCGGGAAGCACGTCATATAGCATAGGGTACTGAATTTCAAAAGAATCAAATTTCAAAATATAATGACAATGGATAAACGAGTACAAAGGCTACTCTTCGGCAAAATTCTAGGGTCTCGCCATTGGTAAAGATCCTTTCCACAGCTTATGATCTTGAAGGCACTGTTGTTCCTCAGAGAACTGGGAAGGTGACTTCCTTGGTACCGAATTCCTGGCGAATCTTCTCGGTAACACCAGACATGTCACAAAGGTCGATTGCGTTATCCAGCTCGGTCGCCGAGACCCAGCTTCCATGAATTCCATTTCTGAGGCGAAATGGAAGCTCAATAACTTCAACGGGGCCCTCAGGAACCTTTCGGGCATCCAAGATCAGGATGCAGGAAAGACCGGTATCCCGTCTATTAGCAAGGGTGATGAGATATCCATCCGCCTCGGCCGCTATAGTGGCATGAGTTAGCAGTGTACCTTGTGAGCACTAACTAGTGTTGGAAGACGTACATTCAGGATTGCGCGGGATGAATGCCACCTCGTGAATAGCGGTATGGTCACCAGCAGACCATAGGATCAGTTCACCAGTAGCCACGTTGCACTTCGCAATTGCATTGTACACACCACCGACGGGACCATTCCGCTTGGTAGGATCATGCATGGCATAGAAGAGGGTGTTGTATGGCTTGCCGACATAACGGTCATCAACCTTCGGCATCTCGCCATCGGCATCAACCAATAGAGTAGGCTCAACATGGAAATCGGTGGCATTGGGGTCGTATTTCCATCGCACGTACTGGCTAACATTTCCGCTAGCAGGAGGCTTGCCACTCGGAGCCTCCATTGGGTCTTGACCGCGTGGGGGGAAGAACCAGAACTAAAGCAAAGTTAGTCAGTGATGGAGATCAAGTAGTTCAATATGATAGAATTCATCGAACCTTGTTGAAGTTGGTAAGAGGCGCGTCCAAATAAACACAACCATCCTCGCCATCAAATGCATTTCCGGTGTGTCCGTAGAATGCGTTCTTGTAAGTGAACCATCTGATGTCTTCCGGCTTGGGGTTGCGACGGGGCAAAATTCCAAAGGTCAATGACTTCTCCTCGGCCCAAGCGAAATGCTTAGATCCTTTCTTCATCTCATCGATAGGCTGTGCCTCAAGCGGGGGGACAATGAAAACCACCCAATTCTCGGTTGCTGCCATATCGTGCATCATTCCAACATGAGGGGCGTTGAACCAGCATTCTTCCAGCTTCTTGCCCTCTTTGCTGAAAAGGTAATAGGAAACGTCGGTTGTGCCATCTCCTTTAGCCTCATAACCCATAGTCAACATTTCCCCGTTAGTAGGGTCAATCTTTGGGTGGGCAGTAAAGGTCGGCGCAGTGTATTGCCCATTGAAGGTATACGGTCCTATTCTCGCTTAGTCGACTGACAAACAATGTCGAGGTAAACTCTTTAAGCCTACCTTTAGTCTCCAAGGTGTGCGGGTCTATCGCATAAGGGGGAGAATCCTCCTTCAAAGCTAGGAGCTGCTTCTCAAAGTAGATGATGTGCGTGTTCGCAGTCGAGTGAATCTCGTGCTTAACACGAGGGTCATCGGTGTATCGGTTGCGGTACTTTCCGAAGACTGCCTGGCGGGCCGCTCGCTCGATCACGAACTTGGAGGTCCGGACATACTTCTGCTTGAAGTCGACATGTCCATCCTTGATGCGGATGGCATCGATCGCGCCATCACCATTGATAAAGACATCGTCTTGATATTTCGGTGCCCAAAGAGCGTCGGGCATGCAACGGTAGTAAGTACCCTGCACTTCCGTCGGAATTGTTCCTTTAACAATGCAGTTGTACACCTCGCCTTCGAATCGGCAAGGAGCCTCTGGTCCCTCGTAGAACAGAGTCTTTGGATAAGCAACCTCCGGCTGGGGCGCAAGCTTTTCGGTAATTGCGGCGATATCAGACATCTTGGTTGAAAGAGACGCGGCACGGATACAAAATGTTGTACGTCGTTAAGAGCAATGCTGAAGAATCAGATAAATCGTGGAAAAAGGGTACTTCACATGTCTATATAAACAATACGTGCGAAACCCGGGCCCGCACAAGTGAGGTCGATTGAGACATCGTCCCATTATCGCCATTCCGTTCATGGCATCCCCTACATTGCGGAAACCGCCAATTGTTCTGCAACGAATTACAAGGAAGTTTCAGACCAAACCCGCGCGGAGGATATCGACAGTGATGACCGAAGTGGGGTGAGGATAACTTCGATCGCTAAACGCGGACACCGCATCCACCTCTTCCCACAAGGCGGATACCGAGATTAATTTTCCACCATTTTAATTCGCATAAGTTACTTATTCGTGTTAATCCCGGAAGTATATTTAGTTAGATTATTTATTGTCGAACTCGGCTAGAATTATCACTATTTTACGAATTTTTTCCCCAATCATGGATTCACGAGACTACGCATTCAAGGCATTCGGCGATGGAGACCACATCTATGCCACAGCCCATTGGGCCAAGTCACAAACGGATAATCCACTCGGCATAGCTCTTGCCTTCCATGGTGGTGGTTTCGTCGTCGGTTCTAGAATGATGTTACCCATGGTGCAAATGGAATATTTGGCCAATGCTGGATTCGTCGTTGTTTCTGCCGACTATCGACTATGCCCCCAGGTCTCGATGTACGAAGGCCCTATCCAAGATGCAAAGGATGTCTACGCATGGTGCAAAGATTCTCTTCCAGCGCTGCTGAAGAAAGATGCGAGTCTCAACGTGGACCCTTCCCGCACCGTCGTATTCGGCCACTCAGCCGGTGGTTGTTTGGCTTTGCATACGGTATATTTCATTCGTTTTCGTGGTATAAATCACGATAATCTTGCTAACTTGTCTATCATTTGCCTTTAAGGGTGCTCTCTCAGATCCCCCACGTGCGATTCTCGATTTCTACGGTGTTAAGTGCACGACAGATCCTTTCTGGTTTGCGCCTTTACCGGCACTTGCGATGATCCCTGAACTTGACGAGGCATTCATCAACCAGGTTTACAAGGAACCAGTGTCCTCCAACACAATGCTTTCCTTGGAACGTGCGACCAACACCAGGGAACAGCCAAGAACGAAAGGTTTGCCTCGTCCTGACCTTTCCGTCCCGAGAAACGCATGGCTTTTTGTTACTTTGAAGGAGGGCACACAGCTCCCGGCCATCGTTCAGGATGGAGATTACAAGCGTATCGATCCCGTCAATTCCTTCTCAGACAAATTCCCGCCGACATTTTTCATCCATGGCGATGCAGATGGTATGATCATCCCTAAGTTCAGTATCGAAGCCAAGAAGAAGCTTGAAAACCTCGGTGTTGAGACTAGAATTTTGCTACCCGAGGGGAAGTCTCACGGCTTTGATGTTGGAGTCGAGCTCGATGAACCGGAGTTTGCTCCTATTCGTGCAGGTCTTGATTTCTTGATCGAACACGCAAAGCTCTAGGTTTCGGCTCTTTGAAATATTACGTTACTTTCAACTTCCTAGACATTATTAAGTGCAATTTCAATTTTATGGCAGACATAAATAGTTCGAGATGCTACCAATGATGGTATCCATTCGTAAAATACTAGTCAGCATATATTCCCTGCAAGTCGAAGTTCCGACACATCCTCGGCATCGCTAAGCTTACGGTCAATACCTACTTGCGTTAATGTACTAGGCAGGTATACACGAGCTGCCTTTACAGTGGGTGGTAGGTTCGATGCATTCGTAGCTGCATTCAGTGTAGACTTTACTATATAGTACCGCGGAACTTGTCATGGGCTGATATTCTTAGCCTTCGAACCTATATGGACTTGCTACTTAGTCCAAACTTTAATCGGAGACCCAACTATACGTATAGAATGTTGGGCACGAACCAATGGCCAAGCTCGACCTGGAGAAAGCGACTACAAAGTATGCGATTGCACGGCCAATTACAGTCACTAGCGAAATCTGCTTCCTCCCTAATGACTGCTTTTCATTTCTCGTAGCCCACCGCCAAGGCCTTAGCGTAGATCATTCATTGATCCAGCCACTCTAAGTTGAGAGCCGTTAGATAATGTACCATTTATGGTACTGTATCTCTCTTCGTAATATTGCATCTAGTACAGTGAATATTAGGCGGTAAACGTTGAGGGCCACGGTATTAGTTTAGGAGCTGAGTACGGCGGCCTTCAACTAAGCGCGGTCTAATCAATGGAAGATCTGCGCTAAGGTCTTGGCGGTGGGCTCCGAGAAATGAAAAGCAGTCATTAGGGAGGAAGCAGATTTCGCTAGTGAGTGTACAGTAATGGAAGTAGTGTAGTATCTCGGATTTATAAGTCCGTTGAATCTATCATAGAGAACCAATCGATTCAATCTGACCTTGCAATGCCACAATAGCTACCAAGCTTAAATTGACATTACCAGCAAGAATAGTGATATCACATGCCGACAAATTTTAGCATTAGATCTGAATCGGCAGCTTGAACAGACGAATCGCATTCTCCCTGCCCACCAATTCCTTGTGATTATCTTTCAATTCCACCGTCCGCCACCATTCCTGGGCTTCCTTGACCTGATCATATGGTGTATCTATATTTTTGTTAGGACGTTTGTAGGGAGGACTTGAGCAAGTTACGCACCTATCGAGTACAAACATCTTTCTACTCCAAGCTCCTGGATGCAGAATTCTAATCCAGGAGTCGAAAAGTTGCCCGATGTAGTGATGAAGATATTCTTCCGGAAGTAGTAGCTGTAGTCATGCAGTGAGGGACGAGTGGCCTTCTTGCTTGGCTTGTTGTACCAGTGCGAGGCTCGCCAGAGGTTGAGTGGAATGTTCTCGCCGAGGTGTCCGGCAACAAGCTTCAAGCGAGGAAAGCGGTCAAAAACACCGGACGCGCAAAGGGCATAGATGTGGAAAGACAGATCCAAGTGGAATTGAACCCCTGCCCCAAGTAAATGTAAACGAGCTCCATATTTCGTGTCGGGCTGAAGATCGGAGAGTTCTGGATAGCGAGGATGCAAGTAAATTGGTACGTCGAGCTCCTCTGCCACTCTCCAAAACGGGTCATAGGCTGCCGTATCATAGTATTGTTTCTCGCCGACCTTCACGCTTTGAAAATCGTTGATCATCGCTCCAAAGAATCCCAATTCCTGAACGGCTCTTTTCAATTCCCCGGCTGCCTGGGCAGGATCATGCATTGAGATAGCTGCCATCCCGCCAAAGTGAGAGGGCCTCTTGGCGACCTCGCCAGCAAGCCAGTTGTTGAATCCAGTGGCAGTTTGTTCCGACAGCTTCTGGTCCGCGATTCCCTGGCAGCCAGGCGCAGTCAATGAGAGCAGCATATACTCTACACCTTCCGCGTCCATAGAAGCCAATCGCCCGTCGATGTCCAGCAAGCGTTGCTTGTGGGATTCTACCGCAGCTTTACCCGCATCTCCTGGAGTCAGGATATGCTGAGATTCACTTAGAATCCAAGTTGTTGCCGGGTCAATAACCGCCTCTTCCAGAGCGACGGTACCTCTGAAAGTCATGATAGAAATAGAGTAAGGGAAGTGGTTGGGTAGTCTAGGGGGAAAATGTGGAAATGCCGAACATTAAATTGCAATGAAGAGTCCTTAGCAAAGGATCGGCTCTATCTATCTGAAATCCCGACCATCCAGAAGGTGACCCCAGCTCTTGCAGGAACCCGCGAAAGTGGACTGCGGGCGCGGCCCCCGAAATTATCCACCTCTCCGGCCTTCTCCAACAAGAAGCTGCTGACATTTCCTTCATTCCCGCACTGGTTACAGGCGAGGCGGACACCGTTGAAATACCAATTCTTCGAATCACTGCGTTCCGCGATTCAACACAGGGTCTCGGGCCACCACCGGTCAGGTTCGGTTTTCTTGCTCGGTTACTCTCACACTTCTTCAACCTCCGGCATGGGCTAACAGGGAAATGCATTAGGGCAAAGCCCACGAGAGGATCTCACCTTGACTGGGTGACGAGAGCGGGGTATTAGTGAGACGGGGTATTGGTTCCGGTGCAGTTCGTTGAGGGCCTGAGTAGCGGCGTGAAGGGCGGAAGCCGCATAGTGTACGGAGGAAGGTTAATTGCCGAAGGCCGGAAGCCGGCTCAAGTGGTCTGGTAGGTGATCCATGGATCTCTTCTGGCAGCTTATTTCAAGGAACGGCTATTCAACCACACCGATCAAATTCGCGACTCAATAGCTATCAGTATCGTGAACACTAGATTTGGCGAAGAGAACGTCTCTCCAATAGCAAGTTCGTTCCTTCCCGCCAACCGTAGTTCTCCCATTACTCATTCTCCGTAACGTCAATGTGAGTAGTCTTGAACTCCCGGGCCGGAACCTTACGGTTGAATAAGATATCAATCTCACGGTAAGAACGGCCCTTCAGCTCAGGCAAGAAGAAGTAAGCCAGAATCCAGCAGACAATAGCGGTACATCCCCAAACATAGCCACATTTTCCAGCCAAGTTCCATCCAGTCTGGTTGAGCATCTGCGATGCGAGGAAGATCATAGGGATCTCCGCGACGTAGTAGGCGGCACGACCAACACCTGTGCTCAACGCACGAAGACGGACAGCAGAGGTTTCGGCAATAATGGTGTAGGTAATAGGACCCATTGCACCGGCGTAGACGAAGGAGATAATGACGCCGAGACAGGCCTGGGCGTAGCTAGTCGCGTGCGTTTGATGAACCGAGCCGCAGATAGCGAGAATGAAGAGGAAGGCGACATTGATAGCTGTGCCCCATAGATAGATGGTACGGCGACCGAACCAGGCGGTTAACGGCCACGAAAGAGCGTTGGCGACGAACTGGAGGCAGGAGTTTATCAGGTTGAGCTGGAAGGCTTTGTCCGTGGAGATGCCGGCTTGCTCAAAGAAGTATGTCGCTTGGTTTGCGATCAGGTTTCCAGCAAAGTTCTGAGATGCGTACATGCCAGTAATAATCAAAGTTCTTCTCAGGTCAGTCCCCTTGAACAGGTCCAGAAGGGATGGGGCACCACCCATCTCAGCTTCAAGCTCGACGGTTCGTTCGATCATGGCTAGAGTCTTCTGAGATTTGTCACCCTTGTCACCTAGGCGTTCAATAGATCTAAGAGCTTCTGCTTTGCGTCCACGACGAATGAGCCACCAAGGTGATTCGGGCGCGAGGAAGACGAGGATCATAAGTGGTGTCTATATATTTATAACAGATTAGAAGGTACTCAAACAAGAAGAAATGGAAGGGGATACAACTCACGGGGAACAGCCACTGCAAGGCAGTCGGGACTCGCCAGGACCATTGGTCCATACGGTTGTTGTATGCATAACTAGCACCGGCAACAATGATGCCGCCAATAGACCAACTCATTTGCAAAGTGGCAGTTGTGGCACCACGTAGGGAGAGTGGCACTACCTCACTGGCATAGGCCGGAGAGTTGGCAATGAAGAAGCCCCAGGGGATACCCTCCAACAATTGTCCCGCAACCATCATCCCGAGAGAGGTAGAGAAGAAGGAGATAAAAATGGTCGCATTCATCATGATAAGCGCAAAGATAGTCGTCCAGCGGTACCCAAAGCGATTGGTAATCGGACCAGCTGCAAAGACACCAAGAAAGGCACCGCATTGACCGGATTGGAAGAGGGCACTCTGCCACCGGGTTGGGATCGACCATTCCTTTGGACCAGTAGAGACACCAAACCGCTGCTTGTAATATGTCAGTGCAACGAAGTTGGTGTTCAGGAACATGTCGAAGGACTCCATGACAATGGTGAAGCAAAAGATAAAGGCCCATATGCAAGCCTTGGGATGGGTCTTGGCTGCCTCCCAGACACCCATCTGATGCTCTTGATTCTCTCCCTCAATGGCCTCATGCATGAGGTCCTTGTTGGTCAAGACTTCACTATGGTCGAGCTTCTCATTGTGTTGGACCTGGCCCTCGGTCTTTGTCTCCTCGATACCAGACGACATCTTGGAAAGTTCGCTCGGGACACGGGACAGGAGCTAACACAGACAAAAAGTCGTGAGCCTGTCAGTGGGAAGCAAAAGAATGCGGAGATGTGGAGAGCAAGGAATGGCGGGGAGATGTTTTATATCTCATGCATGATACACACGATGTGGAGAGTTTGAATGCAACTTCAGTTTACGGTTTCTTTGCGAGGTGCGCGTGATACGTGGACAAATTCTATCTGAGTAGATGGGGGCCAATCAAAGTCGACCGGGGGTACTACAGAACACGAGCACGGCGATCGTATGCATGAATTAGCCGAAGCTAAAAAACAGGCAAGGAGGACGGGGAAAAGGCAAAGTATCTTAGTAGCTGGAAGATAAAGTTCTGACCAAAATAAGGCTAGCCACCCGAGGGCGTTGCGAATCTGGGTGCATGGTGGCGTTTTGATGTGCTCCCGTGAGAGGAGGCCTGAGATGCGTTTCGATGATCGGGAGATTGACCAGAGGGAGACAACTGGTACGACCCAGAGTCACCAGTCGAATCAACATTGAGTGAGCTTCGGCGTCGGTGCTTCCCCCACGGGACTTTCTCTGGATTTGAAATGGGGTTCTGAGTTGGACCCCACAAAAGACGCGTGGATTGCTTCGGTTCGGTTATCAATGGGCTTCGTACCATTCTAACTGGATGAATTCACCGGGAGGCTTCACAGGCGGGTAGTAAATCTTGGAGACACGTCTGACCATCGGCCAGCAGCCTTGGGAAGGCAGGGGGGAAAGAAGCTTTCCAAGTCCGTAAAAAGCCTTACCGAGCCGGTCATGCGGGAGAGCCCGTTGCGGGGAAATGCTCTTTCGACTTGAAGCAAGCTAAGCTATGATTAGTTAACTCGCAGTTTTGATTAGTGGCAACGCTGCATCAACTATCCCTTTAGTAGTGGACTAGTCCGAGCGCTGTGCGAGGCTCTCGTGCACGGAGCCATCAGGACCAGGGGTGGCCAGGACAGGCCAACGGGAGCATGGCCTTTATGTCCTCGTGGCCGAGAGACAAAGTTCTGAGACTAAGTTTGGGAGGGACGTGTCTGTGTCCAGAAAAGCTGAGCGATCATTGATTCAGCTGTCGACTGCTTGACCGCCGCGGAAGGAAAGAGGATCAAGCACCCGTATGAAAGACAAATCGAGCTTGCAAATAAATTTCTTGGCTGAAGGCCACGCGGGTCAAGTCGATGCCATCGCTTGGGCTTCTGGTCTTGTCTAGAAGTTAGAGCAGCAGTTGTTAAGACAAAGTGTGGCTTGAGGAATGAATGTTTAGTGTGCGCGAGGCGTCGAAGAGGAAAAGGGCGAGCTGTAATTGGCTAGAGGGAAAGAGGCGTGCCAAGCTTGCTTTGTGGTAGAGCCACCTGAAAGAGCGGGTGGTGGAGGACGGCAATTTGAGTAGAAAAAGGGAGTTGCCCAAAACATTTAACAAGGACAGCACTAGGAGTACCGTACTAGATCATCGCCATCTGGGAACTTGTGTAAGTGCCGTATCTATGATCCGAGAAGTGCTATTACACTAGACATGGGGTCTTTCTTAGATTGGTACTAAGACTCTTCAGGTAGCTATAAAACCCCCCGGCTTAGTAAACAGCCACGCTTAGGTCTTCCACCTTGTGCCACCCCTATCGTATATTGAAGATTATCTCGGTCATCTATCATTATTCGTTCGTCGACGGAAATTTTCTGTCCGGCTTGGTGGGTTTCTTATGCGGGTGTTTCCAGTTCCATCATTTGCCTCCTGCCTTTTTGGCCCGTCTAACCCTCCATCGGCTCGTTTTCTTTCCTTTTCCCTTTGTTCTACCAAACAGATGAACCCATGTTTTTTTGGCATTCCAGGCGTCCTGTTTGTACGAATACTTGTTTCCCCCAATTTTCAATATAAGCTTCTATAATTAACGTGGGCCTTGTATATAACCTTAATCCTGAGCTCTGCCCCGTCCCTATTTGCTATGACAGCCTGTCCATCATGTTCAGGGGCCCTCAAGGACATCTACACCTCAGCCATCGGGGTCAGAAGTTTCAAGATAGTACCTGTCTATCGTGGCAAACTGTTCAGGCGACAGTCGGTATTCTCATATGAGCCTAGCGCTAATATTCGAAGAATTACAAGATAGTGGAAAGATACCTAGGCGAGTTATATGAGCCCAGTACTAAATATCAAGAAACCAAATGAAAAGTCTGGAAGGAACTGGGTCAAGGTAGGTGGAGGTCAAATGTTGGCCGTGCAATTTTCCGGCAATCATTCTTACGTTAACTCGATGGCCCGGTAGGCGGTGGTCCAGATGGTCGACTTAATGGAGTCCAGCATATTGCTCTTGTGTTTGTTTCTACCACACTCGACCCGCGCCCCCAAACTCCACATCTCTTGACACATCCTTTGACACAGAACGTCATCAACATCATGGCTATCCGCTATATATCTGTAATCACGTTTTTGAGAGGGACTGGGAAAGGTCAAATGGCATCAATAGTCCCCGGAAGCTCTTATACGGTTCAGATATCTCTGTTCCGCCACCCAATGCGCGTTATTGGTTCGAGTCCAGAGTACTAGCCTTGCGGGCACCCGTCATGATTTATTGTTGCTCGAAAGTACGACTTGTCTAAAGAGGAGGTCCCGAAAGGTTCCGTGGTAGTATTCGGAAGACAGTGAATCTCTACAGATTTGCAGGGAAATGAGTGGAGGTCAAGGAGTGGCGATTAGTGAGCTAAGCTAGATAGGACCTACAACTGATCAAGGCTCTACTGAACAAGCCCGACAGGAGGTAAAATCAATCCCGAAAGCAAATGGCATCATAGCCAAAGAGCGAAAAGACATTTATCACGCGAAGCTTGCAAAAAGTAACGACAGTAAATAGGCGAAAAGACGTGTATGTAGGCACATCATACAACGAGCTGCCAAATCTACTCGTCATCCTCGCTATCCTCCTCATCCTCGCTCTCGGCATTCTCCAGCCACTCCAGGAAAGGCTGAGCAGCCTTGCGGATCTTCTTGCTGGTAGAAATGTCGACGTACTTCTTGCTAGCCTTGGCACCCCAGGCCTTCAGGGTTTCCTCAGACACGAGGTCGTTCTGGTAGTAGGCGAGCAGAATGGCAGGCACCTGGGCGACCAGAGCGGGGCGGTCCTGGCCGACGAAACGCTCAGTGCCACCAAGGAAAGCCTTCTCGTGGCGCTCGGAGGTGATCATCTTCTTGAGGAGTCCGGCGCGGTCCTCGACCTGCTTGACGATCTTGTCGTCGAAGATGCTCTGGGCCAGCACGGCGACGGTCTTGTGCTTGGACTCGATGCCAAACTCCTTGGCCTTCTTGTAGATGTCGATGTCGCTGACCTTGGTCACGCCACCCTTCCCCTCGGCAGTCTCTATGATCCAGCTGCCGAGCTGCTCGTAAGCCGAGGGGCCATCGGCCTCATCGTCATCGTCCTCCAGAACCAGGGAGCGCTTCAGGTCCGAGGGAAGCTCCTTGGCGCGGGCCTTGACTGCCTCCTCGGAGACGTCGAAAGCCCAATCGTCATCCTTGATCTCGGTCTCCACCTCGATGGTCTCGGCCTCGGACTTGATGCGACGGGTGAGCTCATCGTCGCTGCCGGCATCCTCGGCATCGCCGTTCTCATCACCGTTCTCGGAATTGTTGCTGTCACCGGGGCTAGCATCCTGGTCGCCGTTGGCAGCAGATTTCTCCTTCTTCTGCTCACGGCGAGCCTTCTTGTCCTTCTTCTCCTTCTTGCCACCCTTGGGATTGTTGCGGACGATGAAGGTGCTCAGCTTGAGACGGGGGTCAACATCGGTGCGCTGACCGCAGGCCTTGCAATCCAGGGTAATCTTGTCATCCTTGATGTTCACGTCGGTCTCGGGGTTCTTGCACTTCTTGCAGAGCACGAACTTGGAGATGAACCCATCGAGGTAATCCTGGAGTTTGGGAGCGTCGTGGGCGCCGTTGATGATCCAACGGTCATCGGAGGGCTTGGCGTTGGCCTGGGCACCGAGTTCGAAACCGAAGTACTTGATGACGTACGCAGGGGGACGGCTGAGGGAGTGGGCGACGGAGGCGAGGTTGACAATGACGGTCTTGATACCGTTGCCCTTGCCCTCAATCTTGGACTGGATTTTCTCCATCTTGTAGCGGTAGAAGGGATCGGTAACATCCCGGCGAATGTTGACGGTAGCCATGGTGACGGTTGGAGGTGGTTAAGAAGATGATTTCTCACGAGAACGGAACGGCGGGCTTGCGAAAAGGAATTGTGACGGGAATTTTGTCGACTGAACAAGACATGCGTGTCGAGTTCAGGTTTTGGGGGTTAATTTTTTGGATGGGGAGGTGACAGTTTCTGTTGTGACGACAAAGTCACAGTGGTAACAGGCAGTCCAGGGAAGAGATTTCAGCCACAGGACCGGAGGTGTATGCTACAAGGTTTCGGCGCGCGAAACGTTTGCAGCTTGAGCGGCAGGTGGTGTTCGAAATGTTGCACGGAGGACGAATACATGAACAAGTCGGCGGTGGACTTCCTGGATTGATTTCTCTTGGGGGCGAGAACGACCAGAGGTGTTCTTAAGAGGGAATCCGAGTTAGAGACCGGAGACCCTGTGGTGGGAAGCTTGAAGAAAGTGATGATGGCAGGAGCCAAACTAACCAGATGGGAGTGAAGAGACGTGAAACTGAAGCGTAGAACTGTGCAAAACAGCCGACGCAGATGTGAATGGCTTCGCAGTGGGAGGCCAGAGAGATGAGTGAGGAGATGAGTTTGGAAATGGGCAAAAGTGGGCAAAGAGGAGAGGATTTTAAGCGGGTCTTGCTTATGTCATCCGGCACGTGTCTCGGATTTAGCAGGCCGTTGAAATGCAGTCGGCCCCGAGTATTTGCCAGTGCTACAACTACGACTACTCATAGGTTCCTAGCATACTATTTTAGAAACTATAATCCTCTTCGGAGCTCTTAATGGAACTTGCTATATGCTTTTGCTTCTTTTAAACTTAAAATTTGTGTCAATACTCCCAGTGCTGTGCGATGAGGTCAACCTCCGATGCCCCACCAGAAATCCCAACCGCGGGATCGCCTGGTTCGTGATCGGGCCTCCGGCCAACCGGACTTACTTTTCGTACCTGGCATTTCTAGCTTTTTACCCTTGAAAGGATCAATTCATCGCTCTCTTTGTCAATTGCACATATATCCTACTGTCCGGATCGCCAACGGCTAGTACTTAACCGGGATTAGGCTTCCCCAGAAAACCCCCATCATGCCAGTCGACCTATCATTGTACCTAGTCACAGACTCAACACCAGCTATCCTCAAGGGTCGTGACTTGTGCACTGTTGTGGAGGAAGCCCTCAAGGGAGGTATGACAGGAGAACTCTCTCAACTACCCGAGAACGGTTGGATCATGCTGATTCCCGAGACTAGGTGTCACCATCGTGCAATACCGGGACAAAACCAGCGATACTGGTGTTCTCATTGCCACGGCCAGCAAACTTCATCAAGTCACCCAAAAGTATGGCGTGCCACTTCTGATCAACGACCGAGTGGATATTGCCCTCGCTGTCGGTGCAGAGGGTGTGCATCTGGGTCAAGATGATATGGGTCAGTCCTTAGCTCCTCTTCTACCCCGCTAACTTTTTCCGCGGGATATTAACAACTTCGGAATACAGTGTTTGAAGCAGCCAAGAAGCTTTTGCCCAAGGGTTCTATTATTGGAATTAGTACCTCCACGGTGGAAGAGGCTAAGAAGGCTATTGCCGATGGAGCTGACTATTTGGGTATCGGAGCGATGTTCGCCACTCCGACGTAAGTGTCTGCCTGTGATATAATTCTCGCGGAAACGACTCGTTGACAATGACATAGCAAGACAAACACCAAGTCATTCCTCGGTCCGGCAGGAACACAGGCACTCTTGAGTGCGATCAGCGATTCATCAGTTGGAACCGTCTCCATCGGCGGTATCAACCACTCCAACGTGCAGCGTGTGCTCTACCAGTCCAAATCTCCCGCTAAGGGACTGGATGGAGTCGCCATCGTCAGTGCAATCATCGGTGCCGAGGACCCCAAGGCATCAGCAGAGAAGTTCTCCAATCTGATCAAGAATACCCCCCTGTTTGCCTTGTCTCCTCAGCCTTCCCGGGAAAATGAGGTCGAGGCCCTGCTGCAAGACGTGCCAGCTATCGTGCGCAAGATGACTGAAGCACACCCGCTGGTGCACAATATGATCAACTTTGTCGTGGCTAACTTTGTCGCCAATGTTGCTCTCTCAATGTACGTCCCCTTCTTCAAACTTGAAGGTTGTGATACTAACCGCTACCAGTGGTGCATCGCCTATCATGGCTCCTTATGGTGACGAAGCCAAGGACCTGTGCAAGCTCGACGGTGCCCTGCTAATTAACATGGGCACATTGACCAGCGAGAGTGTCTCGAACTATCAGAAGGCCGTGCAAGCCTACAATGAACGTGGCAACCCCGTGATCTACGACCCGGTCGGCGCCGCTGCTACCGAGATCCGTCGCAACGCCGTCTCGACCCTGATGGCTGGTGGATACTTTGATCTGGTCAAGGGAAACGAGGGTGAAATTCGACAGGTTTGGGGAAGTAGTGCGGTGCAGCAACGCGGTGTCGATAGTGGACCTAGCACGTTGGATGGTCAACAGAAGGCTAAGCTCGCGCGCGACTTGGCCCGACGAGAGCGTGAGTCTACTTAAAAGTTCTCTGAGAGGCCGAGCATATAGACTAATCATTCACAGGTAACGTGGTCCTGTTGACTGGTGCCGTCGACTATCTCAGCGACGGTGAGCGCGTCATTGCTGTGGAGAACGGCCACCCATATCTTGGCCAAGTCACAGGCGTACGTTCAGCATCCCGTACCCATTCCATATCGGGGAATCTTACTGACCATTCCTCTTTCCAGACTGGCTGTGCTGTTGGCTCTATTTCAGGCTGCTTCCTGGCCGCTCATCGCTCGGACAGGCTCCTCGCCGTCCTATCGGGTCTCTTGATGTACGAGATCGCTTCCGAGAACGCTGCTGCCAAGGATTACGTCCGCGGTCCGGGGAGCTTTGTGCCTGCTTTCCTGGATGAGCTGTACGCAATTCGGATGGCTGCGGCGAAGGGTGATGATGGCTGGTTTGTGGGTCGTGCTAAGGTGCACGAGGTGAAGCTGTAGATATTTAGATGTGGGTAAATTTTGTATACGACTAGATGAAAATGGGCTGTATTTGAATATTTGGCTTTTGAAAATACTTCGTTATTTTGGGTATACTACACATTCGGCTGCTGCTATGAGCTGGACGTGATGAAGTGCAATGCCGAGAGTCGGTAATATCCAATGGGGATGTGTTCAGAAAGATTGTTCAAACTTGCGTCTGAATCGTAAGCATTGACAAAGACTGCTGGCCTCGTGGATGTAACTTTATATCTAAAATTAATGCACAGTATGGCTGAGCAAGAGCTTTGGGGGCCTAACCCGGAACGGTCAGATTGAACCAGTCAATCATCGGCCCCCAAACACCCGGATCGCGATTCATCCAGTAGAAACTAGCGATCTACGACGCGTATACTCGATCAAGATCTTAACTGAGATTTGTCTCAGTGGAATGTCGGCAATTAAGTTAGGCGCCCGGCAAAGGCGTCCACTTTCTTCATGCTGTCCACGGTTCCTGCGCCAATTTGAGAGATTGATTTGTTGAGATATTGGGACCCTATGTAACTCAGGCTCAGGTCATCGGCATAGCCGCGAGTAATCTACCTGTCACCGCTGCCCAGGTTCTAAAATGAGCAATTTAAGATCATCCAAAGACAGGTCTTGGAATATAAAAGAGCTTCGAGACACCCTCCATGTCCTCCCTCATCAATCTCCATCTGAATATTCTACAATCCAAACTCCTATCTTGCCATCCAACCAAAAGCACCATTTTCAACTACTCAAAATGAAGTTCAACACCGTCGCTACTACTCTGGCCGCTGCCACCACTGCCATCGCGGCTCCCAACACTGCCAAGCGCGATCTCTACCCCATCTCTCTGACCGATCTCGCCGCAAGCTACTACGACCAAATCAAGCCCGAGACCACCATCGTCAACTTCAAATTGAGCGACCCCAACACTAAGATTGATACCACCTGCGATGCAAACTGGTAAGCATCTCAATTGACTACCTCTCCTCACTTTCGTTTCAAAATCACCAAGGAAACCACGAACTGACTCTCTGCCCTACAGGTCTGTCGGCGAAGCCGCAACCTTGAAGTTCAACTGCTCCGACCCAACCTACCAAGTGAGCTTCCCGAACGGCATCTACAATGTCGAGGACTTTATGATTGAGATCTCGCGCCCTGATGGCTCCGAGTCTGGCAAGGCTCGTGCCTATGGCAATTCCTGGAAGTGCGAGAAACATGATGGATACCCATCGGAGACATGCAGCTGGGATGGTGTTTTCCATGTTGGTGTCAGCAAGTGATCTAGGATCATCCTTCTAGCAAAATCGGCGCTATCACTGTTTTAAAGCTTGTGTTTTATAGGGAGAGGAATTGGATAAATTGGTCGGTAGTCTGGACTGGGAATGTTGCTTATAATTGCAGCCTTTTCACATTGAATACTCTTTTTTTTATCTTGTCTCTTGTCTCAAGTGCTTAGCTCCCTCACCCATTTATGTTGGGGATGTAATCAAGGTATGGTGAAACTGTTGCCTCGGCCTTCCAATACTCAGGACCGGGCCTATTTGATCGTAGCTTCTTGCCTCTCTATTGTTTCAGAACCACACTGCTGCTCACTAATATTGCTAAGAGCAAATGCAACGAAGTAACATACTCTCGCTTTAATATGTTAAATCTCGTCTCACTCCGCGTTAGTCGATTTGACTAGTTTTTGAACGTATATGAGGGATGAATCACCTCACTACCTCCTGGCTGCACTATTTGAAATTTCTTCAAAATAAAGTCTCCGTCAGGCGGTTCCACCTGTCTACTTAATACGGTATTTCCTTTATCAGGTGGTGGCGTCTACCGGAAAGGTAGTATTCACGTAGGGCCTCTCCTAAAAACATAGTTCATCCATTCTCATTTGGTCAGCAGTCTATATAAAACCAAAACACGCCCTTGAAACTCCCATGGTCCCAACACCATCCCCACAACAATCACGATTTATAGTAGATTGTATCGCACTTCAGCACCGCATGACTTGCCCACGTAGTTCCACAATTCTCAGTAAAATAATGATCATGATCCCAGCGAAAATAGATAAACGTATCGCTGGACAACGTGCCCTTCAGGGCCTTATCCTCGCAATTGTCATATGCCTCCCTCTGCGCTTTGCCCATAGGAGTATCCACATCTTTGGAGTCGGTTGACATCTCGCAGATGCTTTTGAACGGGGCGGGGTCATCGTAGCAAGATTCATAGTCACACGACTAAGTCCTGGGCAACGACGTGCAAATTCTTGAACTCGAGAAACTAACTTGGTTTGAAACAACACTGCGCCATCAGGCGTCCTCTCTCTTGACTTTTATGTCATTAATTTGAAGGTTGAGATCAATACGAGCAAAAGCTATCCCTTGTATAGAAACGTATTGGCTGAAAGAAGGGCCAGGAGCACGGGTGTTCGATTGCTGCGCCATCTGTAGATCTCAATCCAGCAGGGAATACATTCCATATTCATGCTCTACCACGCGCTGGATCTCTTAGCCTAAACGGATCAGGTACAAGCCCAACCAGCATATTTTTAGTAAAAAGGGACCATAAAATAGAGTCAGGATTAGATTTCAGCCAAATTTGCCGTTTTCTAGCACTGTGATGTAATTGCAGAAGTCCCTGACTTCAAAGTCTAAATAAACTCCCGCTTTCCCAAAGGAAGCAATAGTTTATCAGCAACGCGTGGATAGCAGCTTTCCGAGATAAAAGTCTCGCCATTATGACCGAAGAGGACTAGAACTCATCCGGAAATCTCTTAAACCCTGCCAGACTCATATACTCCTTCATTATTTGGATCATTCAAGTATAATTTTACCAGATAGTATATCAGGCCCTCTATTCCCTTCCCCTCGGCGAATTTCCCCGCACCTCCGAGTTCCCCGCCCGGCAATCGCCGCTCCCAGCTTCTTCTCTTCAACAACTACCCCCAAGAAGCTCCAAATCTACAATTCACCCTTCAAGCACTCTCAATCTATCATCATGTCCGTCGTTTCTCGCGCCAGTCGTATCCGTCAGTCCTCCCCGCAACCCATTGGACTGTAACAAGCTGACACCTACTCAAGGGAACCCCGCATTGTTGTGCGTCACACCATAACCAGCCTCAATCTCACCCGTCACCATCGAGACCAACCCAACTAACATAATCTACAACACAGCATCTGCGATATCCAGGACAAATTCCGCAATGCAATCTACGAATTCCCCAAGCTGTACATGCCCCCGGCTCCCCCTCCCTCCTGTCCTACACCCGCTTCCAAGCCCACATGGATCAACACATGGATCAACACATGGATCAACACATGGATCAACATCTCCCCAATTCCCATCCCTACTAACTAATCACCACCATGCTCAGCGTCTCGACAGCCGACAAACTCGTCCGCGCCGCCAAAATCCTCTCAATCCCAACCTACATCTCAACCCAATCCCGCGCCAAACTCGGCCCCACAGTCCCCGAACTAACCACCAACCTAACGGGCCCGCACATCCGCGCCGACATCGACAAAACCCTCTTCTCAATGATAACCCCGGAAATCGAGAAACAACTGCCCGTGAAAGCGCAGGACCCGCTGGACGTTATCCTGGTCGGCATCGAGACGCATATCTGCGTTACGCAGACGACGCTGGACCTGCTGGAGCGGGGACATAGAGTGTATGTCATTGTGGATGGGGTTAGTAGTATTAATGCTGGGGAGAGGGGAATTGCGTTGGCGAGGTTGAGGGATGCGGGGGCTACGATTACGAGTAGTGAGAGTGTGCTGTTTGAGATTTTGGGGGATGCGGGCCATGAGGCGTTTAAGGAGATTAGTGGGTTGGTGAAGGAGACTAAGGAGGAGACAAAGGGGGCTTTGGGGGTGTTTTCGAAGATTTAAAGTGTTTATCGCAAGGTCTAGTTAGGTTGGTGGTGAGTGGGTTACAGATTTGGAGTATAGAAGCACGTTACTGAATGCACAAATGTGAAGGTAATGAGATGTCAGATCATGTTTTGAAGTGACATATCATGTCATAAAACTAGCACCGCTAGTCGGTGCAGAACTAAAAAGAAGAAAAGGAAAAAAACGCCTCCCCAGAAATTGGAAACCAAGCGCCCGCTCCATATCCCGAAACAGAACCTCCTTTTGATCGGGAGGTAAAAAAAAAATCGCTTGCTAAAACCTGAAGAAATGAAACAGAACAGGTTTTGGCCAGACGCACACCGCTTCACTTGGCCTTGCCGGCCGAGTTGAGCCACCCAAAGGCCGAGGCACCACCGATTGGGTTTGGTGCCAATGCCTTGACCGAGCCGTCCGAGGACGAGCGAACGGCAGCCTGGCCAGACTGTGGATGGACGGGCCCAGCAGTCGCAGTGGAAGGGGTCGCAGCCTCAGAGCTCACACGGGTCATCGACTTGGTCGGCTTGAGGACCGTCATGGTGCGAGGCTTGGCCTTGCTCGTGTTGCTCGATTCGGGTTTCGGCTCGCGACGCCACGATCTCCAAGCACCAACGACCTCGGGCTTGGACGAGCTTGGCTCCGCTGCAGTCAGAGCTGGGGCATTCACAGCCCCCTCGGCGGTCGAGCTAGCTTCCTGCTGACGAGGCTTCTTCGCGTCGTCTGCTTCTCCGACAGAAACGCGAGTCGAGGCAGGCGCCGAGATGGTCTGCTTCGGAGTGCGAGCCGGCTCACCGATCACTCCGACGGAACCCTGCACATTGACGAGGGAACTCTGGGGGTACTCGGGATGGGCGGTATCGGGGACGGTATGCAGGAACTTGAAGACCCAGTCCTTCTCGGGCCGCACGAGGGGGATGGAGACGCGGTTGCGGTCATCATCAACCAGCAAGAGCTTATCCTGAGAGAATAAGATATCTGCGTTGTGAGAGCGCAGCACATCACTTCCCAGGATGATCTGAATGGTTTCATCCGCCGGGTTTGTCTCGCGCACGAGGAAGTGGAGAGTCAGGGATGGAAGCTGCGGGGTGGGACTAACAGAGCGGGACGACGACTGATGGACGCTGGCTTCGGGCAGCCACACGGTCGACTTGAGCGTAACAAGACCATCATCATCATGAACTACCTGGTCCTCCAAGCCGAGCCGACGGACCATGCATGAACCGATAGTCGAGACGACAGAGCCCGAGCAAACCGCAGCATACAGGAGGGAGTCGTTTGTGTAGTTGGTCGTCAGCCAGCACCGGATGACAGAAGGGACCGGGCCAAGCAGAAACAGGCCGGGAGGTGGAGTCAAAGGCGACTCGCCGAGACAGGAACTCATCATGCGGCTACTAGTGTCCAGACGCAGACTGTTGGTACGTGTTGAATGCAGCGACAATCCCGAGGAACTCTGTCGGCCATCAGATCGGTGGGATAAGGACCGCTCAATCATGGGGTGGCAGCTCATACCACTGCCGGTACGCAGTGGAAGCTCAGTACTGGACCGATTGGCCTGCCCGTAGGATCCGTGGATGGCGCTCTCATCGAAGCGGACGCTGTTGGCTCGCGAGGTACCCCGGCGCGGCTCATCCTCACCATCAAGACCGCCAATTGCAGAGCTAGTCACGGTCTGGTGATGTCCCTGATCGAAACCCCTAAACGTCTCGGGAGGGGAACTGAAGGTAGACTCTGCTCGAGATATAGAGTTAGCTCAGTCCCAGACGGTTCTATATATACAAACATGCAGGGATAGTTGCAGTATACGTACCTGTAGTGATAGGACCGCTGAGAGCAGTTGGAAATGGCGAGGGAGGAACGCCCCAGAGGTTCTTCATTTTCGCATCCTCGTCTCGAAATCGCTCTAGACCCGCAATTCTCGAGGCCTGCTCATCCTGTTTCAGGGACAGGTCCCTCAGATCATCGAAGACACGCCAGATGTCATCTCGGGAGGCAAAGGGCCACTGGGCATCCATTTCCAGGTCAGGTCAAAAGACGGAAGCGAGGATAGACCGGTAGCCAGGTAGCAGTGCTTGGTCCGATGGCTCACGGGGTCACGAAGTAGCCAACCGGTCAACTTTCGCGCAACAGCTGGAGAGCCCACAACGTTGCCAACCGGTTAATCTTGGCACTTAGAGCTAGAAGCAGAGCTTCGAGGATAAGGTCTACCGCTCATCAACCGAATCTATCTCAACGACACCTCAGCTTCAGGTTGACTCCTCCCACCTTCGGTATGTGTGACGGCCCACGGGGCCGTCCACGCGCTGTCAGGTTCAGAGTCTGGTGGTTGTAGCCAGGATCTTTGTGTGATAAGAGACGGTAAGGTAAGGAGCGGGTGGTGGATACGGAGCGGGGGTATTGTGAGCGATGGTAGGGAGGCGTGTGTAAAGAATGAGTATGAGTGAAGGGATCGTGGTCGGAATCGCGTGAAGTTGAGAAGAGGTGAAGGATGGAACGGGGAGGGAAACAAAAGAGACGCGTTCGAAGGTTGGTCGTTCAGAGGAGGCGATCCGGGAGAAGTGGGCAAGGTAAAGTGAGGTAGTTACAGCTAACGGCAGTGGCGAACGTGGGGGATAGGGATCGGTTGTGGTGGATGTCTCGAGATGAGGGTGGTGAATAGGAAGGTAAGAAGATGATGGATGTCGAAGTCAAGAAATCCAGGAGAATCGGTTCATGAGATTGGGGTGGTTGTTGAGAGACGAGATCTGGGGAGGGAAAGTAGTGGAGAGAGGGGGGCGTCATGCACGAGGGGGCAAGTTGATCTAGACCGCTTCCGTGAACTGCTCCACTAACGGTCGATAACAAACTTCCAGATAGGTAGAACAGTCTATTGGATTGGATTGGTGATAATTCAGATCCTTAGATGGACTAAAAGCCAAGAGGATAGCTTATCATATCTAGAATTCTAAGGTTCAATTCTAAGGTTCTTACCTTTCTTCTACTCGGCTTGGTCATGACTCTAGACTGCCGCCACGCTTGTATCTCGGAGAAATATATATGTCTACACTTTGCGGAGGCTTACCGGGGGGCCTCACCCCATGCAGGGAACACCATCGGTAAGACCTCGGGATCCTGCTCAGGCCAATTGGCCCGAATAACTTTAAGCACCTCCTCATAAACAATCCGGTATCCATCTCCTGTCAGGTGCAGTCCTAGATATACCGGGTTAGTCCAGTCCTCGATTAATGTGAAACAAGAAGAAGTTCTCACTCACCATCCGTGAACAACTTGCTAAACTGCTCATTGTTAGGCGCATCCCGGGATCCAATCAGTGGCTGACCCTCCTGCCATCCCACAGTCGACACACATGCGGACCAGACATCAGCCACGGGGATGTTCAGCGAGGCCCCGACTTCCTTGGCAGCTTCGGCATAGACCTTGGTCAAATGGGCTGTCCGGCTGGGGTGGGGAGTATCCTTGGCAACATCAAAGGCTTCCAACTGGTATTCGTTGATAGGCGGGGGAGTGATGATGATGATATAGGGATTCTGAGCCCGGGTGGCAGGGTGCTGGATGAGTTTTTGGAGGTTCTCTTTGTAGGTTGCGAGAGGGACGTGCTGTACGTGGGTGGGTACACAGGCATCGTTTGCTCCAAAGAAGATGGCCTAGACGATCTTGTTAGCGATTGTGGAAATGGTAGTATTCACAGGTGCTAGAAGATCCCACCATCAGCCGGACATTGGCGATCTGAGGAGAGGGGAACACCTTGTCGAAGATTTTGATGGCATGAGCGGTGGTATATCCTCTGTGGTCATGCAGGTTAGTTGATAGAGTTTCAACACTACTCATGGCAGTTGTCTCTGCTCACCCAAAGCCCCGGTTAATCACATCCAGCCGGCGGCTATAGGCTATTCAACAAATCAGCAGTGTTAAACCAATACCATCTAGGACCATTGCAGTGTGAAAACATACCATGCTGTAACCCTGCACCAAAGGCGAACCCAAGACTCTGATCCGAGGACATCTCGGTGATGGAGTCTCCGAAGAGGATGAACTGGTCATATGGTCGGCCAGCACCCTCTTCTTGGGTAGTAATGCCCGTCATGATGAAGCCTGGGGGGAGAGTCGAAGAGATGGAGTGATCAGGGGTATTCTACCTCAGCAGCCAGAGAGATTGAACCAAAGAAAAAAATTGGCAGGGATTGGTTCCTTTTAAAGCGAGGATGGTGGGGTTGACGTTGATGGAAGTGGGGGGCCAACAATGTTGGTGGTTCCTGCGCGACGAGCTTATCGGCCACGCGATGGTTCGGTGGTTCTGTGTTTCTCCACCAATGGCTGACCGGATCCTTCCATTCAACCGGATGTTAACCAAGCAGGGAGTTTTGTAGTTGAGACTGACACAAATCTACGAGCTTTAGGGTCGTTTTTACATGATTTAGTATATATACATACTACCCTTTGCTTAGCTCCAGGCTAGTGGCAAATCGTGTCTAATCGCTCAATGCCTGTCGCCAATGAAGAGGAGCCAGCAGCCCAGCCAATAATAATAACACACAATCGGCGGAGCTGCAAAGCTCCTTCTCCTTCTCCTTCATAGAACGTGAGATCGTATGCAACTTTGCATCTCCTGCAGGTTGATATCATCAAAAACCGGGCCGTTGAGCTGCCGATCGGGGTACTGAGCCTGAGCGGCCCCAGGAGACCACAACAACCATACCCTGGTTCAGCCACAGTCATCGTTTGTTGAGTCTGACATGACACACCCGCAATATACCATTGTTAAGGCCCGAGCCAGCTTGCATGATTGGGCCCCCGAAATGGCTTTTTTGGACCCTCAATACCTTTGGTCGTCCAGTGCCAAGAGATCATCCCCCCATAGATCGGCCCCGGGCGGAGACATCAGCCATCGGGGACAAGGATGACAGCTGGGCGTATGGAGTATATCGAGACTGGCGTGGCACGGGCATCAATGTTTCAGAAGGATGAATTTTCACTCGCCGCGTCGAGTCATAGCATGTGGGCCGCTCAAGCCGGGATGAACTCGTGAATTGGTACTTTGTGTGCCCTCGAACCCGAGTCCAGTATGTCTTAGATGACAGGCAGCATCCTACCCTTCGAAGGTCAGTCGTTGATATTCAAAGGAACAGTCAGATGCGTGTTCAAAATGATGGAAATGGATGGAGCCCGCACTGCCCTCTTCAACGCCCCAAACTACCGCGAGACCCTCTCATCTGCTCATCTGCTCTCCATCCGAGCTCGGGCACTGGGGACTGATCTCCCGCCCCGAACTATGATTTGTCCTGCCTGACGGAACGACGCTCCCGGACAACCTTGCTAGAACAGGCCGCGTTGAAACTAGCCTTGAAGAGCAAAAAGGTCAGAGAGGAAATGCGAGGCCATACGTCTTCAGACAGCTGATCGGCGGGAAGCGCGGGGATGAAAGTAACGGCGAGAGGCAAATTGGAGAGCGGACCCTCGATGAAGCTTCGAATGAGAGGGCGAGTATTCGAAAGGGCGGAATGTCCAGCGATGCGTTTAATATAAGCTGCATGGGAATTGTCTTGACAGCCGTTCAAACATGCCATTGATGGGAATCTGAATAATCACTTAATGTGGAGGACAGTCAGACGGTGGAGTCCACGCTCACCTGACGCTGTCCAGTCGATCATCCGCCCTCTCCCACTTTCTTCTTCGTCCTTGCATTACTCTTTGCTCGGTCTCGTCTTGACTCATTCTGTTAATGGTTTCTGCTTCTTTTGATCTATCATTCAAGGGAAGTATGCTTGCCGGTGAGTAAACACCCCCCGAGCTATATTAAAGCTTCTCTTCATGAAGCCACAATCTCGTGCTACCCGAGCAGGGGATAGCTTCCCCCGGCCCAACCGCGTGGAAGTGGGCCGTCCCCCCGTCTTTTTCTAACCACGGACACAGAAAACTAAAAGACTTTCCACCCCTTCTCAGGCCCTGACACTCAAACTTCGAAGCATAGCGGCTTCTCACCAGCGCCATGCCTCGATCGGTGCCTCAAGTCAGCTCCGCCTCGCGTGAGCTGGACGAGGGCGACCCTGAACCGACCGGCCCAACCTCCCGCACCGCGCCCCCGTCTCCGACAGCCTACCGTCGAGCCCAAAGCTACCTTTCCGAACCACACACCGGCTACCAGTCCCTAGAATCACATATCGAAATCGGTGAAACGACCAGTCTCCTCGGCGCGGAGGCTCAGCGTCGAGTCCCGCGGCGATCATACACAAGTACCTCTGGCGTGTCGGGTCCGGACTCGTTGCGGTATCTGCTGACGGCAGGCAGCCTCCGCCGCACCGCGCATCACAGCCGGACCAACTCGCAGGGTAAGCGGTTTAGCCGGCGAGGGAGCCTTGGCGATGAAGGAGGTCGGCCGGCGAGTCTGCCACCATCGACCAAGGATGGGTTGACCGCCTCGTCATTCCTCGATGAGCGTACCTGGTACGACCAGTTTACCTCGACCGATTGGGTACACGACAGTATTGCCGATGGAGCACGTCTGCGACAGCTTCGACAGCGCAAGGATATCCGCGGGAGACTCCTGGCTTGGTTTGACGGCGCACAGGGATGGGTATTGGTTGCGGTGATCGGATGCATTACCGCGGCGATTGCCTACTTTGTGGATATTACAGAGGACGCGATATTTGATATGAAGATGGGATACTGTGCACATGAGCTGTTTGCGAGCAGGAGCCAGTGCTGCGGTGAAGGCGTTATTTGCACCAACTGGCGGTCGTGGTCCCAGATCTTCCGCCCATCCAGCACGGGGAACGAATGGGTCGACTATGCTCTTTTTGTTGCCTGGGTGGTGGTCCTTGCTTTGATCTCATGCGCTCTGACCATGCTCACCAAGACGGTCGTCCCGTCGTCGATTTCGTTGGCCACTCTGGACGAGAATCTAGGTGCCGAGGCGCGTGGCACGAAGCGTGGAACTGGCACTGGTGGCTCGGGCTCGCCGAGTTCGCAAACCAGTCCACATGGAACGTTCCCTAATCGCCCGTCCCGCCCGGCAATGACTTATTACTCCGCTGCGGGCAGTGGAGTTGCCGAAGTAAAGGTGATTAACAGTGGATTCGTGCTTCACGGATACTTGGGCTTGAAGACCCTGGTGGTCAAGACGATCGCTTTGATTTTCAGCGTTTCGTCCGGTCTGAGCCTAGGCAAGGAAGGCCCTTACGTGCACATTGCCACTTGTGTCGGCAATATCTGCTGTCGACTGTTTGCGAAATACCACCAGAACGATGGTAAGCGACGAGAAGTGCTGAGTGCAAGTGCAGCCAGTGGTGTTGCCGTTGCGTTTGGTGCGCCCATTGGTGGTGTGCTCTTCAGTCTGGAGGAAGTCAGCTACTATTTCCCACCCAAGACCCTGTTCCGAACATTCTTTTGCTGTATTGCGGCTGCGCTCTCCTTGAAATTCCTCAACCCGTACGGAACGGGCAAGATTGTTCTGTTCCAGGTCCGTTATAACACGGACTGGGAGATCTTTGAAATCATCATCTTCGTTTTCCTGGGCATACTCGGTGGCGCCCTCGGGGCCCTTTTCATCAAAGCCTCGAGCTGGTGGGCGCGCACATTCCGTCGCATCCCGGCTATCAAGCGATGGCCAATGCTGGAGGTGTTCCTCGTCGCAGTGCTCACGGGTTTGGTCAGCTTCTGGAACCGATACACCAAGTTGCCCGTTACGGAACTGCTCTTTGAGCTCGCCAGCCCATGTGAAGGAGAGTCGCGGTCGAGCACGGGACTTTGCCCTCGTGAAGATGGCATTGTTGAGATCATTCAATACCTTCTGGTGGCATTCGTGATCAAGAGTCTATTGACCGTTGTCACATTCGGCATCAAAGTTCCTGCCGGTATCTATGTGCCATCCATGGTCGTTGGTGGTCTCATGGGCCGAATTGTTGGGCATGCCGTGCAATACTGGGTTGCGAAGAACCCTACCTTTTTCCTCTTCGATGCATGCCCCAACGTTGCGGGAATGGAATCTTGCATCACACCGGGCGTTTATGCAATGGTCGCAGCCGGAGCTACAATGTGCGGTGTCACCCGATTGTCCGTCACCCTCGCCGTCATCCTATTCGAATTGACCGGCAGTTTGGACCATGTACTACCATTCTCACTATCCGTTTTGTGTGCCAAATGGACTGCGGATGCGATTGAACCGCGAAGTATCTACGTAAGAAGCTCCTCCTGCAATATGGCTATCGTCTGCAATATACTCACCGCATCTAGGACCTACTTACCGACATGAACTCCTACCCCTTCCTCGACAGCAAGCTGCAGCCTCTGTCCGATGCCGAGCTAGGCGACATCGTCCGCCCGCCTCACAAGGGCCGCATCATCGATATTTCCAACTCCCCCTTCGTGGCTGCTTCTGACTTGCGCACGAAATTGGAGTACCTCCTAATGGCCGGCGAGTTGGACAGTGGCCTGCCCATCCTCCGTGATGGCATCTTGGCCGGTCTTATTCCCGCACCGGATCTCGAGTTTGCGCTCGATACACTCGGTGACGATGAGGATAACACTATCTGCCTGATGGCGATAGATGCGTCCGTTGCTATCTACGATAACGAGACCGAAGGTGCAGTGCAAGAGGACTTTACCCGGTTTATTGATCCAGTATGTTTACCCGTCCGACAATTACCCGGCTTCGGTGCTAATCTGTGCTCTGTGTTATAGGCACCCATCTCTCTCGATGTTCATTCCCCCATTGATCTCGTCTACCAGTGTTTTGCCAAGTTGGGCCTGCGGTATCTCTGCGTGTTGCAGAATGGCCACTATGCGGGCTTGGTGCATAAGAAGGCCTTTGTGAAGTTTATGAAGGAGAACGAGAAGGCATAGTCAATTATTCATGTCCATATTTGTGATTTATTGTTTTGCTCTTGATTTTGTGTATTTGGTTCCACTCAGAGCCGCATTGGCGGGCGTTTCTCCGGCATGTCGCCGTGGTGGGTTGTTTTATTCGTTTTGACTTGAATTCTTTTTGCATACAACATTGCATATACACACCTCCTCATCTGTCTTGATGATCTTGGAATGCTTTTTTTTTCTCCCAATCCATTTTGTACATTGTGCTCTCCGTCTTCTCGCAATATTCTCGCAGTCAATTTCCATCCATGATTTTCTCTTCCCGCAGTTACCACTGTATGCGATGCAAGAAGGGGGGTAAAACAATCTCCCACCAAACTCAGGAGAAGCAAGAAAACTGGTCATGTGGCCGTATAATTTGAAATTGGCTGGTCCGTGTCCAGCCATGAATGCAACGGATCTTCACACAAGTACATACCGTAAATAGTCCCAATAAATAATGTTGTACTTGGTACTTTTGTCAAACCCGCGTCGCGACCTGGAAACTCCCCACGTGTCAAGAAGCTCGACCCAATCATTTTAGTGGTCACCGTTCAAGTAGGGCTGTGTGGGTGTTACCGGGTTCTGGGTCCCGGGTCAGGGTCTGATTCGTGTATCTCAATTTTTTTTTTTTTTCAGATCGATGACTGGAACCGGGGTATCATACAGTATGTATATGGGGACTGGGGATGAGACCCGGGATTGATGTATCTTCCGTTATGGATCTACTGTATTTCGGACGGAGTACATATAAAGTCAGCTCCGCCACGAGAAGATAGACTACGTCGCCTAGCTTACCCTCGATAGTGCCTATGATCAGATGGATCATGGATCCTGGACCTGGACCTGGAAAACGATACTCCGCGTCGTGGAGTGTACAGTCAGACAGTCCAGAAACTCAAGACCCCTGCGAACGGCAGTCATTCCTCGGCAGACTTTGTCGTCGGGATTGCTGTAGCCTGTAAGGGGCCAGTCCGCCCAGGTCAGGTCCCGCCTTCGATTGGATCCAATCAGATAAGCGCCGGAAGTTTGGGTTTGCAGAGCCGGTCAAGGGGTAAATTGTACGATGGAACTTCCATACTACGACAGTAAAGGACACATTGAGCATCTCAGCATATTACAGTCGATGTACAGTAGTATATCCACTCTCTCCAGTATCCACCCGCCGTATATACCAGATCCACTCATATCCACTCTCCCCGTAAATGTACGGAGTTTCTCCAGTAAAGTGGTTCGACTGTGTCCACTACGGTCCGGGGGGTAGTGTCACGGGGTCAAGAGTATTGCGATCGGTGGCTGCGCTAATCCATTCGCTAACGGTGACTAACTATATACTTGGCCAACAAGATAGGAGAGGGAGAGAGATAGAGAGAAGTTTGAATTTTACGATTTTACGTGATTTTATTTCCCGGAGTATGGTTCGTTGGCATCAATTGTCTGATCAGCACACACTCCGTCGTTTCTCTGTTATCTTTTTTTTTTTCTCGTGGCGAGGGAGCGGTGCAGGAGGAGGGTCATCTGACCCTCTGACGACTTGCGTTCCGGTCAGCTTCTTCTGTCTTTTTTGTCTTTCCCCTTGATTGCCCATTTATTGACTTCCTGCTTTGCCGCCACGAAATTGGCCCGGCTAAGCACTGGGCCTGGCAAGGCTACTCGTTCCTCTCTGAATCTCACTCCATCATCCAGAATATTCGCCAGGATGATTCAGATGATCCGATCCAGATCCAACATTGACTCTCTTCACAACGCCTCCCGAGTTGGGGTCTGGACTCGGCCCCCCTTTCCGCGTTGTCTGCACGCCTCTCACACCGATCTTTTCGCCATGACATTCTTCAATTGCTAATCTTTTCTCCTTTTCCGGTCTCTTCTTTCTCAGCTTGGCTCTAATTTTAGGGTTTTTTGGTTTTTGATTTTACTTCTATTTATCCACAGAAGCAAAAATGTGCACATGACCCGCCGGCTGTTCGGACTGATCCAGATCCTCGATCCACTTCTCCCGCCGTTTCCGAATGCGGCTTCTCCCCTGGTCCTTCGCCGACCTCAACTGGACATGCCGGGCTTATTTTTTTTATATTTTTTTTTGGTCATATATCAGGGTTGCCCCAATCTTCGGTGAAGATGTTGCGGTGTAAGGGGCATTGAGATCTCAGTCATCCTGATTCTTTTTTTTGCTATTTATATTCCAGTCTTTCCACCCAGTCGATACAAAACAGCTATACCCTCTTGCATTTCTATTTTATATACCCACCTCTCCAATCTCAATCCCACTCCTCTGTCCTCTCCTCTCTTCTCTTACTCTCCGGAGTAAACACTTCAAAATGTCTTTAGCTCGTCACATCCTCCGCTCCTACCGAGCAACCCCCAACCCTCTACCAACCATCCCTCGCATCCCCATTAACCACTTCTCCACCACCCGACCCAACCGCCTCCAAACCACCGACAAGAAGAACCGGATCCCGGAAAAAGAAGTCCCTGTCACAGACTACGACGCCGGCCACAGCACCGCCCACAAACACACCGTCCACGTCTTCCCAGATAACCCCAATGCCCTCCACAACATCCCCCCAGCCAGCCAAGAACAAGAATCCGTCAACCCGCTCTCCCGCGATGTCTACGAACAAATGCCCCACACAATGCGCAACATGAGCATCTTCGGCAAGACAGTCATCATCACCGGCGGCGCCCGCGGACTGGGAAACCACATGGCCCGTGCCTGCGCTGAAGCCGGCGCAAAGAACATCGTCATCTTCGACGCCAACCAAGAACTCGGCGACCAGGCCGCAGCCGAGCTCCACGATAAAACAGGTCTACCCATCTCCTTCTACCGCGTCGACGTGCGCGATGCCGCCGCCATCACCGCCTCCGTCGAGGCATGTGTCGAGAAATACGGCGTCCCCGACGTCCTGATCAACTCCGCCGGCATCGCAGACTCAAACATCAAAGCCGAAACCTACGACGTCGCCATGTTCCGCCGCCTCATCGACATCAACCTCACAGGCTCATTCCTCATGTCACAAGCCGTAGGCCGCGCCATGATCGCCGCCCGTAAACCGGGCAGCATCATCCTGGTCGCGTCCATGTCCGGCTCCATCGTGAACTACCCGCAAGAACAGAGCTGCTACAACGCCTCCAAGGCCGGTGTAATTCAACTCGGCAAATCGTTGGCTGCCGAGTGGGCCAAGAACGAGATTCGTGTGAACTGCATTTCGCCGGGGTACATGGATACGGCGCTGAACCGGGTTCCAGCCCTGGAGGCCCAGAAGAAGATCTGGAAGTCGATGACGCCACAGAATCGGTTGGGTAATGTGGATGAATTGAATGGGCTTTGTATTTTCTTGGCTTCGGATGCGTCGAAGTTTATGACTGGTGCGAACTGTGTGATTGATGGTGGTTATACTTGCTATTAAGCTAAGCGTGGCGAGGACGGGAAGGGGTGAAGGGGTTGTTGGGGAAAAATTTCGAGTACTTTTCTAATGGTTGGGTTTTGTTTGGGATTGGAAAGATTTGGGATATTTTGTTTTGTTTTTTTGGCTGGAACCGGTACACATTGGTGGTTCAGGACTGCTTTGTGTTCTGTTTTTTGAGAGTTAGATATAGACGATAGAGAGTTCCAACGTCCCATGGATAGACGTCAATCTGAGTTCTATATTTACCCCCACTGCCTCCACTTGGAGTGGCCCGCGCCCCCACGCGAGGGAGATCTACGCTTATTTCCTCTTCCGCTCATTATGGGACCGTTCTAACTAGAAAGGCGCCAATATATGATCTTTCTTGATACACGAGAAAGATGTTCTTGCCATTTAGTCAGCATCTCTCTCATAATGCAGAAATGAACACACGAGAACGCCTACGAAGTTCAAGCCTTCAATGGAGTCCAGTTGGGAATGAGGCATGCTGTGCCCGGTAGGATGAAAAGCTATGATTCAGAGCAAGTAGGAGCAGTGAGATTCAATTTGACGAGACTGGAATTGTTGATCTGGGGGATAGATCTTCCCCGGGAATGAATAGACCTCAATGAAGACAAATAGCTGGGATGGTACTCCGAGCGTGGAGTAACTAACTAATCAGACATAAATCTTCGAATGAGACCAGAAATATGGAAGAACGAATCAACATTAAAAGTGGATTGAATCCATGTGCATATTTTAGGATCACCACGCTGTACTTCAGCGAGTCTTCTAGCCAGTGCGCTCTCTCCAGAAGGCCACTATTCAATTTTGGCGGAACCTCCATGATCTCTACAGAAAGCGATTGTGTATACTTGGAAGTCGTCATTTTTGTTCATCTTGATAGTTCTAGTTCTATGTTCTTTCTAGGCTACTTTCTAGCACTGTGTTGACTGCTTTTTCCATTTTGGTTCTATCCTTCCCCACTTGGGTACACATGATGTCATGTACCTCGACCCCCACGCGGGGCTAAACGACCGGGAGGTAATAACCATCTTCACATAACACTCAGACACGCAAACTTGTCGAATCGCTCTCGTATCCAGAATTCGCTATACATCCTACTGTAATATCCGAGGTTTATTCCACCGAGGAAGACAATGGCCTCCCACCGCCCGTACGAATCCAAGCTAGGGATCATAACTGGAGGATCTCGAGGTAAGTCTATTGATCTCGACCGAATTGCCCTCCAAAGTTAACATGATCTATCCAGGCATCGGCGCCGCCGTAGCCCAAAGACTAGCCGCCAAAGGCTGCAATCTCCTGCTGGTCTATACATCCGATTCCTCCACTCAGCCAACCGCAACACTCTGCGAGCAACTTACTTCAACCCACCAAATCCACTGCACGTCAGTCCAAGCAGATCTCGCAAATCCCGCCGAAGCATGCAATTCGATTCTGGAAGCAGCCAAAACTCTCTTCCAAAGGTACAAGCCCGAAGCAGAGTTCCAAATCGACATTCTCATCAACAATGCCGGCGTATCCTCGAATCAGCACTTAAACGACCCCCAACAAGGGCCCATCGACACCACCGAGTTCGACCGCGTCTACCGTGTAAATGTTGTGGCACCATTACTCCTCACCCAGGCCATCGCACCATATCTGCCCCAAGACCGCTCCGGCCGCATCGTCACCGTCTCCAGCGTGTCCTCTTCAATCGGGTACCAAGGGCAATCCGTGTACGCCGGTAGCAAAGCCGCCGTGGAAGCCATGACCCGCGTGTGGAGTCGAGAATTGGCGGAGCGGGCTACCGTTAATGCGGTGAATCCTGGTCCGGCCTGGGGAGATATGTATGAGAAGGCTGGGCAGACGTTTTGGGATATTAATCAGCCGTATGTGGATACGGCGCCGTTGGCGAGTTACTATGGGGAGAAGGAGGTGTTGGCGATGGCCGGGTCGGAGGCGGATAAGTTTGATCGGGTGGTGAGGGAGGGAATGAAGGGTCGACGGCCGGGTTTTACGAGTGAGATTGCCGGGACGATTGATATGCTTTGCTCGAGTGAGGGTGGGTGGACGACTGGCAGTGTTATTTGTGCGAATGGAGGGATGAAGATGTCGATTGCATAGAGTACCTCATGGAGGGAGGGTAGGAGGATAAAAAGCTGTCAATCCACGCTATGTAATAGTCTATGCTAAATCACTTTTGGATATCACCAGCCAATCGTCAAATCTAGTCCAATCTCTCGTACCCAGCCATCTGCACCTCCACTTCTCCATCCTGAATCCACTCCCCCGTAACCGTCTCGCCAACCCACTCAGAAACCTCCGCCGCACTCGCCGTCCTCCAGCCATCCTGGACTCCAAGCCCCTCCACCGGGAAGAAAGTATCACACTCAAACTCCTTAGCCACAGCATCCCCCTCGCACCTCCGCACAACATTCGTCATGACAATCCTAACAGGCCTCCTCCGCTGCCGCTCATCCACAGGCATCTTCATCCGCAGCGCCGCACCATAAATCTCCGCGCCCCCAATAACATAAATCTTGCCCAACCGACCACCCGCGCCATACACAGCATCCAACTCCGACAACGCAGCGTCCAGACTATGCGTCACCAAAGCATCGGTCACGGGTTCTTCCTCGGGGACACCACTCGGCGCAGAAACCTCGGCCTTCGCTCTCGCCGACTCCGCCATCTTCGCCTTCCGCGCCGCGAGTTCTTTCAACACCCCCTCTCGCACGGCACCGGTCGTATCGCGGCTTATAACGACGCTGATCCGCTTGCCCAGTGGGCGGAGGTGCTTCGGGACGGAGTCGTATGTCTTGCGGCCCATGATGATCGCGTTTGTGGTGCCTGGTGCCGGGGCGCGGGAGGTTGCGCGCGCGAAGAAAGACATGTCTGTTTTTATGCGTGGCCAGGGAGTGTGCCCTTGAGACCGATGCCGAGGCGAGTGGTGGCTTCATTGGGTGTTGAGGACGCGACGCGGATTGGGGTTGTGGCGACGATGAGGGTGAGGGGGGGGGGAGTGGGGGAGTTGATGGGTTGTCGGGGGTGGCATTGTGAGATTGATGGTACGGTGGATTGTGTCGGTCTGTCCTGGAGGAGTATCTTGGATCTTGAGTTTTTAACTTGGAAATGTACTTTGAAGGAGAATGAAATATGATTACGATGAGGTGGGGGAACGCGGAGAGAGGAAATGCAAAAAGTTGGGACGTGTTGATCGCGTGCGCTTATCGGCTTATCGGGGGAGCCTCGACGGGACTTGGAAGGATATTGATTGAGAGCTCACTGATGCTCGAACTAATGTGTGTACACTTTCAAAGGTAGTGAACAATATGGCCGCCGCTTCTTATTTTATGTGTTGCGGTTTGTTTTCAGAAATCGATATCCCAGAAGACTCGCTCACTTGCTCCTTTATAGCGGACGAGCATTATAAATCGCATCGGACATTTGATCTTCTACAAATAATACCACTCCTTCAAAAGTTAGGCAGCAAATAGTTGACACTTATTAACCCATTGATTTTCAGTTTAAACGCTTACTCAGGAATACTTACAAAACCTCAGTTCGTGGACGATTTGAGACAAGGTGGGGCATGAAAGCTCTGGGTACATATTGTTGCGAGTTATGGACTTTCTTGAGTGGAGTTGCTTCGGCGCTTGATTGCGGGTTCCGGGCAAGGCTGCACCCAAAACCCCAAGTACTTAATGGCCCATCCACCCTTGAGGCTCTGCGAGTCTCTAATTTGATTTCCTAACACAAATCATGATTGTAAATTGGAAATTGGGTCTCCGCTTCTTAGCTGCAGAGCTCTTTGCCAGCACAGTTCTAGCTGCAGCTTCCTATCGTATGAAATCCCTCAACGACAGACATCCAATTTCGACAAGCTAATATCATTGATAACAGCACTTGGTATCAGTTTCGGCCAAGGGAATATGTGAGCCACCATTCACTTCTATACCCTCGTATCCGCAAGCTAATCGCTCAAGTACTGCCGCCCTAATCGATGAAAATGGCTCACCGTTGTTACTCGCCAACATCGCAGGCACCAATGCCTACCGCCAAATGATGCTCGACTCAATTAACTATGAAGGACTGCAGTGGGAGCGCGATGGTGATTGGTACTTTACCAACGGCAGTGATCCAATTCAAATCCCCGAACCAGGCGACAAACTCGCCATGGAAGCAATCTTCCTAGAAAATCTTTTGAACATACGAGAGGTCGCAACGCAGAAACTTGGACACTCGCTCGAGATTACTTCGATGGTGTATCCGCGGCATTTGAATGATACTGCTCGTGACATCTTCCAGAAAGTAGCAATTGAGAATGAACCTGGCATTTCTATTGCGCGACAGTTGGGCGATTCATACGACGGTGCTTTTCGTGCGTATGACTTTCATCTTGGGGAGACTGGCGGTCCGGTCCATTTTGTCGATTATGATGATGAGTATGTGGATCAGGCTCTTGGGCAAATCGTCAAAGATCGTTCTACTGCTGGAGCTAATGGGTGCAATCTGCGTTTCCGGGGCATGGGCAGAGTCGACGGTGCATCGCGGATCACAGATGAAGACATGGTACGTCTGACGCGCTATTCGAGGATTATACATTGCCGGAACGGCTAACTCACTTCCACTCGTCGCTGCAGGGGCGCGCTCAAAAGGTCAAGGATATTGGCGAATCACTTGGGGCCACAGTAGAGGCATTCGGAAATATGCCGGGTATGACAGCGCTAAAAGGATTGATTCTTTCTGGGGAGGGTCCACGCTCGGATTTCGAATATCTCCGCCAGGGGTTTATCGCAGCTATCCCTGAGGATTCCAAAAAGATTCGCGACTCCATTGATCCTGCATTCGTCGGGGCTGTGGGTGCTGCAAAGTGGGCCAAGTTCCAGGTCGACCATGCGGAAACCTTCTTCAATGAGCCTGCTGAGCATAACGAGTTGTAGATAGTATATAGTGTGTAGATAGTTTTATGAAGGATCTCCGCATGACGCGCAGATAAAGCATATCATTCAACATATTAATTGGGTATCTAACTCCAGCCTCCCCAAACACCAGGATTGTACAGCAAAATGCAAAATGCCCCCAAAAATGAAGAACGCCATCCAGTCCATAGACGATGCAAACGCAAGAAAATGCTCCAAATGGCATATCTAACTCTCCTTCTTTTTCTCCTCCGGGCACAGCTTCAGGAGGGCCCCGTCCTCGACGGCTTTCTGAACCGCCTGGACGTCCCCCTCGAGCTTCTTGCGGCGCAGCACATCTTGCTCGTTCTCACCCAGGGTATCGAGATTTCCAAAGAGCCATGCCTCCTTCAAGGAGCGGGTTAGACCGAGAATATCCTCGGCGGCGCGGATCTGTATAGTCAATGAAACAGATTAGTGATGAATCTACATCGCGTGCCATGGGCTCGCAACAGAAGGGCGGCTTCTGTGATCAAAGTTTCTTGCCGTATTAGAATGGAAACTTACCATCCCATCAGTCTCGACCTCCATCTGATTGGCCTCTACTGCAGTAGCAGTGTGACTGGTGTTGTCCGTCTAAGCGGGTGTGGTTAGCTGGATTCCTGAGAGATGATCGACATATACCAAGCTCATATCTTACATTTGCAGTGGCCAGGATATTCTCAAAGCGCTGTAGCAGCTCAGAGATATCATGGTTGACGCGTTCTGAGAGAAGAGCTTGGATTAGCCAGGCTGTTCGAGAGAAACATCCATATTCACGATGACGGTTGGCTCTCATAATGACACGGGTGACATACGGTGCATCTGCTTGTATGGCTGGTCTTTACCCATCTTCTTTGTCAAGAGGTCTTCCGGAGTTGGTGATCTGGAGGGAATGTCCCAGTCAGTGGTGGAAGTTTGCTGAGAAAGGTTGAAGGTGCTTGATTCATTGGATCTGGCAGAATTCGGTGATACGTGGGCGGTGGGAGAGCGGTGATGAGACGCAATAAAAGGCGGTGAAGTTGTCAGAGAAGAAGTGAAGAGGAAACAAGGACTAGTGGCTGCTGTCTGGCTAAGTGGGTCATGGCTGACAAGGGCCGCTAGCAATTGCACAAGTGCCTTATAACACCAGCATAAGGAAAATGGACAGATGCGGAGAAGCGGTAATACTATTAAACAAGATTCCATTGATGATTATCAGAGCTTGGCTTGCTGATTCCTTCCTGTGGAGGAGTGGATCGTCAGAACTGTGAGATTGGCCAGCCAATGACTCTGTAGCTAGTAAGTGATTCCTTATGATCAACTTCTGATTTAGCTTCCAGTTCCCACTCATCCTGCCCCATCTTTGAATCTTCTGCTTGCAATGATATGACGACGAGCTTATGTTTGCATAGAAGTGGCTTGCAGGTGTAGGTATTTGAAAAGGATACTTCGTCCATGTGTTTCGGTGGTTGCTCTAATTGTATCTCATTGATGATCAAAGCCGGCTTAACGGACATATTTGGACTGCAAATAATCAAGTTAGTCCCCATGTTTCCTAGCCCAGATTTACACGATGTAAAACATACCATGAATCTCTTGTGGAAGTCCGAACGCAGCAAGTCCTGAAGGAAGCTGGGTTAATGTATAGCTTAACAATAGATATTCATCCAGACTTACATTAACAAACTCCTTGCCCTCCTTCTTCTCTGTTCCTCGGGACTGGTTCTTGAAGACGACATCATCATCCCATCGCCGCTTCATGTTGAAGTCTTGGGCATTAAGGAGGGGGTTTCCCCGGCAATATCCACCTCTCGCTGCTCTTGCTCCTGGGTAGCCCGTTCTTGTTCCTGTAGGGTCTCAGTATTCCAATTCCAAGAAAAGAAGAGCTTGAATGCTGTCAATATGTCGTACCTCTTTCTCTTTTTGTGCTTGCCGCTCTTTCTTAATCTTCTCCAGCTCGCGCATCAACTCGGCCGCCTCGTCTTCATCATCGCTATCTTCCTCCTCGCTGCTGTCCTCCTCTGACCCGTCGGAATCTGCATCTATGTCTCGTGTCTCTTCTAGAATCCGTCGTCGTTTGGCCTCTGGATCTTCCTCCGCTTCGGCATCGGCAGCCGGGGCAGCTTCGAGTTGACGCTTGGGTGTAGATGACTCCGCGGCAGCGGGTTCTTCAACAGGGACACCGTTCTTCTTGGCAAAGTGCGCAGCCTCGGCCTTCAAGAGCTCCGCTCGCAAGTCACGGACCTCCTTATCGGCATCACCACCTTGTCCAGGTTGCCTTGAGGAGCATTAGCTGTCACGTCGGGGAATTCGAGGTCTTCCACAGCTTACCGAACTTTCAAGAGCGTATGTGCGGGAAGGAGTCGCTGGTGATAAGCAGGCCCTCGAAGGGCCTCCTTTCCTTGAGCCTGATCACATCACATTAGGTCTTGTTCGCAGTAATCGAGCAGAGAGTGTAGGCGCAAGTAGGCATACCGGGTCAAATGTGGGCCTGTGAGCTATGAAAAGTCAACATCATTATCAGAAAGGGTCTCATAAGCAAAAATACAAACATACCTGTGGTCATCTTGAGGTTTGGTGTGCAAAGGTGAATCGTTGATGGACAGAGGCTGCAGATGCGCGCGCCGCCAGATGCCCTTCTGTCTCTCTCACCGCCCTGCTTTCCTCCCCTCTTCATTGGTTCATCGCCCACACCGATCAGCGGCCAGCAACGGCAAAATGGCCCCAAAAAAGGCCCATTTCCCTCCTCTTCACAGCGAGTCTTCGCCAACCAGTGCCATTCAAAAAATGTCGAAGGAAGCTCCTCTCTCGGTCGCAGAGCGCGAGTTCATCCTTGAAGCTCTGCGCCAGGATTCGCGCCTGGATGGCCGAGGAGCAGACCAGTTCCGTCCTCTGAAGATTTCCTTCGGTGAGGAATATGGACATGTGAAGCTGGAGCTGGGTAAGACAAGGTATGCGCACCACTCGCCTGGTCTTGGCTACTATTCCATGTTATTCTTGTACTAATCACAACTTTTAGCATTGTCGTCCGCATCTCCTCCGAGGTCACCAAGCCCCGCGATGACCGCCCGTTCGATGGCCTGTTCAACATTAATCTAGAAATGACTGCCATGGGCTCGCCAGCCTGGGAAAATGGCCGGTATGCCCTCAGTCAATTTGCGCGCATTCTTGTGGACATTCACTAACTTTAATATGTCGCCTCCCAGGTCCAATGAGCTCGAAGCTTACGTGACCCACGTCCTCGACAGCGTCATCCGTCGTTCGAACGCCTTGGACACTGAATCGCTGTGCATCCTCAAGGGTGTTAGCTGCTGGAGTATCCGCGCAGATGTGCACATCATTGACTATGACGGGAACCTGACCGATGCAGCCTGCATTGCCATCATGACTGGACTCCAGCATTTCCGCCGGCCGGATGCCGTGGTGCGCGATGGCCAAGTTGTGGTCTACGGAGTGGAGGAGCGAGTACCCGTTGCGCTCAACATCACACACAAGCCCCTGTCGATTACTTTCAATACCTTCAATGAGGGCCACAACATTATCCTTGACGCCACGCGCAAGGAGGAGCAAGCTTCGGAGGGAGAGCTTGTGGTTGGAATCAACAATGGAGGCGAAGTGTGCTTCATGTCCAAGTTCTCCGGTGCCCCTATCGATGCGATGGAGGTGGTGACTCGGACCCGGGTTGCTCTGGAAAAGGTCAAGGAGCTCAATGCCCAGATTGAGAAGGTAATGCAAGCTGATCTGGCCAAGCGGGCCAAGAAGGGCATGGCAGAGGAATCTCGGGCGGAGAATGACCGGTGAATCCAAAAGCGAACGACCATTTTTTGTATGATTAGAGCCTTCATGACCTGGGAACTGGAGTTCTGCATTGCCTTTTGTTGCTTCCTCGCGGAATTCTAATGATGCAACCCTTCGTAGGGTGATTCATATTATGTGATGTTCTAAAAGAAATCTTTCAAACTTGTACCTAGGCCAAGAGCTATGAACATAACAACATAACCTAAATTTCTCATGAACAACCATGTTATCCATCGATCGTCAGATATGCACTGCTGTCCCACTTTCCCAATATGGCGCTGGGTATTATTTGGCTGCCTAGCAAAAGATCCAAAGTGGCGCTTGCAGACGAATATATTTCCGGCCATACAATTATTACTTACCAAGCCATTATCTTTTCTTAGAGCGCTTCGTTTCATGTCAGTCTGTGGAGGCAGTGGCCCTCGTGGAGCATGTTCAACATCGGAATCCCATTCTAATTGCTTAATTCTAATCCCTGTCCAAAATCAAGGTCCCTATCAGCGACATTGTAATTATTCAGAATCACTAGTCCATCCTCCATCAGCTTCGGCCGATCAGTGACTGGCAGTAGTTTACCGCCCAAGCCAGAAAAGCGGGACGATCAGGTCAAACACCCAAAAGTAAGGTTACTTTCTCCGGCCTTCGTTCTGCTCAGCCACCTCATCCTCGTCGAACTGTCCACTTTCTTCCTCCTTCACTTTTTACACTACTTCTGCTTCAACGATTTACTCCCTTGCTTGGTTACTACCCCCTGCAGATTCTGTGGCGCGCTTCTTCTCCCACCATCCTCTTGATCCGATCAATGCCTCAGGGGCATCGTCTCCACTGCTCTTAGTGAGGCTTTCAGCTTCCCCCGCGGCAGCATGGCCAGCGGTAGGCCTCCTGGGCCGAATCATCCCGCTGGCCACGATGATGACCTGCTGTTGAGGTCGAGTCCGAGCCCAGGCCCGATGTATAACACTGGTCAGCCCCCGCCAGTCAGCGACGAATACCTCCCGCAATTTATCGACCAGCACAATGCGCAACCGCGCCCTTCCATATCCAACGACCAGTTCATCGGTGCCCAGGTACAACCGCACGGTGTGTATGCCAGTGGACCCTCCGGGAATGCGCCGCAGAGTAGATTCCTCCAAGAATCGCACGGCGCCGGATATCGATCCGATTCAAACACCGACCTCGCCTACGGACAGGACCCCCTCGACAGATACGACTCGAACCTTGACCGGTATGATTCTCGATACGAACAGCGAGGCTATCACGATGGCGGTAGCTACTACGACGATCCGTTTGAACCGCAAATTCCGAGCGAGAGTCATGTGCGGAAAGCGAATGAGCGGAACAGTATCCTGGGGTTAGGGGGCGGATTGATGGGAAAGGCGAAATATATGTTTGGAATGGGCCCGCAATACTCGGAAATGGATCTGCCTTTGACGGAGGCCGGCGCAAGAAGAGCGACCGTTGATAGCACCGGCGGCCCGGCTGCCGCCCCTAAAGAGCGAAAGAAGTTCCGCGCTTCAGACATTACGTCCATCTTTGGACGCCGCAAGGTCGACCCGGCAAGTCTGGGTCCTCGCATGATCCAGGTCAACAATGGCCCCGCGAATGCCGCGCACAAGTTCGTCAGCAACCACGTCTCGACTGCCAAGTACAACATCGTCACTTTTATCCCGAAATTCCTCTTCGAACAATTCTCCAAATACGCCAATCTGTTCTTCTTGTTCACCGCTGTTCTTCAACAAATCCCCAGCGTCTCCCCAACCAACAAATATACCACCATCGTTCCGCTGGCTATTGTGCTGCTGGTGTCTGCTATTAAGGAGTTGGTCGAGGACTATAAGCGTCGGATGTCGGATAGAGGATTGAACTTCTCGAAAACGCAGGTTTTGAAGGGTTCTTCTTTCCATGAGACAAAATGGGTGGATGTTGCGGTGGGAGACGTGATTCGAGTCGAGTCAGAGGAACCATTCCCGGCCGACTTGGTCCTGTTGGCATCCTCCGAGCCCGAGGGTCTTTGCTACATCGAAACGGCAAATCTGGACGGAGAGACCAATTTGAAGATCAAGCAGGCTATCCCTGAAACCGCGCATCTCGTCAGCCCCAGTGACCTAAGTCGCTTGAGTGGACGCGTTCGATCGGAACAGCCCAACAGCAGTCTATACACGTACGAGGCGACATTGACCATGAACGCTGGAGGCGGCGAGAAGGAACTCTCTTTGGCCCCGGATCAATTGCTGCTCCGAGGTGCAACTCTGCGAAACACTCCTTGGATTCATGGTATTGTTGTCTTTACTGGCCATGAGACCAAGCTGATGCGGAACGCAACGGCAACTCCGATCAAGCGTACGGCCGTGGAGCGGATGGTCAACGTTCAGATTCTGATGCTTGTCGGCATTCTGATTGCGCTCAGCGTGGTCAGTTCCGTCGGCGATCTTGTTATTCGTCAAACAGCGTCTAGCAAGCTTGCGTACCTCGATTACGGATCTATCAACCCTGTGAAGCAATTCTTTATGGACATTTTCACCTACTGGGTGCTTTACTCCAATCTGGTTCCGATATCTCTCTTCGTTACAATTGAGATTGTGAAGTACTTCCAGGCTTTCCTCATCAACTCTGATCTCGACATCTACTATGACAAGACCGACACGCCCGCGACTTGCCGCACCTCATCCCTGGTGGAAGAGCTCGGCCAGATCGAGTACATCTTCTCTGACAAGACAGGCACGCTCACTTGCAACATGATGGAGTTCAAGCAATGTACAATTGCCGGTATTCAGTACGGAGATGACGTCCCAGAAGACCGTCGAGCCACCGCGGAAGATGGTGGCGAGTTTGGTATCCACGACTACAAGACTCTTCGTAAGAACTTGGAATCCCATCCCTCTCAAGGTGCTATTCAGCAGTTCTTGACCCTTCTGGCAACCTGTCATACTGTTATCCCCGAATGGAATGGCAATGATCCCACTCAGATTAAGTACCAGGCAGCTTCGCCCGACGAGGGTGCCTTGGTAGACGGAGCTGCCATGCTGGGTTATCGTTTCACCAACCGGAAGCCCCGATCAGTTATCTTCACTGCTAATGGAGTGGAGCAAGAGTACGAACTGCTGGCTGTGTGCGAGTTCAACTCTACTCGAAAGCGAATGTCGACAATCTTCCGATGCCCCGATGGCAAGGTCCGAATCTACTGCAAGGGTGCCGATACCGTCATTCTTGAGCGTCTGCACCCGGATAACCCGATCGTCGAAGTCACCCTTCAGCACCTTGAAGAATATGCCTCCGACGGTCTGCGAACTCTGTGTCTTGCTATGCGCGAAATCCCAGAGGATGAATACCAGCAATGGTACCAGATCTTCAACACGGCCAACACCACTGTCGGCGGTAATCGTGGCGACGAGTTGGACAAGGCGGCCGAGTTGATCGAGAAGGATTTCTACCTGCTGGGTGCTACAGCCATCGAGGATCGACTTCAAGATGGCGTTCCAGACACCATCCACACGCTTCAAACCGCTGGTATTAAGATCTGGGTCTTGACTGGTGACCGACAAGAGACTGCCATCAACATCGGCATGTCCTGCAAGCTTATCTCAGAGGACATGACGCTGCTCATTATCAATGAGGAAAACGCGGCAGCGACGCGTGCTAATCTTCAAGCGAAAATGGACGCTGTCACAAGCCAAGCGGGCGCTGGTGACATTGAGGCCTTGGCCCTGGTCATTGATGGAAAATCTCTGACTTTCGCCTTGGAGAAGGACATGGAGAAGCTGTTCCTGGACCTTGCTGTCATGTGCAAGGCTGTGGTCTGTTGCCGTGTATCTCCCCTGCAGAAAGCACTGGTTGTCAAGCTTGTCAAGCGCCACTTGAAATCCTTGCTTTTGGCTATTGGTGATGGCGCCAACGACGTGTCCATGATTCAGGCCGCGCATGTTGGTGTTGGTATCAGTGGTATGGAAGGTCTTCAGGCAGCTCGTTCGGCCGATGTTGCGATTGCTCAATTCCGTTTCCTCCGAAAACTGCTTCTGGTTCACGGTGCCTGGAGTTATTCCCGCATCAGCCGAGTCATTCTCTACTCATTCTATAAGAACATCACACTGTATATGACGCAGTTCTGGGTAAGTGGTGCCATGCCTTGCTTTTTTGAGTCTTTGACGCTAATGTTTATCCCCAGTATTCCTTCCAAAATGCCTTCTCTGGAGAAGTCATCTACGAATCATGGACATTGTCCTTCTACAACGTGCTTTTCACCGTTCTGCCGCCATTCGCTATGGGTATTTGCGATCAATACGTCTCCGCTCGGTTGCTGGACCGTTATCCCCAACTGTATCAGCTGGGCCAAAAGGGTGTGTTTTTCAAGAAGCACAGTTTCTGGGCCTGGGTTCTCAACGGATTCTTCCACTCTCTGCTGCTTTACCTCGTCTCTGAGCTGATCTTCTACTGGGATCTGCCTACGAGCAACGGCCAGGTTGCCGGCCATTGGGTCTGGGGAGAGGCGCTCTATACTGCTGTGCTTGCCACTGTTCTCGGCAAAGCTGCTCTGATCTCCAACATCTGGACCAAATACCACTTCATCGCCATCCCAGGATCCATGCTTCTCTGGCTGGCCTTCCTCCCAGCTTACGGTTATGCCGCCCCTGCCATCGGATTCTCCAACGAATACTACGGCACCATCCCGGTCCTGTTCAAATCTCCCATCTTCTACCTGATGGCCATCGTCTTGCCATGCATCTGCCTGATGCGTGATTTTGCCTGGAAGTACGCCAAACGCATGTACTACCCCCAGCACTACCATCACGTTCAGGAAATCCAGAAATACAACGTGCAGGACTACCGTCCTCGTATGGAGCAATTCCAAAAGGCTATTCGCAAGGTTCGCCAAGTGCAGCGCATGCGCAAGCAACGCGGCTACGCCTTCTCGCAAGCCGACGATGGCGGTCAAATGCGTGTCTTGAATGCCTACGATACCACCCAGGGTCGTGGACGGTACGGAGAAATGGCGAGTTCCAGGAATCCGGGATTATGATCTATGTTGCTTTCTCCTTCAGCTGCATTTCTTGCCCCTGCGTGCCTCGTCTTTTCTCACATGGATACCAAGAAATTGGTGATGATGTAACTTTGTGTACCTTTTATCATTTTTTTCTACCTCTTCTAGCTCGGGTTTCTAGCCGTGCTATGTAACCTGCCTGGAGAGGGATGTGACATACTACCTCGTTGATGTGATGTGCTCTTAGCTTGATTTTCCAATTGAAGATGGCTCAGGCTAAAGCCTGGGTCTTGACTTCCAATCCTTCAGTCTTGTAATTGTCTTTTGACTGTGTAGAGCTTATATTCCTGCAACTACGATGCTAAATACACAATCCTACGAGCAGCGTTGAAGATGTCGCCCGAAAGTCGATTCTCATACTGCCAGAGGACTCAGGTCGATATGCGATATTCACATTATAGTGTATAGTGTACCAACACCCGGAACGAGACCCGGCTAACGGTAAACTTTGAATGCCTTCAACGAGTGCACCTCTCGTGAGGAGGTCTCCATCCAATGCCCAACCGCTCCATCAACAACCTCTCCCTCTCCTCCCAGGTCGCTCCACCGTGTTCCAGATCCAACACCTGGCCTCCAGTGGTTCGTTCGCGAACTCCACTAGAGTCGAACTTCCACGAATGTGCCTTCTTAACGTATCGTCTCAAATCCCGCTGGAAGGTAGTATCTCCTGACCACCCCAGAACTGCACACCCAATAGTATGCCAAGGGGAGATGATAATATCAACACGTCGGTGTGGATTTGGATTTTTCTTGCGATTATTGATATCTTGATATTCCGCGGACTTTAGATCGTCAAAGTTCGGGTCCTGCCAGACGACCAAGGCCTTGTCGAGGGAGTCAAAGTGTTTACCTGTTTCATCACCGCGGTAGGGAAGGGTTTGTTGTTCGCGATGTGAAGATGTCAAATGTAATGAAAGTGTATGTGTAACATAAAGCTCTGCTTCGAGGCTAGCAACCACGTCCACGACGAGACTATGTGTGACATCTTCGTCGCGGTGTGTGAGGATAACATCGACGTCACCGCTGAGCTCTTTGCCTCGACGGTAGCTACCAACAATGATACATTCAACCTGGTTGTCTCCTTCAGGCCGGACTTTGTTGGCGTGTCGGCGTATTGCTTTAGCAATCGTCTCTGACTCGCGACGGGAAACACCCTCTTGGAACTCCTCGAAGAACTTGACGCCAATCTGCTGTACACGAGATAAAGAGTTCCATCCATGTTCGACGATATCGTCGAGGTCACGCCAGCCACGGTGGTAGTAGAAATCCCTTGCAGTCTTCGCTCCTACTCCCCAAATGCGATTGAAAGTGTCCAAAATGCGGAGGACGGGGTCGGTTTCCAGAGCATTGGCCGCAGCAACATTCCCGTCTTCATCAGTATCGTTACAGCCGCCATGCTGCTGGAACTCGGAGAAGAGATTGGCGATTTTTGCTTCACAACCCGGTAAAGACAGAATCTCACTTGGCCGTCGAATGATATATGGGTAGGCTGCAATTGCCGCTATCGATGTACTGTATGCTCGCACTCCAATCTCGTCGAGGGTGAGTTCCCTAATACGACGGATCTTCACGAGCTGGGAGATGAAGTCTTCATTTGGTGGGTGTAAGGGCGCGGAGCGCATGCATGCATATAGGACTTGATCACGGACCCAGTCTGGTTGAGGTGGCAAGGGAAGGGCCTCGTCGTGCTCCGAGGTGGTCTCCCGGTACAGAGTCGGTGGCTGTCGCTGACTGCCGATAACGGGAGGCTCTCTGGATCGGCGACCATGGATGTGCTTGGATACACTAGCTAATGGTTGCGAAGCTGCATCTTCTTTAGCCCGTTCGAGTATTGCACTGGTGACTCTGTGGGAAGGCGACGTTGCTGGGGTAGCAGGGGTAGGACGGCCAGTCTTTTGCCCTTTATAGACGACGAATGAATCCCACGGCAGTGCTCTTCCAGCAGCAATTGAGTAGTCCAGCCATTCAAGCTTGAGAAGAGTCACTGTGCCGTCGGGGGGTTCGTTGATTGTACAACATGGTTGGCGGGATCATGTCGAGTTCGCACTCCATCCGCTTCGGACTCGGACTCTGTGCTTACATCGACAGTCTCAATGCCTGCATTGGTAGGTGACTCGGCAGTACTGGTCTTTCTCCTTTTTACAGGAGGCTGCTGTTCTGACTGAGATGTTGTTGAAGGCGGTTCAGAAAATGTCGGAACCTCCTCAGTCCACACACCCCGAGAACGCAGCTCTAGGGCAGCTCGCTTCTTCTGGCCAATCTTCCCCAAGATAATACTGGCTTCGGAAATATCATAAGTGAGGATACCACCGTAGCGGACTAATTTAGTTTCAGTTTCATGTAGTTTGTCCATGGGTAGATGTGTAGGAAGAATGAAAATCGCAGGCTGCCCTGAGAATATCGTCTCTTCGGTGGTTTCTTCGGCGGGTTCATGCGGAGATGAACTGCCAAAGAGGGGATTCGACATTGCAACAATAGATGTGATATATATGCAATGATATATGCAGTATATGATGAAGCATCATTTGTATGATGGCATAATGAATGTTTGTGCAGCGTCGCCGTGTCACTGAGTGTTTATCCCTGTCGCGCTTAGTGGGGGAAGCTTGCGCATATCGTGGGATCACAGCATATGATATGAGACGGAGGATACAAAAAAACCGAAAGAATCAAATCAGAGACATTACAGGGTAGGATAGTAGAGAACAGACATTGTTACCCCCCGTCGTCTGAATTGAACAGAAGTGTGTCTGAAGGATACGAGCATTTCTTGCCTGACGTCACATGCTTTCTGCCTGAGGCCACAATGGAACTAACCCGACAGTCTTCGAATTCTAGCAACACAATATGTCTATAAGAGCAATACTGATCTAGTCGTGCGAGAAAAGAATACTCTCAGACAATCTCATCCTCAATACGGCGCTCGTTGGTTTCCTTCACCTCAACCTTCGATGCCGCCCCTTTTCCCACCGCCCCAGTCAGTGCCTCTTCAACGTCGCCCCTCGTATCGTGGCCGACAATACTGTTGTCCCCACCGAAATCGGGGTAATTACCCTGAATTCCATCTTCGGAAGTGATGAGAGGTCGTCCATGGCGACGAGCCATCCATCGCCGCCAGGGTTTATACAAAACCACGCTCAATCCACCGAAGACGATAAAGCAGCCACATATCGAGCCACCAATGACATCGTAGTAGTCGCCAGCCGTCTGCACACCGTCCCAGAACTTTCCTGTAGCATTGGTGACATTCAGGATCATAGTAAGGAGCTGAATCACGCCGATCACGATAGCAACGATGACCGTCAGGGTGGTGAGCACGATTGAGTAGTAGAGGAACGCAATGGGATCACGATGGTTATCATGAGACTGTGGAAGTTCGTCGCCATCATTGCCGGTTGAGGCATCAGAAGTTGAGCCAGTTGGCTTGGGCGGAAGGAAATTTGCGGAGGGCTGGATGTAGAGGGAGAACATGAGAGCGCCATCAATGGTATCGAGGAGACACATTCCTGCTGTGAACAGTGCTGGAAGGATCAGAATGACCCAGAAGGATGTGCCTTTGGCTGCTTCAACTGATGAGATACCGAGCAGCGCGATCTCAGATGAGGTGTCGAAGCCCAATCCGAAAAGGATTCCAAGTGGATACATCTTCCAGGGCCTGGAAATAAGTTAGTACCATACTGTCCTAGATCTCAAAAGTGACATACCGGTCAATTAACTTGAACATCTTCTTCAAAATAGAGAACAGAATGCCGCCACCCTCAATCTTCCAAGCTTCGTCTTCCTGGCCCTCCGGCAAGTTATAGACTTTCTGCATCTGTTTGATTAACTTGTACAGAATATAGGCATTCATAATTCCGAGCAATATCAAGAAAGCGGCGCTGACAGAGCTGCCAATGATTCCACCTATCGTGCTGAAGCTGTCGAATTTCGACGAGACGGCAGCGGCGGTGGCGGCGACAACAATGGAAGTGATGATGACAATGCTATTTGATTTAGACAACAGAAGTGGCCGATAAAGCTGATAGGAGTCTTACGTCGAGTGTCCGAGTGAGAAGAAAGTTCCCACTGTAACCGGCTTCTGTCCAGTTGCAAGTAGTCTTCGCGTCATCAAATCAATGGCCTATTCAAGCATCAGCTAGACATCGCCATGCGGGACTTTGGTTGTTTGGAAACATACCGAAATATGGTCTGCATCAAAGGCGTGTCTCAATCCAAGAGTATAGGCAAGCACAGCTGTGGAGACCAATTTCCTGGAATCAAATTAGTCTCCGAGCATATAGATATCACTCGCGCCTAGTTGATGGATAAAACGTACGGGTGGTAACGCTGGTCCATGTTAGTGAGATGTATATAACTGGTGTAATTCACCATCTTACCAGTACTATAGCTGCAGCAATCCAAACAATAATATTGATGAAAGCGATGAACAGTATGATGGCAATGGCACGAAGAGGAATCTTTCTAATTCCTGGTAAACGCTTATGCTGCCGTTCAGCCTTGTTAATCAGTGGCCTCAAACTCCATTTGCGATCGCTATCCATGAGGCTGCTATTCACACTCTGCGTATCTGCATTCATCTTGTCAAGCTTATCGACCTCTTTTGACGGATTGGTTATGATTGAAATCTTCCGTTTGCTTTGCCTCGTGGACCCACTTGGGAAATGAGTTACCCCCTACAGGGCTGATTCAAGGTAGAGCAGACAAAGCTCTGATGCTGAGCAAAGAAGCAGTTCCGAGAACCGTAGGATGAGTCAACTGATATAGACCGTAACCCCAGCCTGCAGATAGGTTCCAAGTAGAGGGAAAATTCTGTTAGTCTTATCGGCCGTCTTTCTATCGCCAGGGGTCCCCAGCTGGCTCCTCCGTTGCTTGGGGGGTTCTTGGCGGGGTTACGGGCGGCGTCCTACGATCAGTCTCGACCTTGCAAAAGGAGTCCGCATATACAGAAGCCGGGGAACCTGCACAGCTGGAAGTTAAGGTTTGTCAATGACCCTATCAAACCAATATGATAAGTCAAATTTATGGCCCCAGAAGCGCTGTTTCTCCGATCTCAGCAGGCGATATTATCACGTGACATGGCGGGGCAGCGGAGAGTGCCGAGTTGTGTGCAGGACCATGATTGATAGGGAAGATCAAATTACTCACACTGCTCATTCTGATGTGGTAATTGGACTCGGTTGAGCCCCACCATCGGCGGTGTCAGGAACACCTTGTTGTGATGAGATTGCCGATCGTCGGGTTTCAATAGGCCACGGATGGCCGCTCGGCGGACTCGACCGTCACGAAAATGGGAAGAAAAGATGAAGCCAACCCCAACAGGTTAGATTTGAGATGAAAAATCACAATCACATGTGCCTGTCCGTGGAAGAGCCATGACGTCAGATTTGGAGTGATAATGTCTCCTCCTATATGTAACTTATCAAGTGTTAGTCACGCCCGTTCGAAATTAGATCTAGACGAAGTTATAGCAGAAGAACATTCTCTAGGCAATCATGTAAGACAATCCATTCCTTATTTCGGCGCTACAAACTAATCATTTGACACTAAGAGCCCAATTGACTACTAGACTACCAGATGATTGATCGGTTGAAGTTAGTGGCTAATGGGTTCAAAAACTGGCGCGTTCTAGGGGGCAAGGGAAGAGACATCCTGTGGCAGACCTGAACTCGTATACTACCCAGGTGTACAGTAATCACGGAGAAATTCCATGTGGAACCACTATCTTCTCATTCTGTTAAATTTTGCAGTAATTGAATCAAATACAAGATACATTGTTAGCTCACAGAGAGCTCAGTCGTAATATTTAGCAACCACACCACCAATGATAGGCTGGTCTGCAAGTTCACTTCGTGCCATACCTCTGTCAACACCCTTGGCTACTCTGGCCTTTACCCACTCGCCAGCAGTGATACCAATTGCGCTATTATCCGTTGTCTGATCATATCCCAAGCGATGAAGAACTTCGCTCACCACCGGTCGCAGCTCAAGATCGTCCTCAGGTCGGACGAAATATAGAACACCCAGTCGGTCTACATCTCTCTGATCTGGTGGAGGGGCGACAACGCGGTGTATGCTGCTCTTGAGGAAGCCGTTGGTAAGGAATTGGAGCGAGTCTGCAAGGTTCACTGTGATGCTTCCCGGATATGGCTTTACCCACTTCCACTCGCCCTCAGGGGTACGGACCTGCAGCGCAGCAACAGGCTGGCGGAAAAGTAGGGTCAAGCTGCCGAAGTCTGTATGGCCCTTGGACCAAATCCCGGCAGCTTTCTCGTTCTCCTCCTGTGTACGACGGTGGTACTTCATGTATCGCAGATGGCAATCGCTTTTCTTATCATAGCGATGGACCTTGAGGAAATAATCCTCGGGTAGCTCGAGGATAATGGCGAAGAGTATGAGAAGTTTGCGCACAACTTCATCATGAATGTGGCGTGCGAAGCTCTCAATTATGGGTCGGTTATGATTCACAATATCCGGCTGGGGACGTTCAAGATCAGGGATGAACTTTGGAATATTGTAGATTTCGGTGTTGTCAAAAACACCTGGACTGATTTCCTGAAGCATGGGGTTAGGATCCATGTTTGACGGCCGATTACTCAAGGTGAACTAACTCGCAGACCCTTGGGCTTGTAGCCATTATAGCCACCCTTTTCTAGCTCAGCACGATACTTGAGCTTCTCTTCTATTGGGAGTTTGAAGATCTCTTTGCCAATAGAGAATTGTCGGTCAACCTCCTCCTGTGAGAGGCCAAAATTGATAATGTAAAAGAAGCCTAACTCGACATGAGTATGAGAGCCATCCAAAGGACATGTTAAGACACTGAAACACTAACCGATATTCTGAATAGCCTGGAAAAGTTGCTTGGCTAGCTGTTCCTTGCCACCAGGTTGATCAAATTGAGATAGATCCAAGGTCGCGAGGTCCGCCCAGTCCACTAAATTCAGATTGATTATTAGATCTGAGATTGGAGTGATAACAAAGCCTTAATTGGGTGGCTAGCGGGCATACAGTCATAGGTAGTCTCAGGAACCTGGTAGTATGTCGGGATGTCATTTCCCGTAGGAACTGGAGCCGGAGGTTGGGCTAAAGTTGCCATGTTAAGCCGTAAGAGCCACTTATGACGGTTCTGTTTTGTCACGGTCGGGTTGGGATTTTCGAGACAGTAAGGTGCATCAATCGAAGTGGAGATGAGAAAGGAGGGTTTATTTGAACCTCAACATCCTTGGTATTTCAGTAGGTTGGAAACTGACGAATTGTATTTGCCTCTACCATGTTCCAATCGGGCAGTTTTTGGTTCAATTCAAAAACTAGCCGTAATTCCTACAAGTGGGTGTTGGTTCATCCCCGCTTTCCACCACGTGGATTTCAGATTTCATCATGATATCCTCCGTTTGCGTGATCGGCATAACCTGATAACGATTCTCGCAACTTATCCAATCGCAAAACGAGTAATGCAGAAACAAAGATGAACCGGAAAATATTTTGAGATAACTAAATGAGTAAAATAAGATATGATCAGGCTTATTTATGTGTTCGTCTCGATTAATGTGAAGCTGGGCTCAAACAAAACAGCCAGCCAAATTGTCCCATACCGAGAAGTTCATGACTACACTCTCTCTCCACTTTCGAATCACACCCACTGCCAGAACTGAAATATGTCTTTTTAGCGAGAGCTCCTGACGTACAGCCTGTTCATATGACGAATTACCGAAGGCAATTGGTGTGTGCATCTGATATCAAAGCATGGTCTGGGCCCTGCCATTCGCAATACTTGTGGGTTATGATAGAATCATGTCATGCTGGGCCTTACTAGCTAGAAGATAGCATTTGAGAGGCCCTTCGGAGGGTTTCCGAGCCTTTCAAGATAAAATCAAGAACTGTATATCAGTAAATGTCTGCTTGCCGTTGAACATGCCCGTGAATCGTCAGACTTTTGACATACCGTTGTCAGCAGCAACATCCGAGCATGGCTGACAAAGAAAACGGGCGGGTCGCTTTCAAGGACCTGAGTAGAGCTACAGCTACCGATATCGTGTCGACGACTGAGCGCGATCCCAACCATGAACTTCATTTTGTTAGGCGTGGCGAAGCTCTTGCGGAAGCCTCATCGAGCCAAGAAAGTATTGATGGATACGATCCAGACCTCATGAGTGGCAGGACTCTCCTGACAGCAGAAGAGGAGAAGAAGCTGTTGCGCAAGATTGACTGGAGATTAATGACGCTTTGTTCACTTATCTTCATGTTCAAAAATTTGGACAGCAACAATGTGCGTATGCTATTCGACTGTCAATAATAATGCACCTAACTAAGTGCTGCATAGTCATCGAATGCTCGAATCATGAACAAAGGAACAGATCAGAATATTATGACGCAACTGGGAATTACATCCAACGAGTACAACCTCGTGACGGTCCTTTACTATGTAAGTCATTGCCATGGTTCTGATCCAAGTATAATGACTTATTACTTACTGATTGTCAATCCAATAGATTCCATACATTGTATTGGAGGCGCCCTCAAATCTTTTGCTGAAAAGGTTTTCACCATCCAAATGGCAGTCCAGGATTATGATTACTTGGGGCGCTGTTCTGATGTGCAATGCTGCTGTCAAAAATAAAGGTGGTTTGTATGCAACACGGTTCTTGCTCGGTGTGGTAAGGATTCATATCGATAGGCTTGACGATTCTAAGGGCCATGTTGATGTGCAAACCGCTAACAGAGAAACAGGCAGAGGCTGGACAATTCCCTGGTGTAATCCTCCAGATGACTTACTGGTACCGGCCAGATGAGATGTCTTTGCGACTGCTTTATTTCTGTAAGCTGCACAGGAAAGTTTAGTCTCAGGACATGAATAATCGCTGACCCATGATATGCAGATATGTGTGGAAACGTCTCCGGCATATTTGGTGGCCTTCTTGCCTTTGCGTTCGACACTGTATCTGGTGCTGGAGGTCTTTCGGGATGGCAATGGTAATTAGCTAACCCAAGTCACTACTCGCCTTGGGCCTAAAATAACATTTCGCAGGCTGTTCCTCACCGAAGGTATTGCAACTGTCATCTTTGGAGTAGCTATCTGGTTCCTGCTACCTGATTGTAAGTAGACTTGTGATACCTGGGCCAGAGCTACCGGTCGCTAATCCTAAAAATGCGATCCAGTCCCCGAGACAGCGAAATGGTTGACCGAGAGAGAGAAAAGGTTTATCCAGGCACGACTGCCATCCAACGCCCCTCGGGCCAACGAGAAAAACTTCCAGATGCGTGAAGTCATTGCATCGCTGAAAGACGTGCGACTCTGGCTGTTTACCTTCATTTGGGCCACCTTTACCGTGGGCACCAACGGCGTGACTTTCTATCAGTCCACAGTCATTGCAAACCTTGGGTTCACGTGAGTTACTATTTTTCTGTAGCTCTTCGAGCGATGGATTATTATTAGACTTCGACTAGCATAACTGACGGTCAATTAGGAGCATTGCTGCGGCCCAACTTCTCAATATCCCCATCACAGTTTGCGGTCTTCTGTTCATTGCCGCTACTGGTATCACAGCAGATCGTAGCCGGATACCACGACCGCTCTATCCACTCTCTTTCCTGATCATTATCATTACCTGCTATGGCGTATTCGTGGCCTACCCGAGCAACGGTGCAGTGTATGCCGTAACTCTAATCGGAAACGCCTTGACTGCTGGGTGGTATCCTGTCATGTGGTATGTTTCTCCTACAAGTTAGTTTTGATACCATAGTTCTAACAACGTGAGAAAAGGCCATGGCGAGTACAGACAACCTCTAGAGCTACCGGCTCCGCATTCTCTATTGGCTTTGTCAACAGTTACGGTCAAATTGGGGGTGCCATCGGCCCGCAGCTTTTTAGAAGCCAATACGCACCACACTATACTGTCCCCTTTTCCGTGGCCATGGGTCTTGTAGGTCTTTGCGCGATCTTGACGTTGATAACATGGTGGGTGACGTGGGATACGGAACGTGATACAAGGCGACTGAAGCTGGCTAAGATTGCTGCACAGAAGAGGGGCGAGACAATTTTGGAAGATGTTGTGGACAATGACTTGAAAGGTCATTAGCACATGAGCTCCTGACAGGCGCTGACTACAGTGCCAGTTGAAGAGTTTGGAGACTGAAACCAGAGATCTAGTCTACCCCAAATCCATCAGATTTCCCCTTTTCATCTTCTTCAAAAGGTCTTTTGTTGTGTTCTTAATTGTCTTATTCAATGGCCCAAGAATCATCTATTATACTATCTTGTAAGTCTCGCGACTAATACGACGGTTTTGCGGACTTTTTTCGGATCTTGAGATAGCTAGCCAATATTTAGCGGAGTGTACATAGGCCACTATACGTAACATTTTTCCTATGCCATGTGGGCCTTTCCTATTTTAGCTGCCGCCGCTTTTATGAGGGCGCTCAGAGTCAGACTCACTGAGTAAATTTCAGTCCGGGAATCAGACTTATTGAGCTGCTCAGCATCCTCACGTGATGATCAGTGAGGTCTAATAAGCACTCACTGAGTACTCACTGAGTCTGATTGGCTGCTCACTGAGCCAGCACTAATTACTCAGATATTCACTATAACTAAGTTAGTTAACTAACGTAATTCACAGCCGATCTGGCCCTACAGCCGTCCTGGCTACCCTAAAACACTATACTAGATGTTCAATATTGATTCCTCTATATTTTAACTAGCACAGATTTATTTTGGTTAGACCTTTAGGATATACATAAATATAGGTATAGGAAGAACATAAATAACTTTTAGACCTTTTAGACCATCATTTTAATACTTTACCCTAGATATAGCGTAATTTTTATGTTTTAGATTTAAATAAATATATCTTTCTTACTACTTATATCTATATTGTCCTACTATTTGAATAGGTTATTTATACTCTCTAGTTTACGTACCCTTAATATCCTATCTTAAATATATATAGTTGTTGAGTTATGAAGTTGTAATTTATCGTATTTAGTATAGTGTTTTAGGGTAGCTAGGACGGCTATAGGGCTAGATCGGCTATGAATTACGTTAGTTAACTCGTAGAAGTACTAACTATAGTTTCTCTGACTATAAACTAGTTAGACCTCTTCCCTTAATATATACCCGTAAAAGCTAAGACTAGCGTCTCTATTTTGGAATATCAAGAGTAAATCGATAGATAGAGGCTGTTACTCTAATATAGATAGTAGCCGTCTTCTCGTATAATCCGCCCTTAAGTTATAAAGAAAGAGAAGATATTAGAAGGCCCTCGGACCTTTATAGAGAAATATCGGAGTTACTACTAGAAACGCGATCCTAGTATCTGTTCGTAGTTTAATAGGAGGTATCCTAATATAGCTTAATTATAGTCGCAGGGTAGTATATAGGTCTGCCTTACTACTATTAGAGCAATAGTATCTACTATACCCCTTTCTGCTTAGTAGCTTAGCGTTTCCCCTTTTCTAGATTAGTTACTATATAATTACTTAGCTACCGTTACTACCTTATAATAACTACTTCGATTTTTCTCTTACTGTTCCTACTAATATGCTACTAGGACGCGTTCTTAAGAGCTTAAAATCTAAAACCTAGATTTCGTAGCGCAAAATACCTGCTATACTTATAACTTATTTATAAAACTATATAGCTTCAAAGTCGATATCCTAAAAGGAAGGCGATTAGACAGCAAGTTAGTATATCTAGGGTCCTAACGCTAAGCCTCTAGTGTGCTATATAATTCGCCTATAATTAGTTCGTTCTATTAGCCTAATCGCAACCTACGCGGACGAAGGGAGTTAAGCAGATTTTATCTCTCCTAGGTCTTTTACTTGTATATTTAGCGTCTCGGGAGCGACTGACCTACCTACGAATCCCTGCAAGTAATTTTCGAAGGCTTAATACCGCGATAATCGTACTTTTGCTAGCTATTTACCCCTTTTTATTTTGTGCTTAGATATATACCGAAAACCCGTAGGTATTTTACTTAACTCTCCGTAATAATTAAAACAATATCTATAATATATTAGTAGCAGCGGCTATTATTCTATTAACGACTATATTTACCCTACCCTCCTCGTGCTTTGTTATTAATACTATTGTGATCCTGACGGCCACGTGTGGCCTGATTACATCATCCGTACGGCTTAGGCACCTCGAATTCTGCCGGTATCTACCGGATTACACTCATTTAGACCTATTTCCTTACGAATATAACAAAACATGCTCTACCAAGATCATATATAGTAGCAAACCCTTAAAAACGGGCGATCTTCCACGGCCGCCCGGGGGAGATCGCTCTCGAATAGAGACGAGAGGCCTCCCTAGAAGATCCGAACTCACGATCAACAGAGAGGATCGCGCAGTAGAAGGATCGCTAGATAGGCCTTATTACGAGCGAAAGCGTTAGGAGAGAAGGCTTCGAACAACATTATAGTGACCTTAAACCCTCACCGTAGTGCGGGCTTTCCCTTCCCGAGGCGCGTAACGCAGCAAAAAGGGGCTTAAGCGACCTAATTACGCACGATTCCTCCGGTGGGGCATCCTTCCGCTCGCACACGGCTAGAGTTAGGGCCGTAAGCGAGCTAAAGTAAAACTACGAGAGTATTAGAAAGGAACGCTTTGACTAGAACGCTTCGAGTAGAAGAAATCAGCGAGAAACCTCCTTTTACCCTCTAATTAAACAGTCAATCGTTATAGAATACTTCCCGTACGCACTAACCGATAAGCAGGCCGTCTAGGCCTATAAACCGCAGGACCCGAACGCCTAAGGTCCTAACTAGCCGGACCCGAATCCTTACGCCTAGGATCTACCGGATCCTCTAACAACAGCAGCGTTGCTTCTACTACCGTACGAGATAGGCTAATAGTATCTCTACCTATAGCAGACCGCACCGGATCGAGATACTACCGCGCGCCTTATTAGAGAAACCGTCCGCTTTATACAGCTCGCAGAAGCGAATACGAGAGCTACAGCTACGCAGCCTACGCCGACGGCTGCCCCGGCTAGAAACGATCGTGCGGAAGCAGATAAGAAACAGGCTCTTCTTAAGATAATCCCTAAGATCAGAGATTATATAGGGAAGATTCAAGGAGACGCCGTGCGCGAGTATCTCTACGATTGCGAGCGTTACTTCTAGCAAGTAGCCGAATTCTCGGCTTCGGCTCTAGTCGATCGAGAGAAGATTATATACGCTAGTAGTGTACTGATAGAGAAAGCTCTAAGGAGCTAGCGTAGCCACGAGCGCTAGATCGTAGAAGGATACGAAACTGCTATTTCGACCTAGTAGGGCTATAAGGACTAGATTAATCGTGAATTTTCGGAATACCTTAGCGCTGCAAAGAGGTAGAATCGGTTTAAAACGCTCCGGTAGGGAGAAAGGTAGCCGTTTATAGAGTACGTAACTCGGCTCCGACAGGCCGCGATTAAATACGAACAGATTATTCCAGACCCGATCTTTGTTGAATTCTTACGAGATAGCGCCTAAATATACCTATAGCGTTAGTAGGTAGAGGAGCGAAATCCCCCGACCGATCTCCGCGATATCATTAAGCGCTTCAAGAGTTACGAAGAGGGAGCTACTCTCGCGAGCTTCTACTCGAGACAAGCTCCGAATAATAGCGATGCGATAGATTTGTCCGCGATGCTAGCTAGACCGATACATCAGGAGAGAAGGAAATACTTCAACTATAATAAGATTAGGTATATCGGGAGGAACTATCCGAAACTAAGGAGGGAACGAGGTAATCGGAAGTAATTAGAGGAATCGGGAAACTAGAGGGCCTAGCCGATATCGAAGCGCTTGCTAGCCGCCTCCGAAAAGCTTTATAAGTTACAGAGGTTCCGCCTAAGGACCGACTAGACCCGAAAGACAACGAACCTGCGCTAAAGCACGCCTTATTACTTACGGTTAGTAAGGCCTTACTATTTTATAGCGCTGTCTTAGGCCTACCACGGATAAACGTGACTATTCGCGCCCTATTAGATTATAGAGCATTATACACGTTTATATCCTCCACCGTTACTAAACGACTAGATAGGCTAATAGTACGATGCTATAGCAAGCCTCTTGCTGTTAGGATACCCGACGGGAACAAACTATACACGAATACGTCTATTCGGGTCCCTATAACCCTTACCTCTTAGCGTAGATACGTAGAAGCATAGATCCTAGAGCTTCCGGGATACGAGTTTATCCTCGGCCGCGATTTTCTCCGGTCCTAAAACCCTCGGATTAATTAGGTTATATCGGTTATAAGGCTACAAGATCGCTTTAAAACGTACCGAATCGAACCATTACCCGGGAGTAACGAGCAGGCTTTAGCCGAAGGGAAGCTTAACCTTCTAAGCGCGAGGCAAGCTACTAGGGCAATACAGAAGAGAAATACTAAGGGAATACTCTTTATACTACGACAGGCTAAGAAAGGAAGCGAATACGCGCTACCTAGGTATAAGGACGAGATAGTCGGACAGATTTTGAAGCGTTTCCTAGAGGTATTTAGGGATTCGCTACCGGAGGCGCTCCTACCTAAACGAACTACTGCTCATAAGATTAATACGGGCGACGCTACTCTAGTTAACATCAATTCGTACCCGATATCGGACGAGAAGCTCCGCGAACAGATACGGTAGGTTAAGATACTCTTATAGAAGGGCTTAATTCGACCGTCCGCTAGCGGATAGGGCTTCCTGGTTATCTTCGTGAAGAAGTCTAATAGAACGTAGCGAATATACATCGACTACCAGGCTCTAAACAAGCTCACGGTTAAGAACAGATATCCTCTACCACGGATCCACGAACTATTAGACCGTATCGGCCAAGCAAAGGTTTTAACGAAGATTGACCTTACTTCCGGCTACTAGCAGATCCGTATAGAGGAGAAGTCAATCAAAAAGACCGCATTCAACACGATTTAGGGAAAATACGAATAGCTTATAATACCTTTTAGCCTTTGCAATATACCTACAACCTTCTAAACAGTCATAAACGAGACCTTATAGCCGTATTTAGGAACATTCGTTGTTATCTACCTCGATGACATCCTTATCTACTCGGAATCGATAGAAGACTACTACGACCACTTAGAAAAGGT